TTTAAAGGTAAACCGCTGGAGATACTGCCGCCTGGACGGGACTACACCTATTACTAACCGTCAATCTGCCACAAAATCCTTCAACAAAATTGATTCACCAATGCAGGTATATCTGATATCGACAAAAGCGGGCGGTCTTGGTCTTAATATTCCTGGCGCTAATCGGGTTGTTATTTTCGATTTTGCATTCAATCCAACTTGGGAGGAGCAAGCTGTTGGACGTGCATATCGCTTCGGACAAAGGAAGCCGGTGTTTGTTTATCGCTTCATTGCTGGAGGCACGTATGAAGACATTATGTATAACAAGACTGTCTTCAAGACCCAACTGTCTTTCCGAGTGGTCGATAAGAAGAACCCCATACGATATGCGACTAGGTCTAAGAAGGCATACCTCTTCCCGCCAAAGGAAGTCAAACAGCAAAGCGTTACTGAATTCATAGGCAAAGATCCAAAGGTCCTCGATAAGATTTTGGAACAGCCTAACTTTGTTCGAAAGATCACTCTCACTGAAACTTTCCAGCGTGAGGATAATGACAATTTGACTCCGGAGGAGGAACAAGCCGTTCAGGCAGAATTGGATGACGAAAGGCTTAAACGTAATGACCCTGCCGCATGGGCACGAAAACAGAGTGAAAGACTGAGGCAAGCCGAGGCCATGCTGCCGATGGAGCAACCATACATGTTTAACAACAATGCTCCCTCCTCTCAGCTACCTCCCAGGATGACAATGCAGAGGCCTACCATCTTGTCCATGGGATTTTCTGGCCCAGACCCCCGTCCTCCCTCAGGTGATGTGAACCCCAATATCCTTTTCACTGCTCCTAGTTCCTCAGCCCCTCGATATGGTCCCCCAAACCCGGGCTCTGGGCCTCCTCCTTTACAGCCTGATACCAGTTTGTTTGCAACTCCTTCTTCACAGCCGCCTAATTCACGATTTGCAACTTTCACATCGTTATCAACCAATCTTCCTATTCCAGTACGGCATAGCGCGCCTCCGAGATCTCCTACCAACACGACCCCCGTACCACCGGATGCCAACCTTTCCAACCCTGTGCACCAAAATCCCTTGATAAGTCCAACTAGTGCACCTAGCACTGCGCCCCCTACCCCATCGGTGGCCAATATTGCAGGTTCCAATCTACCTAATCCTTTGATCCACCCGGCTGGCGCATCTAAAGTTGTGACGCCCCCGCTGTCAACAGCAAGCATTGCTAATTCTTCGCACCCTAATGCACCGCAGCTTATGCGCCCACCGGTCAATGAGCCAAATGCGCAAACGAGAACATCGACACTAGCTTCAACCACCGAAGCCAGCAGGGAAGGTCGACCTCCTGCCAATTTTGCGGCAGCCACGTCGAATGTGCCAGTGACCCCCAATCAGCCACCCAGCAAAGCTGCTACATTCGCCAAAACGAGTACTCCCTTGAGACCTGCCAACCCCCCAGCAGTTACAACGACCACGCAATCGGCAAGCAATACTTCTACTTCTAGCATGCCTGGTATCCCTTCCAAGCCTACCAATCCCTCGACTAATTCACCAAGCATACCGGCATTGAGTTCCTCGCAGTCCTCCATTAATGTTGGTATTTCTGCTAAACCCATCGCTCACCCGGCCAAGCCACCGAACACGCCAGCAACAACATCCACACAGTCACCCAGCAATGTTGCTACACCTACCAGGGCGAATGCCCCATTAGAATCCTCCACCGACTCACCAGCAAATTTACGGGGCGCACCAGCAGCTACACCAAGTAATGATCCTGACTTTGCCAAATCTGATGTTCCAAGCAATCCGTCTTCTCATTCACCCAAGAAAAGTCGCCCCGTTGGTTTTGACGGTGCGGATGAAAGAGAGCGGGAAAGTGGAGATGACTCTGACTTGGTTGATAACTCCCCAAAGACACCCACTATGGAGGAAGAATCTACTCGCTGTGCAACACAGTAGATTGCGAACTTTTCTCAAACCCGAAAAAGTTTGTCCTATTTCGCTGTGATTTTGTCTTCTTCAGATCGCTTTAACGGGAAGCTTTTCCCAAATTTCTCTTGCCGGATCTGCGATGGCCATTTTGCGCAATAACTGCAAAGGAAGCGAGTGGCATACTTAGGTGTTTGTCTCGTGTAGGGCTAGTTACCAGTCCCTTGTCGTTTCTGTCTTATTTCTTTAGTTCGTACTGATCTGAGATGGATAGGTATGAGAATTGGAAAATGGGAAAGGGGGAAGGGAAAAGAAATTGATTCAAATTTAGAATTCCTCCATTTTTATTCTCTCTCCTTTGGCGTACATGGCATTGTGAGCTTGATTCGATACCCCTATCTCCCAAACTTGATATGGCATGGAGTTTTACAGCATGCAGATTATCGGTTGATCGGGATAATGCTTGAATTAGGCACGCTCAGGCATTGTAACTTGTTATTTAACTATTGCGACAAAGAGGTTTGCTTTTAAATTCGGTTGTTCCTGTTGCGCTGGGGACACCGTACTACGTGTGTAGGCACTGGGCTACTCGCTGGTCTCGAGACAGTAGCTATTGCACAAAAAAGCAAAAAAGGTCATTTAACGATTCCATTGATGCATCTCATATTCTCAACAAGCCGGCAGTATGCATGAAACCCCTAGCATTCCTACAGACGCTGCCTACATATGCTAAACTTTCTCCTTCAAAAACTTCTCTAAAAATTCCAATATCTCTTCAGTTCCCGGCACTAATCCCGGTGGGCACATAATGTATCCATGTGGTGCACCGGGCACAATTTTCACTATTGCTTCGCCACCAGCCATCTGCCATTTTGCACTCATGAAAATAGTATCGTCAAGAAGGACATCTTCAGTTCCGCAGGTGAATACTGCAGGAGGGAGTGATTTTCCCGAGGCGGTAAGGGATAGAAAATCGAAATATAATGGGGAAATCTTAGGGTCTTTGGGATCGGAAGCGGGACTCTGAAGGAACGCGTTCTGTAAATGGACGTAGTTAGTGTGGAGAAGCTGCGATTGGTGGGGAAATCAAACAGAGGAACATACGGTAGAATGGGTCATGGATTCGCGGTCGATAACGAGTGCTGGGCTACGCTTGAAAGTATATGTTGTCGGTGTGGATGAGAGGTCGAATACACCAAAATGGAGGAGCAAGCCTTTGAATTTGAAATCAGAGTATTTCGGGTTTTCATGAGAAAGGAGGTGTAATGCCGTCAACGCTGAAAGATGGCCTCCAGCAGACTGAAGTAGCAAAAGTTAGATGCATTCACCCCATGGTTGTTGTCAACGCAATCAAAGACGGGGGATGTCGCAGTTACCTCTCCGCCCATAAACTTCAGAGGCGCGCCAAATTCTTTTTCAGCATTCTCTACGAGCCACTCCGCAACATCGTAGCAGTCTTCTGGCCCGGCAGGGTAGGGATGTTCGGGTGCAAGGCGGTAGCCCACTGATATAGAGACGAGATTGGCAGCATCCGTATAATGCTTCAGCAGGGCATCTTGGCTGAAATGGCTTTGTTAGCCGACGGAGCAGGTAGAATGTTTAAGGTATTCGTGTAGCCTTACGATTCCTCGTCCATCAAAACCCACCCACCGCCGTGAATATGCAAGAATACTCCTGACGGCGCAGAGCTGCCCTCCGGTTTAATTATTCTGCATGGAATATTTCTTCCGGGTTCGCGAGAAGGAATTGAGAATGACTGAGCGCAATCTAACAGAGCTGACGGGGGCATTGCAGTCTCGCCCCTAGCTCTCATTTCACGGAATGTTTGTGCGCCGACCTTGAGATCAGGAGAGAAAGAGGCAGCAAAGTCACGGTCAGCGCAATTGGCAGGGAACAATCTCGAAAATAAAAAGACTAAGAAGACGAAGCTCCGTCATACCTCCCACCATCTCGGCTTGCCATCCGCCATGCTCATTATGTGTTGGTTGACTGCATGGCTGGCTGGAGGAATCGCGCTGGGCTGGAACTTGGAGACATTAAGAGAGACGTCGCTTTCAAATACCATGGTAACAAGGGAGAAGTAGAACAGGGTAGTTATATGTTAAAGATTTTGTTTGATTCTTGCTATACTTAAAGCTCAGGCCGACAATCTTCACATAAGAGTCCAATCCGTCCGGCGACAGGGAACCCAAGACAACAAATGAGGAAATTCAGGAGAAATATTCATTCTCCTTATATAGTGGCCTGTGCGGAGGGCGGGTTGCTCATGGTGCCGCCCGATCCCGCCATTTCCTCTCGATATCTAGGCTCAGCCATCCGCATTGCAGCCCTATCTCTATGCACAAAGGGGTCGTCGGTACGTTGGATCCGAAGCTCCAACATGCACCATCACCGTCAATACGGATCCACCAGGTTCCAACATTGGAAAAAAAAAAAGAAAAGAAAAAAATTACATATATATATATAAAATTGCAGAACCGGCTATTGATCGTTGGCTCCAAGGGAATCTCAGCCTCGGCTGTGGGTTGTCAGCCCTGGATGCGAAGAAAAAGGTGAAGTGGTTTTAGTTCACACTCAGAATGACTAACTCTCTCACTTAAATCTTCACAAAGATGAGCGCCAAGGCTGTGTGTTTTACCACTGGAGTAGACGGGGATTCGTCGGTGTGATGCTGTTTGACTCAAATCCAACAAGCAGTGTGTGTGACAATTCATGTCGACATTCAGATAAAGGACTAGCATCAGTAAATATTATAGAAGATACATTACAAAATATTAAATCAAGGGCCAGAACGCACTGTTAGCCATGTGTTCCACCAACTGAAAACGAATCTAGAAGAAGATCTGAAGGATAAAGAAGCAGAAAATCCACTCTTGCCAGAGAAATAAATGATCATTGGCAACAGCTCAATGAATCTAAAATGAAAAGGGAAATGAAAAGAAAAGGCTACCCGGCGGAGACCCCTAGAGGCCAAGAAGCATTTTGGGGGAATCAGAAAGAAGGAGGAGGAAAAGAACAAGAATCATAGAAGAACAAAAGGTGGAAGAGGTACTTAGATCTCTGGCTCGCAATGAAGCTGAACCGCCTACTGCAGCAGCTTTTCCAAATCCGCCAATCTCGCTCTTTGTTGCTCGCCCGTTTTTGAATTCTTCTCCCTAAAAGCGGTGGTCATCAGATCACGCTTGCGTTTCTGTATATCCAGTACTCGATCTTCAATGCTCCCCTCCATCACAAGCCGCCATACCGTAGTAGGTCGTTTCTGGCCCAGTCGATAGACGCGATCCACTGCCTGGTCTTCGATGGCAGGCGCCCACCAGCTATCTGTAAGAATAACTTGGTTGGCGGCCACAAGATTGAGGCCAACGCTGCAGACATTTAAACTCGCGAGCATGACAGTGCAGTTCGGATCATTGGTCAAAGTCGCCATGGCCACATCCCGTTTGGTGGAGCTCCTCTTACCGTCGATCCGGGTAAAAGTGATATTGTGTTTTACAAGCTGCGGCTCAATCAGGTCAAGAAACGATGTCCATTGACTGAAAACAACTGTCTTGCTTCCCGGAGCCTGACCCTGTGCCGTTAGAATTTTAATCAAAGCTTGAATTTTGCTGCTGCTTTCCTCAGGGTCGACATCCACCTTGCTGTCGTCTTCACCGAGAGCAACAGCGGGATGAACAAGATTCGACGTATCTGCGAGTTCTGCGCGGCAAAGGGGACATTTGTGTTGTCTTTCAATGACCTGCTCTATGCAAGAATAATCGAAGGTATGAGCACAGGCCGTGATCACTGGCTGATCCAAAGAATCGAGGCATATAGGGCACGTTTCTTGACTCTCAATGTTCAGTTGGAGGAGCGCCTGGAGCGCTTTTACATTTTCTGGTGTCAAAGATACAATTTTTTCCTTCTCCAACAGATCCATGAGGCTATTTATGCGGCTTTGGCACAATTTCCAATGGTTACAGACTTGTCGAAGGCGCAGGATAACCTCAAGTAAGTGTGAATAGGTAACATTCGACTTTTTCCCGTTAGAATATTCCATAAGGACACCCTTCGCCTCGGCCCTGGTAGTCATTTCGTTAGTTTGGGACAAGGGGTAGGGTAGAGGTTCACCTAGAGCTTACTGAAACATATCGTATTTCTCTTTCTCATGCTGGGAAAACTTGACATGAAGGATATGTGATTGCATGGGCGGAAGGCGAAGGTTGATGAATCCCATTTCCTTCTTCCGGCGTAGACAAATTGTCGCCATTAGAGCCTGGAGAACGAGATTGGCGTTGGGGTCTTCGTCTTTGAGCGGTCGGATTAGCGCACTGTTAAAGACAGAAAAATCTTCCAATCCACCAGATATACGGAGGTATCTAAGCTGTGAGTATAGGTCTTTCAGGTTATTAATGATAGGTGTCCCAGTCAGTGACCATCGAGAGTCGGCCTCCAGAGCGCAAGCTGCTCTTGCTCCCTTGGTCCGTGGAGATCGAATAGTATGCCCTTCATCCAGGACAACTCGGCGCCAGCGCATAGAGAAAAGGCCCTGCTTTGGTTTCGGGGCCTTAGGGCTTTTGCCATCAACTTGCCCAAATTCCATGGCAAGTGCACCATAAGTGGTGATTACTACATCGTATTGGTCGAGCTTTTCGGCCTCTTTCTTACCTGTCCCATGGTATACGAGAACTTTAAGCGCATTCTCCTGCTTGACATGGGTAGCAATCTGATCTCTCCAATTGCTCATCACTCCAAGCGGAGAGATAATCAGTGTGGTCCTCGAAGATTGAGCGGATGCCACCTTTAGGTCCGCTAGAATAAGGGAAATAGTCTGTATAGTCTTCCCAAGACCCATATCATCCGCAAGGATTCCACCGCTGGCAAGTGGAGGTGCCTGGTTTGTGACATAACCAGTTGCGATATTTTTATACGCCTGGGCCTGCCGCTTCCACAACTGCACCACATCCTCACGTCCAACCCCCGGTAGCTGTGGTGATTCCTTATCTAACATCCACGCGAGTCCTTGACGTTGATATGGTAACAATTCCGTCGAAAGCGAGGCCGGACACTCCGCCATCGGCATTGCTGCAAGTTCTTTCTCATCAGCGCCAAACTTTTCAACGACCTGGCTCATCTCCCTGGGGTTGAAGACAACGCTTTGGCCGATAATGTCGTCAATAGACTCTTGATTCTTATTCTTTTCGTCCGAATGCCCTCCGGGAGGAGCCATATTAACACCAAAGGCATTGTCCGATTTGTTCCATTCCTCACCCCTTCCAATGTTTTTGTGTGCCCTGGAGCTATTGGCGGCGGCGGCTTTCAATTCCTGCAGCTGTCGCTTCTTCCTGTCGCTGTTTTTCATGAGCAGCTCTGCAACCGGCAGCCCGTGCCTTTTCATTCTCGCCATGAGCTCTAGTTGCTGTCTGGGCTCACTGGTTCCATATAGTTTTAGGCTGATTGGACATTCGTAAACACCCTTGTTTCCCGCTAGAACACCCTCTACTAGTAAGTCCGCAGAATCCTGTATAATTGAATTTTACCCTTTAGTTTCCGCAGCCCCAATGCGCAACCGACGGACTTACTATGTAGGGAGCCAATTTGCTAGCCAGCTGGCGAGGTAAGTGGCCGATTTGGTCGCCCATGACATTGTCGATCCGGATTGCATTGGAATCATAGGGGTTGCCAGGCTCGCGTCTAATGTTCACATATTCTCCTTTGGTCGCCTGCCCATTATAATATCTAACCCCGACTATTTTGTGGAGTAAAATACCTTCTATCTAGTGAGCAGAGTAGAGATTCCAAGGTGTTCAGAGAAATATGCTAACCATAAAGCTCAAAGTCCGAGTAGGCGGAGTCATCTAACTCCTGGGAGGATTCAACAACTGCTGCAGCGTTCGCTTCTTCCTCCAGCTCGGCCTGGGTGTCTGGAAGCCTCTGGCTGAGTGAAAGAAAATTTTCGGGAGGAAGAGCAGGTTGGCTGAGGGTTTGGCTGGGAACGTATTGCCTTGGCGCACTACGAGCCTGCGAGCTCAATGCCACCTCGTCGTCATCGTCTGCGGTCAGGTCAATAAGAGCAGGAGGTTTGCGTTTGCCTCCTCTGGACGCCCCTGACAATGCACGGGATGTCGGGGTTTTTGAAGTTCTTCGGGGTGGCATTACTACTGAGAGACACCTCGTTTAACCCGAGAGAAACAACACACTGCATCGATATGCAGTGCTACGGCGTGAAACGTATTGAATCTACAGGATTCAAGAGCTGCAACTTCGGATCCGCTCAAAGAAACGGCGCCAACGCGCTGCAGCCCCCTGGTCGGGACGCGACCCAAGCTGCTGGGCCGATCAAAACACCGCCAAGACCGCGCTTTCAGACTAAAGTCTCCACACACACCGATAACCTTAAAATCCAACCAGGAAAACGGCTTGCAGTTCTGGCGTCGCGTCACAAGCGGTGCAACCGTCTGAATGCTTTGTGGCCTGCAGACGGCCAGCGGAGTCACAGGAAACAGGCCTCAAGGGTTCGTGTGTCTAAAAATGCATTGTTATCCTATTTGCTGTCACCAGGCTTGACTCAACAGGGGGTCAAGCCTCTGCCAATCAGCCAGCCAACCTGTGCATTTTCCTGCGCAATTTTTTATTTATTTATTTATTTTGTCGTATAAAAGATGCCAGAGACGCCTCGTCTTTCACTACGGGAGTAAATGTGGCCAGTCGACTCTGTCTCTTCGGGCCAACAATGGAAGGCTCCCCAGTCAGTCGTGGATACCGTGCCATTTTGGCATTGCGGGAAGTTGAATTTGCTGATCGCATGAAAAAGGGAGAAATTCTTCCACTCATCTTTCCTCACAATTTCAGCTCTATTTTCATCGTCGTTGCAGTGTTACTTGTTCCATGGCCCCGCCATAATGCTTTTCGATTTGCTAGGCACTTTGCTTTTTGCGTGGTTTTATACTTGAATACGTTGACAATTGTCAATTGTCGTACCCTGGGTATGGCAAATAGCTACGGTGTCGGTATGGGCTTTATATGGCTTACGATTTGGAGTGCAACTCTACTTGTGTTTAGGGACGTTCAAGGGGAGTTCAAGAGGATAGAGCGGACTCGTGAAGTTCGCGAGAGAAGGTCGAATGGTGTCAATGCTGAGGCAAACGGGCACAAGAACCTACAGTTCTGGCAAAGTGAAATATCCTCGCCTGGGAACGGCGGTCTGTCAAAAACCTCGGGCGAAAAAACAACGAACAGTCTTCAATGCCGAGCAAAATATAGATGGCAATCTTATCCTGAGAAGTTCTCGCATCGCTTCACCTGGGTCCTCGACGTCTCGATGTTTTCTTTTAGAGGAACTGGTTGGAATTGGGGTAACCCGACACTTCCACCCTCCGTGGCGGATCCTCCAACAAAATATGTGCTCATGTCGGTTTTAAAGAAAACATTTATTCACTATCTGCGCCTAGATCTTGTCAAAATCCTCATGGTGAGGGACTCCTATTTCTGGGGGCTTGTTGACTCGCCCCATCCGCCTTTCCTTGCGCCGCTCGGCCACTTCGCTGGCTTTTTCGCTCATATATATCGTCACTTCCTTATATATCTCGGTATTGTCTCGTCGCTTACGACTCTCCACGGTTACCTGTGCATAGCTTACTTACTCTTATCTCTCTTCTACGGCTCGTCTACCCGGATTACCGTCCCAATCGAGGCACCGTGGTTGTACCGTGGGCTCTTTGGTCCATTCTCTAGTGTATTCGACTATGGTTTGGCCGGTGGATGGGGCAAATGGTGGCATCAAATCTTCCGGTATGGCTTTGTGTCGCCAAGTGATTGGATGTTCCAATATCTTCCGCGTTTTCTCCGAAAGAAACCTATCTTTTTGTTCCTACGGGCAATGATTGCCTTTATGCTCAGTGGGCTCATCCACGCCTGTGGAAGCTACACCCAATTTGCACCTACACACCCCCTGTCGGGTCCGTTTCTGTTCTTCATTCTCCAATTTCTGGGAATTGTAGCCCAGGGCCTCACATCACATCTCTTGTCGCATCTACCCTTCCCGCTGCCCAAATGGTTGAAACAATGGGGTAATGTTGCGTTCACAATCACCTGGATTTTGTTAACAGGGCCACTTGTTGCCAATGATTTTTCAAGAGGTGGGATTTGGTTATTTGAACCTGTTCCAATTAGTCCACTGCGGGGTTTTGGATTTGGAACCCCCGACGAAGGCTGGTGGTGTTGGCACGGAAAGTGGTTTAGGATGTGGCAAGGAGAGAAGTGGTGGCAGCGCGGGATTCAGATATTATAGACAAAATGTCCTGAGGCGCAAGCAATGTTGCCTCGGACCTTTCTGGCAGATAAAGTTCATTTGGCGATGTGTCATGAGCGCATGCTTATAGAACCATTTTAGTATTATAGTTATGCCACGTAATTTAGACGGATTAGGTTTTTATTTTAAGTCGTACACATATAACCACCTCGGCCAAACAGAATTGTTCCGCGAGTGCTTTTCGTTAAGGACAAGTCTACTATACAAGTTTCGTAAGCGAGGGTTGCTGACTCGACTCTGATGCTATTGCATAGAGACATCATCATCCTCATCGGTGTCTGGGTCGAGATTAAGTTGCGGAATTTCATCGTCAGACGCCATTTCCTCGTCATCTTTGGTGACAGTGCCCTGATGCATCGTCGAGCATATCCTACTTTGAAAAGCATTGTGGTCGCGCGTTTGCTCCGGTAGTTCTAATGTCACCTCAGCGCGTGAAAGCGCTGTGCTGGTTAGCGACGATTCCAGAGCGAGTGGCTTATTATCCAATGGCTCCCTTAGAATAGGAGTTTCACTTGACGTATCTTTCTGTTCCGAGGCCGCTATAGATTGCAAAGGAGCAGCCATCGGTGAACTCGTCTCTGTGCGAGGCTTTTTATCTGGAGAAACGATCTCAGGCTGTGTTCCTAAGGATGGTGCCGATATCTGAGCTCCGCTGTCGGTTTCATGACCTCGCTTGGTACCCCTGCTCTCAAGATCCGTGTCAATGTCCATTGGCTTAGGGATCGATTCCGTTAGCACACTATTTTCAGCCAGCAAAGTCGGTTGTTTGTAAATATCACGGTCCATGGTGCCCAAGTCTTCGCGCTCCATCCTGATGTCTTCTTCTTGGGTCGTGAGTTTTCTTTTCCCAGTACCAGTCACGAGAACCGGCATCCGTGGCCGCAATAATCCTTCAACTTCCAGGTCGCCTATATTACTCCTCGCGAGGAATGGCATGATACTGGCATGACCTCGTTGATTGCTTGTGGGTGGAATAGGATTAAGCACGCTAGCCATCATAAGTTTCACGGCCCCCGTAAGGATCGCAGTTCGATCAATTTCCGCACGTAGGGACAAAGGGATCAAATCTGTCGGAATGCACGTGAGAAAGTTCGCCAACAGCTCGAGGCCAGGGAGTTGGATCTCCTTGGAGTTTGACAGTTTGGGATCTATGGCTTTAGATGTAGCATTGGTGCCCAAGAATGCGTCTGCATTAATTGCAGTTTGGCTTCCTTTGGTCTGAGGTGCCTTTTCGATCAACTGTGTGGGGTTATGTTGGGGTAGTAAATCGGCACACGCGAGTCGTATCGCTGGGGCCAGCAAACCAATTGCTGCTTTTGTAAATGTATACCCAATAATGGGCAATGTAGTTTCTATACACCCGTAGGCGGCTATCCGAACGGCTTTCTTACCGTTTGTCGCGTCAAAGATCCAGAGAGCCTGGTCAAGGCAAGTTTGAGCGATCGAAGTACTCCCAGCTCCAATTGTTTTCACGACTGTAGAAAGCAAATTCAGTACGGAAACATGGATACTTGGGAGTTCGCTGAATAAACTTTCCCGTTCATCCCGGCTGATTCCGCGGTTGATTAAATTTGATCTATCGTCCTCATTTTCCAAGCCGGGAATACTGAGGGAGGCTAACCGGGCTGTTAGGTCGAGAGTATAACCAATAGGAATGGACACGCTCGAATGTGTATGAGTCGATAGAAACTGTGACAGTAACCGCAACAAGCTAACCAGCCGACCACTGCCTTCTTGAACGCCATCCCAACCCTGAAGCCCGAGTGGATCAGGACCATCATCACCAACTGGGCTATTGTAGTCTCTAGATCTTCCGGGTCTGCGTTTTTCAACATCAACGGATTCCCATTGCTCTATGACTGCCCTGAAAAGATGATCTCCCACGCGATGAGCAGATGATATCGTTGACCGGTATGCTTTGACCCATTCGTCTCCAGATGTATTTTTTGGAGCACAGTGATGGAGAGACACGAACAGGCGTTGAGCCAGATATATAAGGGGTTCAGAAATAAAATCATTGGAGCCGAGAGAACCGATCAGAGGTACGAGCAAATCATGCAGCTGGGCAGAGAAAGGCCGGAATATTGTAGGGTGGTTAGGTAGAAGCTCCAAGAAAGAGCTAAATACTGGGATAATCAGCAGGTTATTCTGCTTCAATTTTCTGCTTCCATCGGATGCTGATTTGACTGATATAAGATTCAGGCACGAAGTTACAAACGACGGCAAACACGGGGTTGTTATTTCCCGTGTCAAAGTCGGATACTGGTGGGTAAGTCGAAAGATTCGAGTCAAGGTAATGAGAGCCAATTTTTTCGAAGATGATGGATCTGGTTTCTACAGGTAAAATTCCCCGTTAGCATGTCCAGACTTGGATGTCATATCTAGGAAATACTTACAGCTAGGATAGCCAAAAGCGCTCGAACCCAAGGCTCACAGCCACGGAGTATTTCCCATTGACCAGCTTCAATCGCAGCTTTAGCCAATATAATTGCTGTCCACCGGCCTTCAATGCTTCGGTCTTGGAGTAGACTGGTAATTCGAGCTTTTAGCTTAGTTACCAGTAGCCCAGTATCCGATGCGCCCGCTGCCTTTCTCTGGTGCTCTGGAGTGGACAATATGGCGCTACTTTCTCCTAGGGTCGACGCGAGATACGCTGCCATAGACGGCAGCTCCTCAACTGGGGTTATTGTCAGCCGGTGGGTAGCTGCTCGGAGAGCCATCGTCGAGGCCATTATGGCAAACAAGAACGCTGCCGGGCCTTTTTGTTCTTAGGGCCCAATTGGAGGAGAGCAGGAGTGTCAAGGACGGTGGATATATTTCCTGAGAATAGCTGGAGCCATGGATTGTTTGCGCCTTGGAGATTGGAATGAATGAATTTGGTGCGGAAATTATTTCTTTAGTTAGCTAATTTTCAAGGTTTAGCGCACCCGAAGATCACCACCACCCAACAGCTGCGGCAGCCTTTGAGGAACAACAAAGATGGCTCGAACATGGACTCATAATGACTCCTTTTAAGAGACCCTCCTTTTACTAATCTTTTCCCCTTGGCCCGAAAATGATTGCTACATTACACTTCCAATCCTGTGTTGTATTATATGAGAAACCATGACGGTGCGTACTCCGTATTCTCACGATCCAACACTCCGTGCAACTCCGGCTCTCCGCCCTTGCTCTAACTATAATTTTCTATAAGAATAGGTCATCACCAAAGCCCGTCGCTATATAGAGCTACTGGATACGGCAAGGTGCAATGGAAATTGGCATGAAGTCCCCGATATCCTTCGAAAGATATCGAAACATGCCCCTACGGAGAAGGGTATTGAGTCCCACCGACCCTAAACATTTGGACTCGGAGGCTAATATCGGATCGCTTCAACGCAGCTCTACTCCTAGTGGCGGAAACCGAGTTGCAAATCGTTAACCATGTGAAAAAGCGATCTGAAAGTACCGCTTCTTCCGCTGCGCAGGATTCAGAACACCTCCTTGGACGGATATCCCCTGTGCTATCCGTAATAGAAGAAGGGGCGGATGTCACACAGAATACCTTTCAGGCCCAGGTGTGTCTTAGTTGGCTGCATTGGGAATTATCTGAACCGGAGTCAGCCGCCAGTTATCTGCCTCAGGATCTTCATAATGTCGTCAGTTTGCTCTCGGGAAACGGGGAGGTGTTGTCACCATGGACCGAAGTCTGTATTATGAAGGCTGGCTATTTGAAAGGTATGAACTCTCCCTACCTGAGAAGTAGGATGGCATACTCATGTAGTTATTGTTAAGGTGCTGCCCTGGAATCATTGTCTGGCGTCCAAGTCGCGGTGGAAGCAATGAAACCCCTAGCCGCCCGAGTTTCCATTCCTACGTCGAATGCCCTGTTAAGCCCTCAATATCTGTTCTGGTCCGAGCGTCTTTTAGCAAAGACAGCAGGATGTACTGGGAAGATTGTTACAGCTCAGGGTTCGCAAGTGACGGAATCTACTATCGAGTTCGCATTGCAGTCGTTTCGTGCGTGGGCATCCCACTGTGAGGTGAAGCAAGGTGACCCGGCCTCAACGACAGATTCTAGTGATGCCTCCGCCAAGTCAGGCCCCAAGGCTTCAACATGGCGCGCATACTACGATCTCCTTTCCCACATCCTACAGAAAAGACTCCCTTATATCCCTTCCTCGGAAGGTCCAAAACAAGCCCAGCTTGTTTCCGAGTTTAGACGCGTGGAAACGATATGCGAGAATGCTCTGCTCAGAAACGCGAAATTTCCGAAAGCCAGTTCCTCAAATCATGAGGTTGAACTCTGGGTGGAGCAGGTTGTCCGGAATTGGCAGATCTTGTGCGGTCCGGAATGGCAAGACGCAGATTTCGGGGAAGGTGGACGGGACGCGTTATCTCGTAATGTGCTTGATGTAAGTTGTGCCTCTCGAGTTGATTGCCTGTCTCCTCACTAACAATCATTGATCGCATTTTCAGATCCTTTACCGTGCAGCGACGAAGACGTTCCACTCAACCTTGATATTACGGCGCCTTTTCCAAGTGCACTCGGCATTGGCCGAATTCGACCTTGCTATGAGGGCCCTGGAAACATATATTCACCTTGTTGACACTGCCAAAGCTCGAGCGAAACAAGCTGGTAAACCGACTAAGGAAATTGAAGATGTGAATACCTTCGTCCGTACCTTGTCAGATGGGATCCTATTGGTGTGCTGTTTTGGTACCTACCAGAGAGCCGAAAAGGCTAAGCAGTTAACAAATCTACTCGAACGCGCCTTAACAAGTGAAGGCGATGATAAATGCCCCTCTCCACAACTGAACGGCATGAGCTCGCCCAAGCATACTGAATTATTACCGGTGACGCTCGCCGGCGCATACCGAGCTATTGGTATTGGATTGGCAAATTGGTCAAGATGGACTGCGGAAACGGAAACCCGACGTGACTTACAGAATTCAGCCATATCGTCGCTGGAGGCATCTTTGGCGGAGGAATTGGGCCAGGACATGAACCCGGCTTCTATCTTTGCATTGAGTTTGATGCTTGCAGAGACCAGAGATTTAGGTGGTGCAATTGATCGGGTACGACTTGCTCTAAGCTCCGCGGACGTGATGGGGCATGGGCTTCTGAATTCAGATCAAATATCATACACCGGCGAGAGAGACCTCGTTCCGTTATGGCATCTTCTTGCTCTTCTCTTAACCGCGCGCGAAGAGTTCGAAACCGCTAATCATATTTGTGAAGCGGTTCTTGATACGGTGATGGCAGGTGATACCCACGACGGAAAAACACACGCAGGCGAGCGACACCAGCACGAGAAATATTCTCATCCTTCAACGGATGCCGGCGGCAAGCACAACGACACAGGATTTGAAGATACAGAGCTCCGGAAGAAGGAAAGCATGCTTGAACTGCGAATGACTCAGCTCTCCCTGATTGAGGTTCTGCATGGACCTGAGGCTGCCATTAACCATGCCGAAGAACTGCTAGGACATTTTGGTCGCGTTTTCGCAAACATAGGTTTTTTGGAGCCAGATCAAAAGCAAAAAGCCGAGCACCTTGCCCCTCCGAGAAGTTCAGGTGGTGTTCGCAGTATTCGGGGTAGCCTTTTCGGTCGAAAAAGAGTCCAAAGGGATTTTGATCACGAATATGGCTTTGGTATGGATGGCAGCTCTCCGCCAAGGGATCGTTCCGTTTCTGATTGTTCGGTGGATGGTTCTAAGCCACCCATTCAAGTAACCGATGAAAACATGATTGGTTTTAAAGAAAGACCACAAACTGCCATGACTAGGTCGAGCTCTCTTCGTCACAAGGACGGCCGCCAACCACAAAAGTTACACCGGAGGGAAGGTAGTATCGGCAAGGCCATCCGCCATCGAAGCTTGGAAAGACATTCAAAATCACTACTCCATCCACATAAACCACAGCCAGATCCAACGGCAGCCAAGGTTCAGGACGTGTCAACTTCGCCTCCCTATATGCAATCGCCAACCGCCAAGCACAACGGTTCGGTGTCCGCGAGGCAGAGCTTGCCGCCCGTTGCTCACAACACGAAATACACCAAGGAGCCTCCTCCAATTGGCCACCGGCAACAGCCACCTCTTCAGGATATCCGGCTACCGACCGCTGGTCGTCATGATATTCAAGCGAAAACTTCAACGAGGTTTTCCAAGGACCACATTCAAAGGCAGGCGCTCGGTCTCCTTACTAAAATATGGCTTTTTGTGGCAGGTCTTTATAGGCGCGCTGGTTTATTTGAGGATGCTCTTGGGTCCTGGAATGAGGCTAAGCAGCAGGCGCAACGTGTTGAAGAGCTTGTTGCTAAACAAGAGTCATCCGCAAAAGCGTTTGCCGATCCAGGTTGGGGAGGAGCCAAGTCGTCTGATGAGCTCTGGGCGGATGTCTATGCTGAACGTGGATACATCTCTCAAGCCCAGTCTCAACCCTTTGAAGCTATGGAGCAATTTGAGGAGGCATTAATATACTTTCCGGATCATATCCGGGCGACAGTGGGACTGGCAAATCTCCTACTTGACATATGGGAGCAAAAGCTGCCCACTGAAAAGCCAGAGGTGTCGAGTCTACCTGATGTTTCCAGTCTCTCACTCTCACCCCTGGACGTTTCACTGCATGGAAACGGTATGGCGAAGGGAACATCTAATCCCGCTCCACCACCATTAGACGATAAGGATTCCCCGGAGTATCTCGACCGCCTTGCTGCGCGAGATCGAGCCTATGGTCTGTTGTCTGCGTTGACAAAGCTGGGAACTGCCTGGGATGATTCCGAGGCGTGGTTTGCCCTGGCGAGAGCTTACGAACATTCGGGCCAGATCCAAAAGGCCAAGGACGTCCTTTGGTGGTGTATCGATCTTGAAGACCGGCGACCAGTTCGACATTGGTGGAACGTTGGATCCGGTGGATACGTTCTGTAACAGTGTTTTGCATTCTTCTCGAAAATGGTTTTTAAGTTTTCAGTATTAATTACCATCTAGATTATCTATCAGTGCACCTACTGTTTTCATCCGATACCCATGACTGCGGTATGTCTTTATTATGCGTTTGAGAGGCTCCCTTACGGCCTAATTAGCGAGATTTACCTAGTTCGCAATGGACTCACTTGTACAGAGATTGATCAGCGACCTTAAGAGGGCCCATGGCGCGGTTATATACAGTAATTTAATGGAGTATTTCCTGATGGATTGCTGCTTTGCTGTGTTACAAGTGAGCTATATCACAATTTTAAAATCTATCTCGGTTTCGCAACCGGGTCCCAAGCAGAGTACTTTGGTTTGGTCCTAAATATAAATCATCAGTAAAAGCTAAAGTTTCTGAGTGCCAATATCATCGTAGATAGACATACGTCGAATATGTTTTGAATGCGGCGCGGGATAGTGTCAGGTTCGGTCTGTGTTCGGGGGTTTCCCATGTCCGCACGCCTGTCTGCATGATTTTGTCTTCGGTTGGCGGTTTGTTGACCATGTAAGCCAGCCATCCGTGCCTTTAAATAAATAAAAAAAAAAGAAATTTAGATGTGAGCCTCCGACTTATCCAAGTAGCGAGGAGAACCAAGACTCGTACCATCCGGGCTCGACATGAGAGGCATCAAGTTCCTTTTGCTTGTAATCCACCCATCGTGTTCGGACTGAGTTCGCGAAAGGGAAGGCGGAAACAGTTAGCTAGAGCGTCCATTTCTTCTGTGACACTTGCTCATGGACACATACGTGGTAACTCGGCATTGTTTTCATAGTACTTGTTTCCGTATCGGTCGATGGCGACTAGGGTCCCGGCTTTCGTATCGCCTGCATGGAACAAATTAGATCTGTCAGTCCATTAATCCGGTATAGCACAGTATAATAGAGACATACCCATGTACTATTAATCCAAAACAGCACGGTACGTAAGCGCTCTATCCAATTCGCTCGGTTGGCTCGGATGGGGTTCAACTTCTTCATACCTGCATTTGGTGGCCATATTCCTATTTTCAAACCGTCAGTCAAGTTTCTGAGGATTCAGAGAGAATAGCATACCTTAAATCCTATTCTCCAGAGGTTCCGGAGTGTACGAGTGATTGTCGACATCTTTGCGGCGAAAGGTGCCCTGAATCGACTGCGAGTGACTTTGCAATCGTGATGTCGGCGTCGGTGATGAGCGAAGTACAAGTCTCGAAAGAGTTTAGCGCAGGCCGATCGGAGATCTGATAAGATAAGAGCAAAACTGACGAGCAGCTTCCGGCATTATCAAGGCATGGACGGAATCAATTGAAGAAATAGAGACACGGGTCTAGCCAATTGATAGTTCCCTTGCACTCAATGCTTGCGCCCAGCTCCTAGGAATACCATGTTTAGTCGCATTGGAGGCCGATGCCTCCCATGCTGTCGCCGGCGAGCTCTCCAGGTATCCGTCCGAGTCCGCAAATTCACATCCAACCCAGGTGCCGCCGCTGCTGCTTCTGCGAATCATGCTGCTTCTACATCCCCTCTCGGTGCTTTAACAGTTGAATTGGATCGAATTTCTCCGCGGTTCGAAATTCACGCGTCGCATATCAGGATTATCGAGTCTCCAGAGTCATTCTACAAAACCCTCAAGGTCTGTATTTACAGAGCCTTCACGAAAGCTTGCTCTTTTTGCTAATGCTAATTTGCCTCAAGCATAAAATAAGACATGCGAAACGTCGAATCTACCTCTCTACTCTCTACATTGGCAAAACCGAACATGAACTCATAACTGTGATTAGCGAAAGTCTACGCCAAAACCCTGATCTTACGGTTTCCATCCTCACCGACTGCCTAAGAGGCACCCGCGAATCGCCCAATCCATCATGCGCTTCCCTCCTAGCTTCGCTAGTAGCCGAACATGGGCCTGATCGAGTTGAAATTAGAATGTTTCATACCCCCAATTTGATCGGCTTGAGAAAACGATACGTCCCAAGAAGAATTAATGAAGGATGGGGACTACAGCACATGAAACTATACGGCATTGATGATGAAATAATACTTTCTGGGTGTGAGACCTCTATCCTAAACGGTTTTCATTATGGTGGTATGCTAACGCCCCATTCGCAATTAGAGCAAACCTCTCCAGCGACTACTTCACAAACCGCCTGGATAGATATCATCTTTTCAGCTCGAAACAATTGTCTGATTATTATGGCCGTATACATACGGCTATTTGCAACTTGAGCTTTCTCGTAATTCCCAGTGAAAAGCAGAAATCTGGCTACACCTTGGAATGGCCATCGGGAAATACAGGCCAGTCTCCCCTGGAGCGCCCGGAGGACTTTATTTCCAGCGCTTCAGCAATACTTCCGAAATTGATAACCCCAACTACTTCCACACTTTCAGTCTCTTCGTTTTCAGAAGATAAGACCTACGTATATCCAGTCGCGCAGTTCACTCCTCTTCTGAAGCCAGACGAATCAACAGAGTTTCCCGCCGTCATCAGCATTCTTGGTGCTCTTTCTACCAACCCTGCGTTAGAAAACTCCAAGTGGCTTTTCACGGCTGGGTATTTTAACATCCACCCTGCTTTGTCCTCTCTTCTTATCGCCAGCACATCATATTCCACATCCCCACATACACAGGGCGTCGTGCTCACAGCCTCGCCTTGGGCCAATGGCTTCTATGGTTCTCCTGGGGTCTCAGGCATGTTGCCAGCAGGATACACGTACCTCTCAGCCCGATTTCTTGATCGTGTTGCAGAAGCACAAAAGACAAATTCAATCCAGTTAAAGGAATGGCGGCGCGGCACTGTAGGTGAACCAGGTGGCTGGACGTACCACGCAAAAGGCCTTTGGATCACGCTTCCAAACGAGAAAACTCCTAGCTTGACTTTTGTGGGAAGCAGCAACTATACGAAACGCAGCTACAGTCTTGATCTGGAGGTTGGCGCAGTGGTGGTGACGACGAATGAACAGTTGAAGCAAAGACTGGGAGAGGAGGCGGCGTGGCTTCAAGAGGATGCCAAGGCGGTATCTAGAGAGGATTTTAGAAAAGTAGAGAGACGTGTCGGGTGGCATGTAAGATTGGCAATGTGGATTGTTAACATTGTTGGTGGAGCGATGTGACACATCAGCCCTAGGAGCACTAGACCAAGCGACAAATAATCAAAATAGTATGTACTCTACTATTGTAATATATCAGCATTTTAAAGTGGAAGGACACAGGAATTATGCAGGAATTTATTGGTGAATCAAATTTGCGGGTGACTTCGCTCATTCGCCGCTATGCAAAATCTGGTATAAAATGCTCATCGAAAGTACTTTTTTCAACCATCGACATGTAGAAATGGCACTTCAAGAATTATTGCAAGGACATCTCAAACCCTCCCTGAAACCTTCGCAGGTCCAAGTCCTTGCCGAATTTCATCTAACATTCTCATGCCCGCGACTTCATTGCCATTCTTTCCTCTCTTTCCCTTTGCCCCTTTTCTTTTCGCTTGCTTTCCGCGATCCTGCCACCCGCCCAGGAACTCGTCCATCACTGAATCGAAATCTTCCCTCATTGGAACATTGCCGCTCTGCGAAACCATGCTCGGTGTCTGCGAATACTTGGACATACCACTCATGATAGACACGTCATCCGCCATACTCGAGCCTTCATATTCCTCGCCTTCATTCAACGCATATAAAGCCTCCACCCTCTCGAAGCGATCGTCCAGGAGCCGAAGACCTTCAGTACGGGCAAGAGAGGATGAAGTCATGGAGTATGCGGATGGGTTAGTAAGTGCGCCTTTGCGCTTCTTTTTCCGAATGGGCGTTCCGCCAACTGTGAACAAAGTCGAGGCTGTGGTACGAAGCTCGGAAGCATTTTCTGAAGCATCAGTTGGCGAAGGTCTGGATTTCATATCCTTTTTGTATTTCGCGAAATTCTTAAGCCAATCTCCATCATCATTCGTGGCGTCCGGAATAGGTGCGTCGTGCGAAGGGAGCTCAGACTCCGTTTGAGAAGTGGTATATGCTTTCGAGTCGTCCTTCTTGTGTGATGTCGAGGATGACATCGGTTGGACCGGTGCCTTTTCTGTAGCATCTGAGTCCCATCCTTCATCATCATCTTCAATATACGTATCCCTCCACTCGTCCGGGTCGACCTCTGCATCGATTCCACCTTCCACAAGGGCATCAAATACATCCTCTTCACCTTCCTCGTCTACAAACGCCTCATCGTCAAGAGCCTCTAGAACCTCTCTTAACCTTGGATCCATATCTGGTTGAAATCCGGCTATCGCATCGGGAACATCTTGTTGATCCTGATAGGTGGGTTTTCTAACGTACGATGGAGCCGTTGACAGCATGTCATCTCCACCATAGGTCGAAGAGGCGTCCCTCAGAGAAAGTCCATCGAAATCGCCTTCAAGGCCACTCTCTGCTAGTGCATCTTCCAGCTTCTTCGTTTTGCCTTTGCCCTTCCTAACTGAAGCTTCGATAAAATGTGCCTCCCCACCTCCCTTGCCCAATTCCCGAAGGTGCTGCATGTAATCATACTCGGAATCATCGTAGAAGATACCGTAGTTCGCCGCCTCTCCTTCGTTTTTACGGGCTCCAGACTGGGCAAACTCCCTCTCCAAATCCCCTAAATGTCTTGTAGCTCTTGGACCGTTGGGTGGGTGGGATGGTCCGGAGACCTGGTGGAGAACACGGTCATCCGCCTCAGGGTCGTGGATCAAAGGATCATTCTGGGATCTGTGAAAAAGCTGGTATGTTGTCGCGGTCTTCTTATCTCTACAGGAAGCAACGGCTTTATCAGTGCATATTCACAGGAAACGAAAGGTGAGCGTAAACCAACATCCATCCTCGCTTCGGAGGCATCTTGGCTAGGAATTACGGGCACAAGTTTCTCTTAATGAAGTGGGTCCACAATAATAAATAATCTTGAAAGAAATGTCTGCATATGCTCTCCTTGTCTGCTCTTCCTCTGCGACTTTTTCGTTCCCGGAACTAATATCTGAGAAATTATCGTGTTACCTAACCTACCTACCTATCGTGTGGAGATCACGTGAATTTAAGGTTATCGATAAGCCGATTGATAAGATCATGTCAACCACCACCAAGCATAACTAAGTATGAAAGTACTTATATATATCTAACCCACCAAGCAATTCAACCAAGGATATCCCCAGTGTTAAAGCAAAACAAGTTACAACTAAAACTCCATCTATGCGTGAGCAAGAAAGAAAGGTCTAACATCCACGTAACATCAAGCGAGGTGCATATATCATTAGGGAATAGTTTAACTCAAAAATCATCGGCATCTTTGGTATTGCCTTTCGCTTTTGCTTTCCTTTTTCCTCCTTTGAAGTGTTTCTTGCCAGAGGTCTGTACCTCTGAGACATCAACTCCCTTCTCCAGTGCTATCATCGTTCTTGCCTTCCGTCCGGAAAGCTCCTTATGCCTCTGCTTGGCCCCCTGCTCGGTGTATACGTGATTGAACGGCATCTTGAGGTGACCGGCAGAACCACTCCCACCAGCGGTAAAAAATCCAGCATCAATGTTTCGGGACCGAGCGCCCTCAAATGGTGGCTGGGCCGAAGAGAGCGACATGACATCTGAATTCGTATCCACGTCGTTGCTGTCCGTAAACCCAGACACAGATGCGCTGGAAGATTGGTTAAGCAATGCTGCTTGTCTTTTAGGAGGAAGGTGCGCAAGGTCATATAAACCTTGATTGAACTGCGTCGGATCTAAAGGCACACTGTCTGCAATTGGCGGAGGAGGGTGGCAATAGAGCAGCTTTCCATTTACGTAATCTTTTAGAATATACCTAGCTGCGCGAGACTCATCAGGTTGCCCTTGCCCGGTAGTTGCAAAGCCCCTTGCGCGCGCATATCCTCGGAGAACTTCAGAAGAAGTTGGGATTCCTGTTCCTCCTTCTTCGATGGGGCGCGTGTGGATCTTCATGCCATATATAGCTTCGAGAAAGTGTTTTGGGATCCTCTGAGCAACGAGTCCTGCTGGGCCAGTATACTCTCTCAGTTGGTCGATGGGCAGAACGCCATTGATAACAAGCTCGGCCTTGGTGGTGGCAAAGTTTGGAAACACGAGACCAGGACAATCACATAGGACAAGAGTAGGGGAGAGGTGAAGGGTCTGAAAATGCTTTGTTTTGCCTGGGGTTGCTGACACAGAGACCTTCTTTGCCCCGAGTAAAGCGTTGATTGTGCTTGACTTCCCGACGTTCGGATACCCAACAAGCCCAATGGTGGTGACCTTCTTTGAGGATTCAGAACCGTCAATTTGAGGGTCAGGGGTAGGTGCGGCTTCAAGGAACAAGGATTCGAGTTCGTCAACTGAGAGAATCCGAATTCTCGACTCACTCGGATCAGCCGGGAGAGGAATGCCACCGCTTTCGTCAGTTTCGGAATCGTCATCTTCAGAATTTCCCTCGGAATCGTCTAGAGCGGCCTTACTCGTACGCTTCACTAAATTAGCAACTACTGAAGCGTCGTCTTCCACCCCTTCGTCTAACTTCGCTTCATTTTGCTCTTTCGCTAATGCTGCTGAGAAGAATTTGTAGCTGATGCCCTGGGACTCAAAAAAGTCCGCCCAAAGTTCCCTTTGGTGTGGCGTCATCATATCCGCTTTATTGACTAACAGTAAATTTCTCTTCTTTGGGTCAACTTCCTTCACATATTTTTCCAAGTCTTCTGATCGGAAGAGTAGAGGGTTGCGGGCATCGACAATCTGTACGATCAAATCCGATCGCTCAATGACTCTCCATAATTGCCTCCATACCTCGATGTTTCGCTCGAAAGGCGTCATCAAAAGATCTTGATTTTCCTGCAACTCAGCCAGGCCTCTCCTCCATTCAATGAAATTTTCTCTTTCCATGATATCTAGTTGCTGTCGTGTTGTTTTCGAGTTCCATTTCGGTCGTCGCGGCACCGTCAGCCGATTTTTATTCCGCTGATGCTTGCTTACAGCTGTTCTTTCATCTGCAGCGGAAAGCAGGTAGGGATTTTTCTGGTCGGGGTGGATAATCTTGACGTTATTCATCTTCTCAGCAGTGAAATCCGTTCCTGCAAGCTCCGCCGTGCTGAGGAATTCATCTAGCGCAGCCTGCTCCGTAATGCTTCGCATTTTAACCCATGATGCTTCTTCTGTGGGATTCGTGATGTATGTTTCTCCTCCCGGGCCCGTTCGTCGAATTGCAGCAGCGTTGTATGAGACCTTTTTCCGATCTGAAGCTTTGCCTTTGCCGAAACGGTCATTCATCAGGCTGTTCCCCAGCCCAACGGCATTTCTGGATTTTGGGAGCACCATGATGATCAAGTTAAGCTCTCCAGGCAATCTCTCTCGTCTTTGGGTGCTCTGCTATGAAACAGACGAGATTTGAAGTCCCAGCACAAGGCGAATATTTCGCCCTTATCCCACTTTGCTTATTAATACCAGTGGAGCCTCTTATCTTATCGGTTTTTAGCGCCGAGTTTAATTTATCAACATTCAACAACTGACGGCTTCATGCAGCTTTTGCTGGGAGAACCAACAACGATCCGTTGTTTGAAATCCAACTTTGAACTTGCCACTTGTGATTTCACCCGGTGGATTGAAGCCCTGACTTATTATCACACCAGTACGGAGTACCTACTCCATACACCTCTTCCCAAAAAACCCAAATCCCATACCAAGACAAGGAGAGTCAGCTAGGCAGGCTTCGTTAAAGAAGCAAAGAAATAGGGAATATGGCCAAGTTGCGAATTTTTAACCACTTAGGGTAAACAATCCTTCTATTTCGTTCTCCCAAATTTGATACTCGTCAACCCTCAAAATTCGACATGGCCAAACGCTCACGTAAGGACTCTCCACCTGAGCCATCCGAGCTCGCGCCTACTTTTGCAATCGAGTCGGAACCTTTGGCTCTCGCCAGCCATTTGCCTCAACGCAAGCATGTGCACTTGGATGCGTCCGTGCAATCTCCAGAATTGATACGCTGTGCTTTCCCTCCACACCGGAAGCCCGTATCTTTTTCGACGTATGAAGAATACGAGATTCACTACAAGCAGTCTCATGTCAATCGGTGTTCGGAATGTGGAAAGAACTTCCCGTGTGAGTTGTTTCTTGCTCGCCATATTGAAGAGAATCATGATCCGCTTACTGCTGCGAGAAGAGAGCGGGGAGAGAAAACGGTGATGCTTTTTATCCTTTTTCACATTAGTTCCTCTAATGTGGAGATCCTCGCGAGACTATGAGTTACTGACTAGTTTTATTGTGCAGTTCGGTTGTTTTGTGGAAGGCTGCGAACGGAGATGCTCTACACCTCAGAAGCGGAGAATGCATTTGATAGACAAGCACTCCTTCCCGAGAGTGAGTGCAATTTCTACGGCATCTCTTAATGAGAAACACCGTCAACTGTTTCGCTAACTATCACGGCACAGACCTATAATTTTTACATCATAAACGACGGTATTGATAAGCATAAATCACTTCTCAAGTCCAGTTTGCCACAACATAGACGAGTCTCGATACCGGCGTCTACGCAGCATGAACCCCCTCAACGAAGGCTTCAGCCGTTCGAATTTATGAAAACCTCCACTCAGGCCACCCCAGCTCCCGCTGAACCTCCATACGTTCAGATGCCCAATAGCAAAACACCGAATCCCGTTACGTCAAACCATACATCGCCTAGGGATCAAAGTGAAACCGTACATATATGTACCTCCGGCCATGATGTTACTGAACTCACAAACTCAATGTCAGCGCTAAAATTTATCCCGACAAGCGTTCTACTACGGCAAGATAGGGAAAAATCGAGTGCATCTTCGACAACGACCTGAAGACCACGATTATTCCTTTGGGATTCGTTTTGGGATTCTCGCTCAAAACACTACCTAAAGGGAGAGTTGAAATATTGAAATTGAATTATTCACTACTTGGGATACAAACATCAATGGGAAATCTGCTCTCGCTAGGTTAAATAGTACGAATACTTTGTCAACTGTCCCACACAAGTGAACCAAATATCGTACTATCGAGAACATAAACGAATTCCCAGGCTATATCCATCTATGGAACCTCGAAGATTTCCTCTCCATATTGACTAGAACGACATACCAAAACGGGTTATAAAGATTTTGTGTACAAAAATAAACGCCAAAACACAACGGATATCATGAATTACCCAACTCATGAATATCAAGTATAACTTACGCGTGACTCGCTTTAATGTATAAGGCTAAGTGGAAAGCACTTCTGACTTGTCTTCTATAAAGAGATGCTCTATGCGGGAAGAAAATCGGATCAGGAAAGCGGCCCCATTTCCAACAAATCAGCATAAATCTCCAAACTCGAGCCAATCAAGTCAACAATCGGCCAGCTTGTATTCCCCTTGAAAGTTCTAGACCAGACGCGTACGACGGTGAGACTCAATTGCTTGACCTTTACCGGATCATTTAAAAAGTCCAACTCAGACGTGGCCTCCATTTCGACAGACATGTCCGTCTCGTCCATCATACTTTTGACCCAAAGCACTAGTTTCCTCTCGTGGTCCGAAAGCGGCTGCTCCGACTGCGTTGCGGGAATAGAAAGAAGCCATCGACTTAGCAAAAAAGCACATTCAAGGCTACATATAGAATGCTGGATACTCCAAAAGAACGAATGTGTTTTAGCGACGAAGTTTATGCCCAAGCGAACCGGGATTGAGAGCGCGTGAGCGGAATGTAGCAGCGCCATTATGAGCCGAGGATGGCGGCCAACCGGCGGGGAGTTTTTCAGTGCCTGGGCTATTTGCAACGGATCTTGGGTTACAAGACGGCGGCAAGGCCCGAGATTCACGTGAAGCCTAATATATGCTAATCCAAGAAGGGCGGTGGAGGTGAATGCAATCGGGCCAGCAGGATTTTGAGGATCGATGCTTGACTCAGGAGTTCGTCTCCACCCGGCTTTCCACGCACTTAGCGAAGCTTCTAAAACGCCAAGATCTTCTGGTCTGATGCTCGTTCCCGGCATCAGAGGCGCCGACAAGCATAATTGTCTTGCGAAAAATATCTGTTGGATAATGGCATGGATCAAGACATAATTCCCTAGTGGTGAAATTGGGTTATAACCATTCGATTGAGGCGACTTGATAAAGAGCCTTGCAAATGCCTCCTGGAATGATATTTCGGTGCCAGCCCGAGAGCGGTGCAGCCGGCGCCAGTGAGAAGCCGTGGCTGCTTTCCATTCATCAGCCGGCGATGGCATGATGAGCTTCAATTCGGAGTTCAAGATTAACGGCGGAATATTATACATTATAGAGTGAAGGTTGAAGAAGCAATAGACAATTAGTTTGGTTCGACGATCCGCTTCTTGACGAGCCCAGTCTTCCCAAGGCGCCGTTTCAGGAAGAGGACCAAGGTCGGTAAGTCCATGGTCGCGAACAAGTCGAGCAAGCGTGCTTTGCAAAGCTAGAATCTCTCTTAACAATTCCGGGTGGCGCTCCCACGAAGCAAAGACGGTAAGAAGCAGAAACGTGCGTATGATTTCCATCTGCGCCTCGGAATCCTCGCCGGGATGTACCACATTATCTGTCATTGGGATGAATGGTGGCTGAAAAGGACTGGTGCTTGGGTTAGATATGGAAGAAGATCCGCGGGACGTGTGCACGGCAGAATTCGACGTCGGAGTGACAAACCATTGAGGTGGGAGTTTTCTAACATCGCGACGTCTGATTCGCTCCAGGAGGATTGCTTTTGCAGCATGGAAGAGCTCGATACCGCGGGTATTTTCAAAGCGATAATGTGAGCCTGCTGCTGCCAGAGCAAGGCTGAGTTCTGGAGGAGAACGTGAAATCGAAAGTGTGGGGATATGCATAAATGGAAGATGCTCGTTGAGTCCATTAACATAACCGGCAAAATATCGAGACAAGGCATGCCTTGAAGGGGGTGTAAAGCCTTTTGGGAGGACATGAGAGAAGTCCTCTAATCGGGACACCAGAAGCTGGCGGTCTTGCGTTGACACATCCCAGGGTGCCCTCGTGGATAGCTCTTCAGGAAGGCCTCCTCGTTCTTCTGGCTCCTGTGGTTCAGGTTGCAAAGAAGGTAGTCGCGATCCAAAATTTGAAAATGATGTCGCCTCCTCAGTGTTGTGACGGTGCTCTACCCCAACGTCCCTATTAAATCTCGGTGGACTAGCAGGCTGTAAGGGTATCACCGGGGGTTGCAGAAGTGGCTCCGCTTCAACTGCTGTGAACATTCCAGAATCCCAGTCTGAGGCCAAACCGACGCTTTCCAGGAACGTTGTGAAGTCCTGAACAGGGTCGCCTAAGTCTGCCAAGTCAAGAATGGAAGGTTCAACGCCATAATTATCTGTCATTGGCCTATCATGCGCATTCGATGCTGATTTTCGAACCTGGACCATTTGCTCTTGCTGACCCTCAAGTGCGACATGGCTAGCAGCATGAGAGAGTAAATTCAGATCGTATCCCCACGACGGATTATATTGAGATTGATCTATTATCTGCGGAGTGGCTTCTGATATATCCGATCGAGACACGGCGGGAGGTTGGATGTTCAAACGATCCGACAGGTCTAGAAGGCGGTGGTCATGGGAAGGGGCCGGGGGCGGAGCGGACGGTCCCGTAGATAGAGGGGCGGAAGCAGGCGTCGTAGGGATCTCAATTGCGGTTGCGGCGGGCCGGCTCTGGCCCCTGGCAGCTGCAGCTTCGGCCGGATGAACCAAGCGTTCGTGGCGCACCAGGAGGTCACTGGAGGACAATATGAGCTCTCGTCCAAGCGAAAGAAGCTGCCGACAAACCTTCTAGCAAAGCTCTTGGAGCATATTTCACAGGAAAAGGGCTTTTCCTTTGTATCTACAGTTGGGGATCAGGTCAGCTTATAGTCGCGGAAGAATATTGCATGAGCTATCAGGTTTTGGGGTGAAACGGGTAACTCAACGTGTGCGGAGATGTCGTTGGAGATGTTCCAGGCGCGCAAACGGCCTGCTGCAGTATTCGCAAGTCAGATTTTTGCGATTGGCCGTTGTACGTTTCTTCTTAACTTTCCCCGAAGCGGTGCGAGTCTCGTCCATTTTCTTATCTCGATTTGCTGAATCCTTCTCCCCAGCTTCCCCTGCAGTTGAGCGGAGAAGCTGCGATAAAGGTGAGGGGTTGGGGCGGAGTCCACGCGCCACTGTCACGTGCTCGGCCGTCCTTGGGGCGTCGAAGTGCGGGGAATCAACGCAGCCGCCGCCTCCCAGACAGCACAGGAACCGCGCTCTGCTCTTTTGGCTGGTGGTCTGGAAATCAATCGAAGGTGTCCATGTCCACCATCGGTGATCCAGGTACGGAAGGCTACCATGTTTCCCGACCCTTGGAATGACCTTTTGATCCCTGGAGAATCAAGTTTCTATTTTTAATAAAGGTACCCTCAAAACCCCGCTTCTCCGTTCCCTTACTCTTTTTGCCCTGAGAGCTTATGTCTCTTAAAAAAGGCATCCAAATCCCGTAGCGCGCACCCGGTGAATTGTGTCATCTAATAGAGGTCTCTCAAAGGCTTCGTTGAGAATTACTCTGTACTGTATTTTGGGGCATGTCCCTGTGTCGTTCTGTATTTTCACAATACCGCAAATAGCCACGAAGCTTGAGTCAATGCTTTTGCTGTACTTCGCTGCTCTAGCCTCCACTTGATTGTTCTCTTGATACTTCTCTATTGGTGTAAAATTTGGCTTTTTGAGACCCGCCCCGCGCATGGACAGCATCGTCAAGAATATGCAACCTTACGGCTTATTGCAGTATTTGCTGCTATTATCAAAAAAGTTGCCCATCGCCTTTTTTTCGCAGACTATCCTTTAGGCAAGACCTCAAGCAAGGTGGCGATATACGCGAGATGCTTTTTATCGCCGTACCTACCATCAAGACAAGGTAGCAGATCGAAAAGGCGCTTTCCTTTGGGATCCCATAATTGCGCAACTCAACAAAATCTGGGATCGGGCTTTTCCGTGTTTAGAATTTTGGTTTGCCCACTGCATACCCTCGGAAAAAGTGCGCGCGCACAATGATCATGGTTGCCGTTGGTGTAGCCTCCAAGGATGAGTGGATGTAGTTTAGAGGAGGCATTGGTTACGACATCAACATCGAAAGTAAAGACGTAGTGAACAGTTCCACTATTTTCATCTTTTAATCTAAGATACGAGCAGTTGCGAAGCCCCAGGAGGTGGCCCTCAGAAGCCGGTAGGCAAGGCTGGCGAAGGGAATCAGAAACTGAGAGCTTGACTCACATGGAGATATACTTCGCAAGGGCCTATGGATCCTCAATAGATGCGCCTGTTGAGATATCCTACAAAGGAGACCGACGCGAGAGAAAGCACTTGCTGGCCAGCCGGTGCCACCTGCAATAACTTTCAATCAGGGTCAGTGCTACTTGAGTCATATTGTGGGTTCATGGGGTACGAAAGAAAGGACAAAATATACCGACCCCCCCGCAAAGGTTGAAGTCCCTCGCTAGTATGCCCATCCCGCCGCAGCGGCCGGCTAAGGTTGATAAAGGTCCAACAATACACCTCTCCCGAGGCGACGTGCAGTCAGCGAGGGGAGCATGTGATGGTCATTCGCTGCTCTCCGCCATGTATAAACCTTCTGGGAATCGCGGGAAAAGCATTATCAAACAACCTCGTGTTTGAATGCCTCCCTTGACTAGGGTGACAAGCCCGTCCTAAGAGGCCCGGCAAATGGAAAATTTTTTTGCGGGGGGACCTTCAATGGATGTATAGTCTAGACCACCGAAGAGCAACGAAGTCCGGTCACCAGATATGATACACGGGGTGTATCCCACCGCGGTGTTCCCAATGAACTTTGTAGTGAGCAGACTTTCGGTGACATGCAATTCTCCCTTCACAACCATGCCATTCGCCAGACTTAAAAGGAGATATCCAGGCATCAGACGGCACTTCTATGGTCAGAATTGCCCAAACAGCGGAAGAAGGTCCACATGAAGGATGAGGAAGCTGCACACCTGATGAGCCACCTGCGAATCAAGGGGTTTTATACAAAGTATGCTATTAGAGAATATCCATATGTCTTTCTTCCATAGTAACATTCAGCATTTGCTTGTGTCGCTGGTAATGAGAGAGAGACACTGTGGATGTTAGGTACCTTGAGCATGCTGCACACGCATAAACTCTTTCAGCAAGCAGAAGCAGTTACTGCTTCATGGTAACCAAGTCTGAGACATCAACATGTTGAAATTCATGCACGCTTCCACTTGCAGTCATGAGCAAACACAGGCCAGGGTCGGATGAGACTCCCTTGGCCTTCTTCTTCTGTTTTTTTTTTGAAAAGTTCAACCGTTCTTTTCCTTTTCTTTCAGGTTCAAGGCCCTGGGTTGTATCTCCTGGGCGAGGCCATGGCAGTGTCAAACATCTCTAATCCTATTTCGTTCAATGCAGAAGAGGAGCAGAGCGCTCACGCATAATGGTTTATGCCCAGGGCGACCCCACTGTACCAGAATTAAATCCCCTGTTGATGGAGGGCATCTGGTTAACAAACAGAGCAGAACATGGAACAGCCACGGTACTCCGCGTTAGATGGGGCATTTTGTAAGGGCCAGAAATAGACAGATTGCTCATTCCCATAAAAATTTCTGGTTGAAGGATCGAAGTTGCTTTGAACCAATGATGCCTGGTATAGTCATAACAGTTCCAGCGCTTAATTTTGGTCTTTGAGCGTGGATGCGGAGGAGAAAAATGAAAATGTAGCTTGTACCCTGACTCTGGAACGGCGTTGCATGACGATCGCTGCAGCAAGATTCGTTTCAAGGTCTGGGCCTTGGGGGAACAACTCAGCATAGCACTTTGCCATTGCGAGTCTGGCTGACGGTGGACAAATGAGCAGAAACATTTTACTCACCAACTCGTTAACTGTTAGTTAGTGGTTGGATACATATGTAGCGTCGAGGGAGGGCGTCCATTGAGCGGTGCCTCACGACAGGCAGTCCAGCCAGTCGCCGGCAGAGAGCCGACGGCTGATGGCCGAGGTCAGCGGCAATACCGTCCATTCTTGGGCCACGGTCGCCGTTTGCTCGCTTTCGGAAAATATCAGCGCTCGTCGCCAGAGAGCGGATTGCAGGGTCAAGATCACGGTTGTTTTAAGGCGAGACCCAGGGGCTCACGGCCAATCACACTGCGGATTCTGTAACAAGCTAGGGCGTGGTTGAGTTTCGGAACCGCCCAACTTGGCCTAACAAAGCTATTCTTATCGCCAGGGCTCCTATATTCCCACCACCCACCGGCGAGGCTCCTCCAGCGATCCTAAGGGAGGTGACATCTGAGCATTCGTTCTCTCTTCTCTTGTTGTCACTCATCTATCCGACGCATCCTATCCTACACTGCTAGGGTTGAGCTGAGAGCTGGCCTGAGGTGCTGAAACTCTGTGGAACAGCCCTCGCTCGTCTTCTTTTTGCCCCCGAGGACTCTTGTCTCATCCAAGGTTCACATGAAACACGATCGCGCTCCGACCTCAGCAAGTTCCCCAGTTTTTACGTTGTGAAGTATAAAAATTATAAAAAAAAAATATATAATTAATTAAAAAACGAAGAAAAAAGAAAAAAGCGCGCGTTGCCCCGCCGGGTTCTTTTGCCTTTCGTTTCTCGTCAGACGGATTTGTTTCGTACAAAGTCCAAGTAGGTCTCGGCAAGAAAGCGGCCGTTCGCCTTTCGACCTTTTAGTAAGGACAAGAGGCACATCCGAGTGTTCTGAATTTCTCGAGAGTCCTTCTCACCTGTAAGCTCTTCCATGTATCTGCCGTTTTTGTCATGAAAGCAACCACAGCTAAGGTGTTATGTCTAAAAACAGCTCCTTCAAACATTTCTTCTCCATCAAATGACAAAATGAAAGTATTTCGTTCGAGATTCCAATCTCTCTGAAACTCCAGGAGCCAACAATTGCCCTATAATCCCCCATTTCCTTGTCTGCCATTCCGGTCAGATCGAAACGTTCGTTCGTAGCGTCATCTTCATGATGCTAGGAACTCAAAACCCCTACACTGCCGTTCTGCCTTCCATACCATCAGCAATCTCGAGTACATATATGACCCTGCCGGGTAAAGGCCAAGCTGGCTCAATGTTGAATCGGGAAGGTGTGTTCTCCAGCCCAACGGAGTCTGAATTCTCCGAAGGCTGTGATGGATTCGACTCGGTTCGGTACGACGCCATGCCCTCGTTCTGTGACCATACTCCCTTTTGACAATCGACTGATATACGTTCACGTAGGTTGTGGGACGAGAAAAAGGTAGCCGACTGGCTGCATAGCATACGCTGCGGACAGTATGAGGCTATATTCAAAGGTACTTGCCTAGATAAGATGCCTCTATTATACGAATTTGTGCCGCTGACAGTGCAAATGACTTTAATAGCGAATCACTTCAATGGCGATAACCTTTTAGACTGTGATCAGAAAATATTGCAGGAGATGGGAATTAAGAAGGTTGGCGATCGGGTCCGCATCTCTGTAGCCGTTAAGCAACTAAGGACCAAAAGTGTTTCGAGCCGAAAAAAGAAAAATAGAGTGAGTTGGTATTGCCAGATCAGCAATTCTTGTATATATATGCTGACGGATTAAGGACTCTTTTGTTGCCTTGGATTCGTCGAGATTCACCCCTCCCTCTGCCGAATCGCCACGCCCCTCTACGGCCCGTCAACAACCGTCCAACAGCCGCCAATGGCCTCGTCATGAAAACGGTAAAGGCTCGCCGAGAGCCGCATCGCCTCTCACTGAGCATGATCGGGGATTGCGGCCTTACCGATACGCTGGCGCAAGCCCCGTCGAAAGTGCTCGTCGAGAACAAGGCGGAAGCTACTTCTCCCGCCCCTCAGATCCTTCACAGAGCTCAAGGGCAGCTGCGCACATGAGACAAGCCCCAAGTATCGATGGACTTACCATGGGCGCTTTACCTCCAAACTCTCCGGTCATTAGAGTCATATACACTGGTGGACAGACAAAAGTACTTAATGTAAAACATTGCAAGACCGCGGAGGAGGTGATGTTGGCCGTCCTCAGGAAGCTGCTGCTACCCGAGAGCCACTTCAGAAATTATTGCTTTTATGTTCTAGACGGTTTGGATCCAGATCCAGCAAACTGCAGGCGAATATCAGATTCGGAGTTGCTCCAGATATGTGACGGGTCTGGTCGATCCGAGCGCGGACGTTTAATACTAAGGAAGCTCCATGCTGGCGAGCCTGAGGCTGAGGAGCTTCAGCGCGCTGCTCAACTTGCAATGGATGAGAACCAAGTAGCCCACATGAATGCGCTCAGCACTACCAACGTGAGGAACCAGATTAAGCTTCAAAAACTAACCGGTGAACCATGGCATAACATACGGCAGCCGCGGTCACCGTTAACAGCCACCGATCGCCACAGGGACGATTATCCAAAGATAGCTACAGCCAAAGCCGGTGATCGTCAGCAGAGCACGAAATTACGGTCCTTCTTCGGTGCTCGCCCGCCAAGTGAAATGATTATTCACGAATTAACGTCTTATTTCCCAAGTCACCAGAAGGAAGATATCGAAAAGACAATGCGCCTATCAGTGAGACGGTCTCAACGGCTTAGCCGCGCTGCCAGCCGCCTGAGTGTGGTGAGCAACATCAGCTTGGCATCAAGCTTAAAAGACGCACCGCCTATTCCGAGCATTGCTGATACGTGGTTGACGGGTGCCGGGCAACAACCAACACGCGGCTCGAGGCCCCTTTCAGTATCCCGATTCAATCTTCCTCAGGCTTCATTCCGTGATTCTATAGCCTCATCCAATTTGCAACCGTTACAAGAAGAGTCTCCGGTAGAACCCAATCGCAAATCTTATGTCTCATTCGACAGTGCATCTGAAATTGCAGGTGGAGAATCGAGGCAAGGTTTCCTTGATGAGTCTATCTGCCTCAATGCTCCGGATACCGGGGGTTCACTCAACGAACGCCTCAGTATAATTGTCGCCGAAGATGGTGAGGAAGATGATGATGGCTTAGCCGATTTCCTTGCCGGGAATAACTTCAGCAACAAGAATTGGATGAAAGGTTCTTTGATCGGTGAAGGATCCTTTGGCAGCGTCTTTCTTGCCCTCCATGCGATTACGGGGGAGCTCATGGCTGTGAAGCAAGTCGAACTTCCGTCGGCCACAAAGGGAACGGAATTTGACAACAAGAAAACTACCATGGTCAACGCCCTGAAGCACGAAATTAGTCTTCTTCAAGGCCTGCAACATCCGAACATCGTGCAATACCTTGGTACATCCACTGACGACCAGTACCTGAATATTTTCTTGGAATATGTTCCAGGAGGTTCCATTGCGACCATGCTTAAGCAATATAACACTTTCCAGGAACCTTTGATCAGGAATTTTGTCCGGCAAATCCTAACGGGTCTTTCATACCTTCATAGTCGTGACATTATCCATCGAGATATCAAAGGTGCAAACGTCCTTGTTGACAACAAAGGCCAAATCAAAATCTCAGATTTCGGTATATCCAAACGTGTCGAAGCTTCGAATATGCTAAGCGCGGGAGGCTCAGCTCGTCATCTGCACCGCCCGTCCCTTCAGGGAAGCGTGTACTGGATGGCTCCCGAAGTCGTGCGCCAAACAGCACACACTAAGAAGGCAGATATCTGGAGTCTTGGCTGCCTTGTTGTCGAAATGTTTATTGGTGCCCATCCTTTCCCAGATTGCAGCCAGCTCCAGGCAATATTTGCCATTGGAAATAACAAGGCCCGACCACCACCGCCGGAAAATGCCAGCAAGGAGGCCACAGCGTTTCTGGATATGACGTTTGAGATTGACCATGAGAAGAGACCCAGCGCAGACGATTTGTTGAATGACCCATTCTTGGAGACCATGATTGGCTGACGGGCCAAGCTGGCGCTGGCTATGTCTACTCCCTCCTCTATACTCTCTACATGCACCTAATTTTGCAGTTATTTTTTCGTGATAATGTTTTGAATGAGCTATGTCTTGCATTTTAAGCCTCAAATTTTTCACTTCATGACGACTTCACGGACAACAGTCAAACACAAATGTGCTGGAACTTTATTGTTTCCCTCCCTTCTTAGACACATGAGGCATTCAGTAAAATTCTTGCAGCTTGCTAGGAGCACGTTTCAATATTGCTCTGTTGGCCTGTATGTATGAATAATCTCTTTATTGTAATTGCTGCTTTTCTTGATACAGAGATAAGTCTACGCTCATTTGGCGTAAGAGCATTGTTCCGGAGAAATGACAAGAAGTGAATGTCAACCAATCTATTTTGACTAATATTGTACATAGACATGCATGGAGGCCATGATGTTGCTAGAATACATCAAGTACGTAAACTCAAACCCAAGTTTCCTATATAACACACGTTCCGAGAAACATTTGGATCAGATACAGGCCATTTAAGGCTCCGAACAAAATATGGTTTATAACTGTGGTTGCCGCCAAGAAAATGAGGGAAGAGCCCGAGTAAGCTACGCTTGGGCTTCTTAATCGACATATTTGCCATAAAACGGAATTCCCATGGCGTTGAGGAGTAGTCTGGCATCTTTATCCATCCGAGCACTAGTCTGGATGGTGACATGACAACCTGGAATCATTTTGGGTGGGTACCTTGAAGAAAAATGGGTAAGTTCCGTGGGCAATAATCCACAATGGGAACAAAAGACGATGGGATGTTTGGTACTCACATATCATAGTTCACCTCAACTTCAGGGAATAGGGCTACCATATGCGGCTCAAATCCAAGGGTGATGTTACCACTGCTATCACCGCTGCTTCCCTTGACACCCTTCCAGTCCTTGATTCTCGGCATTACAATATCCACGAGTTTCCCAAAGAAGTGATACATGTCCTCCCCACGGAGTTCGACTGTGGCGGCGACGTGAGATCTTCCAGGAGCAATACCCCATTTCGGTACACTGGTCCTGGACTTGTGCGTCTGTGCCCTTACATTGGTGATGGCCTGAAGCACCATGCCAGCAACGTGCAAATAAGCCGACCCGTCAGTCGCAGCTTGTTTTACATAACTGTGGACGGTGATCTTTTCGAGTTTCGGGATATTTCTGAAAGTAATCGGTTTGCGGAGCAGGCGGAGGACATCACCACCTCTAGGGCCACGGAGAGATCTGTTCTCGTGATATGGAGAGCTATCATCCCAAGATCGAAGACGTTCGGGCTTTGGTGGTGGCTTGAAACCCGGTGGGTTGTGGACGTAACAAAGGGTGAGAATGTCTGGAGCTATGGTCGACTCGTAAGTTTGTTCGACACGCGAATTGGTGAAGGGGCCTGGGACAAAGAGGCGGGATGAAGGGTCCCATTCTGGGGGAGGTCTGTGAGGATGAAGAGGGCCTTTATCGTATTTCGGGGAGCGATATTGGTACCTGAGTTCGAAATGTAAGGATCCCGTAAGAGAATGCCGCTAGAAGGAGGAACGGGTCAAAATCACATACCGGCTTCGAGGTAGCTGCTGTCGCCGCGTTCTGCTTCTCGAAATGGGGTCGAATTTCTTGACTGTCTCACTGTCTATCGTTGAGCTTTCAAAAAAGGAGTCACTGCCCAACTCGTCCAAGTCATTCGCAGCGGGAGGAATGGTCGGTGCGTTTGTGGAGGCATTACGGCGCAAGGGGGGTAAGGGGGAACAGATTGATGGCGTGACACGACGGGCCAAAGCCCTCGATAGCTGACTTAATAGCTCATGGAGCGCCATGGCTGCAATTGTTGTGACTGCGGGCACTGCTGCTCTCCAGCTTTTCATCTTAGAAAGGAAATTTTGCAGTCCAACTTCAATATCACGTGGCTGCACGGGTTGCATTTTTCTGACATAAGCAGGCACTGATTAGTCAGTAGCCTTATGCGGGTCTGGTGTGGATCCTTCCCGGCCAAGGAAAGCTAAAGCATCGAGCGGCGGGCTGGTTATGTAAGAGGGGCAACGCTGGCGGGCGTTTGACGCGATCATGAGTGCACCAAGAGACCTGCTGGCACAAGGCAAGCCGGTTGTTAAGTTGTTACCTAAACTGCTGGACGGTAATACTGATATATTTTGCTTAGTTTCTTCTCCCATTCTCGTCTTTGTGACAGAAACAAAATTTGTTCAGCTGCCGGGACGCGGCTTGAAATTCAATGCAACTCCGGGGTGTTTGACCGTCGTATACGGCGGTCGCTAGATTATATCTCTTTTGACAGCGGGCCCTCCACGAAGTATCAACCCTTTTGAAATTGATATCTGCATCGTGCGAGAATTTGTCAGCCTTTTATTTTAGGCATCTGACTTCGCCCTGCTGAGAGACGATCCGCTGACCTAGCTACCGTTGTGACCAGGCAGCATCCGTTTGGCTTCGACTTGATTGATCAATAAGAACACAGCGCCAGCCACCGTTTTACCATAATTTACATTATAATCTGGACAATTTGGAACAGTATTACAGTATGAGCGGTAGCATCCATCGATTCCTTTCAAAAAGGGAGAGGCTTCGTCGACGCAAGGATCTCCCTGGTTGGAGATCAAAAGCTTCCTCTATGGTTCGTAACCCGGTTACATCCTCCTACATATGTGAACGGAATACTCTGCCCTAATATTTATCTTGCTGTGAATATATAACAAAGTATTGGATTTATGGCTGAATATCTTTGTCATGCGTTAGGCATCCTCGACTGACGTTTCTACGATGCAACCTTGGAGACTGTTCTCAGTCAGCCAAAAGGAAGCAGATGTCAGTGGAAACCAAACTAAAATCACAAAGCAATTGGTAGGCTCTCCATCCCTCCTAATGTCCAATGTCGTACTAATTTTAATGCTAGGTTTCCAGACTAGAACAGCGCGTCTCAGCTTACGGCCTACCAAACCTAGGGAAGCAGCAATTTCAATATGCACTCCAATCCAAACATGCGAACGGAGATGTGGACAAAGCGTTTGAGCTTATAGTTATCATTGAAGATTCTATTGAAGGCATTCTTAGAACGTACAGACCGAGTACGAAACTGCTGGGGGCCGAAAACAGAGAAGGGGTGACCTGCTATCTCGATGCCCTCCTTTTTGCAATGTTTGCTCGTCTTGATTTTTTCGAAGGAGTTCTATATAACACTTTCGATGATGATCCCAGAAGGAATCTTGTGGTTTTACTGCGGCTTTGGGTAAACATGCTACGATCAGGGAAATTGATCACCACCGACATAGTAAGTATAGCTAAGTCTTCATACCATGCCCCGTTACCTCGAATATTATAATCCCTTGATTCTAACGACCGGCGTCGCCGGCCCTCTAGACAAAACAACTTCAAGAAGCACTAGCTGCATGCGGCTGGACCGATGCAGCACTACTGCGGCAGCAAGATGCATCGGAAGCATTCACCTTCATCACTGAGAAGTTAGAGCTACCATTAATAACATTAAAGATGGATATCTTTCACAACGGCAGGGAAGAGGCGGGTGATGATCACAGATTTATAAATGAACGCCTTCTAGAAGTTGCCATTCCTCCACCGATGGATGACAACCCCGTCACCTTAGAAGAGTGTCTGGAAGCGTATTTCAATAATCGAGTTGAGGTCAAAAGATTCCTTGAACGCCAAAATACATTGAAATCCATCTCCTCGATGGATTCCATGTCAAAGGGATATGCTTCTCACGTGGAAAGCGTCGAAATTGACTGCTCTACAAATTCCTCTCCTCAACTGCTTGACTCCAATCTAGCTCCTTTCCCTGAACTTACTGAAGAACCGTCTCCACTACCCAACTCCGTAAGCTCTCCTATACGTCCTCCAAGAGCACACCGAACCCCCAGCATCGTTAGGGAGCGCTTTTTCCCCGATGTTGATGGTATCAGTAGCGATATTGAAGAAAGCAGCTCCAGGAGGCTGGTCAATAGGCATAGAAAGGGAAGCGTTCGAAAAGAAGTATTGATGCCTGCATGGCAAATATTTAGCTTGATTCGTAAGCAACCCGTCTTTTGCATATAAGCCGGCTGCTCTAACCTATTCGATAGCCTGGTATACGGATAGCATTCCTACAAATGTCGCCGAGACAGCAGCGCACTTCTCAACGAGACGGCCCATATTAGGCATGTGCCTAAAAAGATATTCAGTATTGCCTGACGGCAGGGCCATTCGGTTGGATACTCATGTCGACGTTCCTACTGAGATTGGCCTTCCTCACTTTATTAAAGACGATAATCTGGAGGACGGTGCCCCTCTGTACGGGAATTTCAAGCTTTCTCTGCAGGCAGTAGTTTGCCATCGGGGAAACTCGGTCGATTCGGGCCATTATATTTCCCTAGTCAGGGGAACCTCCCTGACCGACTTGGGTTGTTCATCGAGTAGCTTTTCGCTAAGAGACGATTTATTTTTGGATCATAGCAATTACTGGTTGCGGTTTGATGATATTGCTCAAGAGCGTATCACACTCATTGATATCGACAAAGCATTGAGGGAAGAATCTCCATATCTCCTATTCTACCAAATCCTTCCGATCGATGCCGACCCCGCTGAATTAATTCCGCCGCCGTACGAAGAAACCGATAGATACAGCGGTTTACTGTTCGAGAAGGGCATATGTGAAACTTTAGATTCGAGTTCGGACAAAGATCCACAAGAGCAAAGTTCGCGGAATCCATTCGCTACTCTCACCAACCGGGTGTCGGAGGAGACACACGTAACCGCAGCGTCCTATAGCCCCCAGGAAGCTTCCAAAGATTCCCGGAAGAAAGATCGATCTTCTTCCTCAGAGAAGAAACTCAGCGCTGCATTCTCATATCTCTCACGCCGGAAGAGCACTGAGCCCCTTTCGTCAGCGCAAAGCTTGGAACGTGTGAGTAGTGTGCAGCAGAGGCACTCGGAAGATATACCAAGAGATGTTGAAAGGATCATAGGTCCATCAGCGTTGAAGAGGGTGACTCAGCCTGATAGGGAGTGTGTGGTTATGTGATGAAAGATACGTTGACTTCAGCGATACCCAGCTAACTTGGATAACTCACAGAGCTTTGGAGATTTTTATTGGTGTTATTTATCTGCATCACAGGCATAGCGTATATTAGCAATAGAATTTAGAACATGCGTTATACCTACACAGGGCCTTTTACACCTATTAAACACCCTCACTGCATTGAGGATGTGCTTTGGTGTGCCTCCCCCAACTAGGCTCGATCCAAGGGATTGTTTACTAAGTTGGTTAAGTCGGCATTTTAGGAAACACATGCCCTACCTTTCCCAAACACAGCCCCAAAGGTCATTGATTATGTAAGGATAGTTAAGCTGCGAACGTCATCAGGATGCCCAGAGCCCACGAGATATACAGCCACCGCTGCACCTCGCAATGCTATAGTGGCTCCTTATTTCAGCGCATCAATGGCGCTGGACGGATCTAGCGGCTATGCTGCGTCCGGGAATTTGGCGAAGCTGACTGAGGCGTCTCTACCGATGTTCAACGTCGAACAAGTTCAGCTCGCGTTCTCGGTTGCGGCGGATTTCGTCGGTGCTCAGGTTGCCAACAATGTCATAATCCTTGCCCTTGCTACCGGGAGGATACTAAGAATCGACTTGAATAGCCCAAAGGATATAGATGGTAAGGTGGCATGCCCCGATCTTTAACCCCAATCTTGGACCGATGGCTCATGTCAACTACCTCTAGATATCGATCTGCCTAAGAAGTCCTCCGAGGTTGGTGTCATCCGTCGCATGTTCCTTGATCCTTCAGCGTCACATTTGATCATCACCACCACACTTGGGGAGAATTATTATCTTCATACCCAATCCCGACAACCAAAGCCCCTGCCACGGCTGAAAGGCGTCTCTATTGAAAGTGTAGCATGGAACCCTGCGCAACCAACAGCATCCACCCGAGAGATTCTAGTCGGCGCGGCAGATGGAAATATCTATGAGGTGTATATCGAACCAGCGTCAGAGTTCTATCGCCGAGATGAGAAGTACATGCACGGGGTATACAAACTTACCGGAATGGCGGTGACGGGGATCTGGGTAGATTTCGTTGCTGGTAAACAAGATCTCCGGCACGTTGTCTTGTCCTCAAATGGAAGAATACTTTACTTTAGAGGAAAGGTCGGTAGGCATGGGAGAGAAGGAGGCGGCTCGTTATACGCAGATTTGTTCCAGCGGGAAACGCCACTCGTCCATGAGCTATCCTCAGCATCTTTGTCCGCACCGTCTCTTTTAGCTGTCTTGCCTGAACCTCTTGATTGTACCCATGGCGAAGAACCGTTTGGTGAAAAGCATTTCGCTTGGCTCTCCAGTCAGGGTGTCTTCCATGGACCCATTCCTAATTTATGCGCTGACCCACAAGTTGGAAACCGTGTATTTGATAATGCGAAAATGATTTCTCGCTCAATTTTACCTGCCACGGAATCCGCCAGGGGCGGGAAAAAGCTCATTCAAGACCCAATAAAGGGAATGGTCATGACGCAATGGCATATCCTCACCCTAGTCGAAGGCCGCATCGTCGCCATCAACCGGCTAAGTGGCGAAATAGTATACGACCAGGCCGTACTTGAACCAGGCGAAAGCTCCCTGGGACTGGTTTCAGATTCGAAGAAAAGCACTTATTGGCTTTTCACTGCGAAAGAAATATTCGAAATCGCTGCCAACAACGAAGACAGGGATATATGGAAAACATTCCTCAAAGAGCAGAAATTTGATGCTGCCTTACGATATGCCCACGACGCAGCTCAGAAGGATGCTGTTGCTACTGCTTCTGGTAACTATCTAGCTAGCAAGGGCCAGTTCCTTGACGCTGCGCAGGTTTGGGGCAAAAGCAGTAAACCTTTCGAGGAAGTTTGTTTAACGTTTATTGACAAAGGAGAGATGGACGCATTACGAAAGTACCTGTTGACTCAAATGTCCGTATATAAGAGTTCCTCAGCGATGCAACGGACAATGATAGCTAGCTGGCTCATCGAGGTTTTCATTTCAAAAATGGATTCCCTAGATGATGCAGTCTTAACACGGGCCGAACTATCAGAGGGATCCAATTCTGTGGAAGCGAAGAACCAGCTACAGAAAATCAAATCCGAATTTCAAGCTTTTCTATCAAAATACAAAGCCGATCTGGACTCTAAAACTGTCTATGATATTATCGGGAGCCATGGTCGCGAAGAGGAATTGCTGTACTTTGCAATCACGATCAACGACCACAACTTCGTGTTATCCTATTGGGTCCAGCGCGAGAAATGGGCTGAAGCCCTAGATGTGCTGAAGAAGCAGACTGACCCGGAAGTCTTCTATAAGTACAGCAGCGTCTTGATGACGCACGTTGCTACAGATCTCGTCGATATTTTAATGCGGCAGACGAACCTTGACCCATCCAAACTCATTCCGGCCCTTCTAAGCTACAATAAAGACACAAAGGTTTCTCTTTTGCAAAACCAGGCCGTTAGATACCTTAATTTCATTATCAACAACCACCCCAACCCTTCGGCAGCCGTGCATAATACCTTAATCTCCATATACGCCTCTCATCCTTCCAAATCGGAGGCCGGCCTTCTTACCTACCTTGAATCTCAACCTATATCTCCGCCTCCATATGATGCAGATTTTGCGCTGCGATTATGTATCCAGCATGGTCGCGTTCAGTCCTGTGTCCATATTTATAGCATGATGGGTCAATATCTCGAGGCTGTGCAGCTAGCTCTGAAGCACGATGACATTGAACTAGCAGCACTTGTTGCTGATCGGCCGGAAGGAAATAACAAACTACGGAAGAAGCTCTGGCTCCTTGTTGCGGAAAAAAAGATCCACCAACCGGGGACTGGAATCAAAGACGCGATTGAATTTCTTCGTCGGTGTGAACTCCTTCGCATTGAAGATCTCATACCGTTCTTCCCGGATTTTGTCGTGATTGATGATTTCAAAGACGAAATTTGTACCGCTTTGGAAGATTATTCTCGCCATATCGATTCTCTGCGGCAGGAAATGGACAATTCAGCCCATGTTGCTGATGAAATTAGAAGAGAAATTGCATCTTTGGGCACCCGGTATGCAATCGTCGAGCCGGGAGAGAAGTGCTGGATATGTTCGCTGCCAGTGCTCAGCAGACAGTTTTTCGTGTTCCCGTGTCAGCACGCGTTCCATAGCGATTGTTTGGGGAGGAAAGTGATGGCTGCTGCCGGTGCAGGGAAGAGAAAACACATCAAGGATTTGCAGGCCGAAATGAGTAAGACGTCAAACACCGCTGCGAGAAGGGAGCAGGTTATTCGGGAGTTGGATGGCTTGGTCGCCGAAGCTTGGTGAGACCCTTCTCTTTCCACTTGCTGCTAAAATGCTAACTTATATAAATAGTATTTTGTGTGGTGATTATGCTATTAAACAAATTGATGAGCCGTTTATCACCGCGTCGGATGATAAAACTGAATGGTCACTTTGAACAAGTGCCTGGATGGAGTGATTCTATGCACCCTTTGGATACTGATACGTTTACTCCGTACATATACCACATTAGACTCAAAATTTGTGGAACGTATAATAACATGATAATGGAAATCTAAGTTTCCATCTCATAACAAATTCAAACCTCATGCTCAATATCAGCTACACGAGGTACCTTATCAACCCTCACCCTCGCAAAGTCCGCAACAAGCTCAATCTATACTGTCCATCAGCAAAATCCACACGCCCCTGGGGGGAAGGATTCGAAGCCTTCGGGAACAACTTACACACTGATGCACCTTCTCCACATCCTCCATACTCACACCCACCCTCCTCGTCCCTCTCAGATGCCAATGCGTCTCACTTCTCAGGTTCTGAATCATAATACCCGACAAGACGACCAATTCGGTCTCAACGTCATCGATGACGGAGTGGTCGGAGAGGTAGAGGCCGTAGGTGATTTGGTACGAGATCCATGCGAAATCCTTATGGGAGGCCAGCGCGTCGTTGATGGAGAGGATGTTGTGCTTGTAGATGCGGTCGAGCCAGGCTTTGCCGCGGGCGTGGTTGGCGGGCCCAGATTGCCAGTGTTCCCTGGTTGATATGCGGGTTAATTGTAGATCTCTTTGTTTTCTTCTTGCAGGGTGGAGAATATCGAATAAGTAACGCAAGACGGATATCTGGAGGGAAAGAGAGAGATAGACAGAGGGGCACACGTAGACTTAGTACGAACCTGGAGAATGAGTAGTCCTTATCCTCCGGCCTTTCAATCTTTGATATGCCGAAGATTACTTCTAACGGGCGACACACCCCGATGATGGAGACGCATTTCACCAGCGCTTCTCTCAGGCGTCGGACCAGCTTCTGACGGGCCTCGGGTGTAGAATACTCAGGCTTCGAGATGAGATATGTGTATAGCTGTATGGCGAATTCCGGCTGGCCGGAGCCAGGAAGAGCAGCAATCTAATGGAACCAGGAAAGCATGGGTGCAAGACGCGCTTTAGCAAATGGCGCGTGGTAGTTCAACAATCTACAAGTATTACTGGGTGTGGTTCATACAGGAATGAGGTACCATCGATCGTCTCCGAGCGTAGCAGAGGGGAATTTGTCCTCGATGGCTTTGAAGAGGGCTACTGCGTCTTCGGGAGTTCGTTCGGGTGGGTGCGGAGTTTCTGCCGTGAGCTGGGACATTGTGGGCTGCGAAATGTATGAGCTGTTGGGAGGTGATAAACCCAAAGAACGGAAAGAGATACGAGCAATAGTGGCTATGGTTAGACTTGGGGGAAGTTGGATGGTGTGACTGATGCCGACCTCTTGGGATCGTTGGTTTCGGTCCAGACTGGTGTAACGACAACACGTCGCGGGGGAATTATGAAATCGACAAACTCAGGTTCATGACTGGAAACTGGCTCCCGGATCATGGAAAGTTACCCGTCTGGTTTTCGAAGTACGGCGGGTTCCGATTGTCACGGTTCCAGCACTGCACTCATTGTTTGGGGAGGGTGATGCTCTTCATCGCGACAGCCATTGATCCTACGTGACCCCGACCCAGTATGACGAGGAGATTCCTATTATAGTTGAGTGTGCGCTTCAGTCTCGGGGTATGGGAGCACGATCCCGCCGAAAATGGCTCTTTCTCGGGCCATTGGGGCGGCCGGTGAGTGCTCTGCTGCCACCCTTCGTCTAGTAATACCCTTCCAGCAAGGAAAAGAAAATACGTATATCCCATCGAGGCCTTTGGCGATCTGGGCTCTGCACCGGAGCAGTTAACGCCGCTGTACAGACTCACACCAACGGTTCCCGTTTAACTCGTTCTTGGAGCATGTGGTTGATCAACCCATGAACTTTGGCCAAGTTTCAATACAATAGACAAACACGGTGTTGAAAAAAGAAAAAAAAGAAATTAATTTGATATCAAGCTAAGAGCCCGGTGAATATTCCTATCAAAGGCCGCATGCACGGCTCGAGAGTCCAATGCAAAGTTCACAGAGATGGGAGACATGGTGTGATCAGATGGCAAAGCTGCACAAGATGATTTTGCATCACTCTGCGACAATGCCCAATGGGGGTGGGACAGTATGCATAATTTTTGCTCGCCTTTCCATTAGCAGCAGAGAAGTTCCAGCCACTGGATCAGAAGATGGTGAGGTCTTTGGGTCGGTGATCGATAGTCCAACCCCGCTTGGAAGATCAGAAAATTGTTTGGCAGGTATGATGCACTGTCGCGCAAGCCTTCTTGAGTTCACGGGTCAACATCCAATTGAGTTCTACCCGCGGTGGTTGCGGTAGTGATGGTGGGTGGGTATTTTGTTTGCTGTGCAGTATGGAGTACTCCAAACAAAGAGAGGATAACGAATATGCTTTCCGGGACCCTTTGCCGGAAATCTCAATGAGAGAGTAATATCCAACCATGTGTTTCTTTCCAATCACTTGAGCATCAAGCATGCAATGGCCTGCATATCCCAAGGCCCCGAGGATGGGTGGTCCGCCACAATCATTGGCTTCGCTGCGCGGAGGAAAGCAAGGAGTGATCATTATGCCAGAGAGATCCTGAAAAGCGAGCCACAGGCGCCGAAGGAGGGTGAGGACACGAGCAGCGCATTCCGAGACCGGGCTGAAATGCCTTGCATACGTCCAGATGGCGGTGAGGTTGGAAAAAGGGAGTCGAAGCAATGAGATCCTACCATGCGCTAACAATTCCCGCATAGACATGCAGAGGTGTGCATATTAACTACGACGTACAAACACGCACAGCACGCCATGGTGCGCACCGATGCAACTGAAATTGGGGGACAGTTGTTTTTTATTGGACAAAAAGGGAGGGAAATTTTGGGGAATCCAAGCCCCCTGCGCCATCAATTTTGGACAAGTGAATGAGGGGAAATGATACTTTTTCCCACAATCGAGGGCATGACCCTCTATTTTTCTTTTTTACAGAAGAGTTACCGCGGGTCAAAATCAATGGAAGAGTACCCGGACGGTTACGCTGAGATGGTTGATTCAGAAGAGTACTGTTCTCGGTACAGAGGGCGCTCAGCTCGTGGCCAGAAAGTTGGAAAATGGACGGTCCGGCCCGGTCTGTTCTCCAAGAAAAAGACTGGGACTTGCGAACGATTGATTGAATCTGAGACTGCGGAAGTATCAGCGTGCCCCCGAAGGATTGGATGTGAGCGCTTAAACGACCGGGAGGAGGGCTGCCAACGAATGATAGCTGCATCACAGTCCCAGAGACTGCAATCGGGACGACTCTTCTCTGGATTTCCTGGCAGGCATCAGCAGCGCGGAGTTGGCTGGCTCGAGATGGGTTTCAAGATTTCTTGGGGTGATCGGTGGTGGTCGTTGTGGGATGGGAACCTCGCCGTTGCAACTGTCGAACCTGATTGCCTGAGGCTTCAAAACTTCCCCCCTCCCTTCTTCTCAACGAACGACGCGGGCCCATCTGCCTAGACGGTCGATCGCCTGTCAGGTCGGACAGCGAGCTCCATTACATCATGTGGTAACTGAGAGACGCACTCTAAATGGGCGATAGCGCCAGGTACCACCTGATTTTGCGGAGAAAGCAACTCCATCGCAGAGTGACGAATGAGGCTGCGCATGTGGCGGCGTGGTCACCGGTGCGCTGACTCAGCGAGCTAGACCGGCTCCAGTTAGCGCGGGCGTAGGAAAAAGCCGGGCATGCGACAAAGTCCGGTTTTGGCGTTTTTTCGTCTCGATGAAGCTTCCAGGCCATTCTCCCGCCCAGCTTGCCGCCGGCTCGTCATGCGCCTCCAGCCATCAGCTCGCACGACAAAATCCGTTTCAAGTGCCGTGTATCGTGGGATGGACGGATGGATGGATGTATGTACATATGTATGTTTTACTCCGTTCTCCGTGGGGTATATTATTATTATTATTATTACGACGGAGTAAAATTATTATTTTCATGGCTTTTTTTTACCCTGGCTTCAATGGCTGCGAATGGTCACAGCGCCGGCGACGGTTCCTCTCCTGGTTCCCCCAAAAGGAGCTTAAACTGCAGCCAGCGTGCGTGGAACCCCGCCAAGCCGAATTGACGGCCATGCACGAATTAGAGACTGAGCTGGGCTACGGGTTTCAAAACGTCGGTCGAATAGCGAGTCACCAGCAGGGATCACCTGGCACCCCCCGACCCGAGTTTTGACCTCCGTGGTATGTCCCGAAACAGCTGTATCTCCGTATTACCGGTACCGGCACTTTTCGAGGTGGGAAGCTTTTCGCTGGTGATCCTGCTCAGAGTTTCGAATCCAATCACCTGCTCAAGCCAACTTGGCCGAAACAGAGGTGCAGATAATATTGATTGTTGTGAAAATGCGGGGTCGCGGCAAGAATTAACCTTGGGAAAATCAAAGACGATCAATGATCATGGGATGCCTTTTTCCATGACGATGGCGGTGCCCTTGTTCTTTTTTGGTTCTGGGGAGAGAAAGGGAAAAAGGAAGGTTAACGGAATTCAAAAAAAAATTTAAAATTGAAGATATGTACCTCTGGAGCGTTCATGGACAAGGTCAGATGCAGGGAGCGAAAAGGGTGGTTGTTGGCCATGTCAACCAGGTTGCGTTTCGAGAAATCCTGCATGACCCGGCCAGGCTCAGTTTCCTTGGGGACACGTAAGTGGTATGCGGTAAGTGACCGTATTGATACGCCTCAGCAAGGTTAGAGCGGCATATTCGCCCGCAGCTAGCGGTATTACGTGCTGTCCTGCCACGTTGACCTTGCCGTTCTCGGCCAAGTGCGGGGCGTGGAAACAAGTAGATCCACGCACTTCTCCGTCCTTCTAGCGCCTTCCTTTGAGTGGACGTCACCAGCAAGCGGTACCTTTGGGGTACTGCTGCGGTGCCCAAAATGACGCGCCTGGTGTTCGTCTTTCATAGGGCAGGCCGGGTATCCGTCAGGTATTCCTAGGCCCGTCACTCCCGCCCTCCCATTCGACCACGGGGGGGTTTTCTGCACACCGCCCGTCAAGCGTGCACTGACTAGCAGGCTTTACGCCGTACCAGCAACCAAAACAGTCATCCATCATCGTCCTGCTTTTCGCCCCCCCTTCACAACCTCACCTCAACCACTCACTCTCCCATCTCCTCACCTCGCTAGTCGCTGCACGCCCCATCTGCCGTCCTTCTTTCTCCTTCTTCGCTACCTCTACTTCTTTCCTCCTCTCTTTGTCTCCCCCTGTCCTCCACACCTTCCCACATCCTTCCGTTCACGTAATCCAGCTTCTTTCGCCGTCCCATCCTCTCTCTCATTCTCCCGTCTTCTCTTCTTCTCCCCCCCTTTTTTCTTGTCACTTCTCTTCGTCTGCTCTCCCCGTTCACGATCCCAATCCCAATCCTCCCGCCACCCGCCTCCTAAATCCCAGGATGACAGTGTGTTGGTAGAAAGACTAGAAAGCCGTCAATTCTACAGCTCTGATCTGTTCGCTCGCAAGCTCCTTTCTTCTTCTCTCCAACGCGTTTATCCTCTCCTCTTCCCTCGATCGATCAACCGACCCGCTTAGCTCTCTCCTGGGACCTCGTCCTAATAACGAAACGGTCTCGATCACCATCACAACCCCTTTCCACCACCTGTCTCAATCCCCCCGGAGCCCTCGCCTGCGAGTCATTGCTCCTGTCTCGTCATCTTGTTCAACCACTGCCACCTTTCCCCAGCGACTGAGCGGATAAGTGGATCTGGACAGTTGGCGGACAGTCATTGCTCCACTGCTCGAACCCGTTTCATAAAAGGCCAGCCCTTCCCTTTCCACCACATCGGCACGTCCCGCCAAGCTAGCTCCAGACCTGCCAAAAGAAACAATCTTACGATAGCTGTTGATTTTGACACGTTGACGCTTCGTTTTGTTGCCCCGACGAAAAGGGCATTTGATGGCCTTTGCCACTTGGAAGTCGTGACTCATCCTCCAAAGCTCTCCTGAAATTCGGAGGTCCACCTCTCTTCCGCCCTCCTATTTCACCAGTCCCGTCGTCCAAGAAGGCCTGCTACCTCATACAGCTCTGAACCCCGTCAACATCACCAGGGCGCCCATCCACCTTGTGGACTTCACGACCTGTAACGAAGCGATATCCTTTTCCTGTTTTGCTCGATCTCATCCAACCTTCTGGTCCTTCTTGTTTATATATATATTGTCTCTCTCCTCTTTTAACTCATACTTTGGCCAATCGAGGCTCCTTTTCTTTTACAAAGTCCAAATGCAATTATAACGATCATTAATTCCGTCCTTTTTCTTCGGTTGATTTCCGAGGGTGTCGTTCCTCCCTCTCACCACACGGTCCGGACGGCGGTATTTCTTTTGTATTCCTTCTGACATATTCCGAACGGTTTTCGAAACTTGCATTCTATGAGCATCTAAATCGACAATACGGTGTCTTTTTTTTTTCCTTTTTTTCTCTTTTTGTGCTTTTCGCGTTTAGCTTTGGGTTTGGGGTTGCTATTTCCTCTCTCTGTCTCTCATACGCACCAAGAACACACAGAGTACTCGGCCAGCGGCGGAGGTCACACGTCCTTTAATCTCTCTCCTCGATTTTCTTTTCTTTGTTAGAACTGACTCGCTCCTTGATTGCCCTTACACTTTGCCGAATATGGATTGCTTGCGGGACAAGTTTGTTCAAGGACAGTTGTTGGATGGTCGATTCCTCACGGTCACCCCGCTCAACCATGGTTCCTTTGGAATGGTCTTCCTCGCCAAGGACACCTTGACCGGAGAACAAGTTGCTATCAAATGCTTGACCAGACAGGCTTCATCAGATTCTTCCGATCTGACTGTCGACGAACGTTCCGAGGAGATGGAGTGCCATGCTCGTCTCGGCTTCCACCCGAACATTGTCAATATGATCCACTCCTTTGAAACCAGGTCACATATTTTCTTGGTACTTGAATACTGTTCGATGGGTGATTTGTACGAAGCTATCAGGGTTGATCGTGGTCCCTTGGAAACCGAACATGTCCGTGACTTTATGCTACAACTTATTGGCGCTGTGGAGTACATGCATTCCAAGGGATTGTATCACCGTGATATTAAGCCCGAGAATATCTTCCTGTGCCAGGATGGCTCAATGAAGCTGGGTGACTTTGGACTTGCGACGCGTGCCAATTGGTCTTTTGAGGCGTGTGTGGGAAGTGATCGGTATATGGCTCCTGAACAATACGAGCCAACTGCAGCCGGGTATTCCCCTGGTCAGGCCGACATTTGGGCCATTGGAATTTGCCTTTTGAACATTTTGTTCTCGAGGAACCCTTTTGTTACGCCAACTGAGTCCGACGTTCTCTTCGCCGACTATGCTCGTGATCGCCAGTCGCTCTTTGATGTCTTCCCCAATATGTCTCAGGATACCTTTGAGATTTTGACTCATTCTTTGGCCATTGATCCGAAAAAGCGATCTCTTTCTGCGATGCGCGAGGCCATTGTTCGTGCTGTCTCCTTCACAATCGACGACGAGACTCTGGACGACTATTGCACCGAAGACCGGAATGTTGTCCCCGCAAGCGGCTATCGTGAACCCCTTCGCACGCCATCAATCCAGAGTCCTCAGATCAACCAAGGCGATTCTTTTCCATGGGCAAAAGCTCTTCAGTCCACTCCCCAGCAAGCTGTTCGTCAGTTGTCCGCGATTCCCGACTCTGAAGTCTACACGGAAGACCTTTTTGCAACATCGGCAGACGAGGGCATGTCATGGTACACGGGCAATCACGGCTCGGCGTCTATGGTATCCACCTTTGATTCGAACTTTGGACCATCATTCAAATCTATGGCATTGCCCAAGGATCGCTATAGACAGTTCGACAAAGCTCCTATCAGTGGCTCTTTGCCGGAGCCTGTTGGTGTTCCCATTCCTTCCATGTCCATGGTGTTTGGTAAGGGTAATGACGAGCAAGTATCCAAGAGTTGGAGTGATCTCTGGGATGAAGATCAAATGGAGAATGAGGCCCTTGAACTTCACAACCGTCAGGCTCACAATGCGCGTACTTGGAGTCAGGAGAGCAAGGACGATGAGCTTGGAAAATCTGGGTTGACAGAGATCGACCCTACTTCTTCCGCTCTCAACTCGCGTTCGATGATCCCGAACGGTCAAGCCAAGAGCGTTCCAATCCCCAGGAAGGCCGAAAATTTCCGTGGCAACGATTCTCCTTGCCCTGGCAGTTTCACTCCCTCTAAGTACGCTCCAAAGCAAACGATCATGGACAAGTGGGCAGCCTTGGGCCAGAAGAGACGCAACTACCACCCGAAGGGCCAGCAACCTCCCCAGTGGAAGGCGAAGCAGATTGTCAACCGCAACTGGCGCAAGGATGCGGGACCCAACTCGCTCGGATCCGAGAATGAGCCTTGGATTCGCAAGGGAAGCAGCCCGAAACACAACCGAATCCGTCAAAACCAGCATCCACAGTCGCATTTGCTGAGCAAAGACTGGCGCCACGACCCGTTCCAGACGATCAAGCCGAAAAAGGACTCCTGCCCATTTTCACTTCATGATAGCTATCCCGATGATGAATTTGATTTTATTGGTGGATGGCAGGATCTTCATATATAAGTTTCCCATTCCTGGTCTCTCCTTGTTTCTTTTCGTCGTCAGACGACCTTTTTCCGATTCCTCTCCTGACACATCGACTGCTGCAGCCTGGTTTCTTTTCCTTTCTTTTTGTTCTATATCATAACCAACTTTGGAAGCATTCTCTCCTCATATATCTCTACCGCATAACCTCCCGCCCAAGCTTGGTGCACCGCTGACCATGTGGATTTCTTTTGAGAAAACAAAAATACAAAAACCCCCTGTTTGTTCTAGACTGGAAAAAAATGCGGGTGTGGTGTCGTCTACATTGAAGTTTTGTTTGTACTATATGTGGCTGTCATTATCAAGATACACGGGACGGCACGGCACGGCGAAGTTGGGAGGCATCAACGGAGATTTGACAATTGGGTACCTTGTGGTGGCGTTTTCCCTTTTTATTTTCAATTCCCTTTTCATCGCACAGCGTGTTTGAAGTTATATACCTTTGTTTTCCTACGATTATTATTATTATTATCATAACACCAGCAGGCATTGCACAGTCTTCGAGTCGTGGAGGAATTCATCTCCCCTTTTTTTGTTGATGCTAAGAGGCGGATATGCAGCCCTGGGAAAGGGGAGTCTGGAAAAGAAGCTTGTGCCAGCGAAGGCTTTTGCAGCCCTCATATGGCAGCCACCTTTATCACCGCTGAGAAAGGTGGAAGGAGAGTAAGCACCAGGACGGAGCTCTGGGTGAAGGTGTTTTTGTGTTCTGGCATTCGTTCCTCGCCCTCTTTTGTTGTTTGTTCACTCGCTACACGGTAGCGCTTTCAGATCTAAACGTTGGAAAAGAAAAGGAAAAGTAAAGGGAAAAAAAAAATGTGTACTCTGGGATCAAGCAGCCTTGGGGACTATCGTTTTGAGAGGCTGCTCATGTACTTTAGTAACATTGTGAGAGTTAGATCTGAAGCAAGAGAAAGGGAAAGGAGTAGGAAAAAGGAATATAAGGCATTATTCTACTCGGCTTTTTTTTAATTTTCCTTTTTATTTTTTTGTTTTCTGGCCCATTTCGCATCACGGCAGTTCGTAAGGAGCAAAGGCACTACCTGCAGTGACACTCGTTTCATGTACCCCAGTCTCAGTCTGCGGCCGTGCGATCCGGAAGCGTTGTAAGTCCGCAACGGCTGTTAATATTATCCCAGCCAATAGCTCTTGTTGTCTCGATCCAATGCGAGACCCTGCGAAAAGGTTGGGCGAAGCTTTAATAATTCCGCGGGTGAGTCTTCCAAATTTAGGGATCTGGACAGCTTGGTCTTTTTGTCCTTTTCAGCGGCCCTTAATTCTTTTTTTTCTTTTTTTTTGGCTTTTTTTTACTTTTTTTCGTAACCCGTCTTCCCTCATGGCTTTCTTTTTGCGGGCTGACCCCAACCGTTTCCACGAACGCAGGAGAGAGCAGAACAAACCGTTTGCATCTGAATTCATTATATCCTTGCTAGTTAACTAGTTGATAACCATTGATTACTATTACTTGATCGTGCTTTTGTAAAATATTTTTCTATTCTCCCTATTCTTCAAGCTCTGTACTTTGTACTCCCGTAGACCTCTTTATCTCCTTTGCCTTGTTTCTGTGTGGAGACGCTGTTCCCAGCCTCTTCGCATCGGCATAACGGTCGCCGTTTGATATCTCCGACGTTGTCCCTTTCGGCTCTCTCAGACTTGACTTCTGGACTTGAGCCGTCCCATGATTTGCGCGCGCTGTTAGGCTTTGCTATATATGGCCTTGTGAAAAGCGTGGAAGCGAGAATTTCGATTTACGCAGTTTTGGCAAATGAAGCGCCACGCCACACCGGCTCAACGTGAAAGGGCTTGAGCGGAGTTTTTGGCGGAGGACCATTTTTCTTTTTCTTTTCTTTCTTTCTTTTTTTCTCTCTCTCCGTGAAGGAAGTGCTGTGTACCTGGAACTGGGTTGGTAAACCCCATTTTGTTGATGATTTTTCTCTCCTTTTTTCCTTTAATGATTATGATTGAAATGTGAGTCTTCTTGGATGCCTGCCCCGATGACCGGGATGCCGGCTCCCCCCCCCCTCAACATATGACAAGTACAGATTCTGATCGCTATGACTACTCTACAGGACCGAGTGACGTCGTCCTTCGCGAGTTTGATCTCTCTCTCTCACATTCCTTCCTCCCCTTTCGTCACTCTATGATCGTCGCGCTATAGACCACCCATTTTCCCAGACGATACGCCTCGAGATGCGCGGGCGCTGGTCGTTTGTCTGTTTCGATATCGATTTTAGCGTGCTGAATGTTCTAATCTTACTATTCCTTCTTCCCCTGCTCGTTGCGGAAAATGGAGATTTTCAAGGACGGCGGCATCAGCCGCAGCCTGGGGGGGACGTTTGGTCGATGGACCACGGATATGCTGTGAGTTGCCCTGTGAGAGACTTTGTGGAGGTTCAGGCAGAATACGTGCGGTATCCGGTGTGCTTGGGCTCGAGGCGGGCTAGTTCTGCCCCGGATGGGATGACTGAAAGTGCGAGTGTGGCTACGGAACGAACGTCAGAGGCGCCAACGGCTTCTTCAGCGGAGACGGTGAGTACGCCTAAGGTGGAGTCGGAGTTGGACACCGAGAGTCCGTTGGATAATGAGAAGTTTTTATCATTCGAAGAATGGAAGAAGAAGAATCTGGCTAAGATTGGCCAGTCGGTGGATAACGTGCGCGGGAACAGACAGGCTGTTGGATCGACGGAGATGCGAAAACGGTCTCGGCCGGGCGAGATCAGTAATGCGTTGGATTCTCTCGGAGAAGAGGGAGAGATTGAATTGGGATTTGGTGGGTTTGGCCCAGGTGATTCAGATATCCCGCCAGTGGAGAAGAAGGATGCCCAGTCCGCCTCCTCATCTGTTAATGGTGAAAAGCACGTCACCAAAGGCACTGAAGGTGAGAGCCAGTCGGACGGAGTTCCTCGTCGGGGAATTGCTCGCCGGAAAGATGCCGGAGTTACTTGCAAAGAGCGATTTAATTATGCCTCCTTCGATTGTGCAGCTACTGTGCTGAAGACTAATCGAGAATGTACCGGGTCTTCGTCCATCCTAATTGAAAATAAAGACAGCTACATGCTTAACGAGTGTCGAGCCAAGGACAAGTTTATTATCCTAGAACTCTGTGATGATATTCTTGTGGATACTCTTGTGCTCGCCAACTATGAGTTCTTTAGCTCCATATTCCGCACGTTCAGGGTGAGCGTAGCGGATCGTTACCCTGCAAAGCCCGATAAGTGGAAGGAATTGGGAACGTACGAGGCGGCAAATACCCGGGAAATCCAGGCGTTTGCCGTTGAGAATCCGCTTATCTGGGCAAGATATTTGAAAATCGAGTTCTTTTCTCATTATGGGAATGAATTCTATTGCCCGTTGAGTCTTGTTAGAGTGCATGGCACAACGATGATGGAAGAGTACAAAAATTATGGAGACTCCGCCAGGGCAGAGGAGGAAGCAGTTGAAGCGGTTGTGCAGGCCCAACAGAACCCTGACTCGGTTCCTACCATGAAAAATTCTAATCAAACACAAAGAGAGATTAGAGATCAAAATGTGAACATCTCTATTACCCAGACGGGTTCTGGAACCCTACCGGATGAGGAGGCCCTTGGCGCTTCCTGTTTCCCTCAGATAAACGAAATCGAGAGACTTCTACTGGGGATGAGTTCCGACAATATGAGTTCGATCTATGATATGGCTTTAGATCCTGATTATCAATCCGAGGCTCACGAATCTGCAGAAAGCGAAACCTGGGCAAGTAATGCAACAGGGTCAATCGGCTTGGAAGATACCTCGGTCTCGGACACGCCACCTACTATGGTAGGTGGAAGCGACCATCAGAGAGCGACTCCTGGGTCACGGATGGTCTCTACATCCGGCTCCTCGAGGTCGGAAAACGAAACGAGTGCAGACAACCAGAGAACACCGGTGGTATCTCAGCCACCTCCACCGAATCCCACAACCCAGGAATCTTTCTTCAAGTCTGTCCACAAGCGGCTGCAGATGCTCGAGACAAACTCAACTCTATCACTTTTGTATATTGAGGAGCAGTCGCGGATCCTTCGGGATGCATTCAACAAGGTTGAGAAGCGCCAGTTGGCCAAAACTTCTAGTTTTCTCGAGAATTTAAACTCCACTGTACTCCACGAATTAAGAGAATTCAGGCAGCAGTATGACCATATTTGGCACTCTGTTGTTATCGAGTTTGAACAGCAGCGACAGCAATACCACCACGAACTTTTTGCTGTTACGTCGCAGCTCGCCATCCTTGCAGACGAGGTCGTTTTCCAAAAGCGGGTTTCTATAATCCAAAGCGTATTTGTCCTCCTTTCCTTTGGATTGGTGCTATTCTCACGGAGTGCTGTGGGATCATATCTCGAGTTCCCTAAAATGCAGAGCATGGTATCTCGATCCCATAGCTTCCGATCAGCATCACCCCCGTATGAAACGCCTTCTCCGAGCCCAAATTCACCCATGCAGAGCCCAACGTATCAAGAAGGCAACCTGCATCGACGCAACCCGTCTGACGACCAGACGGATTGTGAGATATGCAATCATACATTTCCTTATTCCCCTCCTCCGTCGTCAGATACATTGAGTCCGTCGGAAGAAGAGGAAAAGGGGTTGCATGATGTGCATTTGGAGTATTCTCGGTCCACGGCTAGTAATCTTGTGCCGGAAGAAAATCCTGCAGGTATAAAGCGACAGAGAAGCAGTCCGGCGGATTTGTGTGGGCATGATGAAGGGGATAGTGCTGAATTCAAGCTTCCCCAAGCCCCGTCTTAAAAATGTTTATCGTGGATCTGATCGAGGGGCCAAAACCCCCGACCATCACGGCGATTTAGTCTTATCGCGCTGCATTGGCGGGTTTCTGCCACAATCGCAGACGGTGACAACATACCATAGCCGAAGGCCTAAGCGATATTACCCTGTGGAAGAAGCATTTCCCTGCGTGGGTAACTATCTTCCGCCTTCTAATACTCCTTTGGGTGCCAGCAAGGCGCTCGAACATCGGAATCGTGACGCTGCAAGAGAGTGGCCACGCTTCCGCCTTATCTCGGGGAACGCATAGGCACTAATAATCTGCGCGTGCTATTTATGTGGCCTACAGGGACATATCTAGGCATATTATCGGGTGAGACGATGTCTTGTAATATTATCCCCGTCATCGTGTTTCTACTGTACATATTTGCATGAGCGACGCCCTGCATGAGGTGTGATCATTCTCTATCTTCGTTTCTACATAATAGCAATACACAATGATCTAGATTCGTGTTTCAGGACCTATGCCTCCGTAGCCTACTGCACTGTATGTAGGGAGTTCCACCCGCCACGGCACTCTCCTTCGGAGGCCTAGTGCTCGTAGGCCTATCATGCCTTAACGGGCTTAATAAATAGACGTTGCTCCTAAGGAATTCGTTTACATTTAACGAGACAGGGTACACTCGGCACCCGAGTCTTGCGTTTGACAAAGTGGCAATGCTTTGTTTCTTCTGTTTACCTGGAATGATAGCCCATTTGGTGACATCATCGGCTCACACTCCATTCAAGCTCTCTAGACGGGGCTGCATAATTCAGTCCATTTTTCCGTAGCCTGCGGACTAACCTCCCCAGTACCTTTTGGGATGATGTCCCTATTTAATGATCACTATGCTTGCGTACCGCTTAAAATGGCGGAGGATTCTTGTGGCCCATCGCCTGGGTTCTCCTTTTCCTGTTGCTACGCTCCCCTTGTTCGGCAGAACCAAGACCAGGGAGAGCCATGTTTCAACAAATGTTCTGCGGAACGGACTACATAAACAAGCTCCTAAACATATAGAGTTACGGGGTGAATCAAGCCGGCATTATTTAATCAAGAAGGTCTTGCAGGAAAAGGAGCTTACCAGGCTGCGGGTGTACCTTGCTGTGTATGTTAAGCCAATATGGTCCGTTAGCTCTGTGCTCCGTACATGCACAAAAGATCAGGCACAGAAAGGGTGCTAATATCTCTCATTAGCTCCGATGAGCAGCAGTTCGTTTTGAAAGAAGTCTTCCAGAATGACTTTAACTACTACCGGAATATGCACAAGGATTTAGGGAGCCCGTATCTTCGGACATTGAGCGATACGATCCCAGAAGAGTCATTGTTCGTATATAAATATTTCACGGACCATCTACTAAGAATGGCACCACAAACTAATTTGCCCCTTGATATCACGAAACGTATTTTGAGAGATGCATTGCGTGGGATTGCGGCCTTACATGAACGGGACATTGTTCACACAGGTATACTCGTTGATCCCAATAGGACAGAGGAAAGGCTCACACGCCACAGATATTAAAGCAAACAACATTCTAATCAACTGGAGGATTGAGAAAGAAGACCCGAGGAAGATAGTCGTAGATCAGGTGCAGCTTTCTGACGTTGAAGATGCGGTGCACCTACACCCTGGTCGCTCCATAATTGGCAAACAACTAGGTAATTATATGTGGAGGAGCCCTGAAGCGCATGCACGCGGCCCGATTAGCAAGGCGTCTGATATATTTTCATTTGGCGTCGTGGTAAGCCGAGATCATGTTCATAATATGTTTCAAAATATGCTAAATTTTTGTCAGTGCATTTACGCCATGCTTAAGGAAGCCATCTTCTCCATGGACGAGAGCCAGCTTCCGGAAGGTGTTGAGCCTCTATCAGTCATTCTCGAGCGCCAATTGTCATATTTCGCGAACGCGGAAAGCTTGAATGGTTTTCTGGCGTACTTGGGAGACGAAAACCCGTGGTGCAATGCTTTCAAAACCCTTTGGGAAGGATTCAATGAGAGAAACCCGCGGAAACCATTCTCTATGTGCCAGGATATCGATAAAGACTTTAGAGATCTTGTTTGTGCCCTGATGCATTTTGATCCGCCCAAGAGGATCACGGCAGAGACGGCTTTGAAACATCCCTGGTTCACGAGGTGAGGAGCTGGCATACTATTAGTCGACGGGACACAGCTTGAACAGAGAGTGCCCGCCCGTACTGAGTACTGGCAATGCCGCCGGAATGTGGTCCAGCATAGAGAAATTCTCCAATGCAAGCCGCGATCTCAGAGTCTCCCAGAGTACTCCATACTGGGGACCATGGCCAGAGGGACCACCATCCACATCTCTTGAGAGGAACTGACAAGCACTGCCGAGACGTGTGATATTTCTCGCAGAGTCTGCCGAAAAGCAGGGATGCCATCGACGTATGCCGGAAAAGAAAGTCGCGCTAACTGCCCTGGGTCTCCGCTGCCAGGATCAGGGTAGTTACGTTGCCACGGCAACTATCACCTTGTCAACATGGATATTCAACGCAAAATTTCTTGATTTCCGAGCTCAAGCGCATAACTTCTCTGTCTGCATCCACAACTTAAATTGGAATTGGGATCCTGGATAGAACGCACCATTGCTAAGAAGTGGTTTGTTTACACCAACAATCTTCCGTTGTCTGTTTTTGGCCCGTATAAACGCAAGCTCATCGCTAACAGTTATCAGCCGCTGAAGCTATCATAAGACTATTCTCCGCGAATACCTGTGCGATTTCCACGGGCTCATCATACAATATCGAAAAACCCATACACTCCTCGATTCCCATCATGACAACCAACGCCACCAGCCCCTCTAGACCCTTTCCTCTTTCTGACCGCTCAACAAACACTTTTCTTCCTTCGCCTTCAAAAGATACTATCAAGGTCAGCGGTGACTGTGAAGCGGATACTAAAGCCGCGGCTACCAAATCCATGGAATATCACCGTCAAGTTTTAAAAGAAAAACTTGAAGGGGGGACTCTGAAGTATGACTCCGATCTTGGATTATCTCGCCGTAGGTAGAGTTACACGCTGACTTAGGATTCGAACAGGGCTCCAGAGTACTATGTCTCTCCATCCGATGATATTATGAGCCCATGCACCAAGAAGATATGCGATTTGAAAGGAAAGAAATTCAAAAAGTGTGTTCCGTTACTTTTAGTTGGCCATGAAAACAACCTCTTAAGACAAGATACTGACGATGGCTGCAGCGCAAAACCTCAAGTCCTATTTGCAAAGGCCATTGCAAAGAAATCTTACGAGAAGATGAGCTCAGAGAAACCTGGAAATGACGGCGCTGATGCTTAAGGATTTCTGGCTTCGAGCTCGACAAATGCTCTAGGCTACGTTCTCATTTGCTATGAATTTCCTTGTGTTATCATGACAGGCTTCACGACCACCACTTTATTTTCACTATTTGTATTTTTCCTTCCAATTTTTCTGGCGGTGCCTTATGGACCAGGTATGGCGTTTTTAGCGGTGCGGAGGGCCCATAGGGTGGAATCAGAGCGGTGCATAGGGCACCTACAAAACGGGACTTGGGATATCAGGATATTAATGGCTGGTTGTGGGGGTTGATATGGTGTTGCCAGGTTCTGTTACATTGCTAAGAATTGTCGAGAATCCTATTAATGACACAGAATTTGTCTACATCCCCCATGATGAAGAGCTTATGTTCCGGCAACTCCATTTTAGAACCTGACCTGGCGATGGCTTCTCCGACGATGTTGGTCATGGTACAAGGAGTTTGTCGAATCTATGACGCCTAGCAAGATGATAGCTGCGGTTCAGGCCTGACGATGTGGGTTAGCTTGAGCGGGTCTGAGTAGCGTGAAGCTTTACTTTCTTTGCGTAAACGGGGAAGCTAGCCAATTACCAAGGCCTCTGCCGGTTCCCCATGTCTGGTGAGGAACGATGGCCGAAGCCGTGAGGGAAACCCCGTGCAGGCGGCGGTTAATTAATTCTTGGGCCTGAGGTAACAGTGCAATCGGTGCCGACCTACTCTCGCAAGCCGACGAGGATATAGCTGATATCTCGGTGCGGTTGGTGATCCCGTGCCGGGAACCCCGTGCAGTCATCTAGATAGCCTATCTTGAGCCAAATAGTAAAAGCGAGCCAGCTCAACTCCTCATTTATCCATCTTGATCCTGTACTTAACTCAGCCTGAGGGAAGCAATGAAGCCCAGCACAGTCCCCCAGGCTTCTGTCCACTGGCGGGTTCTGGGCTGAGTAATGCGCCGAGCTGGCACCGTCCGCCTCGCCAACAGCCGAGGTCCAAGTGCCGGCAAACCCATCAGCATCGCTTCGAGAGGGCGGTTCTAGGTTCTGCTTTTCCCGTCGTATGATTTTTGAACCATTATTTTCTCTTTGGAGCTCGTAATACTTAAAGACATTGCATCCCATCTGGATTTTGTGTTGATCTTCTGTGGTTTTATCCTCAAAGTACTCCGTTGGGCTGCGTTAATAATTCGCTATATCTCCACACTTGGCAGCTCTTCTAAATTTCACATCTCCCCCAGCTCTGTCCACCATGTCTGCCTCTACCAGAATCCCGCCAATCGTTGCTCCGTTCGTCAGTGAACGGGCTAGAAAGACCCTCGATCTTGTAAGTTGACCCATCCCAAGGCCCCCTAAGCGAGTCACCCAGGCCCAGCTGGACATGAAAGGCGAGATTGGAGCTAACTATTTTCCCTTATCCTTAGGTCGAGGAGTTCGTCGAAAAGGAATGTATCCCCGCAGATGCTCTCTTCCAAGCACAGCTCGGCCAGGGCGAGCAAAGATGGAAGCGGACACCTGCGATCCTTGAGGAGCTCAAGGTCAAGGCGAAGAAACTCGGCCTGTGGAACATGTTCTTGCCAAAGAACCACTTCAAGGAAGGTGCTGGCTTCAGCAATGTTGAATACGGATTGATGGCTGAGATCCTTGGAAAGAGTCGTGTTGCCAGCGAGGTATGTTATGGGCTGGACCTGCATTTCTTGCCTGACATGCCGTGGCTGACAGTCTCCATGGAATCTATTAGGCCACCAACAACGCTGCTCCGGATACTGGCAACATGGAGGTGCTCGCTAAATACGGAAATGAGGCCCAGAAGAAGCAATGGCTCGAACCCCTATTGGATGGAAAGATTCGTTCCGCTTTTCTCATGACTGAGCCTGAGATTGCTTCAAGCGATGCCACAAACATCCAACTTAACATCAGACGGGAGGGTAATGAATACGTGCTCAATGGACAGGTATATTTGTTGTCTCAACCTTCATTGAGAGGCAATCTGCTAATATTTTACTCCTCTTATAGAAATGGTGGTCTTCCGGTGCTGGAGACCCCCGATGCAGTATCTACATTGTCATGGGCAAGACCGATCCCAACAACCCAGACCCATACAAGCAGCAGTCTGTCATCCTTGTTCCGGCCAATACCCCCGGAATCACCGTTCACCGCATGTTGAGCGTTTACGGATATGACGACGCTCCTCACGGCCACGGCCAAATCACCTTCAAGAACGTCCGTGTCCCTGCTTCTAACATGGTTTTGGGTGAAGGTCGTGGTTTCGAGATTATCCAAGGCCGTCTCGGCCCAGGACGTATTCACCACGCTATGCGTGCCATCGGTTCCGCGGAAAGGGCTCTCGAATGGTTGATTGTTCGTGCCAACGACGAGAACAAGAAGCCATTCGGTGCTAAGCTCTCTTCACACGGTGTCGTCCTCGAGTGGATCGCTCGCTCCCGCATGGAGATTGACGCTGCCCGTCTCGTCGTCCTCAATGCTGCTGTTGCCATTGACAATGCCAACGCCAAGGCTGCCCTTAAGGAAATCGCTGAGGCTAAGGTTCTCGTTCCCAAGGTTGCCCTGGATGTCATTGACCGTGCAATCCAGGCCTATGGTGGTATGGGTGTGTGCCAGGATACACCTTTGGCAGCCATGTGGGCCCATACCCGCACATTGAGACTCGCTGACGGACCCGATGAGGTTCATTTGAGCCAGATGGGTAGACGGGAGAATAAGCAACGCGAGAAGTCCGCGACCGCCAAGGTGACATGGCAAAAGCAAGAGGCTGAGAGGCTATTGATGGCAAATGGCTTTGGTAACCAATCTCACTTGTAAAATTGTGCATTTTAATGTTCCTCTCAGCTTTCCGGGTTTGGCTTTTTTCCCCCCTCGAATAGTGAACTGATATACGAGTGACTATCGCCACTCTCATTTGTTTCCATTTTATGATGCTGCACTTTTATTGGCTCTTGACGCCATTGCCGTTGCAGTGAATCCGAGTTTGTAAGAGGCGTCCAGTCTCTGATCAACGTGGACAACCCCCATGACGATACAAATAAAGCATTTCATATCTTTTGGTAAAAAGAAAAAGAAAATATGGACCATATGTCAACCGACACCAATGCTCACGCGCGTTAAACATGATCTAAAACGAGCCCGTGATAAATTCGTTTCAAAACGCCGACTCCTGCTAAAGCATCCGAATAGAAAAAAAATAAAGAGAACAGCTAACCCTCCTCATCAACAGCACTTCCATCTCTCCTATTTTGATATTAGCAAGGTTCGTGTAACGGGAAGAAAGTGATGTGGCGATACATACGGGAAGTACTTGACACCAGCATCCTCAAGAGTTGCAAGGACTTCCGGCGGTAGCTACACAATCCACTCGTCAGCACTTCCAATCCCTCTTCTTGTCAAATGTATGGTTGAAGCAACACACCGTTCCAACAACTTTGACCGCATATGTCCCGCTCACGTAGCCATCTAACCTTTGCCATCGCGCAACCCACGACAACCGCTCGTTTGCTAGGGCGATCAAACCTTCGAACACTTGTGATGTGCATTCTTGAATGCTGTCGGCGTTGTTGCGGAGGTTCAGAAAGGGTTCGCAGTTGGGACAGCCGTCGCGCATGAATTTCTGGAGGGGTGGAAACGGATGTTAATCCGCTGAAGGCAACCTGATGGCACGAGGAAAGGAGGGAGGCGTACACTGTGGAGTTGAACGATTGAGCAGACCATGCATGCGCGGAGAGTGCGCTGCTGGCCAGATGAGACATAAAAGGACATGACTGGAGCTCGAGGTGTGGTGGTTGTGGGTAAGGCCTTCGAGCTAGAAGATTTGAAGAGACAAGAGCTATCTATGCGACAGGACGATTGATGAAATAGCTAAAACCAGAATTTGATTGAGGCAAACAACACCAAACTGAGCAGTTGAACAAAGAGAAGAGCTAGAAAGGGCTTTGAAATCTTGCTCGCCAGTTAGCTGAGCTCGAACCTTGATCCTGTACAGCGTATCGCGTTCTTCTTCACCTCGTCTTCGCGTCGGTTTTATGCTGATGGGCCGCCGCCTGTACGGAGCGCCTGCAGCCGCCGATAAGATATCACGTGATCCGATGGCATGCCAAACCGAAGTCATATTGGCATCACCGTGAGAACGAAGTGACAACTCCACGGCATCGCGCGCTGCGATCCCAGGGAGTCACTGAATCCGTGATAATTACTATATAATTGAAATGCTCCATGGATTCCAGTCTCCCGCCTGTCTCTTCCAGTCATCGCTTGGATAACCACCCCGGCAAGCGCGAGCCCGTCAATCCCCGTCGCAAACGGTTGAAAAGCACGCAGTTTACCCCTGTTTTCCAACGAAGTACTGGCCGCGCCCAATTCTACAATCGTCGCGGGACCTTTGAAGCATGGCATCAGGGTCTCAGGGGCGCGAACAGATGTGAGTTGATTGCTCGATGCTGTGCGAATTGTAAGAGAATGTAGGAGTCTGAGCTAACCGCGAACTTTCGTCCCGTGCTTTGAAAGAATCGATCTTCAAGGCGAGAAGGAGCTTCTTGAGGAACTTTCAGCAAGAGAACCTACCTTTCGGGAGGTCAATCGTTTTCTAGCACAGTGAGCATACTCATTTTATTTTAATTTGCCCCCCAAACCGCTTCCCTCCTTTTCATCAGTTGCGATGATATGCTGACGCTCCCATCCAGATTCCAGCATTCCTGCCATGCCACCTGTAGGAACCTTGAGGCGGGAGCGGGCCCTGCTCCTCCCGAGGTCGAAAGCCGGATATGGGATTCGCATATGAGAATCAATTCTCGCTTTCGGAAACTTCTTCTTCATTTCCGCGACGAGCAGGCCCGGAAGAAACGCCCGGTTGAGGAACGAAAACTCAAGCATCAATATCTAAAGTTCATCAGTGGTGCCCAGCAGTTCTATGAAAAATATCTCAAGTTCATCCTCCTGCGATCGAAGGTGGCGCCGGAGCTTGCAGAAGCTGCAGCGGAGCTGCGGATCGTGCCAGTCGATGTTCCAACCCCGGCCAACATCGCACAGGAGTTGCGGAATACTCTAATTGAGTCGTGTTATTCCACTTTTATTAGACTGGGAGATCTCTCCCGGTACTATCAAACGGAATTGGTTGCTGATCCCAAAAGACGAGAGTGGAACCACGTGGTTAACTATTACGCTCTGGCGGGTTCCATCAAGCCCACCTCGGGGATATTCCACAATCAACTCGCTATCATTGCTCGTGCCGAAGCTGACCATCTGCAAGCGACTTACTATCTTTATCGTGCTCTATGTGCGACGGAGTCTCACCCAACCGCGCCCGGAAATCTTGAAATCGAATTCAGAAAGATTCTGAATGCTTGGTCAAATGGAAAGTTGGCCCAGTCAAAAGATGAGAAGGAGTCATTGATTTCTTCTTTTACCTTTCTTCATGCAATGTGCTATAAGGGTGTTGATTTCGCAGAACGCGATGATATTGAGAATGAAGTGCTTGACCAAATGGCTATCCAACTGATAGAGGGCTCTCTGGACGGTGACCTCCTTCAAAAATTCTGCTTGGTCAATATTGCTGCTGAAGCACATGCGCGAACTAAGCCAGATACCAACGGAAATGCACCCACTTTCTTCCTGCAGCTTAATGTGAAGACATTCTTCACACTCTTGCGGGTTCTACTAGCCGAAGTGGAGAAGCTTTCCAAACCTATTTGCCAAATCTTGCCAGCACTACGAAATTATAGCTCTTGGCTAGTGGTCAACAGTTTCATTCTCGTTTCTAAAGCTCGTGATTCACCCCTTGGTGTGCAAATCAAGGAGTTCTGGAAGATCTATGCGAACACATTGACATTGCTTACCTCTAGCTTCAGTGTTCCAGATATACCTTACCTGGATTATCTCCTGCAGGAGGATCGCGACACGCTAGGATTTTCTCCATTGATGCAAGATGGCAAATCCCCACGCTATGTCGATGAACAGGGAAACATCAAACCCAGGTCAATAGGACCTGCTAGTGTTGACCGTGTGAAAGCGGAAATGCTATTTCGTGTGCGGGAACTGGTTACTGATGGTCTTGACTTGGTAGTCCGTAAAGTATGTCGTTCTCCCGATTTTGTAACGTTATTTCTTTTTATCTCGAAATACTTACCCAGCAATAGAAAATTCCGATCAGCCTGGCCAGCGGCTATGACAAGAATATATTCCTTTACGAAGAAGAGGGCTTTGCACAGTTTTCTACTACGACTAACTTTTCTTCGGAGATCGCTGAACAAGAAGTGACTACCCCGAAACAGTGCGATAATCATATGGAAAATGAGGAGTCGGCCATGGAATCTGTTTCACCATTTGACGATATGGATAAGATGGTTGATGCGCTTGTAAACTCTGAAGCCGATCCCGGAGAAAGCTGTGCACCCAAGAGCGGAGCAGCAACATTCCAACCGTGGCCACGTCTATCGATTGATACCAATGGAGCGTCAATGGATTATCCATTTCCTGGGGATAATGTGCTGCGAAGCCCCTACAGTCCAACAATCCCGCCTGAGGCTGTAACATCGTATTCACCAGGCCCCCCGCTCCCAAGTATAACGAAGACGCCGTTTACGCCGCAACCAGGGGAAGTTTCCCCGAGAACGAGGCCATCAACGGCGACTCATAGTGGATTGCGTCGGTCTTCGGGATATGATGTGAACCCTATGTCGCCCTTGAATTACACGCCTCTCCAATCCAATCCCGTAATCTCGGCACAGCATCGATCTTCTACTCCCGTAATGAGCCAGAACAGCAATGGCTTTACGCCAACGGGGAGTTCAATGATTAACTACCAGAATTGGCAGACTGTCCACCGATCATTCACCGAACGCGTTCCATGCATCGGTGTTCCTAATGCCAATGATCCACGCCTACTTTCTTCCCCCTTTAATCCGTCCGGTTATCCTCCCGGAAGCTATGCAACCTCGTCCGCGAGAGCCGCGGGCATTATTGGCCAAACACCTCCAAGCGGACAGGGTGGGTGAAAAGTGGATTTGATCAGGTTCCGCTGCCATAGCCTATCTCTTTATAGTTGTTGAACGTGAAGAGTTAAATTTAGAATAGTCATGCCGGTAGCACCATTTGAACAGTTACCCACTTGTGGCAGAATCTGACGTAACGAGACTTACGTCCGAAGCCGCGCTATATGGCTTTCCTGCGATTATGGCCTAGATAACTAGAGGTCACCACATTTATTCCAGGCGAATCGCTGTTCACTGACTGGCGCCGGCTGTATTTAACGGCTGTCGAATTCTGGGGGGAAATAGAGATATTCCCCGGAGATATACAACAGCATTCCTAGCGCTGATAACCCGTCGTCCACCAGCCGGTCATTGTCATGCTCGGTGCTGCCGGTCTCCGAGTATGTCGGGAACTCCGTCTGACAACCGAAAATTTTTCGAATACTCTTAGCGGCATGAGCACCGTCAATTTTATCCCTAAAATCTAGATTGATACTACATTTATTTGACATGTACTATTGTTATTCTGTTTGACGATTTAACTAATGGATTGATGCTTTATTTCTTGGAGCTGCTCTTGCAACTTTGCTGTCATTTCAGAACAGCAAAATTCCTAAGTTCCCTTAAAGGCGGACTTTATCAAAGTGATTTTTATAAATTGGCTTAATAATATTTATACTCCGTAAGGTCTCATTAAATGCTCTTGTTTTTTTTTTTTTTTAAAAGAAAAGAAAAAAAAAAAAAAAATTAATGATAATAATAATAATAATTTATTCATTATGGCTATCTATTTTGCTCTTTCGATTTGTCCGTTCATCAGCTCGAGTGTTTTGGCGTTGTTGAAAACGTTCATCGCTTTGAGTATGTCCAATTCTCACCATTGAGCCGGCGTTATGTGGGACACAAGTTTATATGAATTCCAATGTTACGCTGCCTGGCATTCGAATCAATATTCGGCCTGCGGCCATCAAAATGTAATGTATGTAATCGTTGAATTTCGGATCTCAGGAAAGAGGAAGGATAATCGTGAGAGTTGACAGAACGGAAATACGAATGAGATCTTTGGGCCACTGGTGAGGTTGAAATCTTCTACAGGTTGCCTCTTCGGTTTATGATGTGTAAGTCTTCTTCGGGAAGGGGAATCTAGTAAAAAGGTTTATCGTGTGAGCCCAGGCTTCAGGAAAGAATGCTGCTCGAGAGGAAACTTACTGTGGACCCAATTCTCTGATGCTAAGGTTCGCCAGCCAGTGGCCCATATCAAGACATTCGTCAAGGGTCTTTCCTTGAACCACGCCAGCACAGAATCCTCCAGCAAATGCATCCCTGTTGGAAAAGTTAGCCTGCATCTTTCTCGCCGAAATTGCTATCAGCTCACCCAGCGCCGTTAGTATCATAAATCTCATCCTGGGAGATCTTCCGGATGGCGGTTGTTTTTACCTCAGCACCGCCGTTCCCGTCAGAGACAGCGGAGATAGTTGGCTCCGTGCCATGAGTGATGATAACGGTTCTAGGGCGCTGAGAGTTCTTCTTTGGAAGATTGGCCATCTTCTTGGCGATCTCAGTAAGATCGCTGATGCCCCATCCGTGGGCTTCGGAAAAGGCGAGTGCTTCCGATTCATTTCCGACGATGTAATCGGTATATGGGAAAACTTGGTCAAGGGGATCCTTAAAGACAGCCGGAATGAATGGTGCGGAAAGAGAGAGAATAAAAGTCTGATAGTTTCTCCAGTTTTAGCCCTTATTTTAGTGACTTAGCAACTCCATCGAAGTGCCCAGCATGAGTGTTGCAGCGCAATCTTCGAAATATAACCCAAGAAGCGAACATACACACCTTATTCTTCTCAGCTGCTTCTTCAGCCAGAGCCATTATAGCTGGTACACAGACAGTCAAGTGGAATCCACCAACGAAGAAGTATTTAGCCTTCTCGACTAGGGACCAGATCTCAGGTTGTTTGAGATGATCTAGCTTGTATTCATTGGCAGCAGCGAGGTGAGTCACAAGAGAGCGGTTGTGGCCAGTGATTATTACACCGCAGCGACCGGTTGGCTGAACATCATCCACTCTGTATTCTGTGCGGATGCCAGCCTTGCTTCCGGCATCTCTGAGAATGTCTGCGTACTTGTCCTTGCCAACGCAGCCCATATACACAACGGAATTATCGGGAAGCATGTACTAATCGAGCAGTGAGCACATATCCAAAGGGATGATCTGCCCAACTATAAATCTTGACAGAATTTCCGGGAAAATAGTACCTGAGCTCCACGGGCAGTATTTTGAGCAGCCCCTCCCGCAATCAGTTTCGCACCGCAATTTTGCAGGAGATCCTCGTAGAGACCCATATGTTTCTCTTCGGCAAGAATGGCATCGTTGGCCTTGACGCCATACTTCTCTAGCATCGCTTCATTTCTGCGTTAAGGGTGCATTAGCAATTGGCCGCTGAACGAAATGTCGGAACTAGGTATTACCCCACGCCCTGGATATCTGCAAATGACGAGTTAGCCCTTGTATAGTTGGCAGAGGATTCAGTATACTATACCCAGGAGAGGATTCTCTAAGCAGAGAAGAGGATATCCTTCTGGGGCAGCCATTTTATCCGGAATGATTGTCAATTTGTTGTTCTGTTGACTCTGCGGGGAGATGGACGGAGAAACACAGAGAAGGGAATTTTGGTGGGGGAAAGTTCAGGGCGCAACGAAATCCAGCCAAGCTGCCGACGTCGACTGATCAACTCCGAACAAGCTTCCTCCGCCCTCGCTCTCCGACGCCCTTTCATCCTTTCCACCTTGCTGTATACGCAAAGAAAACTTACGCAAAATGTCCGACCGTATGCGGCAGGTCGCTGAATCGTTTCAGACATCGTCTATAAACCAGCACTCTCCGTCCTCGCACCACGAGACGACGTCGCCCTTCTCTGCTTCCCACCGACGACACCATGAGAACACACTGGAACGCGTCCCGTCTGATGCGGAAAGTCTGTCAACGGGGATTGTCGACCCTAGCCGGATGGTGAAAAGCCACCACCATCGGGCAACTCTGCCTCCCTTGCCAGAATTACGATTTGAGCAGAGCTATCTCGCGAGCATCAGCGGAGCAGAGAGTTGGGGCCGGATTGCCTGGATCACCGTTCGAGACCAGGTACGGGTCACATATAAGATCTATCTTATAGGGAAATGCTGGCCTGAAAACCGTCTTCATTTTGTTGAAATCTAATGTTGCTAATACTTGGGTTACTACTTTAGGTCCTGTTGCCTCTGATGCAAGGCACGCTTTGGACGCTTGCGCTCTGTGGCTGGAAATACTGGCACCGCGGAGCCCAATCCAGTGGCAGGACAGTCGGATTCACAATTCGGCGGTGGTGGTGGAAGTTGAACGGCTGGGATATGTCAAGGCTCTGAGCCGGATCGAGCTCTACTCCTTCACGTACAGCGCCTTATGACGGCTATACCGCACCGTCTGATAAATGAGAGCATGGGAGCACAGTGAAAAGCGGACGCGCGTCCTCCCAGCCTGACACTGGCACTGTCCGTCCACAAACTAGCCGCGCCATGATACGGTATGGGTTACTCGGTAACAGGAGGTGCAAAAATGCAATACATATAGCCTGGCAAATATCCCCAAGGGCTGGGTTCAGCGGTGAACCTCAGTGTGGCTGAGAGAAACCAATTGCGGGTTGTTAACTACGCAATCATGCTACTTGGCCTAATCGGCCGGGATTCGAATCTTTTTTGGCTCAAGAAGTGCGTACAGAGTCCGGAACGGCGCTTTATCCGCTTCCCTTCCAGTATTCCACATAGATCTTCTTTCTGCTCTATGCTGAAGCGGCCTGCTTGATATCTTTAATCGGAAAGCATATGAACTTGAGTGCATTGCGCATTGTTCAGCGTTCCATTGATATTGCTGTACTGTACATATAAGACGGAGGATAATATGGAAACCTAATCCTTCGATATATGATATTAGATTCTTTCAATATACCCACACCCATAATATACCCATGTAATCCCCTGTAGATCAATGGTCCATAATCACATGCTATGGGCTCCCTTTTCCAAATTAATGAGTAACTTCAACATACATCAACACTGTAATCAGGACAAGCTTTTCGTCCCCTCAGATTGCTGGCTGCTGAACACCGTTTTGACCAGGCGGCATGTCATTCCCCTGAATAATGGTGGTTTGAGCTGGTGGTGATTGGACTTTGGTAGCTACACCCTCCATGTCCTTAGTAGGGAGGGGATGGGCCAACGGAGTCTGGTTTCCAAGTTGCACAACTGAAGTATTTGGTGAAATAATAGCGCCCACATGGGGTGATTTCACTTCAGGTGCCTTGTCACTGGCGAAATTCGTTGGATCAGGATTCGCTGGTTTCTGGTCCTCATTTCCTTTACCATACCTCAGCTGGACAACTAGACTCGGTCGAACCGTATCCTGTTCATCCAGAGACCCCACATCGCTCATATCCTCGTCTTCATCGACGGTGTTTTCATCTCCTCCTTCCCATTCTTGTCCACTTGAGACGGTTTCCGGCTCATCATCTTCATCCATTGCATCCACGGAATTATAACTCTCGGTCTGATAGCTTTGTGTTAATCCATTAGATCTTGTGCTTCGTTGCGGTCTACCGTTGATAAGACCAGCGGTTTGAGCCGAATCTGTTCGTTGTCGGGCTGTTATTGTTTCACCATATATACCCCCAACTCGAGCCTTGACTTGCCGGCCACTGGCGGTGAAGGTTGGGCCGGGCGGCTCCGCTGGAGTAGACCCGCGGGTTTGTTGCCGCGTGGATCTCCTCGAAGTAAGTCCTTCTGAAAAGTCTTCTTCATCAGAAAATGTATACTTGATCCTCTTTCCACGAGTCCGGCCTTCGTAAAGGGAAAATCCTGGTTCAGGACGGGCAAATGCTGCTTTTCGTGCTAGACGGTAGTCGCGACGTTTTCGTTTCTATCATACGGTTAATCGTCCATGTGGCTCAATGCTCGTCATAGTAGGAACCTACCTCTTCAGATGCCTCAAAACGTGGTATACTGTTGCGGATCCTTTCGCTAAGCTCTTTAGCAGCGCGAGACTTCTCACTTCCAAGGGATTCCGCAACAGATTTTAACTCGTCAATGCTGCCCGCTACGCTCCACCACGTATTGGTTTTAAGCGCAGGATTACTCTCCCTATAAAGTCTGAAATGTGTGTCATCACGGCCTTCGATAAGCCAATATCGCCTTTTGTAGCTGTCGCTTCCCCATGGCTGAACAGAAAGCGGCTGATTACGGTCCCCCTCTTGTCTTGTTTGCTTATAGCTTTCCTTGAGCTTCGCTTGGACGGCGTCGGAGGAGGAAAGGGCCCATAGAATCAATGTTCGAAGGAACGAAAGCTGGAGAGAATAATTTAGCGACTAACTCCCACAGCACGAATACAGGATGCTCACGCGCTCTTCCGGCGACATAGTTGCGAATGTGCGCCCGCCATGGAGCGGATTCTTGCCCTCCCATGCCTTGGGCCACTGGCTATAATGTGTCTGCACAGCTTCCTCGAGAGCACGTTGATAGTGACCTCTTCTACACGCAGGGATCGCAAGGGTCAGCGCACAGATTCAGATTCAGTAGAAACAGCATTCTTGGGGGAATTGGAGCCGAGTCCGCGCTGTTCGAGCCAACGTTGGTTCCGGAGTTAAACGCACTCAACATCTTTCTTCCGATTCAGGATCAGGCCAATTAAGGCACATAATAACTTCTCAATGTGATCACCGGGTACAATATCCGTAACTCCTCTCTCAATATCTTGTGGGCCGTAATTGGGGACCGACTTGGGGAATACATCGCTAAATCTCGCGCGGAACATCACGATGAACTGGGGAAGAAAAAAAGTCAGGCGTTAGCAGCGCGTTCAACACGCAACCGACGCGTCTTAAGAAGACACATATCAAAGAAGGGAAAATGGAAATATGTCCGGGAGATTACTGACTGCAATATTTGGATTGTCAGCCAGCACATATTCGTGTGGCGGTGACGGGGCACGTTTCGGGGGCGGCGACTCGGTTTGTTTCTCGCGCTTGAAATATTTCTCGATGCCAACCGTGCGATTTATAGAAGCCGCCACGGCCTCATCTTCTATTGACACAGCAGATGACAACGAAGACGTGTCCGAGTCTGAGTGAGACATGGTGTTGTTGATGATGTTGAGAAGTTGAAAGTTGGAGGTTGGCGAGAGGTGTTTGGGTTAAGTCTGGCAAGGACACAAGATTCTAGAGTGACTGGGAAAGCTACAACAGCAAGCGTGGGTGGAGCGCGCTTTGCCCGTTTTAAAGCGGCCATTCAGGAGGACGTATCAATTGCGATTAAAGCCACAGTATCAGCTAAAGCTATCTAAATCGAGTAATTCACTCTGCACCCCGAACATCATCCGTACAAACCCATCAGGCTGGCAGTTTCGATTTTCGAGAGGGTCTCAGCAAAGAATCCAATGACGTGGACCAAAGACACGGCTCGAATTCCGTTATCGCATCTGCAACAGCCCCGGACTGATCTTTGCTGCATGGAGATTGCTACAGCGACAGCTGGCATTCTCTCGTGATGCGTTAGAATCTGACCATCCGTAGTCCTGAGAAATGTCGACAACGTGTGTCCGGACTAAGTCCCGAGACCACTTAAACTTATAATTTGCCATGTTGTTAAGCGCCGCCGGGAAAAATGGCCCGGACCAGAATGGGTATCCTATGTTGAACCCTCAGCGGAGACAAAGCGGATCTGCGAATATCTTCGTTTAAGGTCTTCGCCAGGGCTGACATGAAAGGGAAAAGGGTCTCAATGGCGATGCCCTGGAAAACAAAGAAGACCATGAGTAAGCCACCAGTGGCAAGTAAAACGCAAAGTTGCAACTTGCAACGATCTCTGAGGAAGGACAATATTGCATTTGCCAGCCGAGCAAGACAATCAATTTCATCCATCATAAGAAAGTAAACCTTCAGGTTAAGCTTTCGACTCCGCCAGGAGTGAATGGCGGGGTGAATGACGAAAAGAAACAAAATTATCAAATAGCGTTCAACAGAGGACTTTATTACGATTTAGCATGAAGAAGAATAAATGCGTCCAAACAATTGCGATGCAGATTCTTTGGGGCAACAACACCGATAATGAAATGGGAAGAGTCTCCAAGACCGGGGTTGGCTATAGCGGTTAATGAAGGCGGCAGCATTTGCATCCCATGCTATGCCGGGTACAAAGCACCATCAAAAATCCGCCCGCAACCAGACACAATGCGCATCATAAGGATAAGGTATCTTCAGCAAAAACAGACCTAACGATTCATGGCTTCCACGTCTAGAACCTAGCAAAAGCCATGGATGGCATGTAGAGATTCGAGGAGAAACTTGTGTCTCCTCTTTGGAGAGCGCGAACGATGCCGAACCTTTCAGTTCAAAGACCCAGACCACGGTGCTTTTCTCTGCGAGGTCTAATCATGAAATGGAGATTCGGCGACTCAGAGGGTTGCTGATCGTGATCGCTCGCGTCGAGGAGCTGGAGTTGAGGAGTGGCAACCGCGCTAGTACAAACTCGGCTAGATTAGCGACCACACACCCTACACAAACGACCACACAATTTTGGTTTGCATTTTGAGCGTGAATTCGCAACCTCACCGACCGGACGACAATTTTGCGAAGAGGTATGAAGCCACTTTCGACTCGACATTCCACGAAGTAACATCGCCTCTGCTGACCTTGATTTGCTATACAGTCAGACGCCATGGGTCGCGTGATCCGCAATCAGAGAAAGGGTCGTGGATCCATCTTCAGTACGTGATAAACCTGTTTTCCATCAAGAAGAGTCCGAGTTTGTCGATGGAAGGGAATTTGAAGATGGTGATTTAATTGACTTATCTTTACCTCTTTAAACAGCGGCCCACACCCGTCTCAATAAGGCACCAGCTCAGTTCAGAACCCTCGACTATGCCGAGAGACACGGATACATTCGCGGAGTGGTGAAGAAGATCATTCACGACCCTGGCCGAGGCGCTCCCCTCGCTCAAGTTTCCTTCCGCCACCCGTACAAGTTCAAGGATATCACCGAGACGTTTATTGCCAACGAGGGCATGTACACCGGCCAGTTCATCTACGCTGGAAAGAACGCTGCTTTGACTGTCGGAAACGTCCTTCCTTTGGGCTCCGTCCCCGAAGGTACCGTTGTCACCAACGTCGAGGAGAAGGTTGGAGACAGAGGTGCACTTGGCCGAACATCCGGAAACTACGTCACGGTCATCGGCCACAACCCCGAGGAGGGCAAGACTCGCATCAAGCTCCCCTCTGGTGCTAAGAAGGTCGTGAAGAGCCGTTCCCGAGGAATGGTTGGTATTGTTGCCGGTGGTGGACGTACAGACAAGCCACTGTTGAGTACGTGGCCAAATACAACACGATTGCAAATTTTTTTTTTTTTTTTTTCCCTGGGAATTTCGCTAACGTATGCTACAGAGGCTTCCCGAGCCAAGCACAAGTTCGCTGTCAAGCGCAACTCCTGGCCCAAGACTCGTGGTGTTGCCATGAACCCTGTCGACCATGTAAGTTTTTTTCGTCCCCTTACGGAGAACAGGTGGATTTTGACTATTGTTTTTTTTCTCTATAGCCTCACGGTGGTGGTAACCATCAACACATTGGTAAAGCCTCCACCATTTCCAGATACGCTGCACAAGGTCAAAAGGCCGGTCTCATTGCTGCCCGGAGAACCGGTTTGCTTCGTGGTACTCAAAAGACAAAGGAGTAAACTTAATTGGATGGCGTATTTCATTCGGTTCAATTATGATAGGATGCGCGGGAATGCTTTTCTTTTTTTCCAATGGCATACATGTGTATTTGATGGGTAGCTGCCATAGTGCAGGAAATGAGCAAATCCATCATGTGGCCGAACCAGTAGAAATTTATTATGATTTCGCAATGACGCATCTCTTCTGCGGAAATTTAGGGCCTTCACTAATCGCCGGAGTAAATATCTCGCGGTCTAGTTCCCCGATGATGGGCCGTTGAGAATACGGGGATCATGTACAGTGACTCTAGGCAGCCTTGTGGAATGCACAATGTACGGAGCCATGACGAGACATGACCTTTTGTTCCGGTGTGTGGACTTTGCTGTTTGGCTAAGATGTGTGGGTGTCTCAATTGAATGGGGCTAAACTTACCCAAAGAGGGCCTAAGCACACAAGGGCGAGTGATCCCACCACAAGGAGGGTAGAGCGCAGCGGACTGGCCGGTGGAGGACCGTTTTATGACGTCGTGTCTTTAGCCGCAGTGTGGGGAGTTCCAGACCTCGGAGCGCCATCACCTATTCTGCTTCGCAGGAGACGTTTCCGCGGACACAAAACCAGCGTGCCCCCCGTAAATAATCCGATGTAACTCCGTGCGCTGACGAGCCGGGCAAAGCGGGGAGGGCTACAATAAGGTTCCGCCCTTCGCCAAGCGGGAGCGTGGAAATCCTTGCCCTTTCAAGACATGCTCCTCCTGCGGCTGGAACGCCAAGTGACCTCATGTTCAAGCCTCCCAAGAGATTCCTCCCCTCCCTCCCAAGCCGCCAAGTCAGAGCGGAAGACACGGGCTGCGTGTTACGGGAAGGGCAGACGGCGGTCTCGCGTGGGTGTGGGCGTGGCCCCGCCAATCACGAAGAGCCAGGCCGCTGACATAAGGTCATCAGCCACAGGACACCCACCGCTAGCCGTGCCAAGGCGCGGTCGAGACCATTCCCCTTTGGTCTCGGCGAGACATGTGACCTCGACCCAAAGGGCTCTAGCGCGCGTCCTCGGCAGGCGAACATGACTAAGCCGCCACCTGCCGCACACAGCGTCTTTTGCGCGGCCCCGGTCTTGCTCCCAAACTGGCCAATCACGCACCCGCCTCGCTGCAGGCCGGGCCATTTCATCATCTCGCCGCGACGACGGGCTCTGCGCTGTCCGCCGGCAAGGGAGGCTGCTCGGCGCCCTATATATCTTGCCTGGCTGCCCTATATCTTCCACCTGTGGCTTCTCATTTTCTCATCCACACCCCCCTCCCCCCAGACCACCCTTATCCTCTTCAAGATCTAGCGATCCGCGCGGAAGTCTTGGAAGATATATCTCTCTTTCGCACCTTTTCTTTTTTGCCTTGGGATCCTATCCAACCCTTTTATCTCCAATCCCACATCCTCCAACATACCTATACTTGAACTGCTCCTACTTCTCCTCCTCCCCCTTTATTGTGTTTGTGATATAAAAGAGCACATCCTCAGAAAGGGTCAAAACAAACCTTCCTTTGAACGTCCACATGGACTCTTTTTCTCTACCTTCCTATCTAGATCCCAATATCAAGCAGTAGACACATCCTTTTTTGGCGCTTCTCCCCCCCAAAACGAGTGGTGAGCACAAGCAAGAAAGCGAAGGAGAAAAGAGACGGTTCCTTTTTCCCTCTTTTTTTTTTACCTTTCTTGCTTCCGGATGGACTTAAGAAGACAAATCTGTCAACGATATAAGCCGACCTCCTACGTACTTCCTCCTGTATACTCGTCTCTATAGACCACCTAGACCTACCCAATTGGGGAGCATAGAGTTAGCAAAAGATACTCATTCCTCCCCTAGCCACCTCACCCGCCACTCCTCCCGAACGATCCACATCCCGCTCCGCGATCTCTCCCTCGATTTCAGAAAAGTTTCCGCTCTCCTATCCCTCCCTTCTACCAAAAAAAAAAAAAAAGAAAAGAAAAAGAAAAAGAAAAAAGATGACTACTCAGGCAGCTGACAACAAGATGGCATACGCCACACCCTCGGCCCGATGGCGCGCAATCGTCAACCGAGACGCTGCAGCTACATGCTTCGTGTACGGTGTGCGCACCACAAAGATATACTGTCGTCCACGATGTCCTGCCCGCCTGGCGCGCCGTGCGAATGTCATATTCTACGACACTCCCGCCCAGGCAGAGAAGGCGGGTTATCGACCCTGCAAGCGGTGCAAGCCTGAGGATCTACGTGCGCCCACGGATCCCCACGTCCGTCTGGCGCAGAAGGCATGTGAGACGATGACGCTGGCTGCCTTGGCAGGTGGGGAGAAACAACGGCCGACGCTGCAGGATCTGGCTTCGGAGGCGGGTTTGACCCCGAGCCATTTCCATCGGGTGTTCAAGAAGGTCGTTGGAGTGACACCCGGAAAATACGCAAGGGATTTGCTGGAAGGGAAGACGTTCCAGAAGAAATTGCCTGACGGGACCATCATCGGATGGCCTCCGGTGGGGCCCATCGGGACAACCACCTCAGCGCAGCTGCAGCCACAAACGCAGGCGCAAACACCACCGTCCATCCCAGTCCCCACGACGGTACCAGCCGCCGTGCAGGGGATAGGACTAGACCTGTCGAACCAATCAACGGGCCATGACCCAGGCGCCGTCGGAATTGATTGGAACGAGTTCGACCTCATGTTGGCCGCGACGACGGGAGGCGCAAGGCCGCAGATGGATTACATTGGCAACGGTGGGTTTTGCATACCTGCAACAGATCACCACCATCTTGACCCTAGTACTGTGATTGATGGATCCATGTTCTCTGCAAACCCGCAGTCGGGCAGCCACCACCACCTTGGCTTTCCGGAGTATGTCAACGATACCGTTGACTTCTCGCTGGGCACGCCGCTGTTTGACTCTCCCGCCCTGACCACGCGGCCCACTTCAGTGCCTTCTTCGCAGCAGTCTCTATCACCCACAGACTCGCCGCCTCTTTTCGACTCTTGTGACTCGCCGTTGCTATTTGAGGATGTTGATTGGATGGATAATCCTGGTTTACCCCTGACGTGGAAAGTTTAGCCGCTGGGATCGAGCTCGAGCGCGAGCGCTCTTCAGGAATGAATTATGTAAATATATATATATATATATTATATCCTCCGTATATGTTAATTATTTCGCTGATACTTCATTTTTCTATCATCCGGCGAGCTGGCGGCCAAAACGGGCCAGTTCTGGAGCCGCTTTCGGCTCTCAACTCGCCAAAGCCCTTCTCCACGCACCACACCTCGCACCACACCTCACACACCACAAACCTAACAAGCTCTTTGATCACTTGAGTGCTCCACCGGTCACCCTGCTTCACCCTGGGCACTCTCTCGACATCGTACTTTCCGCAAGCTGGAAATGGCGTTGCATCCCTTTCTGCCCACCTGGCCACAGCTACTATACAAGCTGAGCAACCATGCAGTGATCTAGAGATCTGGCATTTCTTCATTTGACTCTGTTGCTTTTTATACTGACACCAGGCACAAACTGCCATAGCTGATAATGTAGTTTGTGAATGAATAAGATCTGTATTTGATTGTTGTGGTGGTAGGGGATCAGTGGATTTGAAGAGAGCCTTATAGAGTTGTTTCTGGAATGCCATGTGCCCAATTGGCCTAGTAGTACGGAGTAGAGCAAGAACAAGATAGCTGGTAAAGCATATAAGCATTGATTATCGCATGGTCAAGCAGCCACCAGAGAATTGGGTGAAAACATGTTTTTGAAAATCAACACGAAAAAACGTGTTTTGCTTAACCAATAGATTCCCATATATTTTGGTGTGTGAACCTATTGGTCAGAAAAACGCCATTAATACTGGAGTTTGTAATCTGGTGCCAAGGCGCTAATTTTGCCTGGCGGCCGGGCGAGGGGGATACCATTACTTTTCAACCAAGCATTCAGTGCGCACTCTGTCATTGATCTCTCTCTCTCTCTTTTCCAAATGCTTTCTCCATCTTTCCCGAGGCAGCTGACATAATGGCCATCTCTGGCACAGAGGACAACCCTCTTGCTTCAATCAGTGGTGTGGATATTGGTTCAGGTGATGAATGCTTCTCCAATGCTCGGTTGGTCTTGGCAGGGAAATTCTGGGAGGCTCGGCTCCCAGAGTAAGAGAAAGAATGTCACTGACCACCCCTACAGAAGATGTCTTCAAACTTCATGGATAACCTGATTGGAAGCTATAAAGATGCCGATATTGTGCGCTACATTACAGATTCGCCTCGTCTGTCATCTTGTTCTTCGGTATCTTTATTATCCGCCAACCTTGTCTCTAAGGAGTGCCAACCTGGTTTGATTGAAGATACGCTCCAGGCTATGGAAGTAGCCCGTCAGCTTGGCATACGCGTCCCTACTGTCAAGAGGGTTGTCTATTTCGAGGGCATGGTGTATCTGATTATAGAGCGTGTTGATGGAGTCAGCCTGGAAAAAGCATGGAACAAGCTAGGCTGGATCAAGTCACTAAGACTGGCCCTGGAGCTTCGTGGATATATTCGCTCCTTACGATAGATGATCTCGTCAACCGCAGGGTCTCTAAAGACCGGCGAATGTAGGTCATTCTGGCTCGATGACCTCTATGGATTACCACTACGGTCCAGCTCAGCAAACCTGACATCGTTCCTTTCATTTTGGGTCAACTTTTCCAATCCGCGGGCCGCTATAAAAGTCACTGAAGACCAGCTTCTGGCTACATCCTTAAAGAATTATATACCTTCGACAGCCGAACCATTCGTCTTCACTCATCATGATCTCGCACCTCGAAACATTCTCCTTGACAAATCCGGGCATCTTTGGTTGGTGGACTGGGACATAGCGGGCTGGTATCCTTGCTTTTTTGAGTATGCAGCCATGCATAACTTCTTCCCTGAAGGCTGGACCAGGCTTGCGCGGATGCGGTGGAACCTGCTTACTTGGATCGCAGCCGGGCGTTGGGAGAGGGAAAGGCGCGTGCTGGAACAGATCAGATCCAAATTCACTCGCTTCCGTGCTGGCCGTCGTTTTTATTTGTTAAAGCACAGAGGTCCATCCAGGCGTTCCGTGGATTGACCTGAGATATCCAGCTCCACACTGAAGTTGAGGGCTAACTTTTCGATGACAATTCAAATACCCTCACAACTTGTGCTTAGCTGTTGAGGATTTTTTTATTCTAAGCTCCACAAAGATCTCCAACCCATCAATGTCAAAAGTCATTCTCTAATATATATGCTTGGTAAAATCGACAAGGCCAGAATCTCATCGTGCGGCTCCTTCATGGCCCTCGCCTTGACGGGGCTATTATGAGTCACATCATCCAGCAACAAGCATTCGCATTTAACTCAGGCTGCATTGTGGGGAAGACAACCAGGCCGTTCCGGCTTGCATGCTGAATGGTTATCCCAACCATATTTCCGTCTAACCCATACATTTCAAATGAAGTGAGGGTGGGTTTGGTAAATGTGGCCCAACCTTGGTGCCCAGTTGTAAGGAAATGCAGGAAAGCCGTGCGGGGTTTGCGCCATACGGCGCTCATTTCCAGAATTCAGCTCGCAGCTTGCTGTCAGATGACGTGGCAGCATGAGTTGAAGGTGTTAGCGCAGACGGTTGGAAGGTGAGCCGGCTGCGGGCGAAGCGAGGGAGACTTTTTGCAACAGAGGATGTGAGATAGGGGGAGTCAGCCTCCGAACATTTTAGCTGCTACTTCGTGACGCAGGTGGCGCGGCCGGATCCTCAAGGCATATCCCGCAGCATCCAACCCGACACTTATACCCATAGAGAACCAGAAATACAAAAGGTCCGGATTTTCCATACTACTGCGCTATCGAGCTTCGAAACGCTAAAATAGGCTAAGACGTGAAAAGTAATTACTCGCCAGCTATTTTTACTCTTGAAACCAACCTCTCTCGTTTTAACTCGCCATCATGGTCTATAGAATGATGATATATGTGGATGGGGCATGTCGACGAAATGGCTCTGACAACGCAATTGGTGCCGCTGCCGCCGTTCATAAAAGCCGCCATGGAACAAGGCCTCATTGTTGGGCCCGGCGGCTTGAAGCATATGAGAGTCCCACAAACCAGCAAGCCGAGCTCATTGCCGTTATTCTGGGCCTAGAGATGGCACTGGACAAACACCAACAACTGCGCTCGAACCCGGTGCTTGACATTACAATCCATTCGGACTCGAGATATGCTGTCGACTGCATGAACATTTGGGTTGAAAAGTGGATCCAAAAAAAATTGGATCAATGCTGAGGGAAACGAAGTGGCCAATCGGGGTTTGATTGAGGCGGCCTCAGATCTTGACGACAAGCTCCAGGACCTAGGAGATGTTACATACACCTGGATTCCGCGATCGCGAAATACAGATGCTGACCGTCACTGCAATGAGGTATTGGACGACATGGAGAAAGCCAAAGATTACCAGTGAGCAGGGTATGGTGGCGAAATAGTGAACAAGAAGCAGTGGTTGAGGAGTGCTTTGACAAGGCGCTTCTCGAAGCTTACAACATGCCTGTGTCAACTCGTCCGACCCTGAACGACACCACCAGGATACAATGGGTACGATAGTTAAGACAAGAACATGTATATGACGGCAGTCTTTATCAAGGAGCACTTGCAGTTCTTCATATATACATTCCTTTCGATATTATTGCATGAATAATCGCCAACATCATGCTATGTATCTTCCATCTCTACCATAGCTGATACCGTGGGAATGAATGCTCCATTTCACCGTGCATGGCCTCTTCCCAGAAGCGCACCCCGCGGAGTCGCCCGTGTAGTTGCAGCTTAATTGGGATATGGTCACGTAGAGTCAGCATTGTGTCAATTTTCTGGCTAACTTCATTATCAGTGGGATCACAGATCTGGGGAGTGCTCGCAAGTTTGTCCAGGTCCATGAGGATGTCAGCGGGGATCATTGATGAAGCCTCATCAGTTGCAAAGCCAGCATCTTCATTTGTAACCACTTTGGTATGCTCATTATCAAGTTCCTGTATCATGATTACATCGTTTATCGCCGGCAAGCAGATGTATATGAACTGGAGATACAAGGTCCGGCGTTCCTTTAAGATGCGGTCATGCTCCACCGACCGTTGGTATAGTGGTATAGGACTGAATATGACCACCGCTTCATGGCATGGACCTTCTGGGACCGGACTTGGAGCAACTGTTCAACTATTGCAAGCGCCGCTTCACCCTCAAGACACCCCCATCAGGTGTTCCCTGAGGAGGACAAGCTCCCTGGGGACGAGGTGTTCCCTGTGTGAGATTCGGAAAGACCGACCCTACACTTTCATCCAGCACATATACAGCCGTGATCGGCCTGCTGCTCAACGCCCAACTTCATTTGCTGTTATAAGGGAGATGATGTTCTCTTTCTTTGGAAAAGAGCAGTTCTATACGTTCTTTCAGGCGCATGTTGTGCCCGTAAACGACCCTTCATCGCCTTCGTCGCCAGTTACTCTAGATCCCCATCCTTCAGGCACCCAAACCCGATCTTCTGTTGTTCAGTTGTCGGCAGAGACAACCGGTTTTACTACCTCTAGGACATTTACGTTGCCAGATACGTATATATGCAAGGTGAGGCAGAAACCAGGCCCCTGCAGCATAATCTCTCTTCTTTCACGAATCATGCTAAGTCATTCTCAGCCATGGACGACAACTGGGACACAGATGAGCTCAACTCCGTGGAACTTTCAAGGGAGGTCTCCATGGTGCACATCTGCGGTTACGAGAACCGAGAGAATGCAGGCGACGAAGTGGGCAATCCACCAACCAACCAATGGGCTGTCTTCCTTCAATACGGACAGGCGGCCTCCATCAGGCTCGACATGGTGCCTGGGTATGGTTCAGAAGGGCTGAGAGGGAAACTTCACGTCGCTTCCAAATCCTACATCTCGACGGACAAAGCGATCAAGAGAGTTAGCTTTCCAACCTGTACTGGCCCAACGGTGCAGGCAATAACAGACCTCATCATCCAGAACAGAAGGCAGAAGTATAATTTTACATCGGACTGGGAAGGGTGCAGATTTTGGATATTCACGCTTATCTCTGATCTGGAGACTGCAGGTCTGCTTCCAGCCGGGAGCGGCCAAGAGGCATGGGGAGTGCTGTCTCAATATTGGCGGTATCCGACAGGATCTGAGCCGCGCACCATTGCACAAGGAATGTTTCGTTAAACGATGTTGTCTTGCTGTATTTGGGACGCCTCAGCCTGCCGAGTTTCCTTCGTGCGTCTCATACCCTTGTGAATTGTAGTTAGTTATAAAATTAGAAGAAAGGATTTTGATTCAATCTTTTCCTTTTTTGGTAAATTGTGATTCAAAGCATACGGAGCACAACGTATGTATGTACTTACCGTACATGCTCCGTATATGCGTCCGCTGGGCCGACATCCTGTAAAACAGGTTTTTGGAGGATAAAGTGGCTGTACACCGCAAGCTGTCACGATCTAGACCGCCAGAACGAAATCCCGGGGGGGAGGGGGATGAAAGCGTTCACCCAAGTGGTTGGACAATGCTCAGCCTGTGTATGTTTCACCAGTCTTAATGGAGAAATATATCTGTCCTCCGCATCCCTTCGAACGCGAATTGTTCCTTGAGGATTCGCAAGCGCCCGGAGCTGGGTGACCCACAGGGAATATCTGGATGTGCTCAGTATGTGCGTAATATGCATATGTCTGGCGCAGGGCGGCATTGGCTGCTGGTTGGCTCCAGCCCTACCAATTAACCCTAGCAAGCTCCAAGAAGCGAAAAAGAAACCAAGAAAAAGCAAAAGAAAAAGGGTTAAAAAGGTAGAAAAAGCAAAGAAAAAGGCAGCGACAAGCCTTTCTACCCACCAGCAGGCGGGTGGAGTTTTTAACCAAACCCTGACGTGCGCGAAGGGTGCTGTTTCATCTGGGCTGGGCAGGCCAGTGCTCCACAGCCAACCAGCCTGCAGCGACACCGACGGTGCTTGACCAGGGGACCGGGTTCTCGATCGGCGCTTCGATGGAACAAGAGAAGAACCACCTTGACGAGACACCGCAATCAAATCCACGGATCTCAAACGTCAGTGCAACACGGCCACCGCCCCAACCCCTACGGCCAGGACTCAAGCTGGCGGGAAACGATGGCGAATAGGGACGAGCAGAGCCGGGGGTGGAAGGGCGTTGTTGACTTTTCATTTCCCTTGCTCGTTCGATTTGGCTTTTTCCCGGAGACACCCCATGCCTGTCTTATGCTCTCCATGTTGATCACGGGCGGGTAGAGAAGAGATGCGCATTGCAGGAATAGAACACTTGGTACTTTGATTGACGGTCGCGTGTCCCTCATTCCAAGGTTCTTCAGTTACTCTCTCCCCTTTTTTGGCTCGGAGTTTTTTTTATTTTTGTTGCTTGTTATTAATATCTGAATAAGGGCCCAACATCCGGCCTTCTCTCTCCCTTCCCTCTCTTTTTTCTAAATCCTCCTGCTTACTTGGTGGTTTGCTTGTTGCGTTCTGCTTTCTTCGCCCTTCGTTCAGGTCATTTCATTATCTAGTCTTGTTTCCCGCTCCAGGGGCTCTTCCATTCCGTGCTGTTTGATGCGATTGTAAAACCCATCAAATAAAGCTAATCTGATCGAATATCATTTAATATACACTTGTGCATCCGTTCCCAATCCGCTTCGCTATAGCTCCATCGTCACCATCTAAAGCTAATCAAGATTCGACGATTCCATTCCCGCACGGCGTCATGAACGTGAACAAGAAGCTCGGTCGCTTCAAGCAATGGGCCGGAGAGCGTATGGGTGGCGAGGTGAAGACAAATGTATCGGACGACTTTAAGGCGATGGAAGCAGAGATGGCCCTGAGACATGATGGTATGCTCACCAGGTACCCCGCATCAGCCAGCCCGATAAACCCATTCCTGACACGGCTATAGGGTTGGAGCGTCTTCACAAAGCTATGACGGCCTACATACGGGCGATATCTAAACGTAACGAAGGGGATGGCGGAAAGCTCTTCTCTATAGGGTACCTAGGAGGAGCGATGGTAAACCATGGGCAGGATTTTGAAAGCAATTCCGAGTTTGGGCAATGCCTTATCAGTTCGTACTGCCCCAATGACGTTCGGTCTCATGGCGCGGAGAATGTTCTTTTCGGGCTAACTTGATTGATTGATCATCAGGTTTTGGAAGAACCAATGAGCGTTGTGCTCGGATTCAGGAGCAGTACGTTGCTGACGCGACGTCGAGCTGGCTGGAGTCGCTGGATAGGTCGCTTGCTCAGATGAAGGAATATCAGGTACGAACTGGCTGGCTGTGCCGCAAGAGGTTCTTACGAGTATGTCTAACGATGATTTCAGGCTGCTAGGAAAAAGCTCGAAAGTCGCCGTTTAGCATACGACACTTCGCTCGCAAAGATGCAAAAAGCAAAGCGAGAAGACTTCCGCGTTGAAGAGGAGCTAAGACTACAGAAGGTGAAATATGAGGAGGCTAATGAGGATGTTTACCGACGGATGCAGGATATCAGGGAGTCGGAAGCAGACAATATCTCCGATCTTCGAGCATTTTTCAATGCTCAACTTAATTACCATGACCAGTGCCGAGAGGTGCTGCTACAACTGAGAGATGAATGGCCAACTGGGTAAGAAGTTGTCCTTGCAATCTCTTTTTATTTTTCCAGCTAACTTGTTATTTTATAGTCAAAGTCCCGTCCGTCGACCAAATCTATCCCGCAACACAACTGCACATTCCTTCCACGAGCGATTCGAGACCGAAGATCAGCCGCTAGATGCCCGCCCCCCTATACGACCGACCCGCACAGCTTCCTCCTGTCTCGACTCTCCATTATACAAGCCCCCTCTTAGCCGTACCTCCACCTTCGAAGGACCCACCCAACTTCGAGGTCGGGTATCCCCTCCACACTCAGGCCGGGTCGTCAGCGACAGCGCCTCTATAAACAGCACATCTTCCCATGCCCGCACGGCCAACGGCCGGAACTACGACGGCCATTACGGGTATCCCGACGACGGCATATCGTCATCGCATGGGAAAGTGAGCCCAGACCGCTTCACGTCTAGTTCTCTATCCGGTTCTTCCAGTAATCCGCTTCAAAGTCGGCCTGTGAGTATGGGGCTGTATAGTAATGGTAACGGAGTATCCTCCTCTCAATCGTCTATTCGAGCGAAGAAACCTCCACCGCCACCGCCTCCGAAGAGAAATGCACTTAGAGCGGTGGATATGTAGATGGTTCTTGGCTCGCTTCTTATTTATATGTATGAGTTGATGGGTAATGGCATGTTTTATTTTTAAAAAGGGGTGTCATTTAATCTCTACTACCTTTTTTTCTTTCTTTTTCCAGGTCGGAAAGCTGGGACCGAAAGCAGGTCAGTGGAAACAGGCAAAAGAAAAAGACCAGTCTCTTTTGCTTTTCTTTCTTTTTTTCTGACTCAAGAAGCCGAAATAAACTCTTCTTTCTCTTGTTACTTTATCCCACAGTGTGGATGAAGAAACGGAGGTTGCCCACCTGTCTGGCTCAAGTAGTCCCGTGAATGAGAGGGCAGAAAGGCAACTTCAAAAACTACTTAAAACGTAAAACCCCCCCCCTCCTCTTTTTCTCCCCTGCGGCTAGCGTTCAAGTTGACTTTTTTTTACAACAATAACCGACAACAGCAACATCTCTACTCTCAAAGTTATGCTGCCTACATATAACTTTCTCCTGTATGTAGGTATGGTTCCTTAGCCATGCAGATACGCACAAGGTTCCCATACAGGCGCCTCTTAAGCCTGGAAGGTATGTGAACTGAAGATAATTGAATTCCCTTAGCTAGAAGATAACTAACATACACTTTGCAAATGCAACAAAAGAAGACCACCAGAGCATAAATGGGATCCATACAGTTAAGGATGCTTTAAGGCCACGTCATAGGCCACGGCTTACTGCTTGGCTTCTTTGAGAGTTCCGGGCATAGAGAACCTTAGGATCATGGGGAGAGAGCCAGTCTCGTTAAGGATCTGCCCCACGGCAAGGTGTAGGCGGCAGAGATCTGGAGAAGGGGGAGGGACGGACAAGCTCGCTTCGTTATCCCCGAGCACAACGGGCGAGTTTGGCGGTAGGGATGCGATCTCGGGGACCTGAAGGGCGGCAAGTCGTTCGACGGCGAGGTTGGATCTTGTGGTTCTGGGGGCTGTTGTTGCTGCTGGTTTAAGGGACCAGTAGAATTCTCGAAAGCTGTCTGTGATGGCTTCGGACATGAAGATTGCGTTTTCGGGCTTGTCGATTATCGATCGGATTGAGTGGATCCGTCCTCCGGTAAAGACTTGGACGAGGTGCTGGGCTTTGTCGTCGTTGCGTAGGCATTCGGGAAGGATTCGCATGGGGACTACCTTTCCAGGCGCTCTGTTGTTGAATCCAAATGCTTCGACGCTGTATACTCCGGTAATCGCACAGCGGTCCATCTCTCTAGTTGATACCTGTGCCCGGAAAGGTCAGCCGCAGGCTTAGGAGACGAATTGCTCCCCTCCCCGGGGGGGGAGGGGGGGGGGCTCACATTTAAGTCTAGCCTATACTCGCTGTCGGAGTCCGTGGACGAGAACGATTGCATATCTTTATCCATTACTACCAAGAGTTCTCAATAAGGATCCGGATAGACTCGAAAAGGACCAGAAGAGCAGCAAAACTCACGCGGCAATACAAACTTAATCACCCAGAGATATACAAAGTTGATTATTGCGTGTTGGAAGTCCTTGTTGGCCTTGATTTGATGGGTAAGGGATTCGACTGTCCAAGGGGTTCTCTTGAAGCCTACAGTCTGCAGTTTCACCAGAAGTTCATCGCTGACAGCTGTGGGACAGATGCAGCGCTTAAGAAGGCTGAGCATGAACGAGCGAGTGTTAATCCAGGACCCAGTCTGTGCATTGAGCTCTGTGTTCGGGAGATCTTGGGACTGCAACAGTGTGAAAACCTGTGTCAGATGTTCAGCTTCTAGCACAAGGTTGTGAGCCATTATGGATGTCCTGCTGATGACTTGATATCTTGGTTTAAATGTTCTTCTTAGAGGAGCGGGCTTGATACGGTTGAGAGAAAAGTCTTAATATTCAAAGGAGCAAAACAACTCAATAAAATCCAGCAATATGAAGTCCTAGAGAAAGTGCAGGCAAGTTATAATGAAGCATCCTGAGTTCAAGGTGACGGAACAGAGATGATGGATCAGGGTGAACAGACTGAGGGGAGGATGACGCTTCCGAACCACTTTGCAACAGACACCAAGTGAAGCAGAAAGAAGTGAGGAAGGGAAATGAACACAGCCTAAGAGAGGAAGAGGATTGTATCACAGACTGTGCTTAGTCGTCGTTCACAGAACAGAGGAGCAGTTGTGGTCACCTGCAGCTCGGCGCTGCTCCTGACATCCTGTTCGGGAAGGCAGAGCAGACAGACGGGAGAATGGGAAAAGGGAATTGCACAGAGAACATATATGCTGTGTGCCTCCTGGTTCGCGAACGGAGCTCTGGGTATTTGGAAATGATCATTATCCCTGTTCGAGGGGTCCTTTGTAGCCATGGCCCGGGAGGGAAAACGTGGCATAGCAATATCTGTTTCTACTATAGTTTTCCTTGAGAGCTTTTGACAATATGTCTGTAACATCTTTCTCTCCATTAAAGCGACTGGGTTCCAGGTTAAAAGACTCTTGAGAATTGAAGAAAGAAAGGGATCGGCTTCACCAAGGAATTATCCCCTACTACGGAGTAGATAGATTAAAATCGTAGTCCGGGTTCGATTCTCCCTCGAATCTGCCTCCACAGACTGCAGATTTCGGGCACGGAGGTCGTCAGCCCTTACTCCTGCCAGGCCCAATTCAGCCTCAGGTCTCCAGGCGCAGGGCGTGCGGCCAGCCAGGTAAAATAAATACATACATACCATTCAAGTCGAGGAGATGCTTCAGGGGGTTGAGCTGCGCTGACTCAGCAGCTGGTTGAGACCCACGCATCTTTCCCGTTCGGGCGATCGTGGCTGGCGAGTGGCGGTTGCGCTGACTCAGCACTTCTGCCACGTGACACCCCAAATCTTTGACAGGATTTGTTGCTGTTTCCCTTCTCCCATCACGGCTCAGCCCAGGTTCACAGTCCTCCACGGGAGTTTTCGCGACAGCTGATTCCCTCCATCCCCATTTCATCAACCAGAGGCCTGGACATACTACCCTTACGCGTTTCCACCCATTCACCGCCCCTGAGTGCGCGCCAGCGCCCGCAACCTTCCCTTGGCAACACCTTGCATGTATTTTCTATTTTGCCTCCTGTTGGTTCGGTGTCGCTCCGCCATAGCTTAGAGGGAATCTTATCTGCCAAGCATCAAAGAACATCGGATCTTAGTCCCGCGCCGCGCTTCAAGCCCGTACTGTCGCGTTCCGCCCGATAATCTCCGGATTCCTGTACAATAGTAGCCTTCGCGACCGACCCCCTCCTCCCGCTACGCACCCAGCGCCAAAACCGGATACCGGATTTCCCCCCCCCCCCCCCCAGACCACTCCCCCTTCCCTTGGGGCGACCGCCAATTGTTCATGAATACTCTCCGCAGATAGGCAATGGCTTCCCTTCAGGCAGGCCCCAATATGGCGGCCATACAGTCTGGTCTTCCTCCCAACCTTACTCAACAACATATCCAAGAAGTCTATCAGGTAAGCATGGACCGCACTCCTTTCATTCACCTTTGGATTCTTCCTTCATCTATGCTTCCCCCAACCTCAACCATTAAACCTACCTAGATTTACTCTCAAATATCGTGCTAATTTTTGCAAAATAGAAATATCGGCATATGCAAGAGCAAGGCGTACGCCCGGATGATCCCGAGTTCCTCAAAGCGCACCACCTTCTTTCCGCCGTCCAGCGCCAACAGGCCATTCATAAGCAACGACAGCTACAGCAGTTGCAAGCGCAACGATTACAACAAACCCAACAGCAGCAGCAGCCACAGGCGCAACAGCACGTCCCACAGGCAAATGGAGTTTCGCCCGATGGCGTTCCCAATGGGATTGATGGTAATATTATTCGAGTTCCAATATGAGCATAAAATCATGGGATCCAGATGTCGCTAACATTCTTTTTCCTTGGTTTTCAATAGGCCGAAATGGATCCGTCAGCGGAAACGGCTCTGCAGCCCCAGACTCTGCGCCTGGGCAATCCGGATCAGCGACCACTGCGGCAGCTAGTCAAAAGAATGCGACCGCAGGGATGACCAGCTTTACACCGGAACAGTTGACCATTCTTAAAAACCAGATCCTTGCATTCAAGATGCTTTCCAAAAATTTACCCATTCCTCCCAGAGTACAACAGCAGCTCTTCGCAAATAAGAAGAGTATGCCCATTGGAGGCACCGATGGAGCTGTTTCACTTGACGGTGCGTCGGATGGTGCTAGCCAGGCCCGCGAAACTGGGCCTAAAGCGGATGACGCCTCGGCAAACATACCAAAAACTATGTACCAGTCCTTCCAATCTCCCTACGAGGCACTTCTAGCTCGCATCAGCTACGGCAGCCATTCAATGCGCAAATACAGACTTAGGATCCCGAGCCTTATGCCTCTTGGCATAGATTTAGATAGGTTTCGGGAAGAGAGAGAGATCATATTGTATAATCGTATTTCTGCACGAAAAGCCGAATTGGCTAAGCTACCAGCTAACTTCAGTGTGTGGGATACCAGCAAGGGAGACTCGCCAGAAATGGTTGATGACTCTCTCAAAGTGAGAGCATTGATCGAGCACAAGATGTTGAACCTTCTCCCGAAACAGAGAATTCTGCGCAACAAGCTACAGTATGAAATGATTCACTATGACAATTTAATTATGTCGGCCAACCGCAGTAGCCACCGGCGCATGAAGAAGCAATCGCTCCGCGAAGCGCGAGTCACTGAGAAACTCGAGAAACAGCAACGTGATGCGCGTGAGACCAAGGAGAAGAAGAAACAGTATGATCAACTGCAGGCGATCCTCAATCATGGTCGCGAAGTTATCAATGCTGGAATTCAGCAGCGAGCGCGATCTCAGAAGCTCGGCCAGATGATGCTTCGACACCACCATGACATGGAGCGTGAAGAACAGAGACGTGTTGAAAGAACCGCCAAGCAGCGTCTCCAGGCCTTGAAGGCGAACGATGAAGAAACGTACATGAAATTGCTTGGTCAAGCCAAGGATTCGCGTATCTCTCATCTACTCAAGCAAACGGATGGCTTCCTCAAGCAGTTGGCTCGCTCTGTAAAAGAACAGCAAAGGACTCACGCAGAAAGATATGGAGGAGATGAGCATCTGTACGAAGATTCTGAGATTGAGTCCGATGAGGAAGACGAGGAAGGAGAGAGCCGTAAAGTTGATTACTACGCTGTGGCCCATCGGATCAAGGAAGATGTTACCGTGCAGCCGTCTATCCTTGTTGGTGGTACTCTCAAAGAATACCAACTCCGAGGTCTTCAGTGGATGATCTCACTTTACAACAATAATCTTAACGGTATCTTGGCCGACGAAATGGGTCTCGGCAAAACCATCCAGACTATCAGTTTAATCACATATCTGATCGAGATGAAGAAGCAAAACGGGCCTTTCTTAGTTATTGTTCCTCTCAGTACGCTAACCAACTGGACGCTCGAATTTGAGAAATGGGCGCCGTCGGTTTCTCGTATCGTCTACAAGGGACCGCCCAACAGTCGCAAAGCACAACAGCAAGCTATTCGGTGGGGACAATTCCAAGTCTTGTTGACAACCTACGAATACATCATCAAGGATCGGCCGATTCTGAGCAAAGTGAAATGGGTTCATATGATTGTCGATGAAGGCCACAGAATGAAGAATACTCAATCGAAGTTGACGCAGACTCTCACCCAATACTACACCTCGCGGTACAGACTTATTCTCACTGGTACCCCCCTCCAAAACAACCTTCCTGAGCTCTGGGCGCTTCTCAACTTCGTCCTTCCAAATATTTTTAAGTCTGTTAAGTCCTTCGATGAATGGTTCAATACCCCATTTGCGAACACGGGTGGTCAGGATCGTATGGATCTCACCGAAGAAGAGAAGCTACTCGTTATTCGTCGCTTGCACAAGGTACTTCGGCCGTTCCTACTTCGTCGATTGAAGAAGGATGTCGAGAAGGATCTTCCTGATAAACAGGAGCGTGTTATCAAGTGTCGCTTCTCCGCATTGCAGGCCAAGCTGTATAAACAACTGGTCACTCATAACAAGATGGTGGTCAGCGACGGCAAAGGCGGTAAGACAGGCATGCGTGGTTTGAGCAACATGCTTATGCAGCTACGAAAGCTGTGTAATCATCCATTCGTGTTTGAATCGGTTGAGGAAGAAATGAATCCAGGAAAGGGTACCAATGATCTCATTTGGCGTACGGCTGGTAAATTCGAACTGCTCGATCGAATTCTGCCAAAATTCAAGGCGTCTGGGCATCGTGTCTTGATGTTCTTCCAGATGACTCAGATCATGAACATCATGGAAGATTTCTTGCGCTTCCGCGGTCTTAAATACCTGCGTCTCGACGGTTCTACGAAGTCGGATGATCGATCCGAATTGTTGAGACGCTTTAATGACCCTGGATCAGAGTACTTCTGCTTCCTTCTCTCCACACGAGCTGGTGGTCTTGGTTTGAACCTGCAGACCGCCGACACTGTCATTATTTATGACTCAGATTGGAATCCTCATCAGGATCTTCAAGCTCAAGATCGTGCACATCGTATCGGTCAGAAAAACGAGGTCCGGATTCTCCGATTGATTAGCTCCAACTCCGTTGAAGAGAGGATCCTTGAACGAGCGCAGTTCAAGTTGGACATGGACGGAAAGGTTATCCAGGCCGGAAAGTTCGACAATAAATCGACAAACGAAGAGCGTGATGCTTTGCTTCGTACCCTGTTGGAAACCGCCGACTCCGCAGACCAGGCGGGCAAAGAGGACGAGATGGATGATGACGATCTAAACGATATCATGGCGCGGTCTGATGAAGAACTCACTCTTTTCCAAAAGATCGACGAAGAGCGAATGAAAACCGATCATTACGGCCCCGGACATCGACATCCCCGCCTGATGGGTGAAGATGAGCTTCCTGATATCTATTTAGCAGAAGACAACCCTGTTGCCGAAGAACCCGAGGAAATTACTGGACGAGGTGCCCGAGAGCGAAAGGTCATGAGATATGACGATGGTCTCACTGAGGAGCAGTGGGCCATGGCAGTAGACGCCGAAGATGATACTATCGAGGAGGCCATCGCTAGGAATGAGGCTAAAATGGAGCGAAGACGACTCAATAAGGAAAAACGAATGAGAAAGGCTCAAGGTATAGATTCCTCACCGGAACCTTCTAGGGAACCGTCTGCCACGCCGCAACGGGCCAAAGGACGACGCAAGGGCCCCGTGTCCAAGCGGAAGGCCGATGAGGTAATAGAGGAGGCCCCTGCCAAGCGTCGAAGAGGCAGACAGAGCAAAGCTGCGATAGCAGCCGCTGCTGCTGCGACAGAGACGCTGAATAACGCAGATCGTGAGGTCTTGCAAACCATTCTCAATAAGGTTTACAAGATCCTCATGGGACTCCAAGCGGAAGTCCCTGCTGATTCTTCAGATACTGATGACGAGCCGAGCACGCGCCCGATCATCGATCCATTCCTAAAGCCACCACCGAAGAGCCAGTATCCGGATTACTACGTTATCATCCAAAATCCCATTGCCATGGATACGATCAAGAGGAGGATCAATCGAGATGAATATCAAAGTCTGAGAGAGTTCCTAGATGATATTCGCCTATTATGCAATAATGCCAGGACCTATAATGAAGATGGCAGCATTCTTTTCCAGGATGCGAACCAGATTGAGGTAAGCTAGGGAGAGCGTTCGTTTTAATAATTTAAAATGCATTTCTGACGACCTCCCCCCATTAGGCCGCTTGCATCGCAGCTTTGAAGAAGGAATCTGAAAAGCACCCCGATTTTGCCGACTTTGACGAGTCCGTAGATGGGTCGACGGCCGCTGTTTCAAGTGCTGGAACTCCTCTTGCGTCTGGTGCCACGCCGTCACAGAAACTCAAATTGACGTTCAATAGCTCGAGAGCAAACGGAACTGACAGCGCTGCTGTAAGTGATGAGGAGTGATCGTGGGGTCTCAAAATTCTTCTACTCCGCTCCATCTCCCTTCCAAATGCGGTTCGAGATTGAAAAGTGCGTTGCGGGCCGTCTTTGGCGCCTTTTTCTGCCGTCATGATCGCTGCCTTTGAACATCCTAATGGGCCACTCTACCATATCCTTCACGAATCTGCACCTCCTTGACTTAAAACTATTTTCTAGTGTATCTTCACTACAATTTTTTGGGACTTTATTCTTATTCTGATACCTCGTCGTGGTCCCCCGCCCCATGCGAGGCCGGCGTTGGGCCTATCATCGAAATGGTTTCTTTGTATTCTGGCGAGAGGGTCACGGTTGGCAAACATTGCGGATGGCGGAACGAAATGAATATCAAGTTTTGTTACATATGGGGTGGAAAGAAATGCTTCTGAAATTCCTTATCCCTTTAGTGCCATTTTCCTTTTTTTTTTTTTATTTTCTTTACTTCAGCGTTGCTCCCTGTGAAATTCTAGGTCCTCTTTTTCTTCCTTTCTTCTTCGATTTCTTTTCTCGGTCAAAATCGTGCTACATTTCTTCTTGTAGCCAGTACCCAATTAAGTCTTTGATATTTTCGTGTGGCTGGAATTGGCATCCGACTTTCTTTGTCCCCCAGTTTGTGATGTCTTTTAGATTTACTACGAATGAGACAGGTGGGAAGCGAAGAGAGAACCTTTGAGGATTAGGTTATCTATTAATGCATGATGTATTTTATGGATTGATTCGGGGATTCGAAAATTGATACAGTATGAGATCGTAGCACACCTCGTTGTCCACCACCCAACAAAAAGGAGCAATCCCTCTATCAAAGCCTCGAGGGACGGAAGGATTTATTTCTTTCGACAAGACGTCTAGCCTGTTAATAACACAACTTTAGTACTCTCCGATTCACAAAGGCCCTTTTGAGCCGTGACTGCCGTTATGTCCACACAATGGTATCCATCGCACAAAGAGCTCCTTGCAGGAGAACCTCGCTAGAAACGGAAACATTCGACTATATCTCACCGGGGCTGCTGATACGACACCTCAGCCGACAACATATCATACCGGACGCCGGCCACTGAACCGAACAGCACGGCTTCAACGATACACCTTTGTCGATAGGCTCCGTCGAGTGCCCCCGTCGCATCAAAAGGCAGGATGACCGAGCGGTTAAGGTGGTAGGTTCAAGTTCACGTGATCCCATGTGGCTTCGCCTCGTGAAGTGGCGGAAAATTCTACTGGGGGCAACCCCGCCAGGGTTCGAATCCCTGTCCTGTCATGGTCTTTTTTGCTCTTTGCGTTTGCTCAGCGCGAGGGTGTTGAGGGGAGCTTCTTTTTCTTTTAATATTTTTAACCCCCTTCTATCTCTTTGGAATGGGTGGGCGGGCTCGCGAAAGAGCTTTTTGAGTTTCCTGTAGCGAGTTGTGCTCGATGGTTTTGGATAATACTCCCGCTGCCACATTCTGGGGATGGGGCAAGGTGGACAAGTCAAAACAAAACCCATCCAGACAGAAAATACGGAGTACACAGAATGAGGGGAAAAAAAAAAAAGAGAGAAGCTCTCTCTCCAAAAAAGAGACTGACCAAGCTGAGACTCGAACTCAGGACCTTTTCGGTGTTAACGAAACGTGATAACCAACTACACCACTCGGCCGGCTTATGGTATATTTGCAGAGCATTGAACTCAAGACCAACCGCGGATACGAGAGGCCGGAAAAGGTTAATAGCGGCTTTTGCCATCCGGGATATCCAGCCGTGCTTTGCTGAGCAGAATGGATCCTCCCGCAAATTTGCAATAGTTGTCCGGGAACATTGTTGTTCGGCTCTCTAACCGCCAATACCGGGTTTGATACAGAGTAGACTGGCGAGCTTGGCTGCGCGATCTCACTGCTGAAACCTCTGGCGAAAAGAAGTCAGACAAGCAGCCTGCTGGCTGGCGTATCCTCCGTGTCCTCGCCCGCGGTTTCGCTTTTCAAAACCTAAAGTGACACAGACTTATGATAAGGTTTTGCTTAGAAAGGGATAAAGTCTAATAGCCAGAGATAATGGCAGGCTGTATAAAAGTACGCATCTCAATATATGTCACAGTGGTAATGCAATCAGGGAATCAAATGGGACTCTGGGAAGATAACACAAGTAAAAAATACATATGCTGTGAGCAGGAAAGTCGCGGCAATCACGACCCAAAGCCGTCAACCTTAGATCAAATCTCTCTTCACAAATTCGGCATGTAGAGTCTTTCCAAGAGCCGCTGGGCTTCGCTCGACAATCACACCCGCTGATTCAAGGGCAGCAATCTTCGAGTCTGCTCCACCTTTACCTCCGCTAACGATAGCACCTGCATGACCCATGCGGCGGCCTGGGGGGGCGCTGATACCGGCAATGAACCCGACAGCTGGCTTGTTTGCCTTGTTTTCAGATCTAAGGAACTCCGCAGCATCTTCTTCAGCGCTACCTCCAATTTCACCAATCATGATGATACCGTCGGTCTCTTCGTCCTCAAGGAAGACGCGAAGGCAGTCGATGAAGTTGGTACCAGAGAAAGGATCACCGCCGATACCAACGACGAGGGACTGACCAAGGCCAGCTTGGGTGGTTTGATTCACAGCCTCGTACGTAAGGGTTCCTGATCTGGAGACAATGCCAATACGTCCTCTCTTGTGGATAAATCCGGGCATAATACCGATTTTGCATTGGCCCTGGGGGTTTAAAGACCAGCAGTTAGCTGGTGTTCAATTCAATAAACCCGTTGAAGAATGGATGCAACATACAGGGGCAATTATTCCGGGACAGTTAGGACCGACTAATCTGGTCTTGCTTTGGGTCTTCAAAATATCCGTAATGCGAACCATATCTAATATCAATTAGTAAATTTTTCGCTGGATATCACAGTAATATACCGTACCATGCTGAGGGATTCCTTCTGTAATGCTGTGTCCAAAGTTAGTGTGTGTTGAATAATCACTGGGACACGAGGGTAACAAACCAGACAACAAGGGGCATTTCAGCCTCAATTGCTTCTTCTATACTTCTAGCCGCCACTGGGGGACTGAATTCTTGTCAGAAAAGAGGAAGGAGGCCTTAGAGGGCGAGAGGAAGCTCACGGAACGAAGATCGCAGAGGCATTGGCGCCGGTTTCCTTCATGGCATCTCTCACCGTAGCAAACACGGGGCGATCAAGGTGCATCTCTCCAGCCTTCTTGGGATTGGTACCGCCAACGACATTGGTGCCTAGAGTATATCAGATGCTGGCTCTCTTTCAAGTGTGGCAGAACGACGCTACCATAGTCAATCGCCTGTTGGGCATGGAATCTAGCATTGAGGACACATATCAGTATCAACGTCTCTCCTCAACCGCCTGAGGACATTGCCACACTTACGTTCCTTGCTTTCCAGTGAATCCCTGGTAGAGAACTCTTGTTTCGCTGTTGATCCGAAGATTATCGATCGTGGAAGCGTAGCCAGACGTAGGCTTAGAATATCCGCGCTGCTGGACGCGGACGGCGCTCCGCAGGGCAGACAGTGTGCTGCGTCTGAAGGACTGCATTTTTTTTAAAAGAAAAACTCAGAGCGTGAAAGAAACAAAAAGAGAGAAGGAAAAGAGAAACCAAAAGCAGAGAGAGCTCGAGTCGGCCCTTGGGAGTATTTTTTTGACGACGTTCGTGTTGACGACGGGATGGCTTCCCGACCAATCTTTGACGGTTCTTGGCTACTACTGGGGGTGGAAGTGTGTTTTTGCGGTTCCTCCCACCTGAACCTTGTCGCGGAGTATCACGAAAATTATGACAGATCTTTGACGCTTCTCCGCCGTGCTCCACCGCCACCTGTTTCCGCTCTTGTAATCGGCTCTTCGTGGTATCACTAAATCATAGACGGGGCCTCCTTTGTTTATTGTGTGAAATTCTAGTTTTACGCTGCGTCCATAACCGTCAACATGGCGACGGAGACTCTGACTCTACGTCCCGCCACCCAGCAGCGCAAAGTGCCCAAGGCTGCGAAGCTACCTCCCGAAAATGAGCGCTATATGAGAGCCTGTTCGGACATAGCGAATGCGCTGATTCAGGACTATGAGGCTCAAAGGGACTCAACGAAGCCCAAAAAAGATATCAACCTGAACAAGCTGCGGGGTCAAATTTCGAAGAAGCACAGCTTGAGCACTCAGCCTCCTCTAACAGCAATCATTGCAGCAGTCCCAGAGCATTATAAGAAGTATATTTTGCCGAAGCTGATCGCAAAGCCGATAAGTAAGTGTGGTTCGCTGTTGACGTCTCTATCATGCACTGATTATTGATTTTCTCCAGGGACATCTTCCGGTATTGCGGTTGTTGCTGTTATGTGCAAGCCTCATCGATGTCCTCATATTGCATACACTGGAAACATTTGCGTGTATTGTCCAGGCGGTCCTGATTCCGACTTTGAATACTCCACCCAGTCCTATACCGGATACGAGCCGACGTCAATGCGAGCTATCCGCGCCCGCTATGACCCTTTCGAGCAAGCGCGAGGGCGGGTGGACCAGATCAAATCCCTTGGCCACAGCGTGGATAAGGTGGAGTATATTATCATGGGTGGCACGTTTATGTCTTTGCCAGAGGACTACAGAGAAGAATTCATAGCCCAGCTCCATAACGCGCTCAGTGGATATCAAACAAACAATGTTGATGAAGCGGTCCAAGCCGGGGAGATGAGCAATATCAAATGTGTCGGAATCACGATAGAGACACGTCCAGATTATTGTTTGGACACTCATCTCAGTGCTATGCTCAGGTACGGCTGTACGAGATTGGAGATCGGTGTGCAGAGTCTTTACGAAGATGTCGCAAGGGATACGAACCGAGGACACACTGTGGCGGCTGTGGCGGAGACGTTTAAACTGGCGAAGGATGCTGGTTTCAAGGTCGTCAGCCACATGATGCCAGATCTACCTAACGTGGGGATGGAAAGAGATTTGTTCCAGTTCCAAGAATACTTTGAGAACCCAGCCTTCCGAACGGACGGTCTGAAAATCTACCCAACACTAGTCATCAGAGGTACCGGTCTCTATGAGCTTTGGCGGACTGGTCGCTACAAGAACTATACCCCAAATGCTTTGATTGACATTGTCGCTCGCATCCTTGCCCTGGTGCCCCCATGGACTCGTATCTATCGTGTGCAGCGTGATATTCCTATGCCTCTTGTCACATCCGGCGTTGAGAACGGTAACCTTCGCGAACTCGCTCTTGGTCGAATGAAAGATTTCGGCACCACTTGCAGAGACGTGCGGACTCGAGAAGTTGGAATTAACGAAGTCAAGAATAAGATCCGACCAAGCCAGATTGAGCTAATTCGGCGTGATTACGTCGCCAATGACGGATGGGAGACTTTCCTTGCCTATGAAGACCCGAAACAGGATATTCTCATTGGCCTTCTCCGTCTACGAAAGTGCAGTGCAAAGTATACCTTCCGCCCAGAGCTTACCGGTCAACAGACTAGTTTGGTCCGTGAGCTGCATGTATACGGTTCAGCTGTTCCCGTTCACGGTCGTGATCCTCGGAAGTTCCAACATCGCGGATTTGGAACCCTGTTGATGGAAGAGGCCGAGAGGATAGCAAGAGAGGAGCATGGAAGTCGAAAGATTAGCGTCATCTCTGGGGTCGGTGTCAGAAGTTATTACGCAAAGCTTGGGTATTGGCTCGATGGACCATACATGAGCAAGATGCTCGATCCAGTGGAGCCGGAAGATGCTGAAGAATAAGGTACTATACAACCAAAATCTATGGTCATGCTTTTGATTGTTGCTGTGTATCAATCTATTAACGCTCAGATGGGCGCTTGTTTCCTCACTGGCGTTGGTTTGCTCCTTTATCTTTCGAAAAAGAGTAGGAAGAAGTTGTCTGGTTATTGGGTTCATTGGTTTTAAAGGCGTTATCAAAACAAGGTGCCATATGATGCTATCCAAATGGTCCATTTCTTCGGCGTTTTGGTTCACGAACAACGACAAAAGCTCATGTATATATGATGAATACCTGTTAAGGTTCGCTCCAAGTTTTGAATATAAATATTGCCTCCTGCTGTTGTTTGCACAGACAATACAGAATACTCTGCAATAGCATGTAGCTGAATCTCTATTGGACCACATTGATTGTGCATTACACTAAAGTAAGCTGCCGTCTGAGACTTCTCCATTGATCACAGGTCAACAAAGGTAAAGACAAGATTTCTGTCGGTATAAACTTGCGTTGATCTATTAACTCGTCCATCAACCGAAGGGACGAAACCACCCTAGCATCATTAGTTGGGTAGATATCATATAATATAAAACTTCCCATCAACCAAAAGCCTGGTTTCTGTAGATATACACATATAGTATGGAATATGACAAAACCAAGCTAAGAACCGAACAAGCCACGTTTATCACACGCCTATCAACTCGCAAAGGTTCTACCTGCTGTGCGAGGAGCAAAAGAATTGTAAAACTTAGAATCCTAGACAAGAAACAGCCGTATACTCCGCGATCCGTTTTGAAAACAAATATATCAAGGAAATCGTATTAGAATCGATGCAAGTGCATCTCATCACTGTTCATTTTCGAGTCGCTTAGGACAAGGTTATCGCTCCTCTTCGACTTGATCGAACGTGGAGGTATGCTTGTAGACCGCAAAACACAGCAAATGCCTAGATGGATTTGGTCCATAGTTAGAATTCGATGTTCTCGGAAGGATTTTATCGAGATACATGGCAACGAGAGCGTATCACGTAGATAGGCAGTTTGGGATGGGGGGAAACATCGGAACCCCTGTGACGTACGGCATATACTATAACAGCAGTGAAAATGGACCCTGCGACTGCGGTACCATCTTTAGGGTCGTCTCTCGAGCCCATAAGCGAGTGGTGGTTGCGCTGGAAGTTGGACTGTTAGCCGATGATATGACTCCCGGGAGGTAAACAGCAGGCGCGCACGCATCTGCGGAACGTAGCCGGAGGGTGGGAAACGTACTTTATACAGCGAACCAATGACGGAGAGAATAATGACGGCGAAGATGGAGATGATGAAACTGGAATCGTCCATGTTAGCCCTGGCTTCACGTTTTGTGCTGGATGGAGGGACGTCTTACCAACTCCACGCATTGAGCGCGGAGACGACGGGCTTCATGGTGGTTGAGAGGAAAGAATTTGAGAAACAGTTAAGGGAAAATATAAATTTTGATATGTCACCAGGGAAATGATTGTTAGAGGAAATGAGAGTGCCCGTAGGTGGTGGTACTGGTGCTTGGCTGGTGAAGGTCGAGAGAAGAGAGGGTGGTGATGCTTGGGGCTTCGACTTAAGCTTGTTGCGTAATTATATTTTAGCTCCAAGATTACGATGGATTTATATAAAACAACCTTGGAAAACACGAGAAGTTTGTGGATTTGTTTGAAGATATCTAATTAAAAATATGAAGAAACATATTTATCGAAATTCTTAATAGTCGCTTGTGAAAATCGTCAGAGCATAGAATCCTCTCTATTTAGTGCTGCCTAATGACCCCAGAGGGCAACTATATCGAGAGGGCTATGACACCGACATTGGCCTTGTACCAATGCTTCAGAATCCCAAGTATATCCTGGCAAGCCGATCGCTAAAGATATAGCATGGCAATTCACCTATCTATATAAGGCATATCTGTCTGATATTATACTAGTCTCCGTTGGCCTTATTCCATTGCACACACTCTGCAAATGTCACGCCACTCCCTCCAAAAATATCCAGCGCGCTGCCAATGGTCAGGTCGACCTTTCCCTTACTGCTTGTCTTGACACGGTCGAGGTCTGCTAGACCTCGTCCGCCTCCAGCGTATGTCACTGGGATGGAGCACCATGCCGCCAATTTTGATACCAGTTCGTCGTCGATTCCTTGCTGCAACCCCTCGACATCAGCGGCATGGATCAGAAACTCAGAGCAGTAGGGCTCGAGCATTCTAATCGTTTCTAGGACAAAAAGTTAGTCTTCATTTAGTCCCATATCCGGGTTTCGAGGACGTTGTGCATCCATACCCTTATTAATTTCCATTTCTGTAATCGTCTGCCATCTATTCATAGCAACAAACCAAGTATTCTCTCTCCTTCGGCAGCTTAAATCCAGTACTAATTTGGACTTGTCATTCCCAAGCGCCGTAAGGATTGCTTGGAGTCGCTCCATTGAAAATTTACCCTCAGGAAAAAGGAAAGATGTGATGACGACCTACTATTTTCACGTCAGCCGCCAGTACACGCCAACGCGATAGTTGTGATTGCAGGGGCGCATGGATGAGAGCCCACCTTTTCAGCTCCAGCATCTATCCAGTACTGTGCGTTTTTATCTGTGATACCCCCGGCGACATGTAGCCCTCCCGGCCACGCAGCTAGCGCTTCCCTCGCCGCATCATCATTCCCAGGCCCCAGCATGACCACATGCCCGCCCGTTAAGCCATGGTCCTTGTAGAGCTTTGCGAAGTGCCCCGCCGGAAGCGCAGAAACGTAATTCGTTTTTAGCTCCCCAGGCTCGGCGGTCAGAGTGCCGCCAACAATTTGTTTTACCTGACCTGCATGGAGGTCAATGCAGGGACGAAACCGTGTCATCCTTCAACGGGTGAAGCAATGTGCATTTAATCCGGCCCATCAAGGACGCTGGTAATTCGACCAACTACCATCCCGCCGCGCATTATAGTCACGTGATATATTTCAATGACATAAGCGCAATTCTGAATTTTTGCCTGTCAGGATGGGAGCGGAAGCTGATCTCGAGATACCTGCATCAGAGAAACGCGAAGGAAGCTGAAGATGCTGGGGAAACGGAAACGGGAGGCTACAGTGGTCTCTCGGCCTGCTGAGCAAGAAGATGATCCTCTCGCCGTTCCGCCCAACTCCCACGACCTTCTCCGAAAGTATTTTGAAGCTCAGTTCGAGCCATTGGACGTGCCGCAGAAAGGAAAGGCTTCTGTCGCAAATTCTCCAGATACGGAATCTGATGATGACAAGGAAGATTCTGAATGGAGTGGCATCTCCGACGATGACGGGGACGACACTTCCCCTTCCGACACGGTTCCGGAGGTGGTTGATCATAGCACTTCTCACAACATAACTAAAGATGGTTTTGAAAAAGAGCTTCGGAAACAGTTCATGGTACGTCTCACAAGTACGGGTGGCTGGCGGATTAACACATTTGGCTTATTCTGACCACGTTTACGTTTCTTTTAGTCGGCAAAGCCGCCGTCCTCGTCTCAGATGAAATCTAAAACCACAGCAAAGCGGAATACGAATGCATCCGACGGCGACGAAGGAGCTGATGATGCGATGAATTTGAAAAACGACCTTGCCTTACAACGCTTGCTAAAGGAGTCTCATCTCCTTGAGTCTGTCGACGACCTCAATCCTACCGGGAAAAATCGTCACCGTGCACTTGATATTCGTATGCAAACTATCGGAGCAAATGATTCGATCTATATGCAGAAAAAGATGCCAATGTCTCACAGAAAGGGGATAGAAGCTAAAGTAGCAAAGAAAGACGCGACAAGACGACGCGAAGCAAAAGAAAACGGAATTATTCTTGAGAAGCCTACGCCGAAACGGAAGGTCAGCAGTGCGAGAAGGGAACGGGGCATTGGCGGACCGTCCGTTGGAAAATTTTCTGGAGGCACACTAAGATTGAGCAAGCGGGATCTCGCGGATATCCAGGGCCCACGAACAATGAGCAAAGGCAAGAAAAGGGGTCGCAGGTGACCAGCTTAGCGGCTAAAGAACAGATCGCCGCTGTATCCTCCTGCCACAAATTTTGAGTTAATGTCAAAATGATTTGATAGGAGCAGCATTCTATCACAATCTGCGCCCTTACTTGACTATTGCTGAGGTTAAAATCCACGTGTTGGACGAGCTATCTTCGCCCATCAGCGGGCCCGTATCGGAAACTTCAAGCCACCGCTTCGAACCAAGACATGCATGAAGCGTGTGAGGCGGAAAAATGGCTGGTTTCAGGCGCTCGTTCCTGGCTACTGCGTGTCAGAGATTTGCAGAAATGCTGTTGAAGTGGTGCTAGTCCTGGCGCCGTCGACCACGCTAGATTGGATTTCCCCGCAGATATTCAGCAGCGCGTGGCGCACTAACTCCGTCTGGATTCCGGAAAAGTCGACGAGACAAGAGAACGAAGAAAGTTTCTTCCGCTTTGGAAGTTGGGACCCTTTTTATTTTTTATTTTATTTTATTTTATTTTATTTTATTTTATTTTATTTTTTTTTTTGACTACTAGTTAGCGCAAACAAGCCGGATCAAGCGGCTACTATGATGACCCCGTCCTTTCACACCCTGAATGTTGGCTCTTTTCGGCAGCCTGGTCTCCCCGGTCACGAATTTGCCTTCTTTTGCCTTGTAGAGGGGTGATCTTGGTAGAAGGTGTTGAAATGGGTCCAATTCGAGACAAGAGCTTGTATTTCTGGAGCGTCGCGGCCGGTCCTCCCGACTTGGTACTATTTTCGACATTGTCAGAGAGTTGTATGAGAAGCAGCCGATGATCGGCACACGGTATCGGACTGAAGTCAGCTTTGTAGTTAAAAGTTGTATTCCATCTGACAGCTATCAGTCATCTCTGCTATCTGGAGCTAACTTCTGTGCTAAAAAGGTGCTCAAATTCTAACCCCACAATGTCAATGTGAATATGTGCATCATCAAGTGATCTGATTGAGATCCACACGTTCTCTTTTAGCTTACAGAGATTACGAGGAGAAAGTTTGATTGATCATATGAGGCGAAGCTCGCTAGAAGGACGGTCGAACTACTAAAGTATTGACCACTAAGCTCTGCACCATGTTCTCTATGAGCTGGTTCGTCACGGGCAAATCGCAAGCTTTTTGGGAGAAGTCCTGCGAAGTGGCAACACAGGATTTGCAATCTTTACCTAGTAAGCTTCCCCATCGACATGCTTGTTACGGCATGTGGATTCCTCCGTTCTTCTTACTTCGGCACTCAAATCGCAAAACCGGACGCTATGTAGGACGAGATTTAGCGGCTTGACGCAGGTACGCAAGCTAAAATGTGTTGACTTTTTCACGCTGAAATTTGTCAACGGCCTACTCTGTACTCTGTAGGGTGGTTATTACTCTCACCCTGTGTCGACTCCCATCGGACCCAAAGCCCCAACAAACATCAATTGAAATGGTCGTGATTCTCCTCTACATGTAGGGCGGATACCGAGTGCAAAGGCCATGTTCACACCCCTGGTATTCGGCTTCCCGTCATCGAGTCAGCCAGTCATCGACCCAGCAGGCCGAGTCGCGTCCGTCCTCGGGTGTTCCTGACAACCCCGACCCCTGGTTAGCGCTCCAGGGCACACACGAAGCCCCGGGCTCGCCCGTTGGGGACCACCCGTTGAGCCGTTGTTCCAGAATGGCAGTTGGCCTTTGGAAGCGCTATTCATCCCAGCCGAGATGCCTGAAAGATGCATGCGGACGATGATGTGATGTCAATGAGGGTTTGGGTTAGGCTCCTGTTGGCAGGTGGAGAGGGATAGGAAGTGGGCTGGGAGCGTTGTCTCAGGGCGATGATCATGCAAGCGCTGAGTGTGGATATGATGTGCGGTGGTGTTTCAGATTAAATGCCAAACTTTCTTTCTGAGGAGGCTGGGTGATTCCTGTCTGGACGCTGATTTGTTTGAATTTTCCGCTGGGTCTGCACTTTGATCACGTCAAGGGCGCTTTTGCGCTTCGACGCCTGCATTGAAGAAAGTGGTCAAGCCTCCCAACTTGCTTGGAGGCCAGATGCATGAAGACAATGGCTATGACCGAAAATTGTATTCTTCTTGCATACTCCGTAGTTAACTGCATATTCAATGCTTTTATGTACTCCGTATGTGCGGAGTAACTGTACATACATATTCGAAAGATATGCGACCCGACCGATGGGCCGCAAAAGTCCAACAATGGGAGACGTTGCAGCAAAACCGCATGTGGTTGAACAATGAAGAAATACATCCTCCGTAGTTCACGACGGAGTTGATGGCAGTGGACGATCAGGAATGCACATTTTCGCGTTCCTTGAACATCCCAACTCCGCTGCAGTGCCTCTTATCCCGCGCGCACACTCTCTCTCGCAGCGGTCCCGTGTGGTATGCTCAAAATTACGCAAAGTGCTGGCGACGGCCGCTGGCTGGGGCCAACGCAGGCCAAACCATTTCTGCGCTAAAAGTCCGGAGCGCGAATCTGAAACAGCGATAAGCCCCCCTCTCACCCATCCCCCTCTCGTTTGAGATGACCCCCAAAACAGCCGGACAAAAATAAATGCATGCATGCACTCGCCGCCAATCAGACCGCATGGAGCTACTCTAGCGTGGCCATTGGCTGATCAACGACTCGCCCAACACAAGAGTCCGAACCCGCCGCCCAAAAGAAGTGACGCGAGGGAGAATTGACGTCGGGATTGGAGAGGGGACGCGGAGGGCGGCATCTCCCCACAGGCTGTCTGCCGTCTGATCCCAATTTTGACGGCTTGTGCAATGAGCTTCGAGTAACTAACTCCCCCGTAGTTAACTGGCGGAAGACCTCAGATCGGATGAAGTCTAACTACGTGTCCACAGGGATCATTGTTGATAGATATGACAGCGAGGTGGACGGAGGACTCTTTAACTCTGTATGGATGAATATGCAGGAAATACTACCAGACTCCATCACCGCCTCTTCCACGAGCGCCTCTTGCGCACTAAAACGATATACCTCCTAGTAGATTTCGCTTGCGCGATGGTGAGTTCGTATTGCCGTTGATGGCTCTTCCTGTCATTCCCTCTGCCCTTTTTTCCTTTTTTCTTTTTTTTTTTTTTTTTTTTTTTTTTTTGGGGGGGACCCATCGAACGGCGTCCAGGTCGGTGGCCACCACTCGTAAGATAGGCTCGAGACCTTGGAAGCTGGGGGACCGAGATCCTAGTGACTGATGGCATTATCCCTGAAGCCGCCATCGAGGACGGAGGACCGCTGAGAAGATTAACATGGGAAAGTTAATCCGACACGGGTCTCACAGTGGGTGTGACTCGCGCATCTCCGACAGGGCAGGCCAGCGAGTTTATTCCGCCTCTATCGCGGTTCTAGAAGCAGATCAGCTTCGGCGCTGAGGTGGAGTTTAGCAGGATGGGGAACCTTTTTCCCGCCGTCTCTTCTACTTGATGGCGACCGCCTTTTTTTTTTTAATTATTCTTTTTTTTTTTTCCTTTCTTTGAATAGCACTAAAATTTGCGCCCGGGTCTCCGAGCAGGGATGCGAGAAGAGGAGCGACTGCAGGAAAAAGGCCTTGTATTACAGGAGGATACCAGATTACCGTAGCCCAATTCTCGTGACTTGGCGCAGGGGCCCAGCCATCAGCGTGGGTACCGAAAGTACCGTATTGGCGCCGTACGTATTATAACGCCATCGTCCCCTTCCCAGCGGTAACGAAAACCCAGCCGGGGAGTTAAATCACCTTCGCCTGCCCGTTCCCAAGACGGCCTGCATCGAAACCCAGCGTTATCACACCCCCTCCCTCCCTTCAATCCTCCCTCTCTTCCCCCCTCCCCCATTCCATGCCATATCTGATTCTTCTCTGACACATCCCTTCTAAGGAATCTCTCTCGCTCATCTGTCTCTCTCTCTCCCACCCTCACTCTCTCTCTCCCCCCATTTTCAGTCTGTTTCCCGCCATCCCATCATTCTGTTACTCTTTCGTGTCTCTTTCTCACCTTCGTTTCGATCGTCTCCCAGGACCGAACACTTAGGGTAGTAATACACCGGGCAGGCCCAATTCTTTCTTTTGCTCTCCTTTCTCTCGACGGCAGTCGCATCACCTGTGTCTGGTCATCGTTGAGGCTGGTCCTTTCTCAGACATCTCCCGTACCGGTTTCTGAACCTCCACGATCGTTTACGCTCTGCCGCTGTACACCTCTTTTCGCCATTCTTCTTTTTGGCCCTTTCGTTTTTCTGCTACATCGCTCCGAACTTACTCGCCGTCGCACCTCTTCAATTTTTGATCTAATAATTTTCACATCCTTTGCCTGGCCCTGACAGGTTCGTACCTCACCCGTACCTCTCCTTCTTCTCCTTCTCATCCTCATCCTCCTCATCGTCGTCGTCGTCGTCGTGGCGTTGACTTCTTGCTTGTGTCACGTCAGACCGCGATTTCAATGAAACTTTCATTGTTGGTTCCTGCTTCTAACGCCTGTCTCAGAATCGGTTGCTTGTGTCCGTGATGTATTCTCAACATGGTGCTTCAATGGCACCGCCGCAGAAACCCGAAACTTTTATGCTTTCCAATGAGGCCCAGCAAAGTCTTCCACAGGATGCACAGGTTGCGCTCCAGCAGGTCGACAATTGTAAGTTCCTTTCTTCGTCTCATCTCTCTGGAAGCATCAGTCTTTGCGCCTCATATCAGACACCTTCGGAGATGTTTGATAGGTCATTGTTTAACCTCTTTTGATCTCCTATTTAGTAAAATACTTCCTAATTTCGGCCCCCGTTGACTGGGCGCCGGATCAACTCATCAGACGTTTCCTCCTTCCTACAGGTGACTATGTCTCTTGCGTTCTCTGGTATGTGTAATCTACGCCGGTTGAATCGTGTAATTCGGTCTAACCTGGGGGACAGGAACAATCTCTTTCACATCTCGGGGACTGATATCGTGAGATGTCTTTCTTTCCGCTTCCAGGCATTTGGCCGACCTGTCAAGAACACGAAGAAGTTCGAAGAGGGTATCTTCTCAGACCTCAGAAACCTTAAAGCTGGAACAGATGCTTCACTCGAGGAGCCGAAAAGTCCCTTTCTCGACTTCTTGTATAAGAACAACTGTATCCGTACGCAGAAGAAGCAAAAGGTTTTCTACTGGTACAGCGTGCCGCATGACCGGCTCTTCCTGGACGCTCTGGAAAGGGATCTCAAAAGGGAAAAAATGGGCCAGGAAGCCACTACAGTGGCCGTGAACGAGCCCGCTTTATCGTTCCAGTTCGATTCATCCCAATCTCTGTACGAGCAGTTGACAAAAGCACAGCAGGCGAACTCCTCTTCGTTCTCTGCCCACGCTAGCACAGCGTACCACTCTGCGTCCCCGATGATTCGAACCACCGATTCCATGCCTCCTCCCCAGCTCCCTCCAGCGATGCCTATTGTGCCTGAAGAAACACATGATCAAGGTATCTATAATTCAGTAGGCCTTACCAGTGCAACTACTACCATGGGAACTGGCGGTATCAAGGCTGAACAAGACTTTGGTCAGGTTCAGTACGATCGTAACGGCGTTCCTGTACCGAGAATCCACCAGCGCCACACGTCGATGCCGACTTACATGGAATACTCCCCTGCTCCGTCCTTTGTGTCGTCCCACTATGATGATTATGGCCATCGCGGCATCAGCTTTGAACCCATCACTCCACCCCAACACAACGTTCAACTTGGTTCAGAGCCTGCATATATTGCAAATGAAGATACTGGTCTTTACACCGCCATTCCTGATATTGGTACTACGGCAGCATTCAACGCCATGATGCAGTTGCCTCCTTCGAATTTCGCTGCTCCTCAGTTTTCCACTGCCTCACGCACTTTTCCATCGACGAATGTTTATTCTGTGATTGAAGGGTCGCCCACATATAAGCAACGAAGAAGGCGATCTTCAATTCCTCCTGGAATCACTAATGCCATCGCTGCTGCTACTGGTAACGGGCAGACTCATTCAAACCCCCATGCTGCACATCGGCCAAGCGACCTCCACCATTCAATTTCGGTCCAGGACGGAGATGAATCGAACCAGGAGTCTCCACCCGGCCTTACTCATAGTTACAAGGCGGAGGAAACCCAAAAGATGCATTCCCATGAGAACTCAAGATTGGGGACTCCGCTACCAACTTTGGACGAAACACAGGCCGATGACCATCTGTCTCTGATCAATCCCCAACCCGAGATGCCTATGTTAACCAGTGGCGAGGCTCTCGAAAGTTCGGGTTCTTCCAACAGTCGGTCAAATGTCCCTGGACCAGTTCGTCGGGCCAGGAGTGCAACTATGATGGAGCTCGGGCCATACCCCCAGAAATCCCATTCGTGCCCGATTCCATCATGCGGACGGCTGTTCAAGCGCTTAGAACACTTAAAACGGTATGTTCTATTTCCTGTTTTCCTCTAATCACCAGTTTCTCATCCCGATTTCCCTATTGGCGCGCTTCGAATTCGTTCCTATATCCATAGCCGCTGACGCTTTCTTGGCATCTAGGCATGTTAGGACTCATACTCAAGAGCGACCATACCCCTGCCCTTATTGTAACAGAGCGTTTTCACGATCAGACAACCTTGCACAGTATGTGTTTATTCTGCATCTTACAAGACCCTGCATGGTACCCTTTACTAACGCTCGCTTTCCACGGATTAGGCACCGTCGTACCCATGGTGCTCAAGCTGGCCAGCAGCCATCTGCCAACTCCAACGAAGAGGACCGCGAACAGCAGGAACCCGAACATGAGGCCACGGATCAGGAGCATACCACTTCTGATACCAGCTACCTGCCCACTACCGTGAATATGGCTAGTGTTAGCATGCCTTCGATGTCTATCCCTAACTTACCGTCTATGGTTGCTCCACAGATGATCAGCCCTCAGCTCCTGCAACAGCAGATTTAAGTACATTCCCCATTGTGGGGCATGTGGCAGGGTAGAGCGATACAATGCATCTGAGTGAATGGAGAATGTCTTATTTGAGGGGCATTAAAACAAATGTGTTGCTTCCCCCCCCTTTTATTTTGCTCCCATGATACCCCCCTCCCTTTAACCCCCCCCACACACACACACACAAAGATCATCCCAATTTCCTTCTGCATTCCCTGCAATTTATGGCGCCAGAAGTCTTTCCATAAATCCCTCCATGGTTCGAGATATGGTTTTTGGTACACTTGTTTAACTCACTGCAATGTTTTCTGGATCTATCTGCTGTTCATCTGCAACAAAGATATGAGCCATCAATCATGTTATGCTGCATCTGAAGCAGACACGGTCTCTTCAGTGGTTATTTCTGAAATTTTCCTTAGGCTCGTGAGCCATGCTTCTTATCCTTGAACACTCTTCAGAGTCTTTTCCGGTCACGCTGCCGAGGCATATTCATGATCCAGCGGGTCTCAATCTTTTGTATCAATTCCCAAGGCATGCATTCTCACTTCTCACCCCAATATTACATTTTTAATACACTTCCCCTCAGCTTGCTGTTTCTCTTTTACATTCTGCCATGGAGTTCCTACCCTTTTATGAGGCTACCGCCTTTCCTTAGCGCTAGAAGTCGCTACACCACTGCGACATGCTTTTTCTTTTTTAACGCGAGTATGGCTTGAGTGACATGATGTGTCGTGCTTACGATTCTGATGGTGCGATTATGGGTTCCTCGAAAAGAGGCAGGGTGGAATGACGAAAAAGGAAGCACGATGTGGGTTTTGGTTTTCTATTCTGCACGGTTTAGATATCATGTCTTGGGCATTGAGCTCCAATCTTCATATAGATATCAACGCACCACTTGGTTTATTATTCAAAGTTTCTTTATTTTTCTTTTCTAGGTGTATACTCAGGAAGGGCTTTTCATGGAATTGTTTGGGTCTTATTTTTCTATTCTGCCTGTGTTACCTTTTTCTCCTCGTGTAATTTGCATGCTTCTTTTGTGTCCTTCCCATGTTCCTGGTTGATGAGTGTGACGTTGGGCTAGCTATATAGACTTGTGAAACGTGTCGATGTTATGAGTGATGGGGCTCCTGGCCTAAAGAGGAGGAAATGCCAAAAAGTTGACTGAGCATGCCTTGTTCCGGATCCCAACGCTCTTTGGTATTCCCTCGAATTCGCTGAGTGCCACCATTTTGGCCAGAGCATTGCGTCACACGGATGGGATTATGTAACTAAATAACCTTCCGCCGAGACTTTCGAGAGCCAGACACCAAGCTTGATGGGCTCGAGAGGCAAAAACTGGCTCTGCTCGTGGCTGGGAGAAGGGCCTCGTGACAGCCTCTGTCTGGGCTACTTATTGCCGAGCGCCATCTTCTTTAGAGGGTCCTCTTTTCTGTCCTAAAGCTATGGGGAACCGGGACGAGGAAAGGCCAAGCTATATCGCTGTCTCACAGGAAACATCAGCAGCATCAAGCCCGCAGCGGCGTTTAGTTACGAGACCGCTTAACTACCACAGCCCAAGCAAAATAATATTGTTATTGAATCTATCCATTCAAAACCGGGTGGCTATCCCCGATTTGAAAGCTATTTCCTTGGGCCGACTTTCCCCCAAGCTTTTTTCTTTTTCTTTCTTCTTTTTCCTTTTTTTTTCTCCTTCTTTTCTGGCCTTCCCGACGACATCTTTCATCCTTTCTACTTATGCGTAGGGATGGCATATCCACCTATTCTGCGGCGACAACCTGCGTAAAGCTTACCCGAACCTGAACACTCTCTCACTCACACACACACTCTCTCTCTCTCTCTTTTGCTGTTTTTCTCTCGGAGGGAGATCTTTCCCTTCGTTTCTTGCCACAAATCGGGCCGGAGATGGGCGATCCCGCTTTTGAGGATCAGATAAACTTTGTCATTTTAAACCCATACATTCGACTTGTTCGGGCTTTGCTTATATATCTATAACTGGAGAAGGTCTATTGACCTCTTTTTCGTCTATACTGCCCTTCGTTCGTTCTATTCTTCCTTGACCGTGGTGGGGAGCTATATGATAAGATCGGCGTCTTTATTTCATCTGATAATCCCGACCGTGGATACCGTATCCGGGCTATAGGTTCCTGTGTCTTAGTGACCTTTTTGTTACTTCTGGCCGGGAGTCTGTCGATATCTGCCTTCTCTCTCTGCTGTGATCTTGTCGGGGACGAGTCTAGAAAGAAAAAGAGTCTTCACTTTTGTTGCCCCATTAGATGCCGTCGTCAGTGCCAGCTAGAGAGGACGTTAGATCTCCTCTCCTTACGGAGAACTCAAGGCGATCTGGGGAGGTTTGGGAAGATGCAACTGCTATTGCAAGACAGTCCGATAAAGAGGGCGAGTCGAAGAGTAGCTGGTATTTGTTTTTGCTGACTTTAAGTATTGGCGGGTACGTCTTTGCTTCTTGTTCCGAAATTTCCGGTTTTCGGGGTGCTAATATCCCGTCTTTCTTGCAATAGGCTGCAGATTGTCTGGTCTGTTGAACTATCAAATGGATCGGTGAGTTATTGCCATCCCATAAGTTGGAACCCCTGCACCTTTTGGGTTTTTTTTTTTTTTTTTTTTTTTTTTTTTTTTTTTTTTTTTTTTTTTTGGGGCTGATTTTCGTTCTAGCCCTACCTACTTTCTCTGGGAATGAGTAAATCCTTACTTGCATTTGTATGGATTGCTGGACCCTTGACTGGGACACTTGTTCAACCCTATGTGGGGATTCGCAGTGACAACTGTCGGGTTCCATGGGGAAAGCGAAAGCCTTTTATGATTGGAGGTGGGATTGCTACGGTAATATCTCTGATGGCACTCGCCTGGGTTCGTGAGATGGTCGGGGGAGTGTTGGGGATATTTGGGGCCGGCGCTCAATCCGAAGGCGTCAAAGTGACCACGATCGTGGTGGCAACTTTCTTCATGTTTTGTCTCGATTTTGCTATAAACACAGGTCGGTAAAGCCCATCCCACGTCCGGTAAAGAGATGTTTTCTGATATGCAAATTGTGTAGTTCAAGCAGCAATACGTGCTTTTATTGTTGACAATGCGCCTGCGCACCAGCAAGAATCAGCGAATGCCTGGGCTAGTCGGCTCACCGGCATTGGCAACATTCTAGGTTATATTTCAGGTTATCTGGATTTACCTAAAGTCCTTCCCTTCTTCGGGAATACGCAATTTAAAGTGCTTTGCGTGATTGCCTCTCTCGCATTGGGAACCACTCTTCTCATTAGTTGTTTATATATTCAAGAACGAGATCCTCGACTAGAAGGCCCACCTCGCAGCAAGAATCCAGGAGTTATATGTTTCTTCAAACAGGTTTTCGCGTCCATTAAACGGTTACCACCGCAAATTCGCAAAGTATGCGAGGTCCAGCTTTGCGCCTGGGTGGGGTGGTTTCCATTCTTGTTTTACTCAACTACTTATATCGGACAGCTCTATGTCAATCCGATTTTTGACCAGCATCCGGATCTCCCTGAAGACGCCATATCAGCTATCTGGGAGGAGGCCACGCGGGTGGGCACCTTTGCTCTCTTGGCCTATGCGGTCACGTCGTTTGTTGCGAGTATGGTCCTTCCGCTACTTGTCGTTCCCACTTATCGTCCGGCTTTAGCGCAGGATTCCGATACCGACACCACGTCTAGTGATCGGCCCTATCTGAGTCGCCATCCATCAACTTCGACTCTCTCGTTCACCGCCTCGGCGGGTGCGGCAATCGAAACGAGCCATGAACCTGTACAGCCCTCCGAAAAATACAACGTTCTCTCTAAGCTCCAAATACCGGGTCTTACACTCCGAAGATTGTGGTTTCTTTCCCATGTTTTGTTTTCTTTGTGCATGTTTAGTACGTTTCTCATATACTCCCCCCAGGCTGGAACTGTGGTAATCGCCATTGTTGGGATATCCTGGGCACTCACCCTTTGGGCTCCGTTTGCGTTTATTTCGGCAGAGGTTGCAAAGAGTGATGCGGAGAACCGGGAGCGAAGACATCAGCTTAGGCAGGGTATTCCCGACCTCAGTCACGGTCATCCAGGCTCAGAATGCGACGAGAACGGGAGCAGCGAGGAAACGGTCGATCAAGCTGGAGTAATTTTGGGGATTCATAATGTCGCCATCTCGTTTCCACAGATTGCCTCGACGCTGATCAGCAGTGCAATTTTCAAGGCGCTGCAAAAGCCTAGAGGGGAGCCGTGGGACGACAGTGTTGGCTGGGTCTTGCGTTTTGGTGGCTGCGCAGCTCTAGGTGCTGCATACATTACAACACGGCTGGGCGAAGGGGCTGGTGGCAAGACTTCTGGAGAGAACGGGGATATGGCGTAGTTGAGCTCTTGACGATTTATATGGACCTGGACGTCTGGGTATGTATGGAGTAATTGTTTTAGTGTTTTTTTTGAGTTCACACTGTATGGAATCCGCAATATATATACATATCTACTTTTGTAGGCAGCGTGTATTTCAGCGTCCGAAGACACTACTCTCCCTGTCAACGTCGCTTATGCTGTGTTACCCGCGTTTATCCCCCCAAACGGCCAACGAACGGGATCGGGCCCAAGATAATGACCACGTGACACGGGGCGGTGGGCTCTGGCCATCATCGTCACGGACGCGGAGATCCTCCCCAGGGCTCCTGTGATGATTCGTACAGGTGAGCACGGTCGCATTGTGGTAGCAAAACGAGTCGTTACTCCTTGTTTTAACCCCGGTCTACACTCTGGTATTATGAGCGCAGTCTTCTGCCCAAACCGACTCGCCATTTGTGCTTGTCCCATATCATCCGCACCGCGCCATCCTGCCAACCCGCCATGATGGCATCCGTCTTACAAGATCTAGCGTGGGGATCTCTCCGTATGTATATCGGCTTTTCCTGCCCCTTCGGTCAAATCCCATCTTCCCTTCTCGTCTGAAGTTTCGTTTTGTTGTACTGCAAAAGCTCAATACTAATCAAGCGTCGTTGTCAACAGGCAAGAGAATGGAGGAAGAAACCGACCCCGATGGTTCGATTGCGGCCCTGCGAATATCTACTAGGCTTATTCGGATTTACTGACCTAGACGCCTTGCAGAATCTCCCGAAGCCGGAGAGCAAGAGTTTTGGACCTCTTGGGCGCTGTTTATACTCATCCTGCTGTTGATCGCGGCGCTGTTCACAAGCTATATGCTGAAGCAGAAGCGTGTTCAGGCTGTACATGAGACGGTCCTGTCGATATTTTCTGGTGCGTGCGGTCTTCTCCGTGGTGATACTCACGCCGTTGGCTTTCTCGAATTCTTTACTGACTTGTTGGCGGAGCCGGACAGGCATGGTCGTTGGGCTGATTATTCGAGTGAGCCCTGGGACATTGATTCAAAAATCTGTCAGCTTCAATTATCAGTTTTTCTTCAACCTTCTCCTTCCTCCGATTATATTGGCGTCGGGATACGAGTTGCATCAGGTCAGTCACTCAACAGCAGCGCTTTTTCGGTGTCTTCTGCCTAGGCTTGGGGTACGCGGCTATTTTCGAAGAGGACCCTACTGATCCGGTATGGATTTAGGCCAATTTCTTTAGAAACATAGGGGCCATCCTCACCTTCGCGTTTGCGGGGACATTTATTTCGGCGTTAGTACTGGGATTGATTTTATATCTGTGGACGCGAATTCCCCTGGATGGCCTCAACATCTCGTTTGTCGAGGCAATATCGGTGGGCGCCACCCTTTCAGCGACGGATCCGGTGACTATTTTAGCGATTTTCAACGTCTACAAGGTTGAACCGAAGCTTTACACCGTGATATTTGGAGAATCTATCTTGAACGACGCTATCGCTATTGTCCTCTTCGAAACCGCACAGAGATACAAACCGGGCAGTACAGCCGGGTCGTTGACTGTACTCAGCTTATTTGAGGCTATCGGCATATTTTTGCTCGTGTTCTTTGGCAGTTTACTCATCGGGGTCGTCGTTGGAGTTGTAACCGCGCTGGGCCTAAAGTACACTCATGTACGCCGCGAACCAAAAATTGAGAGCTGCCTGATCGTGCTCGTTGCGTACGCAAGTTATTTCTTCTCAAATGGGGTTCATATGTCAGGTATACGTTTTACTTCCATCAATGCTTCGTAAGGAAAGACTAATAGCATGCAGGAATCGTGTCCCTCCTATTCTGCGGCATTACGCTCAAGCACTACGCATATTACAATATGTCCCGAAGGACCCAGCTCACGACCAAATTCATTTTCCAGATCCTAGCTCAGCTTTCGGAGAACTTCATTTTTATCTACCTTGGCTTAGACCTGTTCACTGAGGAGAATTTGCAGTTCAAGCCTCTGTTTATCCTGGTGACAGTGGTTGGTATTTGCGTCGCGAGATACATGTCAGTTTTCCCGCTATCCAAGGCGATTAACTGGTTTATTCGATATCGGGCGAGACGGCGTGGCAAGGACGTTGCCGACGAACTTCCCTTTTCTTACCAAGCCATGCTGTATTGGGCTGGCTTACGTGGTGCAGTCGGTGTGGCGTTGGCTGCTGGCTTAGAGGGCACCAATGCTCCGGCATTAAGAGCTACAGTCCTTGTTGTCGTTGTGTTGACTGTGATAATATTTGGCGGTACCACTGCGCGAATGTTGGAGATCCTTGACATCCGCACTGGAGTGGCGGAGGAAGTTGACTCAGATGACGAATTCGATATCGAGATGACCGACGGAGGTACGTACTACAAGAGATCCGGGACCGGAATCGGCCATACCCCACGCCGTAGCGACTTCACAATCCCACTGGACTCTGTGCACATAACAAATGGCCTTGATTCGAGTCCTCACGCAGGCGAAAGTTACGCGACTAGCAGACATGGCGGTCCTTCACCCCAACCAGGAGAAGGAAGGGGCAATCTCGCCTCAAGGAAGCCCGCAGGGTACAACCAGCGAGACCGCAACCCACGTTCCCGCGATGCAGCCTCATCACAGGCTCTGCTTGGAAGTCGCAGCGTCAGCCAAAATGGCAGCGCGAGCGGTAACAGTGCAGATGAAGCAGCGATGCACAGCAGGAATCGCGCCACGTCTCGAGCAGCATCGAAGGCCCTAGCGGACACAGACCCGGATCTGGAGGACTTCGATTTGGAACTTGATTCCATATCTGATGACGATCATCTCCCCCCGGCGGCTCCTTCGCACAGAGCTTCGCGCACGCCTTCGCGCTTGTCAACTCGCGCTCCCCACGACCCGAGCCCAGTATCAGGCCAGGCCGCTTCTTCATCGTCACCGGCACCGGCGGTGACAGCGGGACAAGCGCAAAGTCAACAAGGACGGCCTATTTTCTCCGGTGCCACAAGTGCGTTTCGAGATCTACTGTCCGGTGCGGGATCCAGGGACCATGCAGAGTGGTTCAAGCAGCTAGATGAGGAGTATATCAAACCGAAGTTGCTGCTTGATCAAGGATCTGGGCACAAGGGGCCTGGAGCGGCGTGAACATGTTTGTATATTCCACTTGGAGGCTTTTTTAGGTCCGCTGCCTCTTCTTTACTTTTCTATTTTTAGGTTGTTTTACATTTATCTTGATGGAGACGGCGGAATATGTAATTTCATGGTTTGATTCATGTAATGCTGTTAGACCAGGGCCACATACCCTATGTATCGAACTGTTTTGCAGGAATTTGCTTTAAAAGTTAGTTTTTCTTTTCTCCCTAGAATCAGGTTACTGTAGTCACTTTCTATTTATGGCATTTTGAATCCTGAATTCATAAATTGAAGTTGTACATAACTACGCATCCAACAATGGTTCTTTAGAAGAAGCAGATCGCAGCACTGACAGCATCGCTTTCACATGGCTCGACGGATTGTTTACTGACTTGAGATTTGAATATCCAGTACAACATATCGTATTGGAGATTGTTCTAATGAAACTCAAGATGCGCCAACAAGACACTCACCCCACTCTAGGTATCGTTCATCACACATGACTTACATACAATATACAGAATATATACAACTACCAACATCACAAATTTACTCCGGCATCTTGAGCACGTAACGACCGGTGACCTTTCCTTGGCCTAATTTACAGGAATAAATCCGTTAGCCGAATATACGCCGTATAAAATAGAGGGTACGATGGTATTTTATCTCTTTTGTCGGTACTTACGCATCAAATCATACACCTGCGGCAGCTCTTCAAGTGGTACAACTTTGTACGGGAACTTGATCTTGCCCCTGGAGAAGAAATCAACTGCCTCTTTGCCATCACGTCGGTTGCCAACGTAGCTGCCCTTGATCGTGATCATTTTGACCACTGTCTCGAAGACGGGGGCTTTCAAGAATGCGTGCGCCGGGAGGCCGATGGCTACGACGGTGCCGCGTGATCGGACGTAGCTGGCCGCTTGCTGGAATGGGACTTCAGACACGGCGACGAGGAGGACTGCGTGCGGGCCCAGGCCGTCCGGCGACGCGGCTTTGACATCGCTGACGAGGTCCTTTGTCTTGGTGTAGTCGATGTATTTCTATTTGGGAAAGGGTTTAGATTGCGATACGTTGATGATAATAGGGGAAGGTAACCCGCAAGGACCCGGAAAAAAAAAAAAAAAAAAAAGAAAAGAAAAGAAAAAGAAAAGGAGAAAGAAAACACATACCTCGCATCCTAGCTTCTCACAAGCCATTCTCTTCTCATCACCGCCATCGATGGCAATGACTCTCAAACCCATGGCCTGGGCATACTGAATGGCTATAGTACCAAGACCACCACCAGCGCCAACAATTGCAACAGCTTGTCCAGGACGAGCCTCTGATTCTTTCAAGCCCTTGTACACCGTGATACCGGCGCACAAAATGGGCGCCACCTCTTCTAGGGACACAGATTTAGGAATAGGGGTCAAATGGGCAGCCTGGGCAAGACAGTATTGCTGGAACGTGCCATCGACGGTGTATCCCGAGAGCGCGGCGTTTGCACAGAGCGGCTCGTCACTGTTCTCGCAGAAATCACACGCCAGGCACGATCTGTTGATCCATTTGACTCCGACATGGTCGCCCAGCTCGACGTCTTTGACCAGTTCGCCCTTGGCGACGACGACACCGGCCCCTTCGTGGCCTCCGACCAGGGGCATCTTGACCGGAAGGGGCCAGTCGCCTTGCATGGCGTGGAGGTCGGTATGGCAGACGCCTGAGTACTTGATATTGACCAGGGCCTGGGTTGGCCCCGGTTTGGGGACGGGGATCTTCTTGTATTCAAGGGGGCCGCCCACTTTAGGACAGAGCTGCGCCCATTGTTCCTTGGGGAGATCTGGGATTGAGGTAGCCATGGCTGTTCAGTGAGTTGGATGGATTGATTTGTCAGATTTATCTGGGTGTCCTTTATATAACGGAATATGGGAAATTGAGACTCCTGTTTTTGCATAGGATGCAAATTGAGATGAAAGAAGAGAGTATGATGTCAACGATCCCTCGGGGACCGCCTGTTATTTTATACTCCAGCGGCACATCCTCAATGGCGAAAGTGCCATTGCAGTTTAATCCGGCCTGGAAGGGAACGCACGAACGCATCCGAGGGCACGCACCCGGCAGTAGACCCTTTACACGGGGCGAGGTATGCCTGTCAAAATATCCCACGGCGGGGAGCTTCAAAAAAGAAGCTCTCCTCACAGCAGAAGTGGCTGAGATAGGACGAAAGGACTCAGAATTGTCTCATTTTGCGAGATGTTGGAACCCATGACGGAGACATGGACTTGAGCTGCCGGGATGGAACCACCGGACGAAAACGCTGTGGCGATGATGCGGGGTAGCAGTCTTAGCAGTGGCAGAACACTGGAAAAGAAATACCCAGTACTCTGTAGGTGCTGATGGCTTTTTGATCGTATGGGCCCGGGACAGGATGTTGGAAGCTTCGGTCCCGCTCTCTTCCTTTGCGCATTACATCAGAGTTCGCCTTAAAGCATCAGCAGATTTGTCTTTCTGCTCCCTCCCCCCCCCCCCCCTATCCCAAAGCTGTTATGGCTGAAGGAGCTTGGGTACGGAAGAGAGCAGCTCCCGGTGGGATCAAACGATGGAAAGGTCTCGTCCAGAATCCAGAGTTGGTTAATTTATTTATAAGCGGATGGGGAGACGTATGGAAGTAGACGTGACGAGAATTTTCTTTTTCCACGCATCTTAACTAGCTTTTTTGTTCCTTTCCTTCCCCCTTTCCTTTTTCCTTTTTTCCTTTTTCTTTTTTTATATCCCTTTTTTTTTTTTTTTTTTTTTTTTTTTTTTTTTTTTTTTTTTAATTCCTGACAGCTCTGGAGCGACGGCTGGGGGATATTTCTTTCGGCGGCGGATGGCCGTGCGTTTGTTGAGGCGGTGGCGGGGAGAAGACCCCATTCGGCCTAGTCCCGTCGTGGGCGTGATGACTTCATGGCCTCAGCTACGGAGCCCCTACATACTTAGCGATTACACGGTTTGGTTGAGGTGAATGTCTAGGTCACATGGATGTTTCGGATAAGAGACGAGCCAGCGTTGGACGGAAAATGGATCGATGTGCTCTCCCACGCCGTATGTATGGGCCTCTCTCTCTGGAACGCCCGGGCCATGCGAGAAGGGAAATAAATGTCCACAATGGCGAGACCTGCCGCCGGCCTACACGGGAACGCGAGCTCGATCTGTGGGGTTGTTGGGACAAGGAACTGTCAATTGGCAGTCCTTCCCATGCCCGAACGCAACGGTGTCCCCTCCATGGAATTGGGGCTCTGGTGTCGTATATCCTGCCGGTCTTGGGAGATGCAGGCTGGATGTTCAAGATTCGAACAGCTGGCGAAATAAATAAATCAATGCCGGGACCACAGCCTCTTGAAAAATTCAATTTTTCTCTGCCATGCTCTTGATAGGGTGTTTTATTTATATACAACATATATATGTACAGTACATGATGGGAGGGGATTTGTCGCTGAGTGAGTAGCTCAGCTCCTCCGTCCCATAGCTAGTTATACATGCATCTTTTGACGTGCGACGGAAATTCGCCAGCGCATCTCAACCCCTTTTCTCTCAGTTCCATTGATCGGCTGTGGATGGGAAATACGGGGACAGGCAGAGAGCACACCCTTCTGTCGGGCTGGCGTCCATTTGCATGCGTCGTGGCTCTCGCACTCTCGCTGTGGAGGAATGGCCCGCCCCCGTTGCGCATCCGTGAATTACAAAGTTTTTCTCCCTCCAACGAAGCGCATCTGAAGCCGGCGTTGGAAGCTCGACAGGCTGGGCGATGAGGTAATCGAAGGGGTGGCGAGCCTGATTGGCTGGAGGGATGTAATTTATTTAAAGATCGCCTTGTAATTTATTTTGTCTGGGGTTTGCTGGCACGTTTAGCTTCGCACAGCTGCTGTCAGGGCCATACAGTAGATTACTAGTGCACCCGGAGCATGCAGGTCAGCGCAAGCAGCAGGGCGCACGTTGATTGGCTGCAGCCGGCAGACGGCGATCAGGTGCTGTAACAGAATACCGTCATGGCAGCCCCGGAGGCCAGAAAAGGGCGCGTGTTGAAAGTTACAGAGTTACGCGGTTTTCCCTGCGCCGGACTCCACCGTTACGCTGGAACCAGAACTTTCACGGGGTCGCTTTTGGTTGAGCGGGAAAAAGGCGAAGTTGCAGCAGAGGGAGGAACAAGCAGAAGCGCAAGGGAAAAAAAAAAAAAAAAAAAAAAGGGAACGAACAAAACCCCCCAAGCAAAGGAGCGCAAAAACATAAAAATAAAAACTAAAGTATGAGGCCCAGCAACAACCACACCTCATCATCATCATCATCATCTGGCCATGATTCCATCCTCCTTCCATCCACAACCACCCCATCTCCATCTGCACCACGCCTGCGACCATCTCTGCCATCTCCCCATCTCACAATTGTAGTCCCAGACCAGCTCTTCCTCCTTACTCAGCTTGGTTCGTGGCCTGTACCCTCTCCTCAGCCAGGCATGGTGGTTCACCTGTGAGGGTTTCTACTCTCTCTTCATCCAACCTGTTTTCGCTGTGGAGCTCTTTTTTTTTTGTTTTGTGAAAAGCAAACTAGGGAAGCGGTAGAAACTGTGAGAAACCCTTTTTTCCCACCCAGTGCCGAACTCCAGCCCAGAGCACAGTGGCCACATCACTCCTGATTTGCCCTTCAATTCCCTTTCCCAACTTTTGCTTCAGTCCTTCACCCTTCGCTCGCCGTGCCACCTCTAAACCACATCCACCGCCAGCCTGCTTTTTGCCTGCTGCTAATATATGGACCTGTATCGCAGGAAACCCTTTTGCGGTCTCTCTACTCTTCTCTCTCCACCTGGCTGCCATTCCCCTATATATTTCACTACGTTAATGGCAGCTGCTTGAAAGCCCTTGCAGGACAGCAATATTGATAGTGTTAATACAGCATAACGCCTGAGAATCACTTTTCTTGGGGGTGGGGGAAGCAAATCGGACCGAAAGTGACGAGACACCCTCTTTTGTTGAACATAGTCGTGAACGCGTCGCGATGGCGGGAGTTCCGCCGTATGGCATGCACTCCCCCACACAGCAGCCTCGCTACCCATCCTACTCTCCCTCAACGAGGGATCGGCAGCCCTATTCCGGCAATGATCCCTATCAGCATCCTCCCCGTACTCCGCCAAGCTTCGCGCCTCCATCCTCCCTCTCCCGGAGTCCGCACTTCGCTCGTCCTCCATCTCCGATGAATACGACCCTACCCCCGTTGAACGGGACAGTCGTCAACGCGGACGGCTCCCCGCCATACCACGGCCATTCCGGCTCAGCGACGTCAGGGTACACCCTGCCCAGGCCGTTTGGCGGATCTCTGATGTCGGCCACCTCTCATTCGCCTCCGCCGTCCTACAGCCACGCGTCTGGCTCCCATTCCCATCCTTCAAACATCCCCGATTCATTTTCACAGTCACCGAAGCGCGAATCGGAGCCCTACGATGTGAGGTCTGATCGCACCGGCCCCGTATCCCAGACTCCGGCGAGGCCCGCTTCTCCGAAGGAATCGGTACGCGTCTGTCCCATCCTTTGTATGAACTTTTGGGGGTCGTTGCTTACTGTTTTTATGCAATTTTCAGAAATCCGCACGCTCAAACCCAATGTCCTTCGCCAACATCCTCTCCGGGCCAGCAGACGAACCGCCTCCCCGCAGGTCGTCACCACCGCCCCAAACGTATAAATCCAGCACTCTGCCTCCCATCGCGCCTACGCCGAAAGTCGACAAGGAGCCGTTGTCCGAGCCGGAGAAGCGTCGCGGCAGCAGCCATTACGAAACTGCTTACACCGAGATGCCTCATCGCCCGGCGATGAACGGCTTCACGCCCGCAAAATCACCCCTAGCTGCGATGCCATCTCCACTCTCAAAATCGCGAAAGCTGGTTGACGAGGAAGAGATCGATAAAGTTTCTAGAGAAAATATCGCCAGGGCGCTGGAGCAAATTGATGCACTGGATAATAGCGACGTCGAGGCACCTGGTTTCGAACAGGAATGGGAGCGATACATGGCGAAAAGTAGGAAACGGGCTCGAGAATTAGATGCTATCGAAGGACGAAAGCGTAAGGTAGGTCTCCCCTCCACCCCGAACCCAACCCCCACCCCCTTTTCAGTTGATAGATCTATGGGGTGACTGACATTCTTCTCCTCTCCCTCTATATATAGCGCCGCCGAACTGAATTTCTGGGGAAACTTGCAAAAATGTTTGAAAAGCAAGCACTTCAAGGGATCGAGCGATTCAACCGCATCCACGAAGCTGAAGTGCAAATGGAGGTGCAACAGAAAGAAATACAAGAAGAGAAAGAGAGGAAGAAGGACATGCAGAGGAAACGACGGCGCGAGAATACTGTCCGCCATGAGATGGAGAAATTGAACGCAGCGCAGAAGAAGGCCAATAAGATCGAGGATGAGGCAGAGAAGCAGAAGCTGGCGAAGGAAATTGCCAGGTCAAAGAAAAAGATCAAAGATACCACGCTTGCGCTGGAACGCGGTGAGGCCTCTCAGGAGATCTCCGAAGTCAACCCCCTCGCTCCAAATCTTGAAGGTGGCACCACAAGTTCATTTCATATTCGCACAAAATCCCCTCCTCCTCCAAAGAAAAGGGCCGCCAAGGGTACTTCTTCCAGACCCAGAAAGTCAAAGGAGAAGAAACAGGCTGAGAAGGACGCCGCAGAGGCGGCTTACGCTGCTATGGAGAACGAAGACCTGATTCCTCTGGCGCCAAAGGAAGATCCCCGCAAGACATCCTTGAAAAAGGAATCGAAAGCTGCACGTTCCAAAGAACCCAGTCCCGTCCCTGCTACTCCATACGACTCTAAGGGTTACAACCAGTTTTACGAACAGCTCTGGCGAGATATTGCCAGAAAGGATATCCCAAAAGTTTACCGGATCAAGGTTGTATCTCTCAGCACTCGCCAGGAGAACCTACGAAAGACCGCGCAACTGGCCGCTAAACAGGCTCGGAAATGGCAGGAAAAGACAAACAGGAGCATGAAGGACACTCAGGCGAGGGCGAAACGAACTATGCGCGAGATGATGACCTTCTGGAGGCGAAACGAGCGCGAAGAACGTGATATGCGCCGCTTGGCCCAGCGACAAGAGCTCGAGTTGGCCAAGAAAGCGGAGGCGGATCGCGAAGCGAACAGACAACGACGCAAGCTCAACTTCCTTATCTCCCAGACCGAACTGTACTCTCACTTTATTGGCCGAAAGATCAAGACGGATAAAGCGCAAGACAGTGGAGATGCCACCACTACTGCTGCTATCGAAGGAAACGGGGAAGGAAAGGTCCCTGATAGTTTAGTCCCTCTCCCAGACGGTGGCGCGAAAGTCACCAGCTTCGATGATCTTGACTTTGACGCGGAAGACGAGACGGCTCTGAGGCAGGCCGCTATGGCCAATGCTCAAAGCGCTGTGCAGGAAGCCCAAGATCGTGCCAGAGCTTTCAACGGCGAAGAAAATAAGATGGCCGATTTCGATGAGGGAGAGATGAATTTCCAGAATCCTACCAGTCTCGGTGATGTGGAAGTGTCCCAGCCAAAGATGTTGACCTGCCAGCTGAAGGAGTATCAGCTCAAGGGACTTAACTGGCTAGTCAATCTTTACGAACAGGGCATTAATGGTATCCTTGCCGATGAAATGGGTCTCGGGAAGACCGTGCAGTCAATTTCAGTGATGGCTTACCTCGCTGAAGTCCACGATATCTGGGGTCCATTCCTCGTCGTTGCACCCTCTTCGACCTTGCACAATTGGCAACAGGAAATCGTAAAATTCGTACCTGACCTGAAGGTGTTACCGTACTGGGGATCAGCAAAGGATCGGAAAGTTTTACGAAAGTTCTGGGATCGCAGAAACATCACATACCGCAAGCAGTCGGAATTCCATGTCCTTGTGACGTCTTACCAATTGGTCGTTGGCGATGCTCAGTACTTCCAGAAGATCAAATGGCAATATATGATTCTGGACGAAGCCCAGGCCATCAAGTCTTCTCAGAGCTCGCGATGGAAGAGCCTTCTCGGAATGCACTGCAGAAACAGACTTCTCCTCACTGGTACCCCGATCCAGAACAACATGCAGGAACTCTGGGCGTTACTTCACTTCATCATGCCGACCCTGTTTGATTCTCACGACGAATTCAGTGAATGGTTCTCCAAGGATATTGAGAGCCATGCCCAGAGTAACACGAAGCTCAATGAGGATCAACTTAAGCGGTTGCATATGATTTTGAAGCCGTTCATGCTTCGTCGTATCAAGAAGCACGTGCAGAAGGAACTCGGTGATAAGGTCGAAAAAGATGTGTTCTGTGACCTTACCTATCGCCAGCGGGCGTATTATACGAATTTGCGAAACCGAGTTAGCATCATGGACCTCATTGAGAAGGCCGCTATTGGCGATGACACGGATAGCACCACTTTGATGAACTTGGTGATGCAGTTCAGGAAGGTATGCAACCATCCTGACCTGTTTGAGCGTGCTGAGACGACGTCCCCGTTCTCTGTGTGCTACTTCGCGGAAACTGCGTCCTTCGTCCGCGAGGGTCCGTTTGTTGATGTTGGATATTCTACTCGTAACCTGGTTGAGTACGACCTGCCACGTCTGCTCTGTAGCCCGGAGGGTCGCTTGGATGTTGCTGGGCCCGGGAATAACAAGGCTGGTTTCGAAGGAAGGTATCTTTCTCACTTGATGAATATCTGGACTCCTGAAAATATCCGGGAGAGCATGAGTCATAACGACGCCTTCTCCTGGCTGCGCTTTGCGGACACGTCGGTTGGCGAGGCGTACGAAGTGTCGCACAAGGGTGTCTTCGAACGCGCGGTGAGAAGGCGCGATTATTCGAACCGTCTTTCGTTGTTGGATGTCGCCTATGATGTCGAGGATGGCGTCAATATCAATTCGGTTCACGTCCACTCGCTTTTCAATATCGTTGAGCGTAACGACCGGCGAGCATTGGCGGATATCACTGCCACTGGCTATATGCGTGAACTGCTCAATGTTGCCAGCAATGTCGCTGAAAGGGGCGGCATTCGCACTATCGAGCCCTGCGCTAAGCCTGGTGCTTCTGCACCCCCGATTACAATCTCCTGTTCGGGACAAGCTGCAATTGCAGAGGCACGGGCAACTTTCTTCAATACCGCTGTTCGCCATGCGCTTTTCGCGGCTCCAACCAAGACTATGGAGGAAGAGATTCTATCCAACAAGTTAGATCCGGCGCCGTACTCTTTGCGCCCGTTGCTCCCGCAACCTGGCTCGATGAAGGGACGGTACACGAATATCACTGTGCCGTCCATGAGACGCTTCGTCACCGATTCTGGAAAACTCGCCAAGTTGGACGAGCTCCTGCGTGAACTCAAGAATGGAGGACACCGTGTACTGTTATATTTCCAGATGACCCGCATGATTGACCTGATGGAAGAGTACCTCACGTATCGCAACTACAAGTATTGCCGGCTTGATGGGAGCACCAAGTTGGAGGATCGTCGTGACACCGTCTCCGACTTCCAGCAGCGTCCGGAGATCTTTGTATTCCTGCTGTCGACGCGTGCCGGTGGTCTTGGTATCAATCTGACGGCGGCTGATACCGTCATCTTCTACGACTCCGATTGGAATCCGACGATTGATTCGCAGGCCATGGATCGAGCGCATCGTCTGGGTCAGACGAAGCAAGTCACTGTCTACCGTCTCATCACCCGAGGCACCATCGAAGAACGCATACGTAAACGGGCGTTGCAGAAGGAAGAAGTGCAGCGCGTCGTTATCTCCGGTGGAGCCGCCGGCGGAGTGGACTTCAACGCTCGTAGCCGCGAGAACCGGACGAAGGACATTGCTATGTGGCTGGCGGACGATGAGCAGGCCGAGATACTGGAGCAGAAGGAGAAAGAGGCGCTTGAGAAAGGAGAAGAGCTTGGTACGAAGAAAGGGAGGAAGGCTGCGGGGAAGAGGAAGAGAGATATTACGTTGGATGATATGTATCATGAAGGTATGTACCTTTTTTTGGTTTTTGTCTACTTTTTTTATGAGTATGATACGGAGCCAGTTGCTGACGACAGATGTGCAGGGGAGGGACACTTTGAAGATAATAGCACCAAACCTTCTGGCGCGGCGACTCCCGTATCCGGAGATGTGTCTGGCGTACCGGGAGTCAAAGGTCGTCGCGGCCGCGGCGGTGGTGGTGTAGGCCGTTCGAAGAAAGCCAAGACGATGAAAGAGAGACTGAGGCTGGTGGACGGCGAGGTCGATTGAGGCGTGATCGATACCTTTTTTCTTTTCGACAAGTTTTCCTTTTCCCCTTGACCTGGAGTTGGAGAGAAGGGGCCCCTTCCGGAATACAATCCATTCATACATATTTCATGGGTATTTAGGCACATTGATTGTTCAGAGTTGCTTCTCGGCTAATTATGTTTTTGTCCTATTTATTCCTTTTGAGTTCTCATTTTCATATCAACACCAAAAAATATATATATATATAAAAAAAAAAAAAAAAAAAAAAAAAAAAAGAGAGAGAAGTGGATGAGTTGGGTGGGATACGGAGTAGTGGCTGCATGGTTGCATCTGTCCTTTGGACTGTTATTTCCGCACTGCCGTCCGTGTCATTTTATTTTTTTTTTGTGCTGTTGGGGTGACGCATTGTGCAGGTTCGACTATATGCATTTTTTTTTTTTTTTCCCTTGTTCGCTTTTTCTTTTCTGCTTGAATAATAAAACCATAGCATGTAACAATAGAGATACAACATGTGCATCAGGACAGGAGGAAAAAAAAAAAAGGGTGATATGCAAACTGATCGGGATGATTTCTTGTATATACTCTTTGAGTGTTTATATAGTAGTCACATGTACAGAGTACATACTCCATGCAGTAACAGTACCTTCCCGTATCGGCATCTCTACTGGCAAACTTGCGACCCTCAGGTGCCTGCCGTATTCGGCGACTTCCCCCAAGGAACGGACCAGAAATTGCCGCAGTGGGAAAGAAGATCCGGTGGCTAGGCTTGTTTCTACTTTCGGCAGGCAAGCCCCATGGAAAACGCCGACTTTGGGGAAAGGGCGATCTCGGATGTACTCTTCCGCGGTTTTTCCCCCGCGTGGTACATCGGCTTGCACGTGATCGGGATCTGACTGTGGGGGTTTGGCGCTTTACCCGAATAGGCAATGGGTTTTACCTTTGCCAGGCAGAGCTGACCAATCAGCGCGTGCTTATTTATAACTGCGCCTGCAAAATCTCTCCGGCTGGCAAAATCCTGGCTGCCAGGGAGCAAAAACGGCCCCTGCAGGTTATTCCGGCGTCATCCATTTATTTCCATCCCAGCTTGGTCTTCTTCGCTCTCCTTTTTTTTATTTTCCCTTTTCCCTCCCTCTTCAATTTGTCTTTCCACGCAAAAAAGTACATTAAAAAAAAAAAAAAAAAAAGGAAAGGAGTATTAAGCCAGAGTAGGGCTTTTTTTCTGTCCAAGTCTTGTCGCTCACGACCGACCCCCCCAATTCATACCGTTCTACGCTTCAAACCATGGAGGCCCTCCTGCAGCAGTCTCGGTCCCTGTGTCCATTCCTGAGCAAGACGTCCCCGTCTACCCTGCGCTCGCTGTCCACCAGCACCCGTCCTCATGCCTCCAGCCCCGGGGGTGGCACCATCTCCAATCTCCAGGTCATTGCCAAGCGATGTCCCATCATGAGCAAGGCCCTGGCCGTGCAGAGCTCGAGGATGGCTGCCGGATGCCCCATCAAGGGACTCGGCGCCGCCATGAGGGTCTCTGTTCATGGGAAGAGGGCAATGCATACCAGCGCAGTGAGGCATGCCAACGTTAGAGATGAGGTGAATAAGAAGGCACAGCGAGGTGAGAGCCTTTTTTTTTTTTTTTTTTTTTCCAACTGCTGACTATGTATGGGTGTTTGCAGTGCCTCCTGTTCTCTTGAGCAACAAGCCCTCTGATGCTTTGAAACGTGACACTGTCTGTCCTGGCCCCAAGCCGGCGGTTCCACCGGCTGGGAAGTTCGACTACGAAGCGTTTTATGCGGCTGAGCTTGAGAAGAAGCACAAGGACAAGACTTATCGCTACTTCAACAATATCAATCGGCTTGCCCGTGAGTTCCCCAAGGCCCACATGGCAACTTCTGGGGATAGAGTCACTGTCTGGTGTGCCAACGACTACCTTGGCATGGGGCGCAACCCGTACGTTCTTCGCACCATGCATGAGACGCTGGACAACTATGGTGCCGGTGCCGGCGGAACGAGAAATATTTCCGGCCATAACCAGCACGCCGTTGCTCTGGAGGACACCCTTGCGAGACTCCACAGGAAAGAGTCTGCCTTGGTGTTCAGCTCTTGCTATGTCGCCAATGATGCTACTTTGGCCACCCTGGGATCCAAGTTACCGGACTGTGTAATCCTTTCTGACAGCCTGAACCATGCCTCGATGATCCAGGGCATTCGCCATTCTGGAGCTAAGAAGATGGTGTTCAAACACAATGATCTTCAGGATCTGGAGAACAAGCTGGCTTCTTTGCCTCCGTCTACACCGAAGATCATTGCTTTCGAGTCTGTCTACAGTATGTGTGGGTCGATTGCTCCTATCGAAGAAATCTGTGACCTCGCCGAGAAGTACGGTGCGATCACTTTCCTCGACGAGGTTCACGCCGTGGGCATGTATGGGCCGCACGGTGCTGGTGTCGCTGAGCACTTGGACTACGATGTGCATGCTTCCGCCCCTGAGAACATCAAGGGTACCGTAATGGACCGAATTGATATCATTACCGGTACTCTTGGTAAAGCGTATGGTTGCGTTGGTGGTTATATCGCAGGATCGGCCCGGTTTGTCGATACAATCCGCTCCCTCGCTCCCGGTTTCATCTTCACAACGTCTCTCCCTCCTGCCACGATGGCTGGTGCAGCTACCTCGATCAAGTACCAAGCTGGATATGGTCGCGACCGCACCCTCCAGCAGCTCCATACCCGCGCCGTCAAAGCTGAACTCAACGCAAGTGATATTCCTGTCATACCTAATCCCTCTCACATTATCCCTATCCTCGTCGGTGATGCCGAAGTTGCCAAGCGCGCCTCTGACATGCTCTTGGAGGATTATGGCATCTACGTCCAAGCTATCAATTACCCCACCGTCCCTCGTGGCGAAGAGAGGCTGAGAGTCACGCCTACTCCAGGCCACATCAAACCTCTCCGGGACCATCTTGTCGCTTCACTCAAGCAAGTCTGGGAACGCTTGGGTATTCGCAAGACTAGCGATTGGAAGAAAGTTGGTGGATTTTTGGGCGTTGGGGACGAAGCTGCCGTAAAGGACGCCAAAAATCAACCCATGTGGACTGATGAGCAGCTTGGTCTCGCCCAGGGCGAGGACGTCGAAGCTGCTTTGCGGCGAGAGCTTCAGGCCGAGACTATCGATAAGCAGCGTATGCTCAACGAGTTGGCTGAGCCGGTTGGTATGTCCACCCCTGTAGCTCCAGCCGTGAAGGTGACTGCCTAAAGAGAATTTCGGGAATTCAACTGTTCTTTGACTTTGATTTGGCGGACGGGTAATAGCTTGGGTTTCATCTATACATTCCTTTACACAATTTCAGATGTGACAATTTACCCACATATTCCACAAATCCGGTCAAATATCAGATATCTTTTATTTTTGCAGCTTCTCCCTGTGAAGTATTGGCCTATTTTTCCCTTTGGCTTGTATTCACGCGCCTTTGTTTTATTGTTCACAACGTGGATTTAATCCACCTGGGAATTCTACACATATGGCCCTCCAAAATTCTCATTGTCTTGGAGATTTTGAAGGCATCCTTTTTGGAATAACTAATGTAAATAATGCACAAGTGCTCTTTGATAGGGCCAAATAAACATTATTCGATCTTTTGATATACGTTTTACTCTTTCTTTGGGTACTCATCGATATAGTTAACACAGTAAAGACAAGCTCTTAAGTTGGGTGCGTATACTCCATACATCCAGGCTGTAAATCCTAAATCTCGCTCTCACAAAAATATGCTATCCCCATCGTGATTTCACCTTCTGCCACCACGGCTCACTTTGGGAAACTCCACCGGTATCCTCAGTCTCGCAATTCGCTTCATTGCAGCCTCCGTCTTTCCTTTCTTAATACCCCATTTCGCATATTCACTCTCCCGTGGCTTGTCGATCCGACAGCCCAATTCCTTAAAATACTGCAACGCAGTCTGGTTCTCCAGACTCAAATCATCGCGCAGATCCGCAGGATCAGTGGCCAACTCATTCGGTGCATGCGGCGCCCCCGACGCCGGCGGGATGTGCAGGGTCAGAGCACAGATCGTGGTGAACAGGAAGGTGATATCGTTCCGCGCCAAGATCGCACCCTGGGGCACGAACTTCCTGCGCAGCGAATCGATCAGCGAATCCGTGACGAACTGCGGCGCCGTGCTGTTCTTCGGATTGGTCGCCTCGGAGAGCTTGCGGCGCAGGTCTTCGCGGAGAGGGAGCTTCTTGCTGCCGGGGCTAGCCTTGTCGGCGCCGCGGGTGGGCTTGAGGCTGCCGGCGAATTCGATAAGGAGGAGGATGAATCGGAGGAGTTGTAGCTGCGTTTTGTCGCCGGATTTGCCCACTGCCTCGACGCGGCGGGAGACGAAGCGGGATCTGGTGAAGATTGCTTCGGATTTCGCGAGTGAGTTCTGCCAGTCGCGGATTGGCATGGAGTGCAGTGTCGAGAGGCCGCCGGGGATTAAAGAGTCGAGAGAGTATACGTCTGATGGATGCTGTGCGGACAGGTTCGGTTGTGGAAGCGGTTTGGCGGCTTGGATTTCTTGCTGAGCTGTCTTTTCGGCGGGGACGGTGGATATTTCGTCCTTTGGCATCGAGGAGAGCAAGGCGGATTCTGCGGCGTTGGGCGCTCCGCCCGGCGCGTTGGAGAGTAGGGCATTTTCGGCGATCGATTGTATGGCCTTGCGGGATTGCTTGGTGCCAAAGGCTTCTGCCAGGGCAGATCGTTTGGAGAATGCGGTTTTCTAGAGCGGAAAAGATTTCCCCTGTTAGCGATCCTGGTCTGGAGATGAGAGGTGGATAGGAAACTTGAAAAAAAAAAAAAAAAAGAAAAGACCTACGACTTCTTCATCAGATTCCTCTTCTTCGTCAGGAACCGCCTCGCGCAGAGAGCTTCTCACAGTGACTTTTCTGGCCTCAACCAATTGCAACGCATTTCGTTTGGGATCGTAGATGGCCACATAATGATTCCACAACGAATCCAGTTGATCCACACCTTCCCTCGCAGTAAAATCCAGCTTCGGATGCAAAGACGAATGCAGGAGTAATTCGGAAGAAATGACATCAGAATTGGTAGTACCCGTGGTGGAAGCGCGCTTTGCACGCGATTTGGTGTAGGCCTGGAGAGAAAGAGACTCAGGGAGACGAATTCCCGGTGTAGAAGCTAGAAATGGCATTTAGCATCAAGTCTTCTTCTTTCTTTCCTTAAGATATCTCTGGTTTAAGCTGCAAGGAAACATATTCGACATACCAATCACTGGAACCGGTCCAGCGTCGTTCTCAATGAACTTGACCTTCAGAGGAGGCATGACGGACTCGATAGCCGGTTTTTTGCTAGGCCGGTCATGTTTTTCTGAGGCGCGCTTTCTTTTCTTTTCGGGGGTTCCGGAGCCCATTTTTTCAGATACTATAATGAGGAATTAACTGCTATAGTTGCGCAGGATTGGAGTTCTATCAGACTCGCAGTTCCGCTGCAGCTTGAGCTGGAAATTGGAGAAGTTTTTCGGAAGATTAGATTTCCCGCGTCGTGCTCCACTGCCGACCTTTTTCAACACAACCGAGACCAAGAACGAAAATAAGAGAAATAACAAGAATTAAATGATTGCTGAAGGGTTCTTTTGATTTACTGAAGGACTGATATCAAACGATACAAAGAAATAGTACTCCGTAGTGAGTTTTTGGTTTTGCTTTTGAAGACTGTCCACTTTCATTCCGAGGTCAATCCGCCCTTATCGGCAAGCTATTTTGTAAATACATAAAAGCCATCGCACAGAAAGACACCAGATCCAGCAGGACAATTAGTAAACTCTTCAAGGTACAGCCCCGTAGTTCGGATATTTCGCCTTTTTTTTTGACTAGTCTCCCATGATAATAAAAAGTCTCGAAGTAAACTCCTTTCCCCTGTTTCCCTCAAAAACCGCAGCCTCGAATAGTTAACACACAAAGAGAATCGTCATATTACCGATCGTTCGTAGCACGTTGTAGAGCTCATGACAGGATGCAAGAGTCGTCAATACAATTAGAAAGGGGCGCTCCGAATCCGACCGAAAGAAAAATTTTCTTCTTCGAGAATGCAACTTTAGGCAGTCCAAACCGTCGTGGGTAATTCTTTCTTTTTTTTTTCTTGTTGATTTAGTCCGCGAGGGATCGAGAGAAAAGGATGCTAGAAAGCCATGACGGATGCATCGCGTGACTCGATAGTCATTGAAGAACAGGCATTGTTTTCAGCGTTCGAGGTCTTCGTCACGGAACGACTAAGACAGAGCCGTGAAGAGGTTTACTTGCTGTAGGAAGCAGTAAGTATAAGGCCTCTCATTCTAGACGAGGTGATGGTGATTGATATTTGAGAAAAACTAACCTTCTAGCCCGGACCTTTCTTCTCTTACGCTTCAAGCGTCGAACGCGCTTCTTTCTCCACTTAGCTCTCATCTTCGTAAAGTATCAGAGACTGTGAAGTAGAGCAGGTTAGATACAATCAATGAAGCCACATGCTGAGGGAACAGGATGCTAACTTACACTTCGTCGATGAGGGGATGGTTGGAAGAAGGAAGAAGTTGAGAGCAGTGGAGAGAAGCTTTGTAGCCGGCCGTGTTGTGGGATGCTGACTAAGGCCGCAAGCGCGCTAAGGGCTAGGCAAGTCGGAAGCGAAAATTTACATCATCGAATTATGTAACGCACTTGGCGGGACTGGACTCACGACTCGGGCGTCACTTGGTCGAAAGCAAGAGGTAAGGAGCCCGCTGTTTTGTGATAACAGTTGTTTGGGAACAAGTGCATATGATTACAGTTTTGGAAAAGGATCGTTTGAATGTGTTCTTGATTTAAAATCTCTCTTGTATTGTCTTAACTTGATATCATAAGGCACCGAACGAACATCTGTGGGAATACTTCAACTCCACCCGAAAATTGTAAAAAAAAAACGCATTCATCATGAGAACACAAAAAAAAAAAAGAAACATAGCACCAATTCAAGAAAAAAAAAAAAAATCATTAAGCCGCAGCTGCCATCGTGGGAGGAATAGGAGTCTCGAGAACTGGAGCAACTGATTCAGGGGTGGACTGAGTTCCAATGGTGGTTTGGACGCCAACACGTTCATTGCCCAAGAGATCAGCAAGGAGCGGGCTCGGGCGGCTATCCCGTCCAGGTTGGAACGCAGACTGGCTTTGCTTGTACTTCTGAACGCTGTCAAGATAGATATCAAACAGATAAGAAGAATCCAGAGGTCCTCCCTTCGCCTCAGGATGGAACTGGGTGCTAAAGATTGGACGAGTCTTGTGGATCATGCCTATTTCAACGTTAGAACAATCTCTTATTTTTCTTAAATTTAAAGCGGGACTTAATAACGTACCCTCGTTGCTAGAATCGTTAAGATTGACAAAGTACGGTTTCCAGTCGCTAGGGAGGGTGGAAGCGTCAACAGCGTAGCCGTGATTCTGGCTGGTGATGTGGCAGCGGCCAGTGGTCAGATCCAAAGCCGGGATGTTGTGTGCCCGATTTCCGTACTTCAACTTAATCGTCCGAGCACCAGCAGCAAGTGCGAGGAGCTGATGACCGAGACAGATACCCATGATTGGCAGCTGAGACACTTCCATCAACTTGCGAAGATTGTGGACTGTCTTCTGGCAGTGGGTTGGGTCGCCAGGGCCGTTGGAGATGAAAACACCATCGAAATGATGTGCGACTTTTTGGATCGGGAAGTCATATGGGAAAACGGTGATACTTGCACCCCTGTGGACAAGGCTACGAAGAATATTCTCCTTGACTCCGCAATCAATGACAGCGACATGTGCGTTGCTGTTTCCAGGGTTGATATGGAACGGAGCCTTGGTGCTAACTTTGGCGACTAAGTTGATCTGCTCCGGATCAACAAATGCTTCGTCCTGATCGGCATCATACTCTTCGCCAACGGAAATTTTAGCAAGAGAAGAACCCTGCTCTCGAAGATAGGTCACAATGGCGCGGGTGTCGACACCGGAAATAGCAGGAACGCCTTCTCTGATACACCATTCGCTCAAGCTCTCGACGGCGGTCCAATGACTGTACTTTTCAGCGACATCTGCGACAACAACGCCAACTGCCTGAAGGCTGGGGGACTCAAAATATTTCAGCAAGCCGTTCTCATCCTTCTCCGCAGACGGGACACCGTAGTTCCCGATCAGAGGCTGTGTGAAAACGAGAATCTGACCGCGGTAAGAAGGGTCACTAAGAGATTCGGGGTAGCCGACCAGCGAGGTGGTAAAGACGGCCTCGCCAGAGATGTTCTTTTTCGCTCCAAAGGACTTTCCGTGGAATACAGGACCATCTCGGATCGTGAAAGTGGCACGTTCAGGAGCAAAAACTGCACTGTTAGGCTTTGGGGTGCCCTTTGCAACTGAGGCCATGAATCGAGCCTGGAGGACCTGGGGCTTCATGGCCCAATTGGCCCGTGGTGGAAATGATTTCAAAGCTTTTGAAAACATGATTGTGTGAGGATTGTTGTGAAAAAATATGGATGTAAAAGTGGCTCGATGAAAGATGACTCAGTTCACAGAGGCTTTCCAAAGATGATCTAGTTTGGGTTAGCACATGCCGAGAGAGGGAGCGGCGGGAGAGATCCAGTCATACCCGAGATGTAGTCCTAGAGTGAAGAGCAAGTGTTAGCCAACGAATGCTCCATTAAGCTCGCCATCAAAGGAGTAGTGAGCCCCCTAAAGACAAAGGAAGTGCTATCTCACCTGGGAAGTGAATTCAGAGGGTATCACGCGCATAAGCACCAACAGTGCTGTTCAGCACTGAATCAGTAATCTATTAAATGGAGAATATAGGTGAATTTGAAGCTGCTGGGACTGATTGTGAGGCTAGGGCGGCTGGTCGGCTGGTTTTGACTAGGAGTGAATAGAGGAGAGAAGAAAGGGACGGTGAAGGCGAGAAAATCCGAATTAAAGACCCAAAAAACTAAACAAATTTTTCCGGTTGATATTCCGATTGACCAATCACAGCTCAAATATTTCACAAAACATTATGTATTGCTTTTGTAAATACAACATCATGTCCGACACTTAACACGAATATGACTTGTACCGTATTGAAAACCCGTTTGACAGGAATGCCCTGGATCGGCGGAGCAAGCCAGCCACGTCCTTGATTTTCGAGGGCGAAAAACCGGCGGCACCATTGACTCCACTAGACCGCTTCTCAGGCGAAAAGGAGGCGGCATGATTGTGAAAACAGGTGCATATACTCCGTAAACGGGGTTGGCTCTAGGACGAATTTCAATCAACTTCGTTAATACCGCGGGGTCAAGATCGATATCGGCACGTATCCCTGTCGAAGCTCCAAGCTGGCGTGCAACACAGGGACCCTTGACAGTCACACACACACAAACGGCCATTGCTTCTCTTGCCATCAGTCCTTTCAACGCCTGTCAACCATCAGCACGAAAGCGATGCGCTGAGGTCGGCCACCCCATGGATTTCCCCTCAGGGGGCGGATGGGCGTGCTATATCCACAGATATAGCTGCGGTTTATTTCTTTTTTCCTATGTCATCCATTATTGATCATCAACCAGGGGTTGTGCTATGTGATTTCCAAGGTTTGATGCATCTATGTTGTAAAGCCCCATCAGCAGAACCCTTTATTAGAGTGGTCAGGGTGTGTGTGGAATGACCCAGATTTGATATATTTCCACAAGCCAAAGGTGCCTCTTGTGTTTGTTGCGGACCCCCCCCCCCCCCTTTAAAGCAGCAGAAAGCAATGCCAATGTTATTTTCACGGATGGGATGTTGGCTGTGTTGTAACACATCCGTTCTGGATAACTATGCTGGCTGAGTACCGGACATCGCTTTGTCATCTGCTCACCACCCACGCCTTCTACTATGAACGTGGACATTGCGAGTGATAGCGACCCTGAGCGCCGTCCCTGATCTTCACGCGCCGTTATTGTCTTGCGGCTCGAATCCAAAAGATCAGAGTAGCGGACTCTACTCGCCCCAGGGTCGTGCGCATCCGGTGCGCCCCGCTCTCCCGGTCGTTGCACGATCAGAAGCGCGCTTCGAAGCGACTATCAGCGATGAGGTCGATCGCGCCGCACACGTGCCTTGCCAATCGAGCAGCAAGAAAGGGTGATCTGGGGGCACTTCCCCTTCGAGCCTAGCGCCGGATTGGGGTATATAAAGCTCCTTTCTGCCCGCTGCCTCGTCTCTTCTCTTCTCTTCTTTTCTTTCTCTCCTCATCCTTCTTTTTCTTTTTCTGCGTTCGGGTCAACAGACTCTGCTTTTTGCCTGTCCCTTCACCTTTCCTTACTTGTTCTGTTTGAACAAGCTTCACTGCTCACTTTCTCACCTCCTCTCTTCACCTTGTTCCTCATGTGAACAAGCTCCTCTTCTTACCTTTTCTCTCCCAATCTTGTTCCCTTTGAACAAACTCCTTCTGGCTCTTCTCTTCTCTCTCTCTCTCTCCCCCCCCCCCCCCCCCCCCCCCTCTCCCTTTTTTTTTTTTTTTTCTTTCTCTCTTTTTGCTTAACTTGTCCATGACACCATGAACAAGTTCGTTGTTTTCCTTCTGTTCCCAGCTTGCTCGTTGCATTGTGAGCAAGCCTTTTTTTTCCCTCTTTCCCTCCTGGGTTGTTCATGTTGCCCCATGAACAACCCACGAGGGAAATTGAGTCTGCATGGGGACCTCTGCATAAATCACACAAGCCCTCCCATGTAACCCAGTAGCACTCCTTACTGAAAGGAACTGCGAAGAAGATCAGAGCTTCATGTTACATACTGTACAATAGGTGTTCAACTCTTAAGTAGTTACAGCTAATGGAAATTCCTATTGATCATACAATCTTGCCTGGAGAGACTGTAAACAACACACAGCTATGCTTCTTGAGGCTGCATCAGACATAAGAATTCGGTTAGCTGCCCCTCTCCCCCTTCATATACATCTTAGAGCTCAAGAATCTAACTTGTTATATATGCACACACTTGCATTGCCATTTTTTTTGAAAATTGAATTCTCCCGAAAAGAAATCCGACGACTTCCGCAGTTTCTTATACCTAGTCAATACTGCTGGTGGCCACCGTAGTTGTCAACGAATCTCCGTCGACAGGGATCTCAATACGTTTTTATCGTATTATCAAGGATTCGGTAGGTCCAGCGATTCCCACACAAGGTTTCCTCTTAAGACTATATCTTCTATTCGAAGGCCTTTCTAATAATATTTTACTTTCTGCTTTTAGATACCTTTGAATACATGTGTCCTATGCAGTTGGCTGCCTTGACGGAATTGTTCATGTGCCACCAGGCCAGTCTCCGAGACCCGCGCCTCCCTGAAAGATGGGGTATAGTCAACGATGGGCTCCCATTTATGGGTGTTCTGAAAAGCGTCTTCCTGATCACCTAGGCGGGTCACGCCTTTGCCTAGCCAAATGTCGACTTGATGGTCTGATTGAGAAAATGTGGATATAGCGAACTTGTGTTGCCGAGCTGGAACCATTCTCGCATGATGAAGGCTATTTCCTAATTGATTTGGGAGGTTCCACTTAGGATGGAATAGTTTTAACTTTACTCCGTACAAGTGAATCAATTAAATTTATTTAGAAACTATCCCTCTCGCTAGATGACCATGTCATCGTTTCGTTTCGCTGCAATTTCATCCCGCACCCTTTTGACTCTGCCTTTCAGGCGTTCGGCTTCGTTGCTCCTTGCCTCTTCCGTGGAGAAGACCGGGTCCCAGAAGATCCATGGTTCGCAATTTGATGGCCTAGGCTGTCGCAAGTCTTGTAGTATGGAGAGCTGGCCGATAAGCGAAGGTAGACACATTCACTGTCGTTCTGGGTTTCACGCGCGCCAGAATGTAGATGGATGGGCATACCTGGCCATAACCAACCTTTGGGCGGCTGATAGTGCAGTAGATGGAAAAAAATAATATGGTCAAAGCTTTCATTAGCAAAGACAATTCACCTCCAAGCCCATCGTAGAAAGGCTCCAACATAGTGTTGTTGTTTGCTGTTGCTGTTGCTGTCGTAGGTAAGTGCTCGTCTAAAACCATCAAGGATTTCGCGATGTTGCAAGTTGGCGCCAGGATTCCACAGGGGCCGTGGAAGGGAAAATAAATGTTAGAGAACCGGACGTAGGGTACATGGGTTTTCCCAGGATATAGGGTACGAAAGAGCTAAGTAGGTCTGATGCCCACAACTGATGGGAGGGAGTCGTGTGTAGAACATAGGGGTCCTCTAACTAGGAGACTGAACACTGAGGTTCCCATAATCTGTGTGAATTGTGTGACCCTTATACATTCAGAGTTGGGGGTCGTATGAGTTCCTCTGAACATTCAACATCATCCAATGCTTGGTTGGCCTTGGCCTACATTTGTAACACTATCCCCTCCCCCCAGAGGCCTTGAACTTCAAGACATAGGGCCACTGAAGTGATTTTTTGTACATCATTGTTGTAGCTCCCCTGTCATTGGTGGAGTATTGTAGATTCTTGAATGTACAAGCTTCTGCATTTCTACTGCTTGTCTATATAGACATCCTGCATGCACATTGCTGCCAGTTGCAGTAGACATCCTTCATTATAGAACATTAATCATTTTATTACAAAAGTCCAGCATTTTGTCACATAATCATTTCTTTGTTTGTTAGCTTGTTTGGTTGCTATGTTGTCTGTTGTCTGTTGTCATGTTGTTTACCAACAAGTTATAGATCTAACTACTTTAGGGTGTTGTGGTGCAGATATAAATAGAGGCTTCTTTGCTCTCATTCTTCTTCTTTTCTTCTATCACATCTTGATGCAAGCATCATCATTTTCTTTAGCTTTTGTTCTCATTATCATGTCTTTGAATAAGGATCCCATCTCTAATAATGAGGAGGATGTATTTCCTTGTTCCATCTGTATATATTTGATGCTCACAGACTGTCTAGACAAGAAAAAACCTTGTGTGTGGGATGCTGAGAAAGAATCCTGTGCCCACTGCTTAGAGTGTTAAACCCATACTTGTTGTGATGTAAGTGCATCTTCATCTGTTTTTTCTTGTTGTTCTGACATGGCTATAGGTCCCAGAGTCTGCCATTGATGTTGTCCGTAGGCTTCTACATCTTCATGAGGAATATCATACTTTCGACGCTGCTGATCCGCGTCGCCCTTATAACGTGAAGTGTATGAGCATCCTCGTACACTTCAGGTCCCAGAGTCCGCCATTGATGTCGTCCGTAGGCTTCTACGTCTTCGTGAGGAATATCATACTTTCGACGCGGATCAGCATCAGTAATCAACTGGTCAATGTCAGGCAATATTGTTGTACGCGTTAGTTATCAGCATTGCATTTTCGCGGCGTGGCGGTTAGAAAGATACCAACGGATCGGAAATAAGCATTGATGGAAGAAATCAAGGCATGCATTCGAGTTCGATAATCCTTGTCACGAACAATTTTTACAAGAGACAGAAAGTCGCTGCATAGCAGCAATCGTGTGGCGAAGAGCCAGTGGAGTCAATTCGCACGTCTTATCATTTTTCTGGCAGCGCGAACATCTCGCCCATTTATTGGGCTTCGTACAAACAAGAGAAGGCTCGTCGCCGTTTAGTAATTCTGACGTACTGGGTTGATAATTCCGATGGCTTCATAGGAACAATTTTATATGCTGGTAAAGTAATATCCTGAGAAATCCTGAGGTGTATATAAAACCAAGCAAACCACGAAAACACCAGGTGACTCGAGAGTCATGACTTGATGGATTATAGTCCCACTTGCCCGACGTTGGTATGCTCAATGAATTGCAATATTGATTATAGGTTCACAATTCTTTGTCTTGCATTAGGTTGTTCCTGAAACCTCATTTTTTTCATGGTTGCAGTGGCCTGATTATTGCATCTCCAAGGGCATAGTCTGTGGATCTTGAAAGAATCATAACAAAATGTCATTGGCCTGAGATTCTTGCATATGGCCTGGCTGGTGTTGTTGCTGTTGAGATATGTATTTATGAAAAGATTAAGAATCTCAGAGCAGCTGGCTCCCTGAAAATTGAGCAATGTATATGACATTCTTAGAGAAAGAAGAGTAAAAAGGGAGGCGAGAAAGCAGAGTGCTTATATAGCCATCCACAGTATCGCTTCTCACCTAAACGGCTTAAGTAATGTAGTGAATTCACTGCTATAAAGTAGATCACTAGATGCTACAGTGAAAGCATTAGGATGCCAAGCCTGATGCTACCATTAAGGACCGGAAGGCATTCACTGGGCTATCAGCTTTTAACTTACGGCAGTTGACAGTCATTAAGCCTGAGTAAGTGAATTCAAACCACCACATATGGAAGAGGCTTTATAATAACAACTGATTGGGGGAAGTTGAATAAGAGTGACGGATGAAAATGTCCAAGAATTTGAAATTATTAACTAATTGAAGCTGAATATGTATAAAGAAATAGCGAAAGGTAACAAAGCATCATCCTCATGCAAAAGAGATACCAAGAACCATAGTCACAAAGCTGAGCAAGCCCACCGAGAAACCGGCTCTGGCACCTGCACCAGTAGCAGTAGCTGACGGTGCTGTACCGGTCCCAGTTGGAGTTGCACCATCTTCAATCAAAATGTAATTCCTGATCAGGGCATCTCCGCTTCTAATCTTCTCGACCTGCTCTCTAGTACATGTGGAAAGTTCGAGGATATAACACTGAGGGGCGGGATCCGGAGGTGGATCATTCTTTATATGGAAGGTTGACTCTGTGCCGGAGGTACCATAGTCTCTTCTCTGGGCCGTATCAATTGTGCCAGTTGCAATGTCTTTATTGAATTGGATACGCTGGAACACCTGGTACGATGCTTCTGGCTGATAAGCGGGGACCTCGTGGCCAGCTTGGTAAATTCTCGAAAACGAGAAATTGCCATACTGCCGGACTTGTCCTCCAACGAAGGAAGAATTTACCTGGATATCTGTATAACCCGCGGACCTGAACATGTCCGATTCAGAATAGTCAATCGCAAGACTGACCTCCTCGCCTCCGATCCAATTGCATATATAGTCTCGATCTCCATAGACCAAAGCAACCTTGACCCCTGAATCTAGAAGATAAGCAATATCTTCAAGATAACCACGGACATCGTTTCTTGGATAGTCTCCAGTCGCAGAGAACCCGCTGTAAACAGCAGTGGATGACACTGTAAAATTAACGGGAATACCCATGGCAGCTTGCACATGCGCCTGGCTCAGGTATCCCAGGTAATAATTTGGCGGGAAGGGATCGGCACTGGGATGACCGATGTCGTAAACTCCTCTATCGCCATATAGAATATATAGCAGCTCGACGTGCTCACCGCAGTATTGTTCTGTTCTCATACAGGCCTCGTTAACCGTTTGGTTATTTCCGTACATATATGGGTCGCCTTCAGCAGAGAGTTGTCGACAGTTATTGATCATATCGCGACAGCCTCCGGGTTTCTCCCAATCTTCAAGCCCAGTATTGAAAACAGTTTCGTTGATAGCTTGGATTCCATAGGTATTGTTGTAGGCGTAATGGAGGTAGGACGGCGCTTGGATAAGCAGATCGACACAGCCGTTGATAATGCCGAGAGTGTCCAGATTAATGAGGTGCATTTCTCCATCTCTTGTGATAGTCCCATTCCTAATCTTCTCATTTTGCTCTTGGAAGAAGGCAGCAAAAGATGGACCGTACCGACCTCCATAGGACTCAGTCCAGATACTCACCCTGTCGTCATTCGGCCTATACTCTGGGAATTCCTGGAACCACACCTGGGCAAAATGCCACAGAGAACGAGCAGCGTTCATGGTAGAGTTTGCAGAGTTACGCGAGTTTTGAGAACTCGTGGTGCCAACGAAGAATGTATTGTTCTGCTCAGGCACTCCCTGAGAAAAATCTGCAACTTGCCATTCACTCTCCTCAGCGACGGTATTGCGGGTGACGTTTGTTAACGTGTCATAGCTGAAACCAACTTGATTTGGCTGATCAATGTACAGCATATTCACCTCGTTATTCCACGACCAAGGATTCAAATAAGTCGAATTAGAATCATCATTGACGAAGCATGGGCCGTTCTCTTGGAACAGGCCGATCATGGAAGACGAACCAGGGCCGCCGTTCATCCATATCGACAATGGGGCGTTTGCCGGATCTTTGCGGGACTCGAAGAACCAGAAAAAAGTATTGATAGTGTAGTCTTGGTCGACATTGACGTCATCCAATGTATGGGGTGGTAGGTGGACATATCCGGTATAAGACCTGACTCCCTCAGTCGTCTCACAGATATCGTTCTAAATTCGCTTTGGTCAGAATTGGACGGTAAATCCCTCCAATAAGAGCAGCGGGATGCTCGACATACTTCTTTATAGGATATCTTAATATCTTCATCGTACCTGGAGTTCACCACCCTGACACCTTCTGGCGTTGGTGGGAAATACTTCCCAGCAACAGTCCGAACGAGTAGGATAGGAAGCGAAAGACGCGTCGACACGCGCATTCTGGCCGGTCTTTGGGCCCTTCTTTCAAACAAAAATCTCCTTTCAGACGATGTAGAAAGCGCCAATATATAGCACCCTTGAAAAATAAAGAAGTGTTGGGGGGAGAGACACAATCGATCGAAACAACTAAACTCCTGGGGATGAAGACTTATATTTAAGTCGCGGGAAACGCATATTTCTGCTGCTACTCGGTGCGGGACAGACTTGCCGATCCATGGGACGTATAACTCCAGGGGTACGGAGTAATCCGCTTTTTACATTCCATACGGAATACAGGGCTTGCGTACCGATGCGGACGAGGAACACAAACAAGCTCAAGTAGCACAAGTGTGGAGGTAGCCCTGCACCAGCCACTATGCCTTCATATGAAGGGCAATGAGAATTGATAGATCATTAGGGTAAACAAGTTGCCATTCTCGCCTAGGAAAAGCTTCATGAAGCTTGACCCCGCCTTAGGGTGGCATTCAGCTTCTGATATGGAGAATAAGACATTAAACTTTATCTTGCACCCCTGTGCGGCGGTGTTGGACAACAGGGATTCGAAATGCATCCCTGGAAATTTTGCGGGTGTGTTCAATCCCGTGTTGAGGAGGCGGGCTGACATACACTTTTTGCTCTTTAGCGAATAAGAAACATGGTGGAATATCGGTTTCCCAATCCATGTATCAACGTGAATGCCTATTTGCTTTGAAATTTTTTAACGGCTTCCCAGTGTCGCGCGCATATTCGTATACCCCTGCCAGCGGGGAACCTTACCCCGGTTGGTTGATGGCAAGGGTTTGACCTGTTAGAATTGATTTGGACGGGAATGGGGGCGAAGAGTTACCCGGTCGCAAGGACGCAACATAAACAAGGGATCCAAAGGAAAATCGGAATCCCAGAGACAATTGTCTCTTAAGTCCGCCCAGAGAAAGCTCGGGCTGTGCTCTTGGTACGGGGTATCATGGAAAATATTTTGAAACGCATCAAATTTAACTAACACCAGAAACAAAGTTGAGACACCAGCTCCATGCTTAATAACCGATCCAAGAGTTGGGGCTGAAAATAATTCTAATGACTTTCCAATCACGACATACCAACGCAAAATAAATACTTAATCCTGATCTGAGCCACATCATAAACAATGTACTCGTTGTAATACAAACTCCGATTCTGACCATCATCGCAAGAGCGAGGAGCTTCCGTCGTATCTGGCATCAGCACTCCAGCAAGGTCCTCATGCACGGAACCAGCATCTCTCCAGCCATATGGAACAGTGCGACCCATGCCTAGTGTTGCCAATTTATTTTCATCCTTTGCACGGTCGCCCGCGTGGTAATCGGAGTGTGTCAGTTCCAACATCGGATCACCAAGTTCCACGTCACAGAGAAGTAGGAGACCTGTATTGCCACTGTTGTGATGGCAGCAGTAGTTGGCCGATTTACTGGAAATATCTGCAAAGTAAACGCCTTTGCCGAACATATAGCCTGTGACCGGCGCCTCCGGAGGAGCAATGCGCAGCCCTTGGCTCAAGATACCACCATAGTTGGTTGTACGTGAGCCATGCCACAAGAGCCGCCGATTGCTGTTTTTGATATTAGCATAGGGTGAATTCAGGAAACGATCATTCTCGTCCTTGCGTTCAATCCGGAAAATGTATTTTAGCTGCGTAAATTAGCCTTCTACCCGAATAGGATCCCAACGGACGCGTAGCGATGGGTGTCTTACGTTGTACTTAATGTAGTGAGTATCACCGTGTGTCTTAATCAGATAATCCTCGAGCTGTCTGTATTCTGTTCCCTCAGGATCCACTAATTTCGTCAAAGTTAGCATTTCAAGCATGCTTAGCGAAAGGAGCTGCAAATCTTACAAGGTGTCATTTCCTGCAGTCCCAACCCAGCAAATTGTTGATCAAGCGGATGAATAGGGTCGGCCGCGTCGCTCTTCTTCGAGCCTTTCAGAATTTCGTTTGCAATCTCCATATCTGTCAATGCCTCAAGAAGTGCAATCTCCTTTTTGATCATCCGCTCGTTGTTAATTAATGGAATACGGCCGCGGCCAAGCGCGTGCGGTATGACGGTAAAGTACTGGTTATTGATGATTTCGAGCGCCGTTCCATGAAACTGTCCGTTATTCACCATATCTGACAGGTCCTTCAGGAGCTCGAATCCCTTTTGGAGCGTCCGTTTGCTGAGTTTTCCAAGAGGGAGTTTGTTGGCATCGTAATCCAAGGTAGCCATAGCGTTCGCCCAATACGACTGATTGAAGATAAGGGAGACAACGTGCTGTATCGGCTCTGACAACGTGCACTCTGCCATCTTCACGTCGACCTCTTCCTCTTCTTCGTCTTCCTTCTTAACCTTTTCCTCTTTCTCATCCTCGGACTCGACCTCATAATCACGCTCAAGGAACATGTATTTACCAGCCTTTGGGCTATCGAATCTATTTTTCCAAGAAAGGCCGGACTTATCTTTGAACTTTTTCCCAAAGGTCGATATGGCTGCTTCCAAGCTCTGGTCTTTGTAAAAAGACGACTGACCAAACTCTCCCACTCTTCCCCAGCGCATCCATGTCGTATATTGGCCACTCATATCGTTTGGCTCAAGGATCTGAATAAAGTAGAACTTGTTGTTATTGTTCATGCGGTTTGTCTGATTCAGCGCTGCGTCATATATAAGACCGTCCGGATCAACGTAAACATGATAGTTCTCTGTTAGTCGCTCGTCAGTTCAATATCCCATTCCATATCGGTCAAGTGCAAATCATACGTCTATTTGAGAAACCAGAATCAACAGGGATATCTATCTTCCTCTGAGTCTCTGCTTTTGTCTCTTTTTTCTTCTTTGCGGGCGGTTCTGTGTCGGCTTGTGCAGTGTCTGTGATAGTACCACCAGTAGTGGAATCTAAGGCGCGCTTGTTATTCTTCTTTGGCGCTTTTGCTTGGGATTTTGTCTGATGCTGAGGCTGAGGCTGAGGCTGTGGTTGAGTTTGTGATTGAGCTTGGGCCTGCGAATTGCGGGCGGAACGCCTCGGATTACTGGCAGCCGTGGCATCGGCGGTACCATTTGCTGCGGAAGTCGCAGCAGCCTGGGTCTTATTCAGCGTGGACCAGAGATATTCGGATTCCTTTTTGCATTTTTTGGACGAAACTGACTCGAATAGCCAGGCCGATGAAACGATGCTGATTCCAGTGACGGAAGAGGCCTGTTTATCTAATTTTGGTTTTTCATTAGCTACTTGCTGGCTCTTAATTGCAATAGTCTGTATGGGGCAAACTGCTGTAGATATGCGCGCATCTAAAAATGGAGCAGCAGCTTCCTTTTCGTTGCTTGACATTTTTCTTTTTTTTTTTTTTGTTTTTTTTTTTTTGTGGGGGGGGGGGTTTGGGTGTCGGGAACCTACTTTTGGTGCCATTGTTTTCGAACTCCTTCTGGGTGCAGACAAGATGAGTGCAGTCATCCGTCACCTTCGCGCTAAATGTTCCGCCATTGGTCTCAATTAAATTCTTTAGGTCGGCTATATCGACGCCATCAATAGATTTAGCAATTCGAACATCAAGCAGCTCCGGTTCGAAGCAATCCGCCGGTACTGACCCTGTTTATAACCTGGAAAGGTGCCGCTCAGGACCACGGTTTTATTCTTGAAGACCGCAGGCATGATGTGACGTCAACTCAGAACAACTGCAGATTGAATTGTAAGATAGCTCGCGTAAGAAGGCTGGAAAGATGCAATGCGTTTAATAACCAAAACACAACTCAATTGGGGGGAATAGAGGCAGCGAAGGGGCATGGCAAACGACTGAAGAGGTGCTGGGAAGACGAAGAGCACGAAGCGAGGGGAGGGCGGTCGTCTCTGTCCTTTTAAACCCGTTGCGCAGCGCACAGTTGGAGCTCGTTTCCCGAACGGTCAACAGCAGGCTGCCACGGGCGATGATTGGCTGGCTGGGACGGATGGCTGGCTGCGACCCACACTTACATAAGCTGCCCCTGGATGCCAAGATGCCGAGGCTCCGTTGGTCTTATGTCAGCTACCGTATCAGGACTAGCGCAAGCGTGGCGTTCCCCACAGTTCAGGCAGCGCCAGGCAGAGCCGCATCCACCGTGTCACCGCCGCCAGGCAGCCGCACGCCAGCACGGACAGTCCAGCGCGGGCGGGAGTCGAGGGCTGCTGGGCGACAGCCACATCATCCCAAACAACATCGCGGCGTCAATGATGCCAGACCAAGTGGCAGAGCAGGACAGCTCAAGCCAGAGTAGCAGCCAAAAAGGGAGAAGTGCATCTTGTGCTCAAACGGTTGGAATCCCGGCTTCTGTGATTGCGCCAGCCAATGGGTTACGAAGTTTGGCCAATCCTTCTTACGCGTGGATCTCAACAGAGAAAGCCTGGTATCTGCCAACAGAGACATTCCCTCTGAGCATTTTGTCCAGAACATGGAGATCTTCTGGATCAACTCCAGCCATCGTGGACATCGCTGCGTCAGCCGCAATTATATCGGGCCGGCCAAAACCTTAAAATCGGGGCCGTGTACATACCCAGGGCGCGCTGGAAAGCTCAGGGGGCGCTGCTGTGTCTCTGGGCTTTTTCAAGCTCTAGTTCCATCACATGAGCGGAAAGCGCTTCTCTATCCTCAGTTCTCAGACTAGGGCCCACCTGATCAGGTCCTCCCATGAGCACTGGTTTCGCTGCACATCTGTCCGCTGGCTATCCGACGAGCTGCTCCAACTCGAAAGGTGGCATGTCAAGTTCAGTGTTGAGGCACTTCAGAATACTGCCAGCCATACTCCGTATACTTAGCGCTTCATGATTTCGCGTGACGAAGCTACTCGAAAGGTTTTATAACAAGGTCTTCTCTATTAAGACGGAGCAGGGTGATGAGGAGCTTCTTGCCAGGATTCTAAATCCTATGTCGCTAGCGAAGTTGCTACCCTTGGCTTTTGTATGTTGTGTCTTGTCTTCTGCTTGGTTATACTAGTTTTCTGAGCTTCGCAATGTTCTTGATATACCTGTTCCTGAGGTTGTAGCTTGGAGCTCACCGTCGTTGCGTCATATGTTTTTAGGTGCTGCGAGTATTATCATCACTAGGCTACAGATCAGTTTCTGCTCGGTCCCGGCGCATTGTGGGATAGAGGCGAGCGACTTCTCACACAAGCTTCACTGGCGAGAGATAGTACGCGATAGATACGGCAGAGAAACAGAGATTGACAGTGATAACACACCACTGAACTCCCTCCTTTTTTCAAACCTCTCAAGTTGACACGTTTAGCGAGAGCAACCACTAGGTGTAGCGGGGGTGGCCGTATGAATTGGCGACCGAGACGGGACTGTTTGGTGGTATTCGAGACAATACATATTCATATATATATATATATATATATAATACAAAGCTAGAAAGTAAGAAAAGCTAATAAAAAAGAAGCACCACGTAACCTCCCATTATGGTGAGATCCTATCTTCACCTCGTCACAACGGCCTGTGCCCCCAGTGGTCTTAATATCCTGGAAAGCCTTGCATCTATCTCTGGCATTTGGTAGCATAAATCTCCGCTCCTACGTGCTTCAGATCATGGGATACTGCAAATAAGGCAAACAGATTCCGTGCTACGCATAAATACTGCATAGCTATCAGTAAACGTTAATCAATAGATGCTGGTTTCTTGCCTCCGTAAGCTTAATAACTTTGGAGGCTATCGCTGGTATAACTTGACGGAATTCACCGCAGAATGAAATAATCTCAATTCCTCAGCAGTGGCCGATCGCGCTAGCCTGTTGGTTAGAAATATATCTAAGTTGGTAGAAAAGGCGAACATCATTTCTGGATGTTTCGCATTCCTAGCATCTTCCTAGCAATATATAACAACCAAAAAAGGGTAGAGGTAAGCTCTTCTTTCAAAGACATGAACTGATAATTAGTTAACTAGCTGTACAAATCACCAAACAACCCGCAAAGCCGTGCCACCATCATCCGGTTCCGATAGATCCTGCAAATCCCAACTTCCATATTTAATGCAAACATTGAAGAAAAGAAAAAGAAAAAGCACAAACCACAGAGCTTTTGCACACGAAGAATCATTGAGAAAGAAAAAAGAGGCAAAAATGGCCTAAATAACCGTAAACGCTGGGACGACCGAAAGATGGCTGCGATCGCGTATCCGAGAATCGAAGGAGCATTAAAAATCTTTCAAATATAAAGTGAAGAAGATAGAATACACGACGCTTATTAATGCGCCTTTTCTAGCGTTGAGTCTTGGACCAGCTCTTCAGTCCTGGACGGCGACGCAGGTGCAGAATGGAAATCATCACGTTCTGTTGACCGACCACGGTCGTCCTCTGCGGGTGATTGAGATTCGCCGGACCGAAGCCGCCTTAATCGGTTTTGAATATCGGCAATGCTTGTCTCCTCGTCGACCGGAGAAATGGATGACAGCGTGGCAGAGTCATCGATCTCTGAGCGACTCGAAACTGGAGAGACGACACGTTCAGGGTTGCGCGGGGGTAGAATAGGAGGGACACGCTTAGGTATGGTGACGAGCCGCGCCTTTGCGAACGATGCTGGTGCTGATGCGCTAACAATGGGCACGTTGTGGTCGGATAAATTGACTCGCCGTACCGGAACATGCTTGACATCTTCGTGTTTGAAATGTGTGGATTCATAGTCGAGCTCCTCCGCTTCGGCAGCCTTGACGGCTCGAGGAAAGGTATAGCTTGTGACGCTTCGAGGAGGACTTGTACTCGTAGGGGAGTAGCCGCTTTGTTCGAAATAAGAATCGTCGGTCTGGGTCCCTCGATCAGCGCTTCCAAAGCTCCCTAGGCTGTTGCGGACGCTGGATCTTCTTGAACCTGAAGCGCTGAATCTCGCAGATTTCGGGCTGAGAGAAATTGGCCGGTAGTCAAAGGCGTCCAATTTCGGGATTTGACGAGTACCAGCTTCTCTGATAAGGATGCCTTCTCTCTCCAAGGCTTTGACGCCATAGGGGTCTGGGTCATCGGCATCTGGGATACCGAACGTTCCTGTTAAATCAATATCACCAGGAGTGTCACCAGAAGGCAGCATATCTTCCTTGACGTCACCATCGCCCTGGGCTGCTTTCAGTGTCTGCATCAACGTTTTAATTGACGACGGGGGCCTTTTAGTTTTGCCTGCCAATATATCGCTGACGGATATTCTCTCGCCGTAAAACCGCTCGTTTTCGTCACATCGCTCAATCACAATGGTTCCTTCTATTTGGACACCGGCATAAAACCCCCGACCTTTTATATACGTCCAAACTGGAGCTTGTCGTTTGTGGACCTCAGTCTCCAGATTACCACCTGCGCCAATCGGACCAGCTGAGGCAGCCACTTCGCCACCGAGTGTGCAGCGGACGGCTTTGAAGGCTTCCAGGGCCTCATAGGTATTTATTACCACTACGCAATCGTAGATATCCACTCCGGCAAGGAATCCTAGCCCAGCTGTATGCGTCATAATTCCGGACGGGGGACTCCATTCTCCCGTCTCTTTGATTCTTCCGAGCAGAACGCCGCTGCCTCCAGATCCACTAACCCAGAGACCCGTTCTCATGGTTGTAAAGATAGCCAATCCCTTTGCTTGCTTGATGACCGACGCCGGGATCCTTTTCACTACCCTTTGTTTCCCTCGCGGGATCCCCTCGGTGGGTTTTGTACCATTTCCACTGTCTATTTCCGCATAGAAACCATCTTTGCAGAAACTTCGCAGGATCCGCGCCGCCTTCTCGCTCTCTAGATCTAGAGTCGTCGGCCAGAAGGCTTCAGCGCCCAGTTTATTCGACAAGCGGTTTATCGGACGTCCAAGTTTGTCAAGAGTGTGCCATGCCTTATCGAATCCTCGTTTGGAGTAGACTTTGGCCTTTTCCCATTTTCGTTGCGTCGGCGGCGCCATTCTGTGATGGTTATATCCTTTATCGATATCTCATCGAGCTCTTGGTAGGGCCATAGGTCGCGAAGAGGCAATCAGACATCTCAAATGTGTCAACAGAGCGAAAGAAGTGCAGAATCCGCAAGAAGTTCTCCCAATCAATGATTTGATCCGTGCTTTGCGACATGCATTATTCTTGAAGCGATCGACAAAAAAGCAAGTTTGGAGGCTTGACGAGAGAGGCAAAGAAGGTAAAAGAAAGGTATTGAAGGAAAAACAACAGGATGGATCCCGATGGCTTAAACTTTTCTAGACGAGGAGTCCTTTCGAAATAAACCGCCTGGCGGCTTTCTCCCTGCAAACTGGACGCTATCTATGTACTACCGACTGGATGCAGAGCGTGGCCAGGATGATGATAGACCAAAGCACCATGTGCCAGGGGCCCTTCATTGTTCCAACCCATGCTACCACCCTCCCCCAATTGCCTCCTATTAAACCTAGTAAATGGCACACAAGATTTTCCGGGCACGGAGGTTATGCGTCATTGCTTCCACTGCCGAAAGTATGTACATGTGTGGATGCATGTATCTAATACATCATCGGCGGGCAGAACCACGGGCAGGGATGAGGGTATCGAATACCGCGTCGGCTGATTCGGTCGAAGCGCGGTCGATCCGCTCTCGAACGTTGGTGGCGTCGGCGCATGAGGGAAACAAGCATTCAAAGGGTTGGTCATGCAGGACCAGATGTCGAGGCGGATGTCCCGTGCCAATTGAAGCCTATCAGCAGTAGTTTCATTTCTGTCGAAGATATGTTTGACAGGTCCGAAGTACATACCCTTTAAGAGAAACACGCTGGTCAATTTCCCCGCGAGGCAGCCCTTTTGGCGGCCCCTCCCCCAAGCCCTGGTCAACTGTGAAACATACTTGGACCCCAATATTGCGCTGGCATGTCACAGATGTTGGCATTAGGGCCGGCTGGCGATCATCTTGGCGGTCAGGTCCTTGGGTGCTTGTTTTCATGTGTTCAGCCCAGTGACTTCTTTTCCCTTTCTTTTCTTTTCTTTTTCTTTTTCTTTTTTTCTTTTTTTGGTTTCTCCTATGGATGGCCTTCTTTGTCTTCATGCGCCCATGGCTTTCGACAGCACGCAAACACTGCCATTCAGTTCCAAGCACTCCTTAAATCTCACGCTGCATGAATATTTATGTAGGTCTCTGCTCACGGAGGAGACATTAGTTGTTTGCAATTGATAGAGGCCCTTGATGTTCCACATAGTGCAACAGAGAAAATACTATCCATACATCTTACAAAAAATTTTCACATGCTCTTCTCTCTTTTATCAATGTTTTTGGGGGATTTGGCACTTGGGTTATTGTGTTGTAGAGGTATCTATATTTTTTTTGCCATGTTAAACAATCTCAAGGGAAAAACAAAGCAAACGAAAACGCTTCTACAGTGTCTTCCCATATATCACATACAGAAAAAAAAGAAAATTTCCCTCCAGAAAACTAAAAACCAAAAGGCTGTAAAATCACAGTGGCGCTTGAGGACTTTACAGAGCACCAAGCTCCTTCAGACGGCCGATAAGACCATCGACATCTTCGACTTTTCCGCCGCCTTGTCTCGCCGGGGGTTCTACCAAACGCATAAGCCTTTTGATGATCTGCAGAAAATGAGATATGGCGTGTATAGTCGCCAGAGGTTTGAGGATAGGGGGACCTATGAATCTTACCTGTAACCTTTAGCGTCTTCAATCTCTTGGTGTTTTCGACACCAAAGTCAGCCAAGGTCTTCTTTTCCAATGGCTTCTTCTTGGCCTTCATAATGTTTGGCAAGCTGGCGTATCTCGGCTCATTCAGTCTCAAGTCTGTCGTGATGATCATGGGCAATTTCGCCTTTAATGTTTCCACACCACCGTCCACTTCTCTTGTAACCTCAATCGAGCCCTCAGCGTCCTTCACGGTAACTTTGCTCGCTTGCGTGGCTTGAGGCCAACCCAACAGCCCTGCGAGCATCTGGCCAGTCTGGCCTTGGTCTCCATCAATGGCTTGTTTCCCCAAGAAAACCAGATTGATGTTTTCCTTCTCAACAACGCTCTTCAGCAGCTTTGCAACTGTCAATGGCTCCAAGCCACCTTCGTCACCTTTGCCCTCCGGAACGTCTACCAAAAGACCTCGATCGGCACCCATGGCCATTGCGGTACGGAGGGTATCTTGACATTTCGGCCCACCAGCGGAGAGAGCGAGGATATCTGCAACGTTCATAGGACCCTTGCGTTCGCGCAGGCGGACGGCCTCTTCTACCGAAAGTTCATCGAAAGGATTAAGGGAGTGCTTGACGCCGGCGGTTTCCACACCGGTTTGGGTTTTGTTAATGCGGGGTTTGATCTGGGGACGTGAAAGGGAAGATCAGCCTTTGGAAGACAAAAAAAAGATCATACACGGTCCATTGGTCGAACTGCAGCTGCAGCCGTTCTGGATGCCAACAAATAAGGACAGTAAGCGGGCATGGCGTCCATCCAAGGTGCGAAAGTCACAATGAAGAAATTGAAGCCGGGAAACGCACCGCAAAATCGATCACCCTCTTAATAGGCACTAATATCCGTAGTCCACTGGCCATTGTGAAAGTGCGTAACTCGATCCTCCAGCGTACAATGGGGCTGACCTTTACGTTCCTTGAGGAGATGTCTCTGTGTTTGTCCAGCCTCTCGAGTCGATTCCTACCGACAACCCTTCGGATCGGAAAGCCGTCGCCAAGCTATGACCGTAATGGAGCAATGAAATTCCTTTGCCAAGCCTCAACGGCACCTCTCCGACTCTACCCAGCACGTAAGCTCGGTTGCCGAAGCTTTCCGAAAAGCCGACAGTCGGACCCGAGCTTCCTCTCAGCTCCAAACAGTATCAGATGGGTGATTTTGAGATGGTTGACGGATGGGACGAATACAAATGAGCATGATATCCAAACGATGTGCTTGACAATGATCGTTCGCATGGTCGCTGGTCAGGCCTATCTCTTTCGCGCTGTAACTACGCGCCGCGATGACCGGTGAGCCTGACTGCTGATTTGGACTGTTCGATATATCCTTTGGCCCGAAGCTTGGGACTATGGGACTATCTCATGCAAAAAGGCGCTTTCACTATAGAGTATCCTCCATTCACCATGTTTCTTGTTTATACCGTCCAACCCTCTCCATATCTATAAGATACTTTTCCGCCTCCTCTCGACTGCTCCCACGCGTCTCAAAAGTCTCAATTAGTGCTTCTCTCACCGCCTGCGGCATCCGACCAGACGACCCACAGATGAAGACCGCCCCTTGCATATCATGCAACACCCTGAAGAACGCATCTTTGTTTTGCCGGATGGCATCCTGAACATAGAACTTGTGCTTTTGATCCCTAGAAAACGCCGTGAAAACGGTAAGGTCAAGCGTTTCCTTCAGTTTGTTCCACTCTTCTTGGAAAAAGAAGTCAGCAGCTCGGTTGCGGCCGCCGTAGAGAAGGATAACTGGCCCAACTGGTGAAGGAACGTTTGGACCGTGCTTGTTGCGATATGCCTCCACGAGAGCAGCCTTTTCCCAAAGCAGTGATCGAATAGGAGCCACACCCGTTCCCGGTCCTATTACCACTGAAGGCTCTAGGAGTTGTTTCACGGATGGACTTAGACCACCTCTATGGAGCTGAACCTTCATGGTGCTACCTGGCTGAAGTACGGCAAGATATCTTGTACATACACCCTCACGGATCTTCTTTATAACCGTCTGGTACTTGACTATGGCCACCAATAGCTCGAATTTTGTTTTCCCCTCTACTGTTTTCTTTAATCTACCACCGCTAGCAATGCTGAACTGGCGCCCGCGTAGAATGGGGAAAACGTTGCATACCTGCTGCCAAGGTACTTTGACGGTGTCGAATTCATACAGCACTTCCAAAATGCTCCGTCTCGACCGCGTCGCATAATCATAATATTCGTCAATATACTCCGGGTTAGTGAATTCTAGAAGGCGTTCTTTCTGCATTGTATCGTCTGTGAAATGGGATATCTGCGAGAAAAATGATCGACGTGGAATTGCCATGATATCTAAATAGTTTGTCAATAGCTCGCGAAGTGTAAACCCAGGTGAGTTTTGCAAGAACGATATAGGAGGATACGATGACGAAAGCGAGGACTTGCTTGCCGGGGTGAAACACAGTGGAATGTCGGCGTCGGCTTCCCATCCCATAAGGGATAGGAGAGTGTTAACATCCTTAGCAAAATTCTTGGGAGTTATGTGGAGAATGTCGCCTGGAATGTATTGTATCGACTCGGGGACCGCTAGGGTCAAATGTCGAACATCTTGCCAGTGGCTTTCTGGGGTAACGCGGATATTGTCAATTAACGTTGCAGTGATGGAATTGGGAATCGGTCGTGTATCATGATCCCGCGGTTGTAGAGCAGGATATTGGACTATCTGTTCCTTCCCGGTTCCGTTATTTTTCTCGGGTTGAGAAGAATTGCCATTGGTCATTTGGTGTTCCTTGCCAGTACCTTGACCCCAAGGAGCCAGAGCCCATTTCGGCGGTAATCGAACATCATCTGGTATAGGATGCTGTCCGGGCTTCAAAGGAAATTTATCCAACAAAAACTTTTTCAGGCTCTGGGCCCAAGGAACAAAAGTGCCATCAATGCTAGAAGAGAGCGACTGGTTAGCCTATGCTGCGAGATGATGATTAACAAACGGAGTCATACCCTTCGGGATGCTGCTCATCTGCTTCACCGCTTGGAAATATCTCGTTTGCCCCTAGCTGCAGGAGCCTCTTATGCATTTTTCTGGCCGCCCAATTGAACCTGTCCCTCTGGTCAGATACTGAAGATTTACTCTGGGTTCATTCTGTGGAAAGCATACTTCGGGTAGGAGCTGTCTCCAAGCCCGAAGAGGGCAAAATTGACATGCTGCAGATACGTTGGCAAGAGCCTTTTCAGCAGCAAAGACCGCCAGAACGTCTTTCCACTGGCGGGGACATCACCTTGTCCTGTTGTCGAGACGGCAAAAATAGTCAAAGAGTGCCCATTCAGGGATTCCTAGTATTACTATAAGCATATATCCATGTCTATAGTCGCAAACGCACAGCTTGTTAGCTTACTGCTTCAATTGCATCCAGTTCTGACACATGTGTCTCAAAATGCAGACGCTCCGTTAAGCGGCCCAGCTCTTCTGCTATCTCTTGCGAATTTCCCGTTTCGGAGGCGTAGACAACCAAAGCAGTCCTTGGAACGCCATTTTTACTGCTGGCCATCTCATCAATTTCGTCTGTGAAGGCCCCCCTTTTGAGTTCTAATGCCCCGCAATATATGAATCGACTCTCCATTTTGCGACAAGAAGTTTGGGCGGGACCGATCTCGGACGATGACATCATCAGGTGCCAAGACACAGCAATAATGCAAACTGTGCAAATCCCCCCAAAATAGCTCTCAAGGAGTGGAAAAATGCCATTACGTGCTTCTACGGAGTACTTAGGTGTGCTTCGATAGCGCCTGGCCTTCAATACATTGTCAATTAATAACCATGACATTTTAATAATCATAAATATGTATATGTAGTTTATCACAGCTACTTGAGAATTTGTGATAAGGGTATCAAATATTGTTAGTACACATCACCATCACCTCCATCGCCGTCACCATAGTCATCAACTTCATCGCCAGCATCGAAGTACTGCTCTGCGTTGTAATCCCCGCCCATATCCTCCTCATCTTCTTCAAAGTCATCGTCCACGATCTCTTCTTCGCCTTCGCCCTCGTCTTCTAACACAGCCTCATCATCCGTACCTCCTCGCCTATCAACATCCGATCCTTCATCACCCTCTTCATCAACAGCCCGCCGCTTACGGGCCGCGTCCACAGCCTCCTCTTCCTCGTCATCTTCAAATCCCCGTTTCTGACCTACCCGTGAAAGAGCCCCGAAGCCGCTGCCCATTCCCCCAGGCAAGCCGACAAATTTCGGATCAAGGGTGGACCACAATTCTTTTGGGAAGAGATTCATCTCTGCAAGGAAGCCCGCCATCAGTATTTAGTCGACCAACAAAGTAGTGATCAAGCACCTACCAAATGGTACCGCACTGAGTTTGGGCAGCGTCCGCGCTTTTTTCAGGTACCGCTGCCCATATGTTGCCATCCCCTGAAAAGGGTCAAACTGTGCCCGTAAAGGCTGGCCTCCCTTTCCATATGAGGGAGGGCCGCTGAGCACTACATAAAAGGGTCCATCGTGAATAGCCTCTCGTAGTTTTCGGTAGTAATCGACTTGTGAGTCTTCTAATGGCGTTAGAGGTTTTGCGCGGGGTACTTTGTATTTCTAGGGTGGGAGAGTCAGCAAGAGACGGGAAAAAAGGCGAGTGAAAGGTTGCGTTTGATTACAGGGAACAATGGCGTGGGCGCGGTATCCGCCTCCGCTCCAGGTTCGGATTGCCATGAAAACTCTGCTCCAGGCAATCTTCTGCCTCGGGCTCCTCCACCGCCGCGACGGGACATGCCAGCTAGCTGCACAGATAAAAGAAATTTAACGGGCCGGAGTTAAGCGCGCAGAGATGGGCTAGGAAGCCAGCATTACTTCATTATCACAGATTCCCTAGGAACATCAGCAAAGGTTCGGGAAGGCTGGCATTGATGATATGGCATTCAAAGCATTTTCAAGATGCTTTTGGAAAAAAGATCATGGCTCGCTCGAGATAATTGCTCTACGGTCATCACGCTGACTAAGCCGGAGGAGGGAGAACTTTATGGCCGACATAGCCAAGCCGAGGTCCATGCCGGGCGACTGCTCGCACACAGGAAAGAGTATGGAAAGAGTATGGAGGCAGGCTTGCTTGTGCTCATTACGGAGTACCTGTCATGCAATGTAGGGCTTTAAAAAAATAAATATATATATAGGCTATTAAAGCGATTAATACTATCACTCTAATTCAGCGCCAGAGTTTCCCATCCGAGCATTGCGTAAAACTATCCTTCATATCCTCGTTATAGTTCCAGTGCATCAACCCGGCTGCCAATCTGGCTTGTATTACCCCATGGTCCCTGGGCTACACGCCGCTTCATAGTTCGTATAACATCCTCAACACCATTGGTACTTCCGCCGATTCGTTCAATAGACGACTCGAGCGCAACGAGTGCATCATACTTGGCAGTAGCGATTCTCCACACAGCACTCTCCGTGTCTCCTCTTCCCCCGGCAACAAAGTTCGCATGCGTCTGCGGGTCTTTAAAAAGGTAAGGTAGAACAACAGTTAAAGCTGGAGGAACGAGTAGCGCCCAAGCTCCATGCAACGGAAGATTTCCCTGGGACGCTGGCCCAAGCCGCTCGACCTCGTCTTCAGTTGGAATAGCAAACCGAGCAGTAGTGATGCCTTCCGAGGTCGAGCCTTGTTTGATCACGTCCCAGTTCGCTGTTGCGACTGCTTTTATGAACGCGATTGCAGCCAAAGCTGTATCAGTCATCGCCACTGTCTCGGCGGCCGCCACGACGTTGTTCCAGATGGCCGTGTGCTGATTTAGGTATTGGAAATAGAGCGTCCTTGCGGCCGCTGCCTCTGCACGGGAACTGGTTGGATTGTGGCTTAAATCCTCTTGTTGCTCTGCATCGCTATCAACCTTGCGACCTAACGGTCCGTGAAATATTCTTCCCAGTGCACCCAGGGTGTCCTTATGTAGTGGCTTTGAAGGAATGGAAAATAGTGGGTTTAAAGATCGTTTCCCAGCCTCCAGTAACATAACTCGGGGCAGTGACGCTAGAATATTAAGTTCACCGCTTGGAACTGCTCCGTGGGCCCATTGAACTGATGGCATATCAAAAGATTGGAGTGTTCGGGTAAGGATTTTATCCAGAAAGCTTTGTTGATTTTGCAATAAGTGATTCGGGTAGAGTTGGGCATACTGGGAAACGTACGCCATTATTGGACCAGAAAGATAAGCAGCTTCTGCGGGATCCAGGGTAGAGGGCTCCACAAAGTATTTCATGATTCTGTGATGTAGGCCAGAGCTGACCAGGAAATCCAGGGATGGAGAAGAGAACATTGGGTGAGACACTTGAGCGGTGCTGCAACGCTGCTGGAAACCAGGAGCGCCGATTTTTAGGAGATCCTCGAGGAAATGGATGAGCGTCATGTGCAGCAGAACATCTTCGGTGTCCACCATTTGGCAGGCTGCAAAATCTAACAAATTCTTGCATTTAAACCCAAGCTCAACATCTGGGAAATGTGATGCCGTAACCGCCTGCCAATCCAGCGACCCTACTCTAGTCACAAAATCCATCAATCTTCCCTGAGCCACTGACTTTTCCCGCTTGCTCGGCTGCCCGGGTTGTCCGTCATTATCAAGACAGCATATTGAGAAGAGTAGGCTGTACACGTTTCTGTCTCCAAATAGTCTTCTCCACATCAGGCCCAGGCCACCAGAATTACTACTTTCCATGTTTCCATTTCTCCACGGCTGATTTGGGTGATCGATCCGGAGGAGACACCATAGAACATCGAAGGCCGCCTCCGCAACAGCGGTGGTGGTGCTTGTGAGCCATATCTCCACTAAGGATGTCACTAGAGCTGAATCGCCTGCAACAACTGCCGCATCGCTAACGGACTCGCTAGCTTTGCGGAGGAGCGATAAAGCAAGGAGGTTAACCGGGTGTGAAGGTGCCTTGATACCGGCAAGAATATCGAGGGGAGGTTCGATGGACCGGATCTGTGAATAGTTTAGGTACGTCGCTGCTTTCGTGGCCAAATTGGTTAGCGGAGTCGGATCTTCTTGAATAGTGGGGAGGAGGTTGGAGATCTGGACTAGGAGCGCCGCTGACACTTTTGGATCAGTGCTAGCGAACAGCTCCGCTTGAAGCTTCTCGATTAAACGGACATCTAGGCGAGTAGAGGGATCCGAATATATCTGATCGAGGTGATCCCTGAGCTGATCGTACGTCATGGGAGTACCCATTTTTTTTCCCCTTGTTCGGGCTCGAATGTGAGCCTATGGAAGAAGACAAATCCGACGTGGATGAGAGTGAGAGCAAAACAAGACCGGTTCCATGATGATGACGAGGTGGAGGAGCTTGGTTGCCCCACGAGCAAACAAGACAAACAACCAACGCAGTCAATTGCTCCCTGCAATGAGACCTTCAGCGCGCTTGACGATGATCATTGTTTTGAGCGTTTCTCATCTGCTATGACTGGCAAAGTTTACAATGGAGAGAATGCCTAATCCTCTCATTTCCCAAAAGTCTTCGGATTCGGGACTCCACGCCTATCTTCATCCCCTCGTTCTCCTCAACATCTCAGACCATATCACCCGCCATGCAGTCAGACAACAGCGCGGTCCAATTGTGGGAGCTCTTCTCGGTCAACAAAAGGGTCGATCGATTAGCTTAGAACATGTTTTTGAATGCAACACTGTGATAGAGCCAAACGGAGATGTATTTTTGCATCAGGCCTGGTTCTCAGAGCGCCTTCAACAATGTACGTAATTGGAATTCCCCTGAGGTCTCTTGAAAGCATACTGGAACTAATGGCGGTATTGATTGTTAGTTAAGGATGTTCATAAGTCTCCTGCATTGGATTTAGTTGGATGGTTTACGATAACGCTGCCGACGGGTCCAACACCGGCGCAATTACCACTTCACCATCAGATCCTCGAACAATACAATGAAGCAGCGATACTATTAGCATTCCATGCCTCGGAGTTACAAGACACGTCCTCTACCATAGGAAAACTGCCACTTACAATATACGAGTCCGTCTACGAAGAAGAGACCATGAGCGATGGCGATAGGTCGATGGAAATTGACGGTCAGGCCCGCCAGCTAGCACTTCGATTTAGAGAGCTCCCGTATTCGATTGAAACCGAAGAAGCTGAAATGATCAGCGTTGATTTTGTTGCCAGCGGTGGCGGTAACGCCGCTGCCATTGATTCAGAGGTGCCGAGTGAAACCAAGGCCAAGATGAAAGATGAGAGGAAAGAAAGGCAGCCAAAAAAGGAGGCACCGGAAGTATCCCCGCTCTCACGCGAAGATGAAGACTGTATGCGCAATTCCAATGTGGAAATAATTTATCTTAGTTTCCAGCTGACCAAAGTTATAGTAATTGCAAACCTCACCGTCCGTTTGGGAGCTGTTAGAACACTCGAATCCCGTCTCCGTCTGATCAAAGCATACCTTCAATCCGCACAGTCTTCAACTTCTAGCGTGATCCCTTCCCCTTCCTCTCCTCCACTTTCCAATTCTATCCTTCGAAGTATCTATTCACTTATATCCCACCTGACTCTCCTAAATCCACAAGATTCAGACTCTATCTCTGTTGAGTCCCTCGCCCAGGCCAATGATGTCGCACTGGTTGCTCTATTATGTTCTATGGGTGAAAGCATCCGGGGATTACGTGAAGTTGGCAAAAAGTTTGCTGTTGCGCGCGCTATGAAACATAGTATGGCTGCACAACATGGTATGGAATCACAGATGAGAGGTGCTATGTGGTGAATTAGGTTAATTTGTGCTTATACTTTACCTCCATATTGGTTATTGATTTGGATTGCTAGTGGAGAATGGCGTTTATTCTCCTCTAGCCAGGCGCATGAAGGATATAAGTGAAGCGATGCTTCGGGAATGAACCCGCTAATGAAAATTTACGAATCTTAGAGAGGTTGGTTAGACATGAATAAAGAAATGGACAAATCCCGAGCCAGTCAGGTTTATTTGTGTATCTACCGAGTTTTCTCTGCAACCCTGAGAGCATATCTGTAAATAAATATTATCGGGTCACAATATACATAAAGACAATGGTATCATTAAGAAGGGATAAAAAGTTGCTCCCGCCCTAGAGTCTTCGCAGTCAAATTAACCTGAGCACATGTACCAACGTATTTAAACATAGCATTGTGTTCTGCTTTTTTCCGGCGTATCACTCATTGTGATCCAGTACGTTTCATTGTGTGTGGTGGAGAATCCGTAACAGGGTTATCCTGAGCATTCGCGAGTAACTCGTCCCTTTCACCGCCATAAGAGTCATACTGTCGACTCGTCGGTTGCATCATCATCATCTCATCGCCCGATTGCGCTCCCAGGTACGCTGTACCTTGCTCCTGCATCCTTACTGCCGGTGTCTTAACGGTGAACGAACTTCCTGGTTGGCCCTGATAGCTCGGATCAAACTGTCGATGTTTTCTCCCCACGAAGAGCCATCGAGCACTTCTTCCGATTGCTTTGATAAGATCCCAAGGGTTAAATGCATCTATAAGTGCTTTGATCCCGAGGAACCCACCTTGGTAGGATTCCATGCGTGGTGCATCGAAGTCGTCCTTAGGAGCGTTCATATGTTTTGAATTGCTGAGACTGTATTGCTTCCAAGGGAAGGCCCAGAGATGGAGAATAGCGAATGCAGCCATTTCAACACAAAGTATGGTAGAAGGGATACCAAGTTTGATGTCTGGCAACCCCATTTGACTCGAAGGCTTGATTGCGCCAGACGAGGTGAGGAAGGATATTGTAATCTGGAATGAAAAGGTCAGACAACTTTATTCGAAGACCAGAGGGTCAGCTGCCCGTCAAAACCCACCTCCTGCCAGAATGAAAGAAAAATGACGAGTTTAATGGCAAGGATCTTCATAAAAGGAGAATGTGGTGTAAGGTCCTCCTTCAGTTGAATGTAAAACTGGATCAGACAGTACATGGCAACTGTGACACAGATAACTTCGATGACCATGACCTAACATACGAATTAGCATCATTTTTCTTGTATGGAGATAGACCCTAATAAAAACCAACCCATATATGCGCAAAAGCAGGGCTTAACGACTCTGCACAGTAAACGTGGAACTTTTGCGTCACAACAGCGACGATAGTCATAGCTACTCGTATAAAGCAATACTGGAATACTCCTGTCCAGATAATCTGTCGTAAAAACCGTATCAGCTTTCGTAGGATATTGCAGCATTCAACGGTGTGCACTCTACATTGAACCACGTCAGCCCACTCCTGGGAGTCCTCCAAATGCCTCTTTCACCGCCGCAGCATTTCTGAAACCAGTCCAATGGCCAGTACCACGGCTTTGGAACGATACCTCGAAAATATTCTTTCTGCTTGTGCAGGTCGTCGGCGATATAGTGGCACATAAGAGAGAAAAAAGCAGAGATGGCAAAGGCCTCGTAGCAATCTCGGAGAACCTGAAAGTATACGGTGTGCCGGTAGTGATAGAAAGAGAGGAAGGATACTACGGCGTAAATAGGAACCATAAACAGAATTCGAATGATGCTGGGAAGAGGTGAACGTTATTAGCAATCCGATCTATAAAATCTTCAGTCCATAATCGAAACCAAACGCACTGTCTTTGTTCTTGAGGCCGGAGGTAGTGTACGGCATGTTGGAAGACGAGGTAAACGGATACAAGCACGGCGATCAGGGAGAACGTTGCAGATATTATGAGGCCAAGCTGATGGAAAGTGATGCCCCCATCCCAAAGAGGGACCTCGGAGACTGTAAGATCATTAGCAATGGTAGAATGTGCTCAGGGGAATTACAATCCACCTCGCTCCGCCTGCAGCGTCTCGTTGCACACCGGCCAACCCATTGATGCATATGTTTCATCAAGTACCCGTCTTCGCCAGTGACCAAAATGACGGTGTTGGACACGCTCGGTCAGGACAAAGCAACTCAATATTGCTATTAAAATCTGATACCCAAGCAGCCCGTATCGAATTTCGAGCCTGACTTTCAGCAATCCTCTCTCCGTACTGGGTATTCCGTAGCTGGCGCTGAGTCGAGGCTATTGGGTGTGGATCTCAATTTTCGCCCAAGCGCCCTCTACGTCAGTGCACAGACGCCGTTGAAACACAGCTTGTTTGCCCTGCAAAAGGTAACCCTAAATATAAATAGAAAACAGTTATTTCTTGCTTGTGGAATAGCAGAGCCTGTGCTATTCTTTGTCTTCACACCATCTCTGCTTCAGAGAGACCATGAGACCACTTCCCCAGGTCCTCAGCCGGGGGATCCATTTGTGTGGTAAGGGTATGAAGGTTGATTCGCCCTCATCTAACTGCTCTGCAACACTCCTCCTGCAAAGTGAGCTTAGTTATTCTAATGTGTACATACAAAGTAATTATTTAGTGCCCAACTTCAATTTTAAATAGTTAGTTCTGCTATCCGCTACCAAACTATGACCAGACGGCCATCAGAGCATCTTCCGGTGAGGGACCAGAAACCAAGCAAGACAAGCTTTTTTTGCTAAGAAATTTCCAGGGTGTTTTTGACTTGGCACGGTTTTGGCCATCCACCGCCTACAACAGAGAAAGCTGGTATTTGACTTTGGTAAGCGGATATCAAAATCAAACGTAGGCCTAGGTACTCGTGAATTTGAAACATTTAGGTTGATCAGCAGGTTGCGCTTGCGCCTACGTTGGACGTGCGCCGCTTTGCTCTGCGTAGATGGCTTGAGATGAACTGAATAAGCCGATCCAGATAGCTTGAATGTAAAGAGCAGCCCCATGCACGATATGCCCACCATGGGGCCTTCAATTTGGACGTAGCAAAGCTCTAGAGACCTTCGTAGTTGCTGTGATGCCTTCAAGCAACAACAGAACTTTCCAAATTGCAACATCTACTGTTATCCATCCTTGATCAAGAACCGTGTAAGGTCCATCCCACACGCGTTAATATCTATTATTGAACCTCATTGGCAAACGCCCATTCGCCATATAACAATAACTCGACTCATGAAAAGTTGACCCGTTGGTATTGACCGGTATACCCCCAGGGAACGTTTAAAGCGTAGACGGAATTTATACTGAGGGAAAATTGTTGTTGAAAGGCGTCCAAGAACGATGGTAGCATGACCTTGAAAAAGATCAAAGAATGATAAATGGAAGAGTAGTTTACCTTCTACCACGCCAGCTGCCTCCCCACTCAGCGAATGCACCGCCTCCTCGCCCCCTTGGGGCGCGGCCTCGACGGGAGCCATATTCGGGGCCTTGGTCAACGAAGAAGTCATCATCTTCAAACGTGAATCGACGCATCTCATCACCACCCGGTCGGCGAGTAGGCCCTGCACGAGCAAGATCGTCAAATTTGTCCAAACGCTTATCTGACGCCTCCCTGGAGACCGGAAGGTAATATAGTTTAGGCTTGGCTGACGTGGATAGGAATCGATCGTCGAGGGCTTTGAAGCCACTGGCGGGGAGGTTGGATGGTGGTCCAGCTTGCAGACTGCCTCGACCGAAGGGTCTCTCAGCTCGTGGTCCCGTGGGTGGTTCTCTCCCAAGGTTAAACGACTGATTACGGTTGCGAGCCGTGTTTGAAACTGCCTCCTGAAGGACAGCAATGGTCCCATCTTCCCGGTCTTCATATATCACTTCCCAGCGGTGAGCGTCACGTCGGTTATTCCCGGCTTGTTCGATCTCAATCCATTCTTTCACCTTCTCCTCCGGAACGAAATCAACCCACAATGGCTTCCGTGTTCGCTCCTCGGGCCAAATGGTGGCATGCAGTGCTGTTCGAACGCGGGAAGCAGCGGCGACATTGGCAAAGGTAACGAAGCAGTGAGTTTTAATCGAGTCAAGGAAAAAATCAAGGATAATGTCTGGATTAGGAGTCGAATCAGGCGGTGTGGCCAAAGCGGCGAGATGTCTCTTGAGATTGGCAGGTTGCAGGGGACGCATAAAATCGCGAATGTACAAAGAAGTCGTGGCCGGATGGAGCGCTGGAGCGACAACGCGCTCTTCATCTTCGGCAGGTGGTGGGGACTCGCGACGACCCGGAATTCCGTTCGCAGAGAACAAACCCTTAAAACGAGCGTCACCAGCAGGCTTTTTCGTTGCGGCTATTTCTTCGTCTTGCTTTTGCAATGGCCCATGCTCCTGAGGTACAGGCTCCTCTTTCCGTTCTGCCTTCTTGCTCTCTTCATCATCTTCCTTAGTACTGGAGTCCTTGGGAACTGAATGGCTATCGTCTTTCGGGGGCTCCGGTTTAGGACTCTCTCTTGATTCTTGGCCTATTTTTGGTTGCGCTTGTAGGTCGTCGACCTTGGTACCATCCTCCTTGGTTGAAGTCTCCCTATGCGTCTCTAAAGTATCAATTTCCATTGCTTCTGGCGCCGCTGGGCGCTGTGTAGCGGTTATGAGCTCATCCGGGCCTTCATTTTTCTCAACCGAAGACAGGTCTTCCTGCAGGATAACGCGAGGATGGCCATCTTCTGCTCTAGCTCTCTTCTGGGCGGCGCTTCTCGGAGATGGGGGTGGGCTTTGGCTGCGACGCTTTCTTTTTTTCGAATCATCTATCTCTTCTTTTTGAATGTCCTTTTCGGTCGAAGGGGCTTGGGATGGACGTTCATCGGAGGGTTGAGTAGACTCTGTCTCGGGAGGCTCCGGCAGTTTCGCTGGTTCTTTCTCAAGATCAGACACTTCATCTCGGTCCTTTACTGCCACCGGCTCCCGGGAAGCAGGTTCAAGATCTGGCTGGTCGTTTAAGGGCGGAGCGACCTCTCCCATCGTCACATCTTGGGGCTGCTCCTGGGGCTCCTCTTGGGGTGGCTGCGATGGTTCTGGAATGGGTGCACACGCGGCATCACCGGAGTCGGAAGGCACAGGCTCAGCTGCCGGTCGAGTCTGTTCCGGGGACGGCTCTTTTTGTTTTGTGGCTTCTTTTGGGAATGATGTTACGGTCACTTCATTTTCGGCCTCAGGAACACCTTCACTCGCCACCTTTTCAGCGACATTCTCGTTTTGTCCAGATGCGTCGGACTCCAGTAATCTGTCAATAATCTGTTGTTTCAATCGGAGGCGAGTCTGAGGAATACCGCGTCGTTTCAATTCCGCTTTCAGATCAGCGACCTTCCAACTATTGTAGTCGGCCATGATGGCGAATTGAGCGCGACGCGCGTGACCGAGAATCGACTATTCCCCCTAAAGACGGTTGAGGGTATTGTGTATCAATGCGATGTAAGAATAGCCCCACTAGTTTCTCGGTATATCGATAAAATACTAGAAAGAAGCATGTATTTAGATAGGGCTGATGAACGAATGGAGGAAAATATGCACGAACTTCATTTCCTTCAAGCGAAGAGCTTCAAAAGACTTGACAAGCTTGCGGACGGGTCTCGTGCATGGCGACGCTAGTCCCAACCAGGCCCAGCCGGGTCTTGGCGATATTGCCCGACGGCCCAACATCCACGTGACCAAGGAAGAAGCCTCGGAGGAATATCGGCCCGATTGAGCCGCCAAGATCCATCGAATTTGGGTGATGCACTGCTAGACCGTGAACGGACTAGCGTGATTTACAGTCATTTCCTTCGAGAAAACTGTCTGAAACGCGCGCATTTGATTGGCCAGGAGTGGTGTCATCGCCGGCCAAACAGAACGCAGCCTGACTTTCCCGCCGAAAAGTCAGTTCCCGACAAATTTTCCTTTAAAGTGAACCGGATCTCCCATCTGGCTCGGTTATGACTGGTTGAATTGCCCTCCTCTCTCTTCCTTCTCCTGCGAAATCCATACTCCGGCCAAGCAAGAGGTTACTGAACTCCCCTCGCTGACCCTGGAACACCGATTCCCTGATCTACATACATATATTCGTTCGTTCGTTCGCTCTGATCGAAGCGTTGCAATCCGCAAGATGGGGAGCGACGCACTGAGCGTCGTACAGGGAGGACCGAAACTCCGTCAGTATTCCCTTTATCTTTGTTTTTTTCTTTTTCTCTTTTTTTTTTGCCCCTGCGCGGGCCAACCTAGGCTCCCCTTGTCCCTAGCATGAGCACCTGTTGGACAGCTACTAAATCCCGTAGAGAGAGTCGTGTCGCAACCTGAGAATCCCTTCGCGAGCCTCATCTCCGACCAGTCTATCGCAATCGTCCCTTCTTTCACTCTCGAATCTGGAGTTGTCTTGTATAACGTCCCTGTCGCCTACACGACTAGAGGAAAGTTAAATGCAGCCAGAGATAATGCTTTGGTTGTGTGCCATGCCCTGAGCGGCAGCGCAGATGTCAGTGACTGGTGGGGTCCACTGCTGGGTGGTCCCGGTCAGGCATTCGACACCACGAAATTTTTCGTGGTATGCCTCAACAGTCTGGGAAGTCCCTATGGCAGTGCTAGCGCTGTAACGTACAAGGATGGCGACTCGAGAAAAGGTCTCTATGGACCAGAGTTTCCGTTGACCACGATAAGGGATGATGTAAAGTATGGCATTCCGATATCCGTATTCGACACTGGGAACCAGTCTGACATTGCTTTAGTATCCACAAAATTGTTTTGGACGATCTAGGAGTTCGACAGATCGCAGCCGTTGTTGGCGGTTCGATGGGTGGCATGTTAACTTTGGAATACGCGTTCCTTGGAAAAGATTATGTTCGTAGCATTGTACCCATCGCAACCTCCAGTCGCCATTCTGCATGGGGAATAAGCTGGGGTGAAGCTCAAAGGCAGAGCATCTACAGCGACCCCAAATACGAGGACGGTTACTATTCGTTCGATGACCCACCGGCCACGGGACTTGGTGCGGCGCGAATGGCAGCGTTGCTGACGTACCGAAGTCGAAATTCGTTCGAAGCGAGGTTTGGCAGAAACGTCCCAGACGCCTCCAAACGCCAGAACGTCAATAGCACCGCCCGTCTTCCCACACCTCCAAATGATCATTGGGCTGTTCATAACGACGGACACAAGTCAACCCGGACGGCCCCAGTGCAAACTTCGACTGAGATTCTTGCTCCAGTTCCCCAGTCCGAGATTAAATTTACCGATCCACAGTTCAGTGGTGCCACTCTGTTCAACGCTCCTCCTTCACCCGCGCTTGATCCTTCCAAGCGTCCGGCTACATATTTCTCCGCCCAATCATATCTACGATATCAAGGGCAAAAGTTTGTGAAACGTTTCGACAGCAACTGCTATATTGCAATCACGCGAAAACTCGACACACATGATGTTTCGCGCCACCGGGTAGATGCATCTTCGCTCACGCCGGTAAAAGATGCACTTGCGCAAATTCAACAGCCAGCTTTAGTCATTGGAATTGAGAGTGACGGCCTTTTCACCTTTGCCGAACAGCAAGAAATTGCAGAGGGCATTCCAAATGCACGACTGAGAACAATCGACAGTCCAGAAGGCCACGATGCATTCCTGCTGCAGTTTGAGCAGGTTAACCGTCACATTCTTGAATTTTTCAGGGGAGTCCTACCTGAGATCATGGCCGCTGATGGTGATACCGATTCCAGCAAGGACCATGTTGCTCAACTGACGAAAAGCAGTACCTTCGGCGAAGCTGAGGTTGAAGATATCACTGCTTGGTGAAACCCGACATTCCGCTTCCACCCGTCAGAAAGGCCTCGCAAGTCCCACTTTTTCCCGTTCCCTCCCGATCCTTTTGTGTTTAGACCTAAGCTAGATTGAGCATCCAACTGCTCTTCTTTGATATCCAGAGATGTGTCTCATGTTCTTATGCATGTTATGAGTGGTGGCGTTTTCATCGTGCATCCAACTGCACTTGGATTTTCTTTTTTTCCCTTTCTTTTCTTTTTTTTTCTTTTTTTCTTTTTATTTCCTTGATATCCACCTGCGTTCTCTTGTATACGAGAAGAAATAGCCTCTTTCCAAGGCGCATACTTGCCGCCTAAGACTTTTTGCAGCACTGTTATGATGTTCAAGAGTAGAACTGCCCTGAGAACTGCCTATGTAATGTATGTATTGTACATGTGTGAAAGTCGAGAGACCCAATGGATAAACCCGTCGGGTGTACGCATCATCCGTGCAATTATTCCCTAGCTTCTACCTTAGTATCCCGCCCAAGCGTTTAGTTTAAAGCTGATTTACACTTCTCGCCTGAAGCCTCCCAACCCCGCCTAACACAAAATCATAAGGTGGGGATACGGCTCCTCGTACCTGGTCACCGAGCTGGAAAGCTCCAGGATTCCACATCGTAGCCCAAAATTGTCCGGAGCCCCAAGTTTAGCTCTTCGGTCATCGCTTCCATTCGCCCGGAGCACGGGGTACTCCGGGGTGGCGCGACCGAAGAAACATCGTTATTAGTAGCTATTTTGAAGCGCGCTTTGGAAGTTAAACCCCGCATAAACTCGTTAAGTTGCCCAACTACATGACGACCGGGCTCGGCAGGCTAGGCGCGATTGTTAATCCTTAATTGTTGCTTATTTCAACGGAAGAAGGTAAAAAGTGACGATCAAGAGAGAGAGAGAGTGTGTGTAGGAGGTTTCCCCCAACCCCAAATTTTTTCTAGACAGTTCTGCACAGTCTCCAATTTTGGTTACCGGGATGCATCCCTTAAGGGCTCTGAGGCGCATTCTCCCAAGCATGCTCCGTATGTCCATGGTTCGGGGATCACCCCGTATCACCGCCCCTTTTAGCCTGAGGAAGATCGCCGTCTTCCCTATGCCCTGGAGGATGGAGGACCAACTGCATTGTCCAAGGTTATTCATTGGCTGGGCCTGATCCATTCTGCCGGCCATGTGCCTCCAGAATGTTACCTCTGTGACCTTGGTATGTGGGGATTCTGGGCCTTACAACCATGGACCTGACGTGGTGATCCCATGTTTAAGACCAGTTGACTTGAGTGATCTTTGGAGTTTACATCGCTGCGCAGCAGGTTAGCCTAAACCTTGCTTTTTGCCATGTCAATTGCCGTGACTTCAAAATCCCTCATCGCAGTCTTAGCCTACTTTTTGATGGAGTCTATGGCTCATCAACCTCCTGCAGAACTCAATGCTCTGGCCCATGGGGTTCCCGCCACGGGGTGGTGGTTCTACTTTCTCTTATTCCGCAGAAGTGCGGAATGGCCGAATGGAGAGCGCCTGGACCAGGTCTTCTCTTTGAAGATCATAATCTCTACGGAGGCGTTGGAGGGTGGCTGCATGCCAATGCAATGGCCAAGCAATTGAACCAGCCCAGAAACGGCTGCCCATGACCATTCCGGGCCCTCTTATTAGAGAAGCATGTATCCCCGCGATTACACATGGAGAAATCTCAGCTTATGTTCCACTCGGACTGTACTCTGTACAATGTTGGTTGCCCCAGCCCTGTTACATACAGCGGCATATATACCCAAAATACCTACATTCCTACGCACGTATACATACATACATACCTCGCGACGTTGCACCCTTTCTCGCACAAAGCGAAATTAACCCCTTGCATTAAAAAAAGATACATCCCCCCTGCAACCGAAGAATATTTTATAGCCTAGGACTGCTTTTATCTTATCTCTTTGGACAGTCAGGATGGTGTTCACTGAGCAGCTTCATCCTAAAGGTTTGGGAGATGTTGTTGATCATATCAACACTCCAACAGAAAAAGATGAAGGCTCAATCAAAGTTCAAGACATCCAGCTGGAGGATGACTTTAGCGATGTCGATGAGAAGAAGGTCCTGCGAAAGATGGACCTTCGCCTGATTCCCCAGCTGGCGTTGCTTTATCTACTTTCCTTCCTGGATCGAGGAAACATTGGAAATGCAAAGATTGAGGGCCTGGATAAAGACCTGAATTTGCAGGGCTCGCAATACAACTGGACCTGTAAGTTTTGACGAAACTCTTCTTATCAACTTTGTCATTTCTGTGTATATCTCTTTTTTTTTGGAAGAAGCTGATTCTGATTTTGTAATTCACAGTGACCGTCTTCTTCTTCACTTACGCTACTTTTGAGATTCCCGCCAATATTCTCCTGAAGAAGCTTCGCCCATCAATATGTACGGTGTCCCGGGTATGCCTCATTTTTGGTTTCCGGAAATGCTAATTCTGATTGCAAAGTCCTACCCTCAATTATGCTTGCTTGGGGAACCGTGATGGTAAGTATTAGTGTTCGCCAGAGTACCAAAGGGCCAGCTAATTTTATTTTCTTTATTCTAGACATTGATGGGACTCGTGAAGAACTACCATGGCCTTCTAATTTCACGCCTTTTCCTCGGAGTCACAGGTACCAGATCCCATGTGCATTGCACTTTTGGTTAACTGGGCTAACGAAAGGCAGAGGCTGGATTGTACCCTGGCTGTGCATATTATATCACTATGTGGTACTGTGCGAAGGAGGGCCAGTTCAGACAAGCACTGTTCTTCAGTGCTGCTAGCATTGCGGGGGCGTTCTCAGGGTTACTAGCTTTTGGAATTGCCGTGCGTCCCTCCTCCTTCTCCTCCTCCTCCTCCTCCTGCGGATATCCTTAAGATTTAGCTGCCCTAACTGGTGAATAGAAGATGCACGGAGTCGGTGGATACGAGGGGTGGCGATGGATTTTTATTCTAGAGGGCCTTGCCACGGTCGTCGTCGCGGTGATATCATTTTTTACCATCTACGATTTTCCCGAGACCGCACCCTTTTTCACCGAGCGGGAGCGCGCATTCGTTATCCACCGGTTGAAGTACCAAAATTCGAAACCTGGTTCTAAAGTTGCACAGGACGATGAATTCCGATGGAAATACGTCATCGACGCATTCAAAGACTGGCAGGTCTATGTCGCTATCATCAGTAAGTGTCCCTGGTGATCACTGTTCTGGATTGGCTTTTGCTGATAACCTTTCCAGTGTTCTGGGGTATTGTTTGCCCACTGTATGGCCTTTCACTTTTCTTGCCATCCATTATCAGAGATTTGGGTTTCACGTCCTCTACTGCCCAGCTGTTAACAGTAAGTCTCACACATTTCCCTCTCTCAGGTGATTTTGCATTTTTATGACATTGGACCCTAGGTCCCTGTTTACTGCACAGCTGCTACTATCGCAATTATTTCAGCATGGGTGGCAGATAAAAAGGGGTCTCGTTCACCATTTATCCTTTTCTACATGTGCATCATGGCTATTGGATTCATCATCTGTATAGCAAGCGCTGGAAGGGGTGTGCCTGGTCTTGTGTATGCTGGTGTTTTTATCGCCGTGTGTGGTAAGTAATGCGCAATGATGCTCCCCCTTTTTTGCCTAGTATCTTGCCCGGAAAATTGAACTGACGCTGCGAATAGGTCTTTACCCTGCTTTCCCAGGGAACGTCACGTGGCTTAGCGGCAACCTGTCCGGCAGCTACAAACGCGCAACGGGCATGGCTATTCAAATCGGGGTTGGAAACCTGTCAGGCACTATGGCGTCCAACTTCTATAGAGCCAGCGATGCTCCGAAATACTACATGGGACACGGGATAGAGCTCGGATTCGTCATCGCCGGTATCATTGCTGTGCTCGTTCTGCGATTCTCTTATCAGCACATCAATAAGAAGAGAGATCTAGAGGGAACCGGGAACTTAACCGAGGAAGAGATGGCCGCAATGGGCGACAAGTCTCCTGCATTCAGATACTCGCTGTAATCTCGTTGCAGGAGAAAATGTGCACACTGAAGATCGGACTTCTGAGTTAGACTTGAATTTCTGCACAAATCTACTACGGAACCGGGTAAAAAAGTGTTGAATTTGTATGGCCAATGGTGCTCAACCTTAGCTTAAAAAAAAGGGTTACATAAATTCCGAATCTTAAGAAGATAACTATGTACTCGTTAATAGGACAATTCGTATTTACCAGGAGGCCGCCGTTTTCGGAAACCCCCCGTGTTGGGTTTAGCGCCCGCCCGTCGCAGGCCCGGTCCAGTTTAGCATCATCCCAATCAGGGATGGCTTCCCGCGCTAGCCCGCAACGAGCAATGGTCTGACGGAAGCCCAAGAAATTTTGAGCATAGCGGGCTGGCGAAGTCAAACAACCCTGGCGTCTCGAACTCTATCTAGGAGCCACCAATGAGCATATCGTTTTGGCGAAATGCAATCGGGCAGAAACAGATACCAATCATCCTCCTTGTATGGAGCTAAGCAGTTAGTGCACTTGAAAGCTTCGCAATATTCTGGGTAGAATCCACTGTATTCCCAAACAAGAAGCCCAGTGACAATCCATTGGTTGCAGTCGTCCATGTCTACCGTAATGTTGTCTGGTCGAAGGTCACCGTGCGTGAAAACAATCTTCATCTCCGTGGGTTGAGTCGGGTAAAGTTGACGAAGCAGCTCAGTGAAGACTTGACCGCCAGGATGAGGGCTCGAGAACAAGAATTCTTCAAATTCAACAAGGCTCCGAATCGGCTTCTCACTCTTTCGTAGATGTCTTCTGATGTCTTTGCAACCTTCACCGGCCACACCTCCAAGTGCGGAACCATCAGTGTAAGGTATAGACCTCAGATTTGACATAATCACGCCCAGCTGATCTCTGATGGAAGCTTTCTGGTCGTTGTCCATTTGAGGCCACACTGTCGCAAGAGTCGTCGATGGCTTGTAGGTCTGAAAAATGAGAGTTATGCCACTCATTCACACATACCCTAGAGGCCTTGGAGCAGGGATGTCAGGTTTGTGGCATTCGAGATATTGCAGTGTCGTATATTCAGTGTCGTCATCCACACACCATATCGCCTTCACAACGACATCGGTGTCACACTTGAAAACCATCATTTGGTCCAGGACCGGGGACTTCCAAATAACCTCGCTTGTTCGCACGAGGTCAAGCATCCGTTGAGGCAGACCATCTGGTAGAGGTTCTGCAATTTGCGACGTCTCTTCGAGTAGTCCCAATACGGTTGAAGATAGAGGCCATACAATGTCAACGGGATCCGAAGGTCGAAGGCAATCACGGATGTCACCTTCACGTCTTTTTGTGGTCTCGGACTTCTCTGCCGAAGAACATCTATCAGCCTTGCATAGGTATTGGCCTCCCATCCGGTCATACCGATTATTTCCTTGCTTTCTGCTCGACACTCGCCTTGAAATTCGACCAGGCGGATAGAATAGTCCAGGGGCATTTGCGTCATCAAGTTGATCTCCGGGTCATTATCGACGGCGGCTTGTAAATTTCCTCAACGTATGAGTGTTAAATTTCGCGGCCTTTGATTTCGGAGGTGTTGAGGTAATCGAAGCATGTGTCCTTTGTTTAGGGTTCGTGTCGATGGTTGTGTGCTGCGACATTTCCGATTTTCCAACTTAGTTCCCAATCTTGCGGCCCTAAGTTTGGAGGTTGACATGACACTCGAGTCGTCTATGCTTCTTTTCCGGGTCATGAGTCGAGATGAACAATGTCGATAACCGCGGCCAGCCAGATCAGAGTAGAAGGGAAGGGCAAGTTATTGTCGCGATTGTTAGAAAGATAGAGCGAGACGGAAGCAACAAGGTGGTTAACGAAAAGAAGCCTCGGGAGCGGCGTAGACGACCTGGGCACCTGTTATGCCAGCCAAAGATGATATATTCAGATGAGATCTCTGATCTCGCATGGTGGTAGCTAGACAGGGACATGTCAGGAGATCCAGGTCACATGTTACCAAATGACGGCCGAAAAAGGCGTCGAGTGACGCCGAAAGTGGCAGCCATTTGGTTAAACCCAAATTGTCTAGTAGGAGAATAAGCAAATCCTTCGGATCAAACGGTTGCTCTTAAGCTTTGTCCGTGGCTTCTTTTGCTGCAAATATGTCGTGCATACACGAGAGAGACTGGCCCCGTCGAACCTTGCCACTAACTAAGTTAACTGCATAGTTAGTTAGTTGTGGGCTCAGTGCGGGAGTGCCCGTCTGGGGTTGACCCTGCTTGGCCTCCTTTGACGATTGGCCGTGGGAGCCGCCTGACGGAATGCGTCGGGCCGAAGATTTTGCCACGCCACCATTCGAAGGTTCCAAGAGGCAACTCAAATTCGAACGTGGCTTTCGTGGGTTGCAGCTCTGCGGGGATTCTACAGAGTAAACCAAGACACTCAACACTCAGCCTCCACTATTGCCCGCTATCCTGCGTACGGGATGGACCAACAATCGGAGTATATGAGACAATAAAATTCCCAATGCCACCACCAAGTGCACAGCTAGAGACGTTTAGCTCAGCGAGAGTATCGAATTTCTGGCTTTCTTATGAATCGGCTAGTTACCGAGGCAGTGGCTTGATAACGCTATTATACAGAGGTGATCCTGCAACTTTGGGGGTATCCGTTCCGTTACGGGTGTCCTTCGGCCTGGTGTTTAGATTTCAGAATCATATCGAAATGTAGATGAATTGGTCATGAATATATTTACGGTTTCCTATCCTTGAGAACGGTTGCAACTTTCAGCCTTTCTCCGAGTGGTTTTCGAGGCCTGTTATACGTGCTTTTTATCACTGCATTTATATTTCCAAAGCGATCTGGCGCTTTGCATGGGGATGTCTGGCAATCATCCACAGCAGATATAGTAAAGTTTGATAATATACGTAGAAAATCAGATGAGAAATATAGGAAAAAAAGAAGTAAGATTTGATGCAGCTGGAAGATTTTAACTATCCAAAATGAAAACTAAATAAAAAATAAATAATCGGCGGCTTATTTACATTCATTGGGAACTTCCTTGCTGCCGGTGCGATTGTTGCGATTGTATCTAGCACCCGTGCCCAATTCACGTTTGGCAAATGCCGTCCAGATCTCACACTTGTTTTCACCGCCAGTAAGAGCCTTGTCAGCATCAAGGATCGCGTCACGGGCCTGGACGAAGTTTGGATTGCAGGGTTGGCTGAATTTCACCACGTCAGTAACTGCTTCGCAATTTACAAGGTAAACGAGAGTAGAAAATTAGGGGCTCTCCAACGTACATTTTCATGCCATCAAGGACGATCTTCATCGCGAGATATTTGCCATCGGTGGGAACACCGTCCCGGAAGACAGGCTTCGGGCCATCATTCTTGCCATGCTTGTCGATTAGGTTCCACAGCAATTCATAGAGCATTGTCGCCCACACGGTGCCGACGGCGTGGACTTCATTCAGCTGGTTGACAGACGTGTAAGTGAGCGGGTTGATTTCGAAATCAGTTGAGTAGGGATACGCCCGGACACCCCCAGGGTTGTTGGAAGCCCATGCGCTCTTTGCGTAAACCGTGTTACGGGTGTCATTACGCTTGAGGCGAACGGCGGTGGCATAGAAATCTCCCCAGCCTTCTCCCATGCCGCCGGATTCTAGGCCGTTCAGACAGCGTGTGTTGTCCGGCCCGCCTGTAAGTCGGTTCGAGACTAATAAAACGAGTGTTTAGATCAAAAATGCTTTGGCTTTTAAAGATGACTTCGTTCGTCCTGCAAGAAAACTGAAAAAGCAGCGGAAAGACTTACGGCCATGTGTGTATTCATGAATAACAATGCCTGCCTCGAAACAGCCGTCACGAGGAGGGTTAGCTCTGGTCCAGATATACATGCGCATGCGGCCCGGTCTGCCATCAGGAGGTGTAGCGAAATTGGCATTGTTGGTGCCGGAGCCATCTTGAGCATTCAAAATCACATAGTCATTACCCTTACCACCCCGATTGCCATTGCTGACCTGAAAGTTTCCAGCTTCTTCGGTGAATCCTAATGTGTATAAAAGGTCATGGTATGTGTTTGCGGAATAGAACAACTGAGTAATTGATGCATTGGTGTAAGATTTGGGGGGATTCATAGATGGCGAGTATCGATATTCAAACCTAAGGTTACGGCTGTTCGGCCGGTAATTGTTGAGATATTCAGTTCCACCATCGGGGTTATTCTGCGCAATTCCATTATTACCCCGGGTTGTGGTATAGTTTTGTCTTCCATCGCTAATCCAAGTGAATGGAGATGCAGGAAGCTCCCATGGATCCTTAAAGACCTGACGAGAACCCTCAGTGGGATCATTAATTCCCCAAGGACTGTGAATGCAAATTAGCCTTCGCGACTTTATGCTCCCCAAATTCAAGCTTCGGCCTCAGGGCACATACTAAACTTGGTAGGTTGCATGGGCCACATAGTCGACAACGTTATGAACTTTATCGGAGTCCTTTGCATCAACATATGAAAGAAGCCAGTTGTCACCGATGTCAGTTTCCACTCTCCAGGTCAGGGCCAAGCTTCCATCGTCCTTTACAATGTAGACAAGTTTGGCTGTAGGTTCAGAGAGAGCTCCAGAAGTTCCTTTGAACATATACTCTCCACGATTCGTGGCACGAGCGGTCGCCTTTTCAGTCTTAACAGGAAGCTTGAGCGCCTTGCGAGCACCGTTGAGTGCTTGAATGGGGTCAGAGTGGTCTCGTGTCAAAGAAGCACTGGGAACCTTTCCTGTGTAGAAGGAATTGCCAAAGGAGAAGATCTTGCCATCCTTGCCAACCTATTACGATCGTCAGCTGTGGTGGTGGTGGAGGAACGGTAGATTATAGATTGGAACTCACGTTAACATTGAAATCGGCGTTGTCAACGTCAAGGCCATTGATTGTTTGGCGGAAGTAGACGTGACCGAGACCAGTATCGCTGATGTAATGATCATCAACGACGCGGAAGGTCGCTGATGGTATAGTCTGCTTCACAAGCTTGGTGGCCACATCAACATAGCTACCGGCATTGAGAGACAGGATAGCAGAGTTCTCCTGGACATCATTTGTGTTTGTATAACTGGACTTTTCAGGCAAACGGTAGGCGTCTAAATCAACCCCTCGGCGGGAGAGTGCACCAGATGGCTGGGTATGCGCGATAGTATAAAGAGGCAGGCTAAGAAGCCCGGCGGCAAGCAGAAGGCCGTGCATGATAACCCGAAGATTATCCAAAACAGTGAAGGACCGATCACTTCAGAGATAGGAAGCTTATCGGATAGAGCCTATCACTCAAGCCTTCCCAGGCTCTCCAGGAGAGAGTTCTCGACTTTATATTAGGTGGATGAACCCCCTGCTGTGCAGAATTCAATCAATGCACTGCATCCAGGTTTGGATGGGAGCCGAGGGCCCTTCATCATGCCGTCTGGGGCACCGTTGAATTGAGACCAGCCCGCATGCTTCCTTGATAGTTGACCCCACGCCGATTTGATCCCCGGCTTGAGTTCACCGGCGAGCATTGCAAGTGGGGAAAGGCGGGAATTCTCCAGGGATCTCATCACGCGAAGCGAAGCCGACTACAACCAAGAGCTAGGGTATACATTTTGCACAGTCAAGCCGAGGAGACTAGAACAAGTAGATGTGTAATATAATGCTGGATTCGGGCTAAAGCTTTGACAAAAAGCAATGGCCTATGGGCGGGACATGGCTGGCCCTGGAGAATAGTTACTAAAGGGCTTGCGGCCAAGGAAGCCAAGTGTAACCTTCTAACTTAGCACGTTGACAAAAGCTAGATCAAGTATAGCCGAAGAATAAAAAGGATGTGACGTTTAGCTATTCTAGTATCTCTACTAGAACAACGGTTGAAAGGAACAGTCTTGGGAGAAGTGCTTCTTCTCGCATCTGCAGACCAGCAGCGTCTTTGTTGGCCAAAGGCCAACATGACGAAAAGAGAATCTCTCTACAATCGTCTTGCCAACGGAATAGGAGTACGTGAGGATATGCCCTGCCAATGGACCGGCAGTGACAGGGGGCCATCCTGTACGGTAGGATGAGGGAGGTGAGCGGGAAGGGGTTCTGACGGCAGAGTCGGGAAGATGAAGATGGGCCATAGACGAAAATTTCGGTTCCAGGGATGACTGAGCTGCTAGAACGGAGGATAGTTAGCTCCATGATCCCGAACCCCATCAGTTCAGATCGGAGATCACCTGTCATCTCTGTTCTCCCGACCAGGCTCCCTGCAAATGCCAGCCGATGCGGTCCGTTGAGGTATGTCGATCTTGTCACGTGGATTGCTCTACATACCGTGCTTTTAGTCATCAGGCCTACTTTCGGATTATATATTATCCGGAGAAAAACGAGGTAGCGTCTTGGCATCGACCTGCACCAAAAAGAGTCCCGAGCCAAGTACAGGCAGAACTCGAAGTCTTCAACAAACATCGAAGTTGAATCGGTGATCGAGGGTGAAGAGAGGACCATCCCCAAAGCTTGGCAACTAGCAGGCTGCTCAGGCGCCGACAATGCCCCCAGACTCCTGGGGCCGGAGATCAGAGAATCCGAAATTGCAAGTCATGTCCGCTGCATGACTGCAGATGCTTCGAGGAGGTTTGCCCAGTCTTTTGAACGGCACGGGAGAGCCCAGATTGGAGCTTTTTTATTCCTCCCGTACGAGCACTTAGATCTTTCCCCTCACGGTCCTAAAACTCCTCGGCCAGAGGCCAAGCGCTCTGAGGGATCTCGCGTTCCGGACCTCGCTTTTGAGGCTCATCTCAACGAGTCCCAGTGGTAAACGCTCCTTGTGGGCTTGAACGAACCTTGGTGGTACGGAGTATGGAGTAGTTGGTGGAGATATGCGCGCTATCGCTACATCAATGTCGGCTACAACGCCGAACATGATGCATCTCCAATGTGACACGGAAGATCTTCACTCCCAAGGGCTTTATTTGTCATATTTATTGCTCATTCATTGTTCTTCGGCGGACGCCTTCGTAAAATCTTAATTCTTGACCCTGGTTCTTGGTCTTTCGATCCCTTTTCCCATTGGCATTCACAATATGAATGACATCTTCTCGTCCCGACAAAACACGAAGCGCAGCATCCCGGTGTGTATCAACGCGATTTTTTATTTTTATTTTTTTTTTTTTTTCAATGAATTAATTTATTTACTTTTTGGGAAGGGGATGTCAGTCCCGTGTCGAGAGCATGAGGTGAAGAGGATCGCTCTGTGGCACGAATGCTGGTGGTGGTCGATGAAAGTTGTTGGCAATCTTGTGGTGAAACACGCTAGGATGCCGAGCTAAAACAATGAGCACAGCTCATTAGTGAGTGAATCGTTGGGGGAAGAAGAGCTTCTCGATCAGCAAGGCGAAAATTCGGTCATCCGAAACTTCTTTGAGCCTTGCGTTTATTCTTGCTGGGGCTGCTAAATTCCCACCGTCAGCTAGCAGGATGAAACAGGATCTCAGATCTCCACGGGATCCTCCCGCAAGCTTCTTGATCTAGAACCCTTCAGGTTTGCTTGGCCTGGAGAAATCACACTGTCATTGGACACCCTATGTCTATTTTTGCGCTCACGGAAGTCTCCAATAAACTGCAGCAGGAATGGAGAGCTGCAAACTTGACAACTACCTAATAAACAACACATTCGGATCTTCACGTGCCTTGCTACTTGTTACTGGGCTCAATGAACAGGCCACAATTCTTCCTGGCCTGCTCTGAAACCCTCACACCTTCAATCACATCACTCAGCAAGCTACATCCTTGTTGAGCCAAGTTTGCATTATTAACGGGCTCAGCTACCCCAGACCCAAGTTGATTGTTCCTCTTCTTCCGACACCCAGAGAGTACCTCTAATCTTTTCAGCTCGTGGGCCTGCACCAGTTCTCTTCCTGTAAAGAAACAAGCTTCTCTAAGCTTCGCTGTGGGGTTTAAATAAGCTTGGTCGCGCAGCTTGTCGGCGTGCCATGATGAAGGGCATTCTAAATTTCCAGCGGCGAGGACGTCGTTCTAATGTGAGTTCATCTCTAAGTGCTTTTAAGTGAATATTATGCATAGGTATCAGGAGTCTAATACTTTGCCTAATAATAAATAGTTTAAGCCACCTCGCAGCCTCGAAGAAGCGGCAAATAATCCGAATAGAAGCTTCAACATCATAGACCCATACGCTCACACTACGCCCGACTCTCCTAACAGTGAAAGACCCTACATCGATCCTCTTACTTCACTGTGCCTTCGAAATTCATGCTCGCTCCTTGTTCAGAATGTTAAATGCGGCAGAGGCAGCCAGAATGAAACCAATTCCGTGAACAATACTTTATCGAGCTCTATCGAGTCGCGCCAACCTCAGCGCCATTATCACAGCACACCTCCTATTTCTACAACATATCCAAAAAATATGTCCTCAATATCCTCTATGGCTACCGAAAACGCCAATACAGCACACATCAATCGTCTATCTACTTTGGCCGAAGAACCCACCATTTATAGAGAAGAAAGGAACGATTCTGGGGTGACCATGAGTGTCGGTAGCAATGCTCATGAGCAAAAGGATACTCAGTACCGGCCAGCCACAGCCAGCGCCTTGAACCCAACCAGCCCAGTGAACTGGGAGCACTTTTCGCTTTCTAGATCCAAAAACGCAAACAACATCGACCCCTGGAACAAGTCCACTTCATCTACAGAGGTTTCAGCAATCACCGCACTTGGTCATAGATTAGGAGCTGAGCAGGCCACTGGACCATCGCACGCGAACCCGGACGAGCCTCTCACAAACTTCAGGGACTCCCTCGAGCAGCAGTTTGCGATAGATACTTCCATTCCGTTCAACTTTAACAGCGATGACTGCTCACCGCATGATGAGACTTGGTTCACACATCACAGCATCTCCTCTTTTACCAACCCATACGAAGCCCAAAACCGCGCCAGGCAGTCTCGTCTTTCGCTTTTCACCCTGTTCGGCGAACCAACCGAAGACACTCACTCGGCTGTGCCCAACAAACGTCAAAATCTGTCCTTTGCTAAACGGTTTTCAGCGCACTTTTCCTGGAAAAGGTATTCAAGAGGCTAGGGAACAAGGGAATCAAGCAGTTTCTGTGATCGCTTCTCGTCAGTTTTTCGTATTCCTGGGGTCGGTTCTATGGGTGACTATAATTATTTTTTGTAACCTTCCCGCAGGACAGGCCTTTTCAATTCGTCTTCAATATTTCTTCTTCCTTAGCACATGTAATTCTCTGGGTAATTCTCTTCTGTTTTAAATTTTAAAAGGTTGTCCCTTCTTTCACTATTTGCATATATGTGTCCCAAGAGTACACAAGACCTTGCTTTGATTGTAATATTGTTTGCAAAGCCTTGACATGCACACCATTTTCCTTATACCCTCTTAACATTTGCTTCTATACGTGACTGTAAAATAAGGATAATGCTAAGTTATACACAGTTAATTCCTCATCGATAAACGGGTATTGGCTATGCTTCATAGAAAACCATTACATTTTAGAGTGTGTGGGCTCAATAAACCAGTTAACCAGGAGTTTTCTCTTTCAAAAAAGTCGATGCAAAATAGCACAAGGGCATATGTGGAATGGGGTCAACATACAAGAAGTCAACGCCTAACTCCTGGCACACAAACAAACAAAAACAAATGGAACATCAAAAATGCAGTCTGTTATATTAAAAATTCCCATGTTTCTTTTCATCATTTCCATGCCCAACCTTTCCCTAAATTGTAGAAAAGAGAAAAAGGAACTCCATCCCATATCTTCGCACAAAGGTGTAAAAAGGAGGTAGGCAGAGTAGGCAGTTATAAATCAATTTCACAATGCATAATAAAACAGTGTAAATAATTGAAGAAAGAACCTCAGAGTTAATCCCGGCATGTCTGCTGTGTTTCATTTTAAAACAGGGAAGATCACGATAAAGTGAGTGTAGGCGCCTTTTCACCTTCGCTGCCTTTTACTTTCGCTAGGGACTCTCATCGATCCGCTCTGCTCATTTCCATCGTCGCCACTCCCGGCAGCACCACGTCCACGTTTTCGCGGCCAACTGACAGCAGGACTGCCGGTTTCGACTTCTCTCCCACCGGCGGTCCCTCGAGCAGTATTGCCAGTTTCTCTACGGCTTCTATCGCGATCTCTCTCGCGATCTCGGTCTCTTTCACGGTCGCGTGTGTCACGGTCACGATCTCTATTTCGATCATCCCCTCTGGTCCATCTGCGGTCGTCAGATCCCGGAGGCGGTGGCGGCGGAGGCGGAGGCGGTGCAGGATGTGGAGCACCTTTACTTGGTGCAGCACGGACAGAAGACTCGAACGAGCCGCCACTTTGCGAACTAGGACCGTCGTAGCGATCACGTTTGTCCCTTCTTGATCTGCCAAGAGGCTGGGTTTGTGAGCTATCCATGATTTGACCAGCTCTTCTTGGCTCTTGCGGATTGCGCAAGTCATCTCTGTTGTCTGATGGTTCATTAGCACGGCCGCGGTCACGATCGCGGTTGCGTTCGCGGTCTCGATCTCGATCTCGATCACGTTCTCTGTCGCGCTCTCTATCTCTATCCCGAGGCTCCCGCTCTCTGTCGCGGTCACGATCACGCTCTCTTTCCCTTGGGCGTTCTCTATATTCTTCCCTCTTGGTGTCACCTCGCCTCACATCTTCATCACCACGCCGGCTTCGCTCACGGTCTCTATCTCGATCATTTGTTCGGTCTGAAATCTGATCCGTGCTACGATCTGGTGTATGAGTGCCGCTGGAACTATGACGAGGTGAAGCTCGGGTCTGAGACGCAGCTTCTTCAATGATTTCACTCCTGCGACCTGTTCGTCCCGCTCTGCGCGTCTCCTCTTCAAGTTCTTGACGATGGGACTCTTGTCGAGGCGTACCGTTCGCTCGGGGAGGGAATAAATCTGGCTTTCCTCCAGCCTGGCCTGCGCTGCTTGGAACCTCGGCGGGAGTTTGCGGCCTAGTTGTTTGCGGTGATAGAGCAGTTGCGGCGCTACTCTGGCGACCAGTAGCGCCTCGACCCCTAATCGTAGTGCCTTGACTAGCTCTATCTGGAGGCCCGGAACCTTGCTGCAACATGTTATTCAAGCCAGCAAACCTCTTGTCACCCCGACCTCGCTCACTGGGGAATCCAGATCCTGGTGCTGAAGTTCGTGTAGGCGATGGGCCGGCTGGTGCTCCACCACGAGGGCCAGAAGGTGCCGAAATGGGTGCAGGGGAGGGTGGCTGCCCACTTGTCCCAAACGAACGATCCGGGGCTTGAAGGGCACGTAGTCGATCTGGATGGATACCAGAAGTGTCAAGGGGTAAGGGCCCACTGGGACCAGAAGTAGGAGGGCCTTGATCTTGGTGTTGTCCATGTCTTCCACCGGTCCAGCTGGACGGCCCAGTGGGAGGTTGGCGATCAGAGTGCAATGGAGGACCAGTCTGTAAGGGTGCTGGTGCCGTAGTATTTCTCGCCCCGCGTCCGGATATTGTTCGTCTTGGGCCGGATGGAATGTCGGTAGAACGGTCAAAACCCTCCTGCGAACGAATATACCTTGTTTCTTGATTCAGGCGCCCATAGTTAGGGTCGGATGGGGGGCGCAACTCTCGTGAATCCCGTGGGAAATCTGGCTGAGAACGAATGTCGGGGCCACTGGGTTGAGCTCTGTCACCCCTTGGCCCAAGGGGTACATCGTCACGGCGAGACATTTGCGGAGGAAAAGTCTTTCTATCGTCGCGGTCGTCAACTTTATCTTGTCTGCCACGATTTTCCTCTGATCGTGGAGTAGGAGGTCGGGAAGAGTGCGGCCTTCTGTCATCTCTTTGGAGCCTTCCGGGCTCCTGACGCTGGGTGTGATCACGGTTCGTGTCAGCTTTACCGTCGTGGAACGGCTGAAAGTTTGGCATTCGAGAGGGATGCATCTCATCGCGAGGTTGCCGATAAGAGTCTTGTCTTGGTTGCAAAGTATCCGCTTGATTTCCCCTGCTCCTGTTTAATCGATCCGGGCGTTCTTGATCACGTGGAGGCGCCAAATCACGACCGCCAAGTCGACCAAGATGATCTTCCGTGAGTACGCGGCGCGAGAAATCTCTATCCATGCGCCCAGGCTCTCTTCGCTCCCGATCATCGTTAGCACGACCGTGGATCCTTGTGTCACTTGGGTGCGAATGGTCGCTGACCATCTCCTGACGACCATGGTGCGGCTGTCGCGAATAGTCTTGGTATCTCGTTTCACGACCATCGCCTCGAGCATCTCGCCTCTCGGGAGCCTCTAAAGGTTTCACTGACATCCGTCCATCCCTATAAGAACGGGGAGGCTCAGGTTTGTTGGGTAAGTTTGGAGGCGGCTGTCGCATTGCGGGCCCCGATTGCCAATCAACTTCCGGTCGTTTGGGAATGTTCGCCGGCTGAGACGCCTCTGATCGTGGTCTTCTTTCTGGCCGAAGCTCCAGCGTTGTATTCCTTGGAGGAATCGGAGATTGAGTTTCTCGAGGTAACTCAGCCGAAGGCTCCGGTGGCGCTTTGTTGACTAGCTGTTCATTGGCATTGGCTCCTTGCCTGTCTACTTCAATGGGATTTTGCTCGTCCACGGTGGGTTCCGTGCCACTCGTTTGCTGACTAGGAGAGGGTTGAGCAAGAGGTGTAGCTGAATTTTGAGCCTGAGCAGCTTTCTTCGCGTTCGCGGCCCTTGCATCATCAACCTCTCCCTCCTCTACCTCCGATTTACTTACACCATTTGCGCTGGAACTTGTCAGCGAAAACGGAACAATTTGATGGGAAAAGAACGGATCAGATCTACGTACTTTGCAGGAGCGCTGGTGGGCTTGAACTCGGGAGCTGCTGCGTTAAGACCAGCTTTAGGTGTCGCCGAGCGAGATTGCGGTGTGGCTGATTTGGCGCCAGCGGTCTTTTCAGCTGCCACAGACTGGTTCTATTTCGGGTTAGAGTGCTCGTGTGTAAGATTTATTCGAGGGACTTACAAGCATGAACGCTTGAGGAAGAAGCCACTTCTTCTCCCTTCTTTGTAGGTCACCGATTAACGAAGCTGCTGGAATTTTGACGTCATCACGAGAATCTGTCGTCTTCAAATTATTGACAATGGTGAGCATATCGGTCCCTATCCAATTAAGAGCAGGGAAATGCTGAACAACCGCTTTCAGGACGCTAATTGCGTTCCTGATATGCATATATTCGCCGCAGGTCAAGCATGTCTTCAGTGCCGCGCCAAAAAGTCGATGCCATTTGTATAAAATTCGTCGAAAATCTTCATAATCTAAAAAGACACTGGGTTTTCCCTCTGAGTCAACGGCGGTCGCAAATCCGGGGAGGTCTCGCTTGGCTCCATATGCTTCCTTCTCATAAACCGTTTTATCAGCATGCCATCTAGCTAGATCGCGGAAAACTTCGTTCAGAAAACGACCTAGATTATCAGCTTCCTTCGAGGTGCACTGGAAAATAATACTTGTTAATCGTTGATCACGGAAGAACTGATCCAGAAGTCCAACGGTCCTGAAATTCGGGGTGCCAGAGGAGTGGAGATATTTTAGAATTTTGAAACAGTAGAGAGCGTCAACAGGGGATAACAGAAGGCGAGGAAGCAAGCATTGTTGGATAATGGCGAGATTTAGAGCGTCGTGTTTCCCCCTCATTCCCGCAAACCATTTGTCCCGTTCTTTTTGCAGCCTTGCACGGGTCTGAGTAAATCCCTTGACATGCCGTTTATGTTCAAGGAGAATACGTTCATGTAATTCGTTGACTTGTTTCTTTTCTCGCTCTTTCCTTTGTGTTCCAGCTATGCTTAAATCAGAGCGGTCACTGGAAATGGCGATAACTTTCTTCTTTTGTCGCTCAAGCTCATCCTCGTATGATTTCTGAGGTACGTAAATGTCGTTGAGCGATAACTGCCAAAAGGTAGCGTAGAATGGCAGGCCAACAACTTCCCATAAATCATGCGGTAGCTTGGATTTCATCTTTTCCATCATTTCATCAAGAACAGGATGCCAAGGGGTAGTTTCTTCATTGGTTCCAGATGGCGTTGGCGGATTAGCAGAACTTTCTTGGCTGTCTTTTTGCGCCTCCTGGGAGGTGGAGTCAACCGTCATGAAATCGCCAGGTCCAATTTCCTCAGGACTCTGCCCGGCGTCTCCAGATTCTCCCATTTCCACATCGGCATCGAGAGTTTTGGATGGGGTAGCCGCTTCCGATTCTGCTTTCTTCGACTCGGCTTCACGCTGTCTCTTGTCGTGCTCAAGCACGCGATGCGCAATACTGGGGCGAGAAATCCAAAATGCTACTTCTGTCTGAATCCCAAACTCGCCAATAAGGGATGAGACGTCTGGAACAAAGGAATCGAACTCTTCAACGGTAAAATTAGCTCGAAGGAGGTCTAAGTACTGTGTTAATACGCGATGGATCTCGTCAAAGATATTGCCCAGTAACTTGAGTTCGATATCAGCCTCTGATTCCTTGAACACGCAAGTGACACGTTCTTGGGCGATAGCTATTAGAAGCTGACCGGCGAGTTTCGAATCAGTAAGGGCTCTCATAAGACGCTTGGATGTAGTCTTTGATTCGTGGCGTTTGTCCAGGAGCTGTAACATGGTCTGCGACTGTAGAACTTCACCTCCAGCCATCGCTTGAACTTGGGCATCGTTGAAGTTGGTATCGGTGACAATTCCGGCCATAGAGCTAATCAGCTGCTCTAAAACGATAAGATCGGTTGAGTTATTTTGGCGAAGCTGTTCCGCGACATACTGGAGAACAGGGACCGGGTTGACGATGCTCGAATATCTTTTGAAAACCCTGCCGGCGAAAGAAGCTAGAGAGTTCAGCCACCTACTCGTTAGCAAGCCGCTCTCTTGCATTCGACTGCGACCCTTCTGCCCCAAAGAATTGATCAAAGACCACGTCAAAATGTCGTAGCCCAAGTATGTGAAATATCGTGCGCACTCGACGACAACCTCAATTAAATTCTCATAGGATTCGATTTGGCCTACGGCCACGTTGATAACGATTCCAGGATTAGCGTATGCGATTTTTGCCAGGGTTCGCGCCATTGGACGAACATTTGTCTTGCTCAACCGCTTCAACGCATCCTTCGTCTCGAATCTAGCTTGATCAAAAGCAGATTTAATATCCGGTAAACGGGATGTCTGTCCAAAATACCATTCGGCATATATAGAAAACCGAACATGCTGAGGGAAGTAATTGAGTAATTCGAATACTTCGTTAACCACTCCAGGGTTGTTCTTCGTCAAGCTCAGTGCAGGAACTAATAACCGCCTGCACAAATCCATCCATCGTGTGCGGTTTGATTCTGATACGTCTTCCTTCAAGCTGTGTTTGCCGATTCTGGCCAATTTCGTTAAGAGGCTGGGATCTTGACCGATCTTCACACCCGATAAGTTTAAGAACGAACTGCAGAGCGCAAAGACGTCATCAATTGACTGACACACTGGAATACTGTCGGTCCAATCATCCCAGTAGAATCGATAGTCGGTTCCGTCATTGTCTTGTTTGTCCAGTAACGCCCAGCGAAGTACACGTTGTGGAGCAGCGTCTGACAGCCGTACACGACCTTGTGATACCGCACCTTGCTCCGAACCAACAATTTTCTTGCGGTCCCTCAGTTCGGACCGCGACGGTAGCGGTTGGACCGATTGATAGACCTTATGCAAGCAGTAATGGAGGATTCGGTGAATGTACTCGGGTAGTTCGGGATAGCCATCAAGAAGCCAAGGGAAACGGCCAAGAATATACAGAGATTCTGGAAGAGCACCAATGGCGAGCAAACTTTTTAATAACAGAACCTTCTGGTCGGCCGGTTCTGGGAGCTGTTCTTTCTCTTCGGTCTTTTGGGGAGCTGTTTTGTCTTTATCTTGTTCCTGTTCCTTGGCTGGCGTTGCGGACCTCGTCTCTAATCCACGAGATCTCGCGGGAAGGGTAAGAGTATCATCAGCCAGCGCTCCAGCTGTCATCAATGCATTCATCATGCCAGCACCACGGCGCCCAGCCTTTTCTCTTTCTGCCTTTTCCTTCATTTTTTCCTCCTTGAGTACTTCCATTTCTTCATCTGGTCGCCAAAGATGTGGATATAGGTCACGAAGTGATATAAAGCCAACTTTTATGAGAAGAGCGGCAAGATATATCAAATTGTCCGGCAGAACATCGGTGGCATTCCGTGCATCGGATGAATAAAATCGGAGCTTGAAGCCAAGTAGCTGCGCCGCAACCCTGTTTCCTTTGGGTGGTAACGTGCCAGTTTGTTCAATCCATTTTTGCGTCTCGTCCCTCGTTTCGACGTCGATATCGGAGACAAGCATGTGGTTATCGGAATCAGATGCCAAAGAGCGTCCAATTTCAAAGAATGCTTTAATGCCAACTTGTTTCGCTCTATCCCAGAATAGGCGATCTCTATGTTCATTCAGGCGGAGAGCTTCCTCCCGTTCTTCGTCCGTCGTAGACCAACCAGGGGAGCCCGGTAACGCCCATTTTGGTAACCCCAGTCCGATTCCACCCTCCGGAGCGTTATCCTCTTTCGGCCACCATGAGCTTGCGCGGAGAAACTTCACACAAAATCTGTACTGTTTGACGAGTACGGCGGCGAAGACATCTAGAGTTACGTCGAGCACCCTCCCGACATCCATGTCGAAGGCGCCAATCATTGCTTTCACCCTTTCAAACGTATCCTCCACAACCTCACTCGACGGTGGTTCGTTATTGCTAGTCGTGAAAAGTTCAGTAAGGAGTTTAGAATAACCCTCTGACTCTTCACGCAGTAGATTATAATTCGATTGACGGTAAAGGATGTTTGTCTGTTTCCGAATACCCATGCGGCCGAAGGTATCACGGATTAGGCCCAATGCTTGTAACAGAGGGGTATCGAGTTGGAGACGCATAAGAGATGGAGATATTCCAGTGGCAAAGGCGAGAGGTCGTAGATTTTCGCGGGAGGAGTCGGCATCTGTGAGGATTGATAGGGTGTCGAGGAAAATTGAATGGCTGTCGAAGGCAAGGTATGGTGCCGTTCGGTCTCCATCATTGGAGTCGGATCTTTCGCCAATTATCTGCTTGACGACTGCTCCGCCTTCGACAGGTGGTATTCGGCATTCGAATGCAGACTGGATAACTTCCTGAAAGAGGGACGCTAAAGTGATTGTGTCCACGTTTGAACAAGCCTCTTTTCCTACTTCGACGACCTGCTGTTTTCCGGTCGAGGACCAATTTTTGATCCGGTCGTCAGTAAGATAATCATAGGCGTAGGAAGATGGTTCGGCCTTTTTCGAAACCTGGGGTTGTGGGGTCGGAGACTCTGTAATTGCGGGTGCTGGCAATCCATTCGTTTGGGAAAGCTTGGGCTCGTCTGCAGTTAAAGGCGAAGCTACCCTTGAGCTTTCTCGCAGCTGGAAACTAGATCCATCACTTCCTCTGCGGTTATTGCGATTGCCTCTACTGGCTCTTCTACCGCCCCTCCCGCGAGTGTCTCCCCCATCCCTGGACTGGTTATAGTATTGGCTCTGCTGCTGCTGGGCAAGGTTGAGATTTGCAGGCCGGTGAGGAGATGGCCGGGAGCCATCATTGTTCCAGTCGCCAGACCACGACCGATCGCCTCGCTTACGCTTGTTGCCGGTGCCTGGCGGCATGGCCGGCGATATAAATCAAAGGACTCCTCTGGATAGGCAAAGTTTGCTAGGATTGATTCATCAACAGACCTGCGAAGCTGAAGTCAGAACGTTTGCTAGTGGGGAAAAAAGATACAAAGGAGAGGAGCACTACCATCTGCGCGAGCTAGACGAGAGGCATTAGAGTCGTGAGTGAATCGTCAGGTCGTCTGCTGTCGCCTGTGTTGCCGCCAGAGGCCTTTGCCAGACGGTCCTGCTCGGTGCTCCCTGCCAGCCCAGGAATGGCCGCCGCCTCCATCGACTTGCGTGCCGCGCTAGTCCTGAAACGGAATAAAGCTTTACTGAAATCACGTGGTTGATAAAGAACGCCAAGCCCACGTGGCTCTCAAGTGGATTATTAAGCAGTCCTTGGCAGATCGCCTCACTTTGCATTTGTCCATCAAAAAAAAAAGGCGCGCAGCCGTTTACCAAATGACAAAATGGGCGCCGAAATCAGGAATTGTGGTTTTCTTTCAAGGGAAACGAATGATTCAAAGAAATTCTCTTCGAGCTTGAGCCCTCTACTGCTGGAAGAGTTTCCAAGACATTACGCGCGGGATCCTTAGGATCTGTCCTCACCAGCAGCCATGGCTTCACCGAAGAACCAGGACAACAACGGCGCTAGGGCTATGAACGCGATTTTCCTGCTAGATATTTTCCCCTAATTGAACTAAGACGCCCTCATTTTCTCCAATAACATGCTATAGCCAAATTATACATCTGAAGGCCTTAACTCATTCCAGGCTCTCATCCACTGCCATCATCAGTTAAGGGACAGAAAATCGCCCGTCTTGAACATATTCTAGGCTGCCCCCCCATCGAGGACCCTTTCTTTTCTTTCTTTCTTTCTTTCTTTCTTCCTTTACCCTTTTTTTTTTTTTTTTTTTTTTTCCCCACACCACCGTGACGAACGCCGTCGAGGAGATATGCCAGTTCCCAAAACACCATCCAGTCCTGAGGTTCTTTGTTTTGAAGATCTAATCCAGGGCTTCAAAAGTCAACTTCACGTTTGGGAGCTGCCTTTGAACTTGCTTCCATTTTTATCCCAAAATAATGCTCACGTCCCCCCAATCCAGGTGCGTTTGAGTCATCAAAGAGCACCTCCGCTGTCTTCGTCGTGACACTGCCATCAGTGGTCGATCAGCGGAGATTCAATGGGCTTTGATATATAGTAAGTGAAGTGCATTCAACTTATCAGAGGCCCTTCCGCGCCAGTTCTCGGAGGAGTGGATGTCCTCTCCCCGAGTTCAAGATCTTCTGTAGGTATTGTTTTAGGATCATTATCTCACAACGGAGCAGAGGAGTTGCCTGAAGCCAACGATTCTCGCTCGTTTTCCTTTCTCGATTAATAATACCATCCAAGGAAAGGCGGGGCTGCTTCCCAGAGATGTAACCCTTGCTTCCGCCATGCAGGCTTGAGTTGCTGATGCTCTGCCGCGCCGTTCTTCGTGGCGTCCCCTCGTGCGCTCCGCTACTGGGCATGACGTCATAGCTGTCATCTTCGCTCGCGACACGAAACGCGCTCCCCGCCTGGCATGGATACCAAAGCTATCACATTAAGAAATCACTTGCCTGGCTCCCAAGGACAGCAATGCAATTGTGTGGGCGATCCGAGTGTCTCCATCAAAAATTTCTTTCCCTCAAGTCTAGATCAGCTCGTCAGGGTACTAAATGCGGATGAATTGAGCACTCCGCAAGCTAAGCGCATCTTGGCCGCCTCTAGCAGCCATTCGTATCCCAAGGATCAAAAACCCAAAGTTCCGCTTTCGTATTTTCTGGGGAAGGCTGTGCCTCGTGCAAAAGTTGCAGCCTGGCACAGATCCTTCCAAAAAGGAAGATGTCGTGTTTTCCGAGATTGATAAATTCCTAGCTGATTCTCCCATGAAGATTCCGAGAACGCAGAGGTTCCTCATTTCTACATATACTCGTCATATTTATATCCCTGATCTGCCATTCTAAACCACGATGACAAGCCCCATCGCCTTCAAAGGCGGCTGTGCCTGCTCCAAAGTTCGCTACACCAGCACCGTCTTCCCCGAATGGATAGGCCACTGCCTCTGCACAACCTGCCGCAAATGCGCCGGTGCTCCCTATCAAACCTTCGCTGGTTTCCCCCGCAGCGCCATAACTTGGACTACCGAACCACCCAAATACTTCCGGGCAAGCGACTTTGCCAAACGCGGGTTCTGTGACCAGTGCGGTTCGAGTCTGACCTTCGAGGTTGACTCTACCCCGGACAAAATCTCGCTTTCACCAGGCAGTTTTGACGATTGGGACGTGCAAGGCGGGAAAGACGCCTTTGTGAAGCCGGAGGGTTATATCTTTGCGGCAGAGAAGGCCGTGTGGTATGAGTTACCGAATGATGGGTTGCCGAGACATGAAAAGCTACCCCCTGCGGAGCCTGAGAAAGATAAGGAGGCTGCAGAAAGCAAATGAATCCATATAAATTGGTCATGGTTTAAATGATGTTATCGTTTCCTTTGAATACATAACGGCCAGATGAAGATGGCGTTTCCCGGTTAGGCGGTTTGTGGAGTTATGCCATATAGTGAGAGAACCTTTGTTGACTGAGAAAAGAAAACAGGCTTAACGCAAGCAATTTACCTGCAGTAACATACAAGTTCTAGAATGAAAGAACTGACCGTCGATGTAACTATACATTCGTACACTATCGACACACTTTAGAAGGCAGCCCTAAAACAGAACATTTTCGCATCACCACAGATTTCATAAAAAGTGCTTGCTCAAGGCACGTCATATCGCTGCAAATGCCGGGTGAGAAATCAATCTTGTATGAAAGCAGCATCGCATCGAGTACACATTAAACAGATTAGAATGTGCTTGTCGCCAAACGACTTGCCGCATTTTTCGCATCAACACGATCCTCATCGTCTTCAATTGTTCCACTTCGGGATCTGACGATACCCGTTCTTGACCCACTGCCATTCACTTCCGCATCCTCTTCGGGTAAGGGAGCAATAAGACTTCCAGTAATGCTTCGATTCAAACTATCACCTCGCCGAGGGACACCGCTCCACGCATCACCCTTGGGGCCTTGGCTGGAAGCCAAACTCGCCCGGCGAGCTGCAGGGTGCGACTCACGGCCCAAACGGCTAAGTCCGCCGGAAGAGTCAATCGCACGGACATCAGCACGCACGCTCTCGAGTGTACTGAGGGTGCGGCGTTCAAACTCAATTTGACGAAGTGTGTACTCTTTTATGCTAAGCAAAAGATCGTCTGCCGTACGGTTGAACCAGCGGCGCTTTTCTTGGAGCAGATTGTTGGTGACTCGTTGGGTCTTTTTCGTCAGGTATTCCTCGTGTTGGATAGCTTCATCCAAGGCGGTGATAGCCTCATCAACCTTGTCAGCTCGAACGGATGAGCTAGCCTTCAGTCGGTCAGCGGCAGCACGTTTGCTTCTTGATGCTTGCTGCGCTTGGATCAATTCACGCAAAAGAATATGGCGGTTTGTCAGAGTTTCCTTGACTATGAAAGCATCTGAAGAGTGGTAATTCAAAGGATCACTAAGTGTCGTGGCTTCGGCTGTTCCTTGTGCTGCGTGATAATCGCCGACAGTTTGAATAATCTTGCCAAGCTTCCGGTAAGCGTTTGCCAATCCAGGATGAGTCTCCTGCACATGCATTTGTCCCAACTTGACACCTAAGTCGGATTCGGCGAGCGCAAGCCCTGTAGACCCTGTTTAGCCATGACTCTAGCAGAAGATAACACACATAGACCTACCTCTCCTAGCTTTTACAATGCGATCAACTTTCTGGGCTGTTTCCATGGTTCCAAGGTAAAATCGTTTAACGATGGGTCGCGCATCTAAAAGCTCTGGAGTATCGTCTGGCGGCGGAGCAAACTGCTTCAAATATTTCCTTCGAACACCCGTAGCAGGTTGTTTCATTCTAATCATGGGACTGTAGCCCGCATCGCTTTCCACAAAGAGGACAACCTCTTCATCATGCATAAGTACATCGTTGCTACAGACATAATTGAGCCACCTCTGCATCGAAGCTTTCACGCGCATCTCATCTTCATCCGTTCCGGCACCAGCCGGTGTGAGCGGCGGAGGAACAGCAGGGACAATCGCCTCGGGGTTGGATGATATTAGGTGGTCGGCCAATTTAATGAACTCGGAATGGGTACGTCGTACATCGCGGAATTGAGTGGTTCTGAACCTGGGTATATTGGTCTAAGTTGAGGAGGCATCGTTAGTAAATCATGTACTGTCTTCTGCCAGATCTGGACACAGGACATGTGACATACGTGCACATCAAAGCGTAGGATTGGATCTTTCTTCCCAACTCTTTCCAGACCAGTGATCTTCGCTTGCAGCTTGTATTGAGAAGCATTCTGTCGCGATTGCTGTCTGGCTCCGGTTTGGTATCTTGCGGGCGCGTGAGCGCGGCCGGTCGTTTGGGAGTGAGGCTGGTGTGGGTGGGCCTGTTCGGCGTGGCCCTCGTCATAATTGGTACCGTCTGTCTGAGAATTCTGAAGGCGATCTGACAAGCCAGAGGAGTTTGTGGCCCCCGTTGTTGGAGGCTGCATATGCTCCGATGCGTCTGTGTAAGGAGAGTCGTGCTGCGGGGGCGGCAAAGGGGACGGCGGAAAGTCAGCCGCAGGAGGGATGGTCCTATCAACTCGCGGAGACGAAGAACCCCATGGTGATGTGCCAGCGGGATGATCTGGATCGTTGGATATAGATGAATAATCCATGGTTAGTGATTCTCAAAATGGTGAGTTTGGGATGCCTGTGGATGGATATGCGAAGGCAGCGAAGGCTAACAAGACAGCTCAGCGATCATCGGACGCGGCAAGCTGCCCTTCGATGTGGTCTGCTAGAGGCAAAGGAGGACGAAAAGAAATGCCTAAAAGAAAGAAATCAATTCGTTAATCATAAAAAAGTAGAGGAGCGAGTTCATGAGAGGCCTAAGGATTCCGAAAACCAGCAGCTTTGACCCGGTTTGGATGGCGGTTTGGGTCTTGCGGTCCAGACACCGCCGCCGCACCCAAACGGTTTCTGCCCCCCAGTCCAACCGAAATCTCTACATTCTCAGCAGCTCCAAACTCAATCTATGAACCAGCATTTGGAACGATATCACTCCCGCCTGTAGCCATTGATAAATACAGCTGTCGTTCTGGCCTCTATAATCGCTCAATAAAAAAAAATAATTCTGAACATGCTATGATCCTTTCAGCCACCTGTCGGGATGTTCGTTGCTTCTCACTATCCCATCAGATGGGTGTGCTCAAGGTGCCACCGAGGCCTAGCCGGTCGATTGAGGACGTCATTGAGGCCCTTGAGGCTTCCAGTCCGCGGATATTCAACGTCTCCTGATCCAAATGCAATTGAGGATCTGAATCTTACTCGAAATATCGGGATCATCGCCCACATCGATGCGGGAAAGACGACCACAACAGAGCGTATGCTCTACTACAGCGGATTCACTAGAAGGCTCGGCGACGTTGACGATGGATCAACTGTAACGGATTTCCTCCCTGCTGAAAGAGCCCGGGGAATAACTATACAGTCCGCCGCAATTACTTTTCATTGGCCTCCAGTTGACCAGAGCACAGCAAGCTCCGAAGATGCGAAGGCAAAAGGACTTCCAAGGTCCGTTCTACCGCACACTATCAACCTCATAGATACTCCCGGACATGCCGACTTCACATTTGAAGTTTTACGGTCCTTGCGTATCCTGGACGGAGCCGTATGCATTTTGGACGGTGTTGCTGGGGTTGAAGCCCAAACAGAACAAGTATGGCATCAGGCCTCTACGTACAGTATACCCGGTATCGCCTATGTTAACAAACTCGATCGTGAAGGTGCTGCATTCGGTAGAACCGTGAAAGAGATCGGATCAAGGCTTGGTGCATGGCCGGCTGTATGCCAAATCCCATGGTTTGAAGGCGGCGACGGCAAATTCAGAGGTGTTGGTGATATCATTTCACTACAAGGTCTGTACTGGGAAGCTGGCGGAGATGGCAAGCAAATCATTGCATCAGGCTTGAAGGATTTAGAGCAACAAGATGGCCAGTTCGCCCAGGAGATGAAGAATGCACGAATTGCCCTCGTCGAACTCTTGAGTGAGCACGATGATACCATGGTGGAATGTTTCCTAGAGCACGATGAAGACCATCTAGCAGTTAAACCAATTGAGATCTGGGAGAGTCTGCGACGCTGCCTGTTACGAGACGGTAACAGGGTCATTCCGACCTTTGCGGGCGCGAGCTTCAGAAACATTGGCGTGCAGCCACTCCTTGACGCCGTCGTTAACTTGCTTCCAAGTCCGACTGAGCGGCCTGATCCAGAAGTTAGCATTGGATCAGTCAAAACCGGCTTGCAGAATCTTCTTGCAGGGAAGGTTTCTCTGGAAAGCACAAATAATCCAACGAAACATAAGCATAAAAAGAAACACGCATCGCTGCACTCGGACACTACTACTGCCCTTCAGAAATTAGAATGTTGTGCTCTCGCCTTTAAGGTGGTGAGCGATGCAAGGAAAGGCGTTCTGGTATACGCCCGTGTCTACTCCGGGACCCTCAACCGAAACGCACTATTATTCAACACAAACCTTGACGTTTCGGAGAGAGCGCCTCGAATTTTTAAGATGTATGCGAACGAGGCTGTTGAGGTGCAGTCCATTCCAGCTGGACATATCGGCGTTATTGCCGGGTTGAAGTTTGCCAGGACTGGCGATACATTGCTATCCTTCACCGGAAACAAGCAAAGTGCACCGGAACTATTGAACACGTTGCAACTTCGCCCTATCGATGTTCCTCCCCCTGTGTTCTTTACCAGCGTTGAGCCATATAGTCTTAGCGAGGAAAAGAATATGCAAGACTCTCTGGCATTGTTGCTCCGTGAAGACCCTAGCCTTCACGTCTCTGTTGATGAAGATTCGGGCCAGACTCTGCTGAGTGGCATGGGCGAACTTCATCTAGAGATAGCCAGCGATCGACTTGTTAAAGATTTCAAAGCAAAGGTGTCCACCGGACACATTGAGATCGGATATCGAGAGTGTATCTCGGAGGCTTCATCTTCAACAACACGGATCTTTGATAAAGAAATCGCAGGCCGGAAAGGTAAAGCAGGATGTGCAGCTGTTGTGCAACCCCTTTATGAAGGACAGGAAAACGAACGTACGGAAGATCCGAGCATCCTCTTCTCGAAAGAAAAAGATGGCAACCGAATCACAATCAAAGCTCCGGGTCTTATTTCGACGGAGAAGACGAAGCTACCCGGGGACCTTCTTCCGCATCACCTGTCTCTGCCAGTGATTCAGAGTTCTATATATAATGGTTGTCTCGCTGGACTTACACGCGGGCCAAAGTATTCTTTCCCAGTACACAGCGTGGATGTCACCCTGACCTTCGACATAACAGAGCATCTCTTCGGCAGCGATACCACACCGTCCGCGCTTTCAGCCGCAGCTCGTCTCGCAACCCAATCCGCACTCAAAGAAGTCTCGTCAAATGCATCTCTCATGGAGCCTGTCATGAACGTCTCAATCAGCGTCCAGGAATCAAGCCTCGGTGCGGTGGTACACGACATTTCTTCCTCGCGGGGTGGTCATATCGTTTCCCTAGATGATGATACGTCTTCATCGGCAGAAGCTACACTCGACCTGCCTCCGATCGATGTATCTAAGATATACGCCCCACGCGACCCATTCGGGCCATCATCACCAGATGATAGATTGTCCAATGCAACGGCCAACCAGTCACGTATGATAACGGCCAAGGTCCCCCTGAAGGAGATGGTTGGGTACTTGAAGCATCTGCGTAGTTTGACGGGTGGCAGGGGAACCTTTGTGATGAGTGTTGACCGATTCGAGAAGATGAATAACCAGAGGGAGAAGGCTGTTTTAACGGAAATGAGAGGGTTGTAACCGCAACTTTCAGCGCCGATTATATTTTATTTTTATTTTTTTTTCTTTTCGCTTTGGACAACGTCATCGAGACTTTTTCAAAGCTTGGGTCCACGGCCAGTGTGCTTCTACTTCTTTTTTGTATTATTATGAATGTAAAACTAGACAAAAAAACGCTGGGCTGTTCACGTCGATGCTCTGTGCTTTACGTCGGTGAGCGCTGAAAAGCACGCCTTCCTACTCTTCTTCGCCGGCGTCTCCGTCCCTTTCCGTTGGGGGTGTAGACTCTCGCTTCCACGAAGACCTCAAGCTGCTGTCTTTGCTCGTTTTGTTCCCTCAGAAATAAGTTTCGCGGACGCAGTTCGTCCATCATAATCTAAGGCATAGTTCTTCTGAACTTGGTCGGAAAGGGCCCCCAAACACGTCCTGCGCCTGATCTTAGCAGCGACACCAAAATATGGATTCCCAAGCACCTGTTACCAACGAATCCACCGCATCCGGTAAAATGCACGGCGAGCCATCACTCATGTCGGTTCTTGCCTCTTCATGCTGGAACTGTGAAGCGCGAACTCGCACAGAGATTGTCTACCTGATTCCTCATCACGATCCGGCTGTAAGTCTCGCCGGAACCTCCTGTTTTCGCTGCATGATGGAAAAGCTAATCTAGCCGCAAGCTGGGCCTTCTCTCGAGACTAGGGTTCATCCAGGAACCGCTCCAATCACCATCCAACATGGTTCCCCTATGCCCGACTTGCCGTGCAAATTTTGACAGCACTGTGGACCCTGGCTTTGTTTTCCTGCCTGTCGACTTGAAGTATTTCATGCAATATGAAGAAAATGATTACCAGAACAGATGCCAACAGTTACTCTCTGGGAGAAAAATTGAGCCTAGAACATTCCCGACGGCACGGAATTATTTGGATCACCAAATCAAGCAGGGTGTGGTTCGTCCGACTTCGACAGGTGGGCTATACCGCCGAGTCTTCTTTAAGAACTTTCTCCCTCCTGCAACTAATATGAAGCATCTGGAGTTACCCAAGACCTTTAATGGCTCGCCCATCGCAACCATTCGCCGTGCCTTCCAGGCTCTGGGGAGTCTTCGTTGCGGAGCCTGGTCTGAAGTGAGAGACGACCTCTTTAAACTACAGGGTTTATATTCTCGATGCTTACCGGAGACGCCGGATCTTCAAGATCTTGCAAAACCGAAACGATCCGTTAATGGCACTCGTGTTATGGTTCTAAAGGCCTGCCGCAATCGAATAAACAATTTGCCGAACTAGGAAGTTCGAAGGAACCTTTTTTTTTTTTTTTCCTTTGTCTTTTCTTTTCTTTTCTTTCTTTCTTTTTTTTTTTTTGAGTGGATGTCTCTTAATCTTTGTGGTCTGCACTTTTTATCTCCTTAATTTTGCCTCCACTGGTCGCTTATTCTTATGTTTGGTCGATATATCTGTTAGCCGAAGGTCAAGTTGGATATTGAAGCGAAGGCTCTATAATATTAGCCTATGCAATGACATAAGCGTTGAATTCATCTTAACGTGAAAGAGAGCTGTAATAGAAAAGCCGGCGGAAAGAGGATATTTATATATACGAGAAAGCTGGTATGAGACCCATCACCAAAAGAAACGCCACCAGAGAGTAATCCAACAACGTGGCCGGGTAAGTCTCAACAATGTCAATATAAGGGTTCGCTGGGCGTGTATATCATGGTCCAATTTTTTTTTTTTTTTTTTTTTTTTCTCTCACCAATTTTCATCCCAATCATCTTTTCCCTTTGGTGCCGAAATTCCGCCAGTGCTTGACCCCGTCGTTGTCGTTGTCGTCGTCGGGGTGTTCTTCTTCATCGCTGCAGTCCCGATTGCCCCGGGTTTACTCAGCGGCGTGCTTCTCGATTCCCCAAGGGCAGCAAAATCGTCCCAAAAGTCTTTTCTTTCCGGCTCAAAGCGCCTCGATGCAGATGTTGACCTGTTGCTGGATCCATCTGAGGGACCCTCGACGAAACGATTGAATGAGTCTGAAGCGCCGCGGGCGCCGGATTGGATATTGCGAGATACTTCCGCTGCTGCTATACGGGCCTGAGCTGCAAGATCAGATTCGGCGAGCTGTGAAGCGAAGAATAGGTATTAGCCACACTGTCAGGTATTACATATCTCTTGGAAAAAATTGGGATGAACGTTACGCACAGACTTCGCGGCCGGTTGTAGGTAGCTATCATTTACCGTCTTCGCACTCTTCCCGATTGTACTTGTGAACCAGCCGAATCCCTTCGTCAAGGCGGCAACGGGGTCGGTTTGGAAGTCGTTAATTCCTGGTATACTGTCACCTTGAGATGTCTGTCTTGCTGCTGGCATTCCGCCTCCAAATCCAGTGTACTTCCCACCCTGCGAGGGAGGCAGGCTTTCGGATCGAGCAGCATTCTCTCCACCCAACTTCGCGAAATAGTCTTCATTCTGCTCTTTCCGACTCCTCATCCTGCCTATGTCCCCAGGAGATACTGCCCTGGATTGATCTGGGCTGATACTCCCCAGCGTACCTGGAGTATTTGTCCGCGAAGTAGCATTCTTCTTCTCCTCACCAGGCACATACTCCCTGCCTTCTACCTTGGCCGTCAATCTCGCCTTCCACTCCTCTCCGACGTCACCGCTATATCTCTCCTTTATCGTAGCATCGTCAAACGTCGTTCCCTCTGCCATGGTTGTAGAGTGACCGTCGAAGAATTGTTTCCACGGCTCATTGCCTCCATGCTCCATCCGCTGTATCTCTGCCATCTTAAACGCGTCCATTGTTATGCTCCGGATAAAGGATATATGCACACCGAGTCCCCTGTGTATGCCTGCACAATTGAGACAGATGAACGTACCGAACTTGGGCGAAGCCTACATCACAAAATCCATCGCACCATCACAACCTGTCAGTCATAATCCATTAAGAGAACAAGAAGAAATACACCAAATCACTGTACACTCCATATGAGAAAACAGAGAGAAACATACCCATTGCGGCGACGGCGCACCGCAGTCGCAGCATCGATCGTTCCCCTTGGACTTCTGGATAAGAGCCAGCTAACAAACCCCGGGAATGTCAGCCCACGAAACCAATAATCTACCTACCTGCTCCCTTCCACTCCCAGCTTCAATTATCAGACTTACTTTACTCTTTGTCTCGGGATCGACCTCCCATAGCTTCGACATAGTGTCCGACTCTAGGTAGGCCAAACGCACAGGCACACTCCTGCAGCAACAGTCAGCAATGTACGAATGGAGGCCAACGCACCACCCAGGCGAGAAAGGAGGGTACAGTCAGCTCAACAAAGTAGTTCAAATAGTACCAAATAACTCCCTGCGTATCTCTCCGGGGAAAAAAATAAAAATAAAATAAAATAAAATAAAATAAAAGAGTCTGATGGAAATCGCGGGGGATACTACCAAAAAACATAAAAAAAAGCTTCCCCCTTAAAATCGCGGTCGATCAGCGGTAAGCCCGCCCCGCTCAGAACCAAGCCGTTCTGCACCAATCAGTTGACAGACTTGATGCGAGGAGGTAACATGGTGGAAGGGAAATGATAGATGCTGAGAGCTGCAGAAGGACTCGGGGGCTTCTCTCGTGAGGGTTGAGAAATACAAGCAAGTATGGAGTAAATGTCTCTACAGAAAGGTTCCGCTGGGTGATCCCGGTTGACAACGTGAACGGTTCTCCGTCGAGTACTCCGTACTCCAACTTCGGTAGCGCTCGCCGGGGCCCGAAAGCGGCTTGTAGCAATGCAATATGACATGTTCAGGTCTACAGAGGACATGGATCAAGTCTACATGGTGTTGGCTGAATGGCCAGAAATTTTTGGAAATCATCATCATTTCATCAGAGAATTTTGTCCTAAAGTCATTAACTGACAAAGGAGCACAAGGAAAGCCCCATTTGACTAGTTTTTAGTTAGGCATGCTGATTTCACAACCAGAGGGTCTGCAGGCATCGGATGACACCCAGAGCAATAAGAAATGTCGATCACTCAATGTAAGATATGTTCACGATAAACCCATTTCAGATGGCTCTTCACACCCCACCAACTGATCCATCAACCATCTGTAAGACTGCTGGCTTGTGTGGAAGATAAACCGATTTAAGCAGTAGCTGGAGCGGCTTCCTGAGTAGCAGGTTCAGTGGTTTCAGTCGCAACAGCTGGCTCGTCTTCCTTGCCAGGGCTATCAATGGCGACCTTGACCGCGATCTCACGACCATCGATATTCTTGCCATGCATCTCTTCGACTGCCTTCTTCTGAAGCTCTTCAGATCCAAGAGTGACAAAGCCAAATCCACGACCCTTGCGAGCTTCACCGCGTGCCTGGAGTTTCTTGACCATGAAGCGTGGGATAGGGCGGAGAGCAATTTTGGCGGAAACTGGCTCGTAGGCGGCGAAAAGTTCCTTAAGCTGTTATGACAACGGGGTTAGGGCGGTTTTGAAGTAAATCACGGGAGTATGCTAATCTTACCTTGTCCTCGCTCAGATCGTAGGGCAAGTTTGCCACCATGACCTTGGTCTTGGAGGGAATGCCATCTTCAGGTGGACCACGTTGCTTACGGGGACGGCCTTGAGGCTTAGCAGCTGCGTCCTTGCCTTCGCTGCCTGCTTCAGCGGGCTCAGTGGCACCCTCAGCGGTATTGGTGACTTCAACGATAGGAGCCGCTTCTTCACCAGTAGCTTCAGCCTTGACTCCGTTCTGCTTCTTGGTTAATATGGGCTAACTTTTGATCGCGTCGATCAAAACAAAGAGCGCAGCGGAAAACCTACAGCACGGCCTCCACGACCAAATCTACCACCACGACCGCGGCCGCGGCCGCGGCCTCGTCCACCGCCTCTCTTGCGTCCTTGACCTCCAGCAGTGCCTTCAGCACCACTTTCGGCCTTCCCCTCGGCGGGCTCTGGCTTGCGAGCAATCTGCACAGAAACTCTGCGCTCAAGGATGTCCTTGCCGGTCAATGCAGCGATGGCGGCCTGAGCCTCCTGCGCGGTGGCAAGATCAACAAAGGCATAGCCAACAGGACGGTTGGTTCTAGGGTTAACAGGAATGGAAACGCTCTCACTAGGAATGCGTCAAAAGATGAATCAGCAAACACAAGGTAGGGCAGGAAAAAAAAAAAGAAAAAAAAAAAAAGAGAGAGAGAGAGAGAGTATGTGTGTGTGTGTGTGTGTGTGTGTGTATGTGATCGTGTGACAGGAAAAGAAAAAAAAGAGAGATTTCCTGCAACAGGACGACCGGAAAAAGCATGGGGACGTGTTGAAAGCATGAACAGACGCCGAGAAAGACGTGCAGAGAGCGAGAAGCAAGAGAAACATCAGACCGAAGAAGCAGCACTTACACGTTATACCCTTTGAAGAACTCCTTGAGCTCCCCCTCAGTGGTCGCGTACGCGAGGTTCCCAATATACAACCGACGACCTTCGTCGGCACTAGCTGCAGTAGCACCAATTTCGGCGGTGGCGGCGGGAGTACCGTTGGTTGGTTCGTTGAGGCTAGTGTTGGCCATGGTATCGGCAAGTTCGTTGACAGCAGAAGACATGTTAAAGAAGCTGAGTTTTCTTTATCGGACACGGGAAAGAAGAGATTGAGAAGTGACTTGACCGGTGTGTTGATAATTCAACCAGACTCAGAAAAGCTGAGCTGCCTCTGGGACTTGAGAGGGGGGATGGAAGGGTCGCTTGGTGCCCTAGATACTAGAGAGGGGGGGGAAGTTGAAGTGAGACAGTCTGTCTTTAATCAGTGTTTGCAGCGACTCGGTGATGGATGCTGAAGGGGAAGGGAAGGGAAGGGAAGGCGAGAGCGAAAAAGCGAGCAATTAAGGGGGCAACTGCCACAACCGCTTGGCTGGGGCGGTCTGCTTACCTAAGGCACCCGGCAGATCCCCAATGCGGCTAGTGAGGCCCGGGCGGTCTGGAGGGCGGCGCCTACCGCCTTCGTCACGCTAGCACCCAATGCGGCATTAGCGCCTGCTGCTGCCAGTTCCACAGCAACCTTTGCATCATCAACTTCGAAAACACACGCAACTCATAACTAATTCGCATTTTACCAGGTTCAGTGTTCTCCTCTTTGCTGTCTGGGCAGCATTCACGGTCAGAGAACTCACCAAAAGTCAGCTCACTCCTCCTCCAGGTTCTTGCTTGTTGTGTGGGATTGCGTGGATGTGGACTATTTTTCTTGGATGATCATAATAAAGCTGGGTGTTGCGCTTCACACCCTGGGCCAAGAAAAAAAACAACAGCATCCAGGTCATCGGCAGCCTAAACTCCATCCAGGCACCTGTTGAGCAAACAACTTCAGAGGAGGCACTCGATCGGCTTCCAAATCCGGGTCCGAACCCGCACTGACTCACTGAGTACGGAGTACTCCGTACGGTGTGCGGAGTCCCATGCCAGCAAAAACGCAATCATACCTCTCACCATCATCCACGTGTCCAAGCCCAACAAAGGCCTGAGCTCGGTTCATACCCGCTGCTTCGAATTTTCTACTATTACCTCCGTACGTTCACTTTTTTTTTTTTTTTTTTTTTCAAAGTCAGGATTTTACTCTGTATTTTAGAATAGCTTCATACGGAGTCCTCTGCAACGTATGCGGAGTACTTCAGGCAAAGAGAGCCCAAGTTCGTGGATGCCACCAACTACTTAAACCGAAATGGCAATAATGGCACCACTTTCGCCGCACCCCGGGGTTGCGAATAAGTACTCTGGCTCCTGCTTTCGCGTGCAGTTTTCGAGGCCACGGATCTTCATACCCATAACCAGGCACAACAACCCCCGGTCACTTCATTTCGCGGGAAATGCGCAAGTTGAGAGAGACAATAAATTTGCCGCCATGTGGGATATTACATAACACGTATGTAGGCAACTAACTTTACTCCTCCGTAACTACTATATCTCAACCGTTCCTGCTTCCTCGAGGCACCGCTGGAGAGTGTGTGTGCTCCTTCCACTTTCGGGGCTCTGCTTTTATTTTTGGATGTTGTTTTTCTCTGATTTGTGTGGTCTGGATCGCTCTTTCTCTGAGCAACTTCGTTATGTTGGGATATGATTGGTCAAAGCTTCCTTGTTGGCCAAACAGAGTAAAAAACAGTTTAAGGCAGGTACGGAGCACGATGACGTAATATTTTACCAATCAGCATTGGGCTTGGCGGTATTCCGTGCAAACGACCGATAATTGGACGTCCTCGAAGTGCCCGGCAGGACCGCCATCCCAACGTCCAGACCAGAGCACGTAAATCTCTCGAGAGCATAGGCTGGCCAGCCTGAGCGGATGATACGAGGCCTGCGGCTTTCGAGGCTTCAAATGGGACGGTAAACGGGATGGAGATGCCTCTCAATTTCGAAACAAAACACTTGTCGTCCTTCTTGGAAATCTAGAATATATCGATTGGGACAGCACAAGCAAAAGCCTAGGAGCATCCGTTTGATGGCCTCCGGGATCATGATGCTAGTCTGTGCCCCCTGGTGCAGCGGTCCGTACATCGTCTGCCGATGAGAGGGATTGCATGATCACGGGAGGGTATGTCTGTATGGGACGGGGTGCATACATAAGTTCCCAAATCACACAATTCATTTCTTTTCCATCAAGCCATCAGCTTGATTCAAAGTAGCATTCTGTGGAAGTCTACTTCAATTTCCTACTATCCTAGCAAAGCCATTCTCCGTTATTCATATTACACGAGGTCTTGCATGAGAAATCCTGAGGAGACCCAATTAGTGGAAGATGTTGTTCCTTGCAAAATCGGGAAAGCTGTGTGATGATCACATGTATCTCTGATTCTCTGTGGGATATTCCTGTTGTTCATCTTTGGATGAACAATCGTACAAAGGGCTGTGTTATTAACACATCCAGCTATCATCATCACTTAATCAGAATCTAAATGACTCGACAGTTTTTCATTAAGCCCATTCCTATGTGATGAATCTGGAGACCTGAATGCTTATATGCCTAGAAAGTGCCATTCAACAATCATTGCATTCTTGTGTCGGTGTGTACACACCTCTTGCATACTCTGGCATTGTCCTCCATTGACAATTATGGCCCATCCACCAGGTTCATTCTAGATTGGCATTTCAGCCATCATTAAGCTGAAATAAGACATCTTTGAATAGTCAAAAGCTTTCGATTCTCTCCATTGTTCCCGGCTTCCCCTGAGTCATTCCAATTAGCCATTCTGCCATTTTGTACTATCCTCTCCAAAAAAAAAAAAAAAAAAAAAAAAGAAAATTCTTGGCCATGGAGGAACCTACTTTTTCCACCTGCCAGTTCTTGATAGCTTTCTCTACGCCACTTCAGTCAGCTTCGTGAATATCCATCTGAGCTCCGATATCTATATTCCTCCTCAAACTTTGCTCTTCTTTCTTCAGTCAAAGCATCCATACATACTTCTACATACCTATTTTCAATTCCTTCAGATCTATTGACATGGCACCACGCGAGACAGAACACTTCACAGAGGACTATTTTATCTACATCACGGATAGTTCTTCTGATGAGTGTGCTCCCGAAGATGAGGGTATTTCTTCTGCCTCCTCCGGATACGAGCCTACGGATGACGGCAATATTCATGTAAAACCAGCGAAATTGGAGCTCGAACGTGAGGTTTCATTCTATTCCCCATCTTGCTTTGTCTGTGAGGTACAGGATGGTATGAACGATGACCTGGAGACTGATATCTTAAAAATAGCTACGATCGAACCACCTGGCTCGAATAGAGATAAAGAATTCAAGAGCCAGAGCACGGCAGACTCGCCCAAAGTTTACCACCGTACTCCTACAGGCGATAACGACACAGGTATCAACCAACCATCGAGCCGAGCCGTTTCCCTGTCACCTCACTTTGACGCGCAATTTTTCTTCGACCTCGCCAGTTCCATCTCTCAGAGTTTTCCTTACCAGCAGTTTGCCGAACAGCATGGCTGTACCGTTGATGATGTTAACGATGTGTTGGTGGCCAACGTCGTCATCCCGCTGATAAGCATGGCGCCGCAAGAGCAGCCAAAAGCTATCGGGGCCGGACCATCGACGACTCCAGCGATGGGAGAAACATCAGACCAGAGCTCCTCGAAAAGAGAAGATGATGCAAACAACAACAGTGCCAAACCGACCAAGCCGACTGACCTAGAGCAGGAAATTGAAAGTGGTGAGAATGTCGAAAACGGCCAGACCCAGGCTGAAAATCGCACCGACGATGGTAAAGACAGAAGCACACCTGCGTCTGCCGCTGAAAACTGCGAGAAACCGACTCAGCCCGCTGAACCAGCTACACCATCGCCGTCCAGACTCCGCAAACGGGCTCACGAAGAGGACGAAGAATCGACCGATTGGCCAGAAACCAATCAGACGAACAGATTCACAGCCCACTCTGCTCTGCTCGACTCGCCATCTCCACAGAAAAAGCTCAAATGCTTTTTCCCTGAACAATCAGCACCCAAGATTTCCCTCAATCGCCCAAAGAAGTGCATGCCCTCCAAGCCGGTCATCCTTTCAGACTTGGACCCCTTGCTTATATATGAGTTGACGGGCGAAGCACCTCCGCCAGCATGCAAGCCGGGACGGCGCCGGGTCTACCGCGATTTTGCAGGTAGTTATCAAGATGTTGTTCCCCAGGAAGGGCCGGCCATCACTGGGTATGCTGGTATTTTCGGAAAGATGCTCGAGTCGGGGGAGATCCAGGCTGTGGCGGAGCCCAACCGTAGGAGGAAGTTCATATTTACGAAGGACATGCAGAGCCAGGAGGGCAGGGATGAGGGAGAAATGGACTCCAATGAGAAGGAAAGTTGCCCCCAGGACCTTTTCGAGGGTGAAGATGAAGAATCCAGTGTGCCAGATGAGTTTTGGTATTAAGACTGGATGGTAGGATTGAGTGGCCTCGTTGTCGGTGACTTTCGTGTTTACCCGGGTTGCTTTTCTTCATTTGAGTTGTAGTTGAAATTGGGTTTGGAGGCAAGAGGGCTTTTTATTGTTCGTTATTTCAAAGTGATTGTTGAAGTTTATATGTGGCTTTTATATTCGAGTTTCTCCTATGCCATATAAATTTTTAAAAAATGATACCGACTTTTTCATAGCTGAGGTCTTCACAGCGATGCGTCGTGTGCGATCTTCTAAGAATGTGGGCTGTAGACGGGACTCGGGGCGAACGGTAGAGGATCCAATTGGAGTGGAAATTTAATGGCTTGTGCGGGAAGATAGCTGTAACTTGTCCTGTGGACTTGTTTTTCTTCAGATCTGATGTGGAATTAGTGTTCCTTTTCTCTGGTGGTTGATTACCTATTTAGCTCGAAACACCTGCGACAGGGACAGTTTTGGAGGGCTGTGAGGGACATCTTCACCTGCTTCCAGATAAATGAGTACTTTGAATTTGATAAATCAGTCACAACATGTGTAATTGATATCAAATGTGACAAGTTTATATACCCCGGTTTCTATGAGCATCTTTGGGGCGAGCGCGAGCCTTTGTTGAAAATGCCACATTCATTCAAGCGAATGGTTGGTGATTGTTTGCCCATAAAAGGGAATAAGAAATGACCACCAGTTCCATGGGTATCATATAAGAACGCCTTTGCTTCCATTTTTCCTCATGGGTATATGGCATAAAGATGCACAATTGGAATTGAGCAATAAATTAAGTCAGAACTGCACCTCTTGAAGTGTTACCAAGCCACATGATTTCCTCAACGCGACAATATGATACTAAACAGCCATGAGCAACTTTTAAGACATTCAAGAAAGGTGTAGGAAAAACATTAACACATTCCAATTGAAAGAGCCAAAGGTGCGATCAAAGACCAACTTGCCCAATGTAAAACAAATGCCCCTAAGAACAGAAGTACAAAACAAAGTACAGTGCCCAACTGATGAATTCCTAAAGGTTTTAGGAAGAGGAAAATGTTGAACGAGGATCTTTGCCTATTTGTGAAACTTAACAAGCAGCACCAGACAGCAGGGGCGTCTGCTTTTCTCGACTCATCGATTGTACTGTCCACTTCCATAGTCGGCGGATGGCTGGGATGTATGGCCATATGGGCCTCCATAACTTGTGTCGTAGTCATGCATTATGCCGCTGCCCATTGGAGCCGGGGAACGTCGAGGCCCAGTGTCTGTGGGGGCTGTCGGATCATAGGCAGACGGAGGCGGGCGGTGGGGACTGGTGTCTTCGATCTCATGTTGTTGCAGAAGAGCATACTCATCACCGTCGTCATGAGTGCCCAAATGCGATCCCCCAGGACGACCGGTTCTAAATTCTGTATCTCCATCTTCCTCATCGAGCTCGTGGGGGTTAGAAGAGAATGCGGCCTTCGATTGAGCGGCGAATGTGGGGTCAGATCCATCATATGGCATCATGCCGGTACGACGGTAGTCCATCACGTCCTTTATTGACATGAAGCTCGTAATAATGAAAAGGAGACTTGTGTCGATGATAATCAGTAAATTGGCCCGATATAAAATCCAAGGCAAGCCGGCAGATCTCGCTCGCTTTGGGGGGGAACGCTTACAAAACAAAAGCACCGAGGACAGCCGTCCCAGTGCTCAGCGTGCATTTCGCCGGGCTCCCATATGCAAATGCATCGCATCCTGTCGTTCCATCTTTCTTGTTGTCCTCGTCATTCGATCCCGCTGCCTTCCCGCTCCCAACATATGTTGCAATCGCGACCCAGGCGGTGAACCACAAGAAGGTATAGAGGCCATCGACGGTCGCGAAGGCGTAGGGATTACCGAAACGGCGAGCTCGAGGCCATATCGGAACAGCGGTCAGATATATCAACCCGGGAATCGAAAACCAACACTTTTGATCAACGAAGAAAACAGATTAGTAACAGCGTTCTCGGGTGGAAAAGTCCTAAGGTTGCTGGGTCGATAAATAAACGAGTTCAACGCACCAACGCGAAATACCATGCGGTGCGGCCGTCAGTTTTCCCATCCCTTGTGAAGACGGCGATGGTCATCGCCCATGCCAGGAATATAATGAAGGCCTGGAAGGCATGAATGATGTTTTTTGTCCGAGAGGTGTTGATATGAGGCAATCTCATTCTTCTCGGGATGAAAGAGGTCACGTTGATCCAACCAGTTTCCGGTCACTTCGTGTTGTTGTCTCTGTTTCCAGATCGGTTTGCCTCCGGATCCCCTCAGTCAAATCTGAAACCCCCGTGATAGATCTTCCGCAAATGCACGGAGAGCGATCGGCGTGTCAAGCTCCTCTCAGGGATCCCAAAAATTTACAAAAGCGCTTGGCAAGCGAAGGTTTGAGCACTGCTGTACGGGGTATCAGAAGAACAATAGACAGAAAAAGGAAGAAGTGCAGGAGGTCATGCCAGCATCATGGTCGGGTCTCTTTGAGCTGGTGCAAAGAAGATGGATGGCATACAACTAACAAATAGCAATACGAAGGCTGCTCGCCGCAGCAGCAAGGGTGGGTTTGTTTACAAGGCTGAGCCGGGGGAGGTTTGGTGGTCTGCGTCAGCTCTCGGCGGCCCGTGTCGCTGCTTGGCATAACTACCTCACGGCGATGAACGAACAACCTGCTGTTGTTGAGATGGATCACAGAGCGCAACTGGAAACATGCTGCTCTCTCACAATTCAGGTTTGATGTCGCCAGAGTCTACATAGCTAACACATATGACCCCACCCAACAACTTATAACTAGTTATATGTGACGAGCTAGCTGAGAGTTAGCAGCTGGGCCGCTGGAGCCCTACGGATTGCAGCAGATATGACACATATGAGATGTGAGACCTATGTTTGTTTGGGGTCAATCACCTGGATCCTAACAGAGAAGGTAAGCAATTAAGCTACAAATTTATAAAGATTGAATCTATATACATATAATTCTATACTGTTGAGCTTCCTACAAATTAGCTGCAGGATGAGTGCTTGTCTACCAGCATACGTTCTTTGCTACATGGGAGGACAAATCTTTTCTAAAAAGGCCTGCTGGCTGTTTTTATGGATCTTGTGGCACCAAAATGGAGATACCATACTAACAGTCTGCAAAGAACAGGATGGGAATGAGATTGTGCACTGTGGAATGGGTTCACAGCTGTTAGGAAATCCCATCCCGTCCTGACCCCAACAGTCAGTCTAAGCAATACTTGCTTAGTGGAAACTCTACGCAATACGCCTATCCGACAAGGCCAACCAGGATGGGATTGTGTCTCCTGGGTAAGGGAGGCTCTAGTAATGCTCAAGCTGATACGAAGGCCTTAAGGACGAGCGCGATGGAATGGACATCCTCCGGGCTAGCTATCCGGCTGCCTAACATACTTACAAGCTTCATTATTTTTGGTATCCTCTTGAGAGAAGGCGATGGAAAGGTAGGCTGATAGTCATTATTCAAAGTTAACATCGACAAGCGAGACCAATGGCGTGAATGAAGAACTGCAAGGGTGTGTGTGTATGTGCGCGCGTTTAGTTACATCACAAAGCTAGATCAGGCTTTAGAAGCCATTCATGTTGCCAAAATATGGTATAAATGTCCCTGGGATTGATCACAACTAGCCAATGAATTCTTCAACTATTATTGCTCAGCTGTTTGACATGGATACCCTAAGCTGTGCGACTGCAAGAGATTGATGGATGATAAGACGAGCGTCCTAAAAGGGAAAATGTTAGGGCGCAACTACGAGACATGATCTCCGCTAGATCACTGGCCAGGACAGGCAGTATAAGAGCCGGCAAGCTGGCACTGGAGATTGACATCGATATGGCTTCGATCGCACCTTATCAAGCATGACATCTCTGATAGATCTGCCCCTTGATATATTCCACGAGCTTGCTGCGGTTTGTGCTCCCCCCAGGCCAAAAGTAAATAAAACGACACGTGTATGTCTATACTTTGCTAAACTCTGCGGCAGTTCTGCGGCAAAGCAGAGCTCTTATCCCTGCGGCTCGTCTCTCGACCGCTAGCTTCCTTTTTCCTCCCGTATGCGGACCGACAGCTTGCCCTCGAGATCCGCCGTAGAGCCCATTACCACTTGCACAGAGCTGCGGGAATTTCAGGCTCTCATGAGAAGGCAATGGTACGGAGGTTATTAGATGCTGGGGCACCTGTCAACCAATACGACGCGGCCGGCGAGACTGCTTTACACGTGGCAACTCGTCATAGCAACCTGAACGCAGCACATGTCTTGCTAAGGGCTGGTGCGGAGGTTGATGCAATCAGTGCCCACGAATGGACGCCGTTGCATCTTGCCTGTCGATACGGATATGTGGATATCGCGCGAGCGTTAGTGGTCTTTGGAGCTGATGTTAACAAACCCGGTTTCCATGGCTGGACGGCTTTGCATTATGCCGTTCGGGGCAGACACGTTAATTGTGCGCGGGTGCTTCTGGAATTCGGCGTTGAGGTTGATATATGTGATAGTGACGGGCGATCAGCACTGAAAGAGGCGAAACGCCAAGGATGGGGTGTGTACAGTTGCTATTATGTCAAGTCATAGCTTTACATGCATAGCGTTAACGCTCTTAAGACCTTGACTTCAGATAAACGGCTCTCTATACCGAATTACGACTTTTTAATATACACACTTAACATATCCGTCCCCCTTCCATTCTCATATGACCGCGTCGGCTTTATATATAGCGCCCGCGAAAACGCCCCCTTTTTAATCCCCTGAGCGGCTCCAGCTTCACCAACAATACCGTCACCTCCGTCCACCATCAAGTTCCAATGCACACCAGTCAATCCCCATGGTGGCCCTGGTAGACTTGGATCCTTCCAAAGGGGGAACTCGAGGCACACAACTTGACCGGTTGGAGATAAAAGATCGACCATCCGCGAAGCCCACTGCCTTCGCATGCTTGGGTGGAGGGCACACAGGAACTGCACATATCAATATCGGGCCCCTCAAAGTAAACTCTCAAACCAGATTAACTAGAGAACCCACCGTATAGTCATAGATAACATCAAATTTGATCATACCTTCCCAGCCCGACTTGAAAAAGTCTGCATGGATAATGGTTACTTCACCGGTCTCCTGCCACTCTTCCCATGAAGACCCAAAGTTATACGACTGAGGGTTTGCAAGTTCATTCTTCGCATACTCTTGTGCAACGGATACCCCCGTCGCAGAGACTTCAAGGCCATACACGTCGTAACCGTGCAGGGCGAGTATTACGACATCGTAGCCTTTCCCACAGCCCTACAGCCACACACTTAATTTTCACCTGAACATGAGTGGTGCATAGCCATGAGTGTGGAAAATACCGGTACTAGGGCTTTCTTTCTCTTCCCGTCTATTGTAAAGGGGCTGAAGAGATCGCGCCTCTCTTCGATGAGGTCGATCAATGCGGGCGATGGTTTACCTCTATCCCAGAGATCACTATTATCTGTGTCTCAGAGGTGAGACCATCCGTCGCCATGATTCTCTACTGTCCTAAACGTCTATATTAGTCGAGATTGTATGTAAACTAAGACTTATAGGGTGAATAACATACCGTGTCTCAAAGTGTTTGATGAGGCGTGTTTGCCCATGTGGGCACTGAATACTTTCAGATCCAGCCATTGACGCTCTTGTAAACTTGTCTAAATGTTTCACCTCACATAATAAATTCACAGTTACTCGTACATCCCATCTTTATATGGTGTTGGGAGTGGCGAATTTCCAGGACAACGGCTCAATTGATCTAGACAGAGAAAGTGGAGCGTTCCGGAGATGAGGCTAGGTCTCGGGAGCTTCGCCGGCCCAGTGGGTGGCGAGAGCCTTCGGAGAGACGCCTTTTGCATATCCGGTTCGGGTAGGAAATGGGCGCGGGAGAAGCTTGGCAGAGATCAGATCAGATCAGATCAGATCAGGTCAGCAGCGAGGGCTTGAGTAATATAAAGGGCGCGATCTTACAAATTTTGGGCAGCACGGTAGTTGGATTCACCCATATTCAGATGTAGGTGGGCGTTATACCAGCCGCACATGGTTTTCTTCGATTCGCCTAGTTAGATGAGTTTCACTTCTCTCGAGATAAACATTTACAGTACTTCTATATTGTTATTTGCTTCCTCTATGAATGCCTGGCAACATTCAGGAATCAACAGCCATGACCCAATATCTCGGCCAGCCCCTCAGTGAATCTATCACAGAGCACATCGGTGCCACACCGCTTGTACGATTAAACCGTCTCCCTGCTTCATTCGGGATAAAAGCCAAGGTATGCGCAAAACTCGAATACTTCAATGCTGGAGGTTCGGTCAAGGACCGTATTGCAAAGCGCATGGTGGAAAAAGCTGAGCAGGACGGGTTGATTAAACCGGGTGACACGCTGATAGAAGCGTCAAGTGGAAATACGTGCGTGAATCCCAATATACTGCAAAAGGTATCATCCAGTCTATTGACATTTGGTGAAGTGGCATAGCGATAGCCCTTATGGCAGCGATAAAAGGTTATAAGTGCATCATCACCCTCTCAGAGAAGATGTCATTGGAGAAAGAACAGATCCTCCATGCACTAGGCGCCAGAGTCGTACGCACGCCGGCCGGTGTCCCAATTGAACATCCAGAGTCTATACTAAGTGTTGCCAAACGATTAAAAGAAGAGATACCAAATTCGTGGATCTTAGATCAATACAACAACCCGGAAAATCCCCGTGCCCATGAATTTGGAACCGCAGAAGAGATATGGCACCAGACACAAGGAAAGGTGAATGCTGTGGTCGCGGGAGCCGGAACAGGGGGCACTATCACTGGCATGGCAAGGGCATTCAAAAAGAAGAACCGAGGCGTGTTTGTCGTTGGGGTGGACCCTGTTGGATCCGTCCTTGCCCAGCCAGCAGCCCTAAATGGGAAGAAAAGCGAGTATAAAATCGAAGGAATTGGGTATGATTTTGTGCCTGGAGTGCTCGACCAGGCGGCTCCCGATCTTTGGGTCAAGACAACGGACAAAGAATCGTTCCAGATGGCGAGACAACTGGTGAGCCAGGAGGGGATACTCTGCGGCGGTTCATCTGGTGCAGCTTTCGCAGGTTTGCGCCAGTTTCTTGAGATCCACCCAGAGTTCAACGTCGAAGACAAAACCATTGTGCTGGTGTTGGCAGATAACCTTAGGAACTACCTAACCAAGTTTGGCGACGATGCGTGGATGGAGAGTAATGGATATGGATTAGATGTAAGTGATAGCTGAGTCGCATCACAAGTAGCACACGCAGACTGTAAATAGATAGTTTTGGCTGAAATACCATATTGATCAAGTTGACTCCATAATTGGAATAAATCAACATATTTGACCAGCCCAAAATGTCGCCGGAGAGTCTAACTCCCTTTTTTCCCAGTCGGCCTAGAGGAGCCCGCCGCCATATTACTTTGTCTATATTCGACGAGGCACTCTGGGCTATGCCATGCCCAACTCATCCATTCGTTCAACATCGGTTCTGAAGAATCTTGAGAAATTGGATTGGTAGTTGCATTAAACGGCTCCCATTGGCCGGCTGCCCATGGGAGACAAAAGCTGTAGTCTTCACTGCCAAGGGACTGTGGTGGACCTGATGCCGCACAAAGTCCCATTCCCTCTTTGAATAGCTTCAGCCATTCAGGGTTATCTGCTGCCGTTTGATTCCACGGGTCGTCGTCTCCGTACATGATACAGCTGGCCTCCTTTTGTAGCAATTCATCACTGACAGTGCCCCCTGCGGCCTGGATCCCATTTACGAATCCAGTAAGGCGTGCGGTGAGATATCCAAACGGCGTTGGCTTGGATGCCGTTGATGTGCGCTGGTCCGTTGGTTCTGCTCCCCGAGCGTCTTTAGCAGCTAACCGAGAAGCGCTGAAGGGCTCTATCCCGGTGGACTCAATACCAATCAAATAAGGCGGCATCGCATTTCCCACTGCTAAAGCCACAGATGGATCGAGGCCTCGACAGCCTCGCCAGTCCTTCATTAGTGCCCCTTTCCGGAAGTGCCAGGCAATATGGTCATTTCTTTCAGACCATAACGTGAATGTTTCGCCGCAGAACCCGCATCGCGAATTGATATTTGTCACTTGGGACTTCCAGGTGTCCATCGACGGTATGAGATTGTTGACGCCATGCACCAGGCGCAAAATGCTGGACCAAATGGTCCTTGCGGTAAAACGTTCGCAACGCGACAGGTTTCTGCTGGCATAGGCTAAACCGATGGGACTCGATATGGCTTTCCGATGGTTGGGGGCTGTCACAGAAGGTACACATCCTGGTACCGCCTGACGGATCGTTGTAGGTCGAACCGAACGGGGCACAGGTGAAGGTCTCCAGGGATAAGTGCAATGTATTTTCATGCCGCGTCCAGTCATGCTTCGTGCGAAATGTGTCCGTACAGAACGTACATTGATACGGTCTTTTGCCCACTGACCTTTTCGTTGAGGGCGTAGGTAGAAGCAGGTTTTGTTTTCCGTCTATGACGGCGCCGAGAGACTTTCTCCAGGTAAAAGCGACCGAAAGATCCATGAGAATGGTTAGAGTCGAAGCTGTAGGCGGATGATCTGGAGCTACTTGATACAGCTGATCCGGACGCTTTGGAAGATACCAGGGATCGAGCATCATTATCCTCCGGCGGTGATTGGTGCTGTAAGTCCCCGGTGGGCAGGTAGCTCGTTCCACTGCGAGCCACTGCACTCCTAATAGCTTCTAAGGATGCAGCTTCGACTTCTGGAGGCGAGTTTCTCCATCGGTCAAGTGGACTGAAAGATGGCCATTGCTCGTCCGAAACTTTGCGGGGTTTATCGGGGCAGTTGAGAGACGTGGACGTCAGGCACCGGTCTGCAGACGCATGTCTACCCCGTCTGCGAGCGTTTGCAAACCAGGTTGACACTTGAGTGACAGTCAGCTCGGTTTGCTCAGCCAACTCCGCTTTTTCCTGCTTTGTCGGATAAGGATGGCGGCAGTCCTGTTTAAGCCATTTCTTTAGAACTTCCACCGCATCCTCAGACCAGTTTGACAATTTGCCTATTGACTCAGGGTCCTGAGGCTGTACATAACCTATGGTACGATTGGAGAAGACATGCTGATGGACGGATTGGTCCGTGTCGTACAGAATCGCCTCCGTACTGTGCGTTGACGATGCCTTGGGAAGATGGAGTTAAGGTCAAAGGACATGGAGTCGGATGGATTCATATTACCCATCGACTCCTGGATTTCGGTAAATTCGGCGCCCGAGAGCACGTCGAGGCCCGTGCGGTTGGGAATATGCTGCTGTGATTCATTGGACATCTTCATCTATCAGCAGGCTACATATGCTGAACATCCAACACAGCGAGAGCCCTCCAGACGTGTAGCTCTTCCCGGTGGTTGCTTGCTTGAGGGATGGGACGTGCGTTCAGAGTCGCCACCAGGTATCACGGGTGAGACTGATCAGGGCGCGCCCTATCCATTTCCTCTTTCGGCGCTACTTGACAGCAATCTGGAGTGTCTGTGCATACTTAACCATCTAGCACCCTTTTCCTTTGCTCAGCCCACCGGATCTCTACCACATCATGCTCAGCAAAGCGACATCATTCACGGCTTTGAACCAATCCGCTCAATTTACCCTTCGTGTTGCTGCTACGTGTAAAAAAACTTCATGTCTTAAGCCATAATTAGTTGTGGATTAGTCAGATTTTAACCAACGGTGTTCAAGGGGCAGAGGCAGAGGCAGAGGCAGAGGCATGAGCATCAGCGACAGTGATGAATAATGGGATTCGATATACGGAGTGTAGTTAGTGGTATTAGGTGGGTGGGGTTAATGTAAATTTTCAACGGGTTCCGGTAGAAGATAAAGCAAAAACTGCGCATGGCCGAGAAGCTTCTTCGAATAATCCTCATGTGAGCCGACACCTGCGGAAAACGGTCGGGTGTGAAAATTGCACTCGAGAGGTTTCCCAATCTGCTCAATCCTCTTGATCTCCCTACTAGCAAAGCAGCAGAGACATCAGCACGGACACGAAGGCCGGCTAGGTGTGTGGGAGAAAAGACTATTCTCCAGTAAGCCCGCCGAAGATGTCCAGTAATGGGGACGAACGGAACCAGGACCAGCCATGGCCTAGCCATCCGGCATGTGTATCTTCATGCACCAGATTGCGGGAAACAAGGTTAAAACTGTTGAAGGGTTAAATACATTTTTAATTATCTCTGGACACAGTTTTTGAAGGCGCAAGTTTCCCGAAGTTCCGAAATTCGCACAAAGGCTCCGTTCGCAGCTCGAAAAACGGATGAAGGGTGGCAGCAAAGGCTTGGCCCGAGAGACACTTCGTGGAACAGCGTTCATCCCCCCTGGCCGATTCTGAGGAAGCTGGGATCGTCGACCGGATTTACCTCTTACGCGTGGCTCCTCATGTTTGTCTCGCAAGGACGACAACGAGCTGCCCCTCACACAAGAAAAGAGAGCTTCATCGTCCTCTTTAGGACCTGGAGACGGGACATCAATGCGAGGCGTCGTTAACCATCAGGTCAAGAATCGCCGAGTTGGTTAACTCCTGCAGGGTTTTCGTCCCGACACAAGCTTTGCCCCTTCTGTTACATGTCTCTGATTTCGAGCATCACGTTGACGAAACGAACCCTTCGATCTCGAGATTCGGAATCGGGGTTTTACCGATCGATACCCCTCAACACGACGATTGCTAGGGTTATCGCGCACCAGCGGAGCGTTGACCATTGCACGGCTTTGTCCGTGGAAGGTTTAGCTTCAGCACAACCCTTACCAACCAAGCGGCTGGCGACTTAAAAAGTAGCCGCCGTCGCTTACCCATGTTTGACAAATGACCGGTTAGCTGCAGGGCCACTCCGTCGTGTTCGAGCATTTGACCTTGTTGGAGAGAATCGAGCCGGTAAGAATGGCCTCATGCGCCTCTCGTCACAGCTAGCCGAATTCTGGGAATCTGTGCGCCTCTGGATCTTTAAGATTTTCGCGGGAATTCTTGCTGAGCAGAAGGTTCCTTGTGCTGTGCGGGGGGTGCTGAACCTCGTATGGATTCCGCGTAGATCAAAAAGGTGGCAAACCCCATGGGATGCGGCTCGATGGAGCGCATATGGCGGCCGCTTGTCCTCCATAGTCCGCACCAACCCTGAACGTGCAGAGCATCTCGGGACAACGTGTTGACACCGGGGAAGAAGTTCCATTCTCCGTCGCAGCACGTAGATGTTTTTGACGCCCTAGTCCCGCTGGTAGCGCATCTCGGAGGCAAGATGCATCTTTCCGTCGAACAGCCAGGATGTTGGCAAGGGAATTCAACCCGTTGGGATGCTCTCCTTGAACCTAGCAATAGCTGGCTGGTCCCTGGCGCCCTTTCAAGGGTGTCTTCTTGTCCCGTCTCCATTTTTGACTTTCTTATCCGTATTAGCATCCTTCTATGTGGTACTTCTCTTACATTGCTGCAGATGCGGCTGCATTTATAATAAGCTGGGTCTCTCGGCTGACGCGCATCCTGCTGGGGAGGGGTTTTTTCCCCCCCTCCATAGTCACATTCTCCTTTCAGATTCCCTGAACTATGCGCACATAATTAATGATTCCGTGGGCGTCCGACAAAAGTTTGTTATGTTGGCGCAGTAGATATAGTACCTTATCTGGTTTGGTATTTCTTGTGTCGGCAAACTCCCAGGAGAACTCAGTCTTCCGTTCCCCTTCATTCAGCCACATTATTCCATAAACAAACAATGATGGAAAACGGACCCCCTAGTGAGGAGTATTACCTTCCTCGAGACTCGAGGCAAAGGAGACCTGTAGGCTTTGCTTGTGACTTTTTGACGAGAGGCACCTGAAGGCAAGCTAACAGCGCGTTATTATAGGACGATCGACGCGAGATCGAATTGCTCCACTATGTCTATAGCCGGCCAAATCTTGAGGAATTAAGAGGCTGTCCAGAGAAGGTTCTGGGGGCGATTGATGAGTTTGGCAAGAAAAAAGCATACTTGATGAATGTAGGCCAACGCAAGGGGAAAATCGTTACCAGCCTCATCGAGGAGGTTAAACCACAGGTGATGATCGAGCTTGGGTCTTATGTCGGGTACTCTGCCATTCTGTTTGGGGATGCTCTGCGTCGTGTGGGCGGCAAGAAGTACTACACCTTGGAGAAGAGTCCTGAATATGCTGCCGTCGCCAATATGCTGCTTGATCTTGCCGGCTTGCGAGACTTTGTTAAGGTCTTGGTCGGGAGTAGCGACGTTTTGCTGCATAAATTATGCACCACCGGCGAGATTATCACAATCGAACTCATGTTCCTCGACCATTTCAAGCCTGCCTATACCACTGATTTGAAACTTTGTGAGCAACTCGGCATGGTTGCAGCTGGGACCGTCCTTGCCGCTGATAACATGATCATGCCTGGTAACCCGGTATATTTGGATTACGTGCGAAGCAGCGTTGAAACCAAGAGGAGCAAGGCGAAAACGTCTCCTAGTGGATATGAGATATTCTCTCAGAACATCATGTCTTGGTATGTCGACAAAGATGCGAAACCGGCGTTCGATGCCGTCGGTAATCCGAATTTGATTTACGAAAGCCGGTTGGTCGAGAGCTTTGAACCATCTGGAGAGCCCGTATGTTAGCCCTTGCTATATTCCGTTTGTAATATTTCTTTGTGTCTATGCTGACTGTTGTTACACCAGGATGGAATTGAAATCACCCGTTGTGTTGGCGCCCAAGAACCGAATCATTTATAAGTATTCCGTACCGGAAATAACACTGATGTCCCACCGGCAACCAGCTATGCCCTCGACGCTTCACCTGCGTTAAACCACTTTCGAACAAAATTGCAACCGTGGAATGCGACAAGACCATCGAATTGCGTGGTAGAGTGATAAACCTCGACACGTTGTATGCTATTGATTAAGAGACGGAAGCAACCCGAGTCTATCATGCCCTGCCGCCCTGCGTATTGAATCCATGTGACATTCCAAATATTGCCTTTTACGTATAATCGAAGTATCGTCCAAATCACAATGTTGCGTTAACGGCCTGGCCTGGTGTACACATCATCATAGAAGCATTTAGTTCATGTAAACCAACACGCAAACACTAAAAGCCTAATCCGTTTCAAAGCAGGAGACAGCGCCGGTGAAGTCTTTTCAAGTTAAAACCCCTAATCGCAGCTGGTTACTCTTAACGTACTTACAGTTCTTGATAGAAAATGGACTACTTTACAAAAGCCTCTGTGGATTGAGGGAAATAGGGTGTAAGCATTTCATCGAGACTTAAGTCGGATCTTTGAGAGCCGCCCTTTTGCCAACCGCTATCAGGATTCGAATGCTTTTCGTCGGGGAGAGTTAACTAGTTAACCTAGTATCCTTGGCCCTAAGGTAACTATAGACTCGAAATCGTACATGGCCCGGGACTCGTAGACCGTGGTTTAAGCGGTCTTCATATTTAGCCCCTTCAGAAACCGTGACCGCCCGCATTAAGCAACAACTTGATAGCCTTAGGAGAAAGCGGAATCGAATGCTTACTCCTGAGTAAGGTGAATTGTGTCGGCTGCTCTTTGGTGCCATTGCTAACTTGGCTTGTGCACAGCTAGAGGACGGGACGCCGACTTTGCTGCCTTTTGCAGCTGGCGAAGCCCAGTTAGCGTGTTCGGGTGGTTGAGTTTTGAAACTTCAAGCCGGTCCTGATCCCAAAAGGATAACTGGCGGGCTAAACAGGTCTCGTTATGTGATCTTGAATCCCATCCTATCAACTAAGCTGCCCTTTTGCTGGCGTACCCAAAATTGCCGGCCCCTGAAGAGGAATACAGCTGGATACAAGGCTGTTTTTATTCTTCACAGAAACGGAGAAAATGCAATTAACTAAGTGATGCAGTACATTATGTCATGCCGTCTTCCTCAACGCTATGAATAGCACTACATGACTCGAGGGGTGGAGTTAGCTGTACTCCGTACTTCGTGCTATGGGCGGAATAAGATCTCGACATTTCGGAGCGCGCTCCCGCGACCTGGTGATCTTGGCTATGCTGTGGAACCACTTATGGGCTCTCTTCTCCCTCACTATGACGCAAACTTTCGATAGCACGGCACGGTCGTTCGTGGAGCCGTCCCAACGGTAAATGCTCAGGCATCACCAGGATTCTTTTCTGCAACATCCCTCCCACCAAGCTTTGCGATGACAAGGGGGTGTATCGGCGATTTGACTGGGACAGGATCTGTTATTAAACATTTAGAACTTGCAAGAGAGCCCTTGAAGCATCTTCATCCGATAGTTCTGCCGCTTTTCATTTAGGACTTCCCTCAAGTTCGCGGCTCAAATACTTTTGTTCTAGACCCTATTATCCTTTACACGGGACTTTGAAACTTTCGGTCTTGATATCCTCGGCATCCTTTCGAATTCAATGTTTAAGGCGGATCTGAGAAACCCATTGAAGATCCGGTCATTTCCAAAGGGCAAAGTTTGATCTGTCTCAGAAATCGAAATAGTTTAGCGTGGGGATCGCCAGCCTTGTCCGAAGATCTCATTGCCTCTCCCCGTTGTTGGTGCAAGCTCTCGTGGCACGAGAGTTGCGTGACGAGCGAACCTCCCGCGTCACACATACATCGACCTCCAGAACTTCTCCAAACGGAGGACATGTGGAGTCTTTCTCTTAGGTTGTGCAACATGTTTACGCCACATGAAGTAGTGTATCCTCCAAGTTTGCAACACCCGAACTCCGGACGTAGTATGGAGCACAAGTCTCCCGTTCGGGTCAAGAGTTTATCTGGCTGGAAACCCGGCATGTGTTGCAGAAAAGCTGCATCTGGATACGGAGGAGAAAATGAGAAAATAGCCTTCCCCTTTCCAAAGTCTGCGCACCGCGCTTGGTTCCTTTGTCACTCTCCTGGTTGCTTTGGGAAGTCCTACCGTTGATCCGGCGCTTGAGCCAATAAATGAAGTCTGTGGCTTGCGTTCGACTTTCTTCTTGGGCGGTCAAAGCTTAATCGCGAGTCGCCCTGTCTCTGGTTTTCCGTTTCACGAATTTCTCGCTCTGCACTGTTGCCCGAAACCCATTGCCACCGCCGCGAGCTCCACGTGGTGGGAGTGGTCAGGCTTCATATCTTCGAGGACCCCCAGAGTCCAGAGAGCCTGCCATGCGTACAAACGTTAACTGCGGGGACTCTCTCTCCTTGTGGGCAGGGCCTGCTTTCGGCCACCCATTTCTTGGATGCAACACGCATGCGATAACTGCAGTATAAGCCACGTTTGCGCGCCCAGCGATGCAGAATCCAAAGAACAGGAACAATGCACTGTGAACACGGAAGATGGCCCAGGCTTGGGCTGCAGCGATTGGTTGCTGTCGAGCCAGAAGAAAAAAAAGAATGTTAAAAAAAAATGCGTGACTAGCAAAAGTGATCTGCAAATAGGACAAAGGGCCCGCTTGGGAACAAGGTGAACGGCACAGCCTGCAGATTGGTACTTCTAGACCTTCTGCACCCTCCCCGCCTTTTCTCAAGTGGCGGATCTCGAGCGCTCCTGGGTGTCTCCCGCGACCTACAGTTCCTTGGGTAGGTGCAGTATTATTATTCTCAGCTTGGCTTGAACCGGCTTCATTTCTAGAGGTCCGTTCGTTGATGCTCTTTGTCACTTCTATTCTCAGGATAATTCTCTCCTTTACACCCTTTATACACATTGCGGACAATGAAGAGCGTGGGGTCTGGCCTAAATACTGGCAGACTGGCATCAGTCCAGCATGTCATCGATGGCATTGTTGGGGGATTTCTCGCTCCTATTGTATCGGAGGAATGAACCAGAGTTCGACCCCAGCCTATCCGACACCTCGAAGGCCCCTATGATATTAAGCATCTCTGGATTTTTCTCCGGCGTTGCCCTCCTCGTTGTCTTCGTGAGGCTTTATGTTCGCATATTCGTTGCCAAACGCTTTTCGCTCGATGATTTTTTCATAACACTTGCATCGGTGCATCCAACTCCTCGTTGACCGACTGATAATGTTTCTATATCCTCTCAACTAACGCTGCCAGTATAGGTCTGCGCCTCTCTCCTTATCGGGTATTTAATTTTTGAATCGAAACATGGACTTGGGCGATATACCCAGTTCCTAACAAGATCTGACCTTTCTGCGCTTGTAAAACTCGCGTACTTTCATTTCATGATCCTTGGACTTGGAATCTACTCTGTGAAGATATCATTCGGCCTCTTTCTTCTGCGAGTTCTTGGAAGAGGAAAAAGACGTGTCTTCGTGAAATGTATCCTTGGTATGCTTGCGATTCACCCGTACCATACCCTATATTTGGAAAAGCTGCTTATACTTTACCGCCGGAAGCTGCTCTATTTGTTCTTCTGTTGGCCCATCTCGGGCTTCAAATCTTCCGCTGCATTCCCGTGTCTGCTGGGTGGTCACTCACTGAGAGAGACACGGCGCAATGTTTGTCGAGAACGGGGTTTATGGTGTTTAATATGGTAATCTGTGGTGAGTTCATTTTGTGTATCTCCTCATGAGATGATAAGCTAACTGGAAACTAGGTATCGATGCTGCTATTGATGGTTGTTTTGTAACTTTCTGCGTTGTTTTGTTTCATAATCTTCAGAATACCCGACGGTTTCGGTTGGCATTTATAGTGATGGTGGCATTCGGTTATCTGTCAGTTTGAGAACTATGGCCCTGGCTTGACCGAAGTGCATACTAAACTTGGTTTTCTAGGACATGCTTCGCTGCAATAATTAAAACTTCAATGTCGGTGTACGCTTTGAAAGTGAAGGTGAAATACCGGTATGTTTGCCTCGTGTCCATGGAGCAGATCATTCTCAATTCTAACAAGGTTAACATCTTAGTGGTGATGACTACGGTTTATGGTCTCTGTATGTTAGCAATTCCCTGTCCGCGATATATCACAAAACTCTTTCATCATTCATGAGACGTTAAGCTTATTTTCCGCCGCTTAGTCTGGAACTCCATCTAGCTTTAATCTCGACATCTCTTCCGACCCTAGGACCCATGTTTAAACGATTTTTCTCCTCCCAAGCCGAGTCAGCCCACCAGCTTACCACCGGCTGCTACACCCGTCGCCGCCCCGAGCGACTCAACCTTTCGCGGCTTTCTACCGCAAAAAGTTTCCCTCAAGCGACTCCCCGCCCCAGCACCATTCACAGCGAGTCAAACGACTTCGAAAAAAACCCGGGAAATCGGGCCGGAATATGCAACTACAAGGTCGAGATCACCGGCCCGGCTATGCCCAAAAAGATCAGAACCAGCTCATTTGGCGGATATCGCCCTTCTATTAATAATATTAACGAGAATTGCGAGACTGGAGAGATCATTTCGTGTCCTCCCAATGCATTCACAGCGAAATTCCGGTCATCCAGAGAAGAAAGTGAAGCGTGCCCAAGCTCACCCACGAGTGGTATTGTACGAAGGACAGATGTTTATGTATGCATGGACGATGCGGTGGATGAAACCTGTGAGACTGAAGGTGAAGGGACAGAACCAAGGAGATCAAAATGGAAATTCTGAATGTTAAAGCAGTGATTGAGTTTAGCTAGTAGGGGTCGGCATTCCGACTTTTGAGTACAACTGTTTGTTTGGGTATCCTTTGTTGGATATGTTGTACTTAGCATGATCATATGCAGGATTTTGCAGCATTGATGAATCGAGGATCCTGAAGGAACTGATCTCCCAGTCCTCGTTATAATTGCTGTTGATTTTTCAATGGAATGAGAGAAACATTTATAGAGACATAGACCCTTGTTTCTGACTCCTGAGCGACGAAAACTCAGCAAAACCTCTTTGGAATGAATTGACACACTGGCTCAAACTCTTCTCTCTCTAGATAACTTGTCTTTTCCTTGAGTAAAGCAAGCAGTTCAGGAGCAGGCTTGTAGTTCTCCTGAATGCGAAATGAGACATGCTTGTAAGGTTTTATGCTCTGGCTTCGCATCCGAAATGGCCTTGATGCACAAAGTCTATAGTCAAGACTTTGGCCAAGAAATCACGAAGCAAATCTTACAATGCTAGCTTGATTTCTTGTTTTGCATTGAGAATGTTAAGAGTATATATCGGACAGACAGTATCCGTCCACATTCAAAGAGCTATACACAAATAGGGGAAATACAGTTGGAGTTCTCTTCTCTCAGCACTAAACTGCTTGATGTGGGGGGAAGTGTAAATTTGGTTGGGCCAATGCGGGGTATATCTGATGCTTCCCCTCACCAAGAAGGGAGTTGAAAGAGTGCTGCTCTTATCCTAGTAAAGGGAATGGTAAGCAATATTCAGATTCCTCTGCACGGGGGAGGCAGAGACGTATTATCACAATATTCTGTCGATAGTTGTTGGTACTAGCACTCGGTGTGAAAGAGACGGCGTCATGGACGTATCTACTCCGTATGATGTACGGAGTACTCCGTACGAGTACTGAAACGGGGAAAGGAAAAGTACATGTTCAATACACAGTACGAAGTACTCCGTAACGTACGTCGGATAGCTAGAGCCTTGTATCAACCCCAACCGAATTCTGACGCGGAGTTTGTGTTCTTGAAGCCCGATTGGTGGTGATGAGCGATATTACATACGCTGTGGACCCGTTCCCCTTTTACGACAAAAGTGACAAAAGCCAAGGAGTAAAACATACCATTACCTCCTCCCTAACCGCCACTCAAGCACAGCAAAAGAACGTCAAATCCGCGGAAAAACCTCATGGCAAGCGAAACTTTTGGAGTTGTTTCGTATCTGTATTCCCGTTTCAAGACAAAGACTTCACAGCAGAATAGTCGCGATAATTACCCCCCAGTCGGTTACTCTGATCGCATACGGAGTAGTTCTGACTCTTTTTTGGAGCTAAGCCTGGCGTGTTGGTGGCAGCAAGTTCTGCTCTGATAGTTAGTACAGCGTCCATGCGGGCAGATGGCGAGTTTAGAGAGGATATTGCTGTTTTCGTTGCTTTAGATTCTCTTTCCATTCTGCTCTTTGTTGCTCTCAAAAAACCAGACGCTATTCTCTTTATTTCTCTGTATCTCCATCTCTTCATAGAGAGTATACTCGAAGATGCCGATCGCAAAAGTTCCCACCATAGAAAATTTTCGCAAGTTCCATGGCTTAGAGGTAGATATCGACCGTTTCCTGAACCGATATGTCCCGCACCCAAGATGGCATCTCCTCCCTAGGCCGGTAGCCCATTTTCTTGGGCATCGGCTTCATCCTCCCAAGAAAGTTGGGAATGTCCTGGTGATGCTTTGGTCCTTGATCGGCGTGTTCACCGGGCTGTTGATCGTCACAGCAGTGTCGACCCATATCCCTTCATTCCGGCAGCATGGGGCCCCGATCATTGTTGGAAGCTTCGTGAGTTGATCCTGCCAGCCAAGACCCTGTCCAGCGGCAGCTCCCTTTCATGATAGATGTTTTTATTGACATGTTATAGGGCGCAGCAGCGGTCCTGGAATATTGTGCGATAGAGTCTCCGCTGGCTCAACCTCGAAATGCACTCTTTGGCCAATTTTTCTCGGCCCTCGTCGGCATATGCATCGCAAAGCTCTTTTCGTTGAACCCAAACCACGAGAGCTTATACTGGATCGCCGGACCGATTGCATGTGCGGCGGCCACATTGGTGATGATTATCACCAAGACGATCCATCCGCCAGCCGGTGCCACTGGTTTACTTGCAGTCGTAGATCCAACAACAAGACGTTTGGGGTGGTTTTTGCTCCCTATTGTGCTGCTCAGCTCCGTGCTGATATTGGCGTCGGCCCTACTCTTCAACAATATTCAAAGACGATTCCCTCTTCACTGGTGGACACCCGAGAGCCTTCTACCCACGGTTCGCGAAAAGGACGACGGCTCGACCACTGACGCCAACGAAGAGAATCCATCAATTCTTACTCTCAATGAAGACAAGGCTTCAGACGACGTTCAAATAATAATCAAGGCCGGCCAAATTTCCGTGACTGGCTCGATCATCCTTACACCAGATGAAAAAGAGTTTTTAGAGCGACTGAGTAGACGAATATAGATTGTCTGTCTCTTTTTTCCTGTTTTATCGTTTCATGCATGATGATAGTCCGATAGACGACACAGCGATGTATAATGAGCCACAATAGACAGAATCATTCATTATACAGTCCAACAGCTATCATTCGCCGTTACGCGCGCGGAGGGGTAGCCTTTTATATTCCACCACACTCAACATCCATGTGACGGTTGTGCCACGGGGCCTCTGTATGGCTCTTTGCCGGCGAGAGTTTTGCGCCTGGGCCTCTCAAGCCTCTCGACTCTCGACTCTTCCAATTGAGGCTGCCGGCGCCGAGAGAGCATGTGGAATCGAGTTTATTACTAAGCCTTTCGGCCAATAGTTTTGGCGGCTTGGCGGTGGCGTGCACTGTTGCTTATCTAATCAGCCCCCCACAAGGATTTTTCAAATTCAGACTCAGCGCCCAGCAATGAATAGACATCATCAAACTCTGACAATCTTCCCTCTCTGCACTCACAGGAGGAGATTTCTTTTTTCCTTTACTTCTTTTTGCCTGTCTATTTCCTGTCTTGTTCTTAATTCATCCAATCCTATTGGAAAAAGCTGAGAGTTACGACTTAACTTAATAGACAGCAGTGTTTTTCTTGTTCCCTTGTTCCAACCCACTTTCTTAGGGCTTCTTCTATCGATAAGACCCCCCAAGACCCCACCTAACACAGGATATCGTGCAAACCTTTCAGATTGCTTTATATTTTTTTTTTTCCTCTTCGTATTTCCATATATACATAGACCTCTTGTTCTCGAGCCTCTCCCACGGCGATTTCCACATTTTTGACTCGGTCGCCATCTGTTCCTATCCAGACGATACATATTAGACTCCCCCAGCACAAAGGAAAACACCACACAGTCAAGATGGTTTCTGCATCCAAGGCTGCCCGCCAGGCAAAGCGTGCCGCTGAGGGCAAAGAGAAGAAGACACCCGCTTCGCGCCTGTCGTCGAAGGTCAACTCGAAGAATGCTTCTCGAGCTTCGTCTGTTAATGGCGATCAGGTAGAGGATGCCAACCTCATCGAGGAACCCGCCACCAGCGCCTCCAAGATGTCCGACATCAAAAGATTGACAGAGCAGATGGACAAACATGGCTTGTCTGATCGTGTTACGACGGGAGTGTTGGCATCTCTTCCCTCGAGTCAAGACGTTAAGATTACTTCAGCGTCTCTCGTTTTCCACGGCCGAGTCCTCATCACCGACTCCACACTCGAGCTCAACTATGGCCGGCGATACGGCTTGCTTGGTGAGAACGGATGTGGCAAATCTACATTCCTCAAGGCCATCGACAAGCGGGAGTTCCCTATCCCAGAGCATATTGATATCTATCTGCTGAATGAGGGAGCACCCCCCAGTGAACTCGGTGCTTTGGAGTGGGTTGTTAAAGAAGCAGAGAACGAGATGGAAAGGCTAGACAAACTTGCTGAAGAAATTTTGGAGAAGGATGGACCAGAGAGTCCCATTCTAGAGGATTTGTATGAGGTAAGTCGGAGCTGTACTCTTCCCCGTTTGCAGCTCATGTAACAAGACTAATTGTGATATAGCGCATGGAAACCATGGACCCTTCGACCTTCCACACCAGAGCCTCTTTGATCCTTACTGGTTTGGGATTCAACAAGAAAACTATTACTAAGAAGACAAAGGACATGTCCGGTGGCTGGAGAATGCGTGTTGCTCTTGCAAAAGCCCTATTCGTCAAGCCATCCTTGCTTCTTCTCGACGATCCAACTGCCCATCTTGACTTGGAAGCTTGCGTGTGGCTTGAAGAATATCTAAAAAAATGGGATCGCACTCTTATCCTTGTCTCGCACAGTATGGATTTCCTCAACGGTGTCTGTACGAACATGATCGACATGCGTCAGAAGTCGCTGATGTACTATGGTGGTAATTACGACTCTTACCATAAGACTCGCTCCGAAAACGAGACGAACCAGATGAAGGCCTATCACAAGCAACAAGAAGAAATCGCTCATATCAAGAAATTCATCGCATCTGCTGGTACATATGCCAACCTTGTCCGACAAGCCAAGTCACGTCAAAAAATTCTTGACAAGATGGAAGCCGATGGCTTCATTCAACCAGTGATTCCAGATAAGATTTTTACATTCCGTTTCGCCGACGTTGAGAAGCTACCTCCCCCTGTTCTTTCGTTCGACGACGTCACGTTTTCCTACAGTGGAGATGCGAAAGACAACCTCTACGAGCACCTCGATTTTGGTGTGGACATGGACTCCAGAACTGCATTGGTCGGTCCTAATGGTGTTGGCAAATCCACCCTTCTTCGTCTCATGACCGGTAAACTGAGCCCAACATCTGGAAGCGTCACACGCCACACACACTTGAAGCTAGGATTGTACAGTCAGCACTCCGCAGAACAGCTTGATCTTACCAAATCGGCGCTCGACTTCGTCCGAGACAAGTATAAGGAGAAGTCCCAGGATTACCAATACTGGCGCCAGCAGCTCGGCCGATATGGTCTTACAGGTGATGCTCAGACGGCCTTGATGGGTACCCTGTCCGAGGGCCAGAAGAGCAGAATTGTCTTTGCTCTCCTTGCGATCGACGGACCCAACATGCTCTTGCTCGACGAACCTACCAACGGTCTTGACATTCCTACTATCGACAGTTTGGCAGATGCCATTAATGCATTCAGTGGAGGTGTCGTCGTTGTTTCTCATGACTTCAGGTTTGTATTGCTGTCTATCTTTGCCCTATCGTAGTCTAGAATATTAGATATGCTAACGTGCCTCCTTGTATAGATTGCTTGACAAGATCGCTAAAGACATCATGGTTTGCGAGCACAAGACTGTTCGACGATGGGATGGTTCCATTGGCGAATATAAGAATTACTTGAGGAAGAAGATGATTTCCGCTGGTCAGGTTTAATCTCTCTTTTCCCTCCTTACATCTTTTTGAAAGAATGCTTTCCCTTTATAATACCATACTATGCAACTTTTGCTCTTTTTTCTTTCCCTCCTTGCAATGATAAAAAGGGACGGCTTTTTATTTTTTTAGTTTTTGCTCTGGGCCGGTTTTTGGCTTGGATAAGAATAAGCCTCAAAATGGCAAATAGGTTATTTACATGAATAAATTGATCGCGCATGCCTTCTGTGCCCATGAGCAAAAGTATATGGCTGCGGCTGATATGGCTGGTAAGCTGCCTGTGTTAAGCATTGTGATTTTGCCTTTGTGTAGAGCTGGATGATCGAATGAAAGAAAAGCCATCATTCATTTTCATAATAATATCTGTAGACTTTATGGTATATGATGCATCCGAGTTCCCAAACTTGCTAAATGAAGCCCATCATCTATCGAATATCAAATCCGGAGAAGAAACCCTCCAAAGCATTCCAGATCCCATGCCGTTTCGTATATGTGCCAATCATTTATTACCACCATTACCAGCCTCCTCCGCCTCCTTCTCCAACTTCCTCTTTTTGACAGCAGGACCCTCAGTCTCATCCACATCGCCTCCGCCAGCGGTAGGGAGCAGGGCTGGCGTGGTGCTCCCCGAACCCTCCCTCCTCTGGGTCCTACCCGCGCTTAGCTCAGAGAACTTCTCGGGGTTTTGGCAGTGGTAAAGTTTTTTGCCAATGCGTTTTAGGTTCTTCATGCGGGCCGGATCTGGAGGGACATTGGGGTCATGGGTGTTTAGATACGTCCCCAGGAGCGTGGAGCAAGACTCCAGGACACCCGTGAGCTTTGCACGGAGGGCGAAAAGCATGGCTAGAGCGGATTCTGGAGCGCTGGCTGGCGGGGAACCAGACGGCGCGGGGCCGAGTTTTGTATCGAGGTAAAATTCCAGGAGGGGCTGGTCCACGAGGAGGAGGGCAGAAAGCCAGATCTGTGAGGGTGTGTAAAGGAAGTAGGCATCTGTCATTTGGGCGGCGGTTTTGAGGATTTGTCTTGTCTTCCCATGGGCGGAGGCGATACGGTCCGTTATGGAGGCTGACGGTGCCGCTCCCTCTGCCGGAGGAATGGCCTGGATGGCTTCTTGGAGCTTTGCGGCCGTTTGCTCTGGGTGATGGGGACCAGGCGCACCTTCGCCTTTTGCTATGGCGGTGAGTTCCATGACTCCGCCTTCCAGGCCCCGAAAGGGGTGGCGGATGTCAAACGCGAATCGTAGGCCCTGAGTAAGCAGGAATTCTGGAGCTATAATATCCTCTGCAGTCGTATTAGGGATCTTTTCCGCAAATGAACGCAGGGACATGTAGTAATTGTCCGTTTTCGTGGCAAGAAAAAGGGCACAGGGCATTATTGATTTCGGGTGATAGGTCATAGGCGAGTTGGTGACATAGAAACGGCGCAGATATTGAATAGCGGTGGCCTACATCCATGTATAGATCAGTATCCATTCGCTGTACGAGCCCTATAGAGATGCCCAGGGTGGGAAGAGTCCTTCTTACCCTCACCGTCGTCGGCAGCGGAGGCTTGTATTCATCCCCGAGCTCCAGCGTTTTCTCACAATAATATTGCACCAATTCCAATTCGTCTTCCGGCGTCAAACACTCAATCTCACTCTCAGGCCCTGCGGGTGTATTGGTCTTTGAATCTGGTTCATCGCTGCCTCCAGGCGTCGAAGTCGCGGGGCGAGCTTCTTGCGCCCGACGGATCGCATCTCGAACACGAACGCTCGCAAGGGAATTGGTGTTTTCTCGAATAGAATTTAAAGATTCCTTGGTGAACGACCAGAGCCGGTACTGGGTGGACGTTCGATAGATGTCGTCCTCGAGCATTGTGTGAATGGAGTTGGCGTTGGGGAGAAAGCAGGTTTGGAACGGATGATCGAGCTCATGTGGGTCGTGGCAGCTTCAGATTTTGAGCTACGTACGAAGTGCGGAGATATCGAATACACATGTCAATATTATATTTTGGGATGAGGTACTCTGCAACCTGGATGACTTAGGTAGCGAATCCAAATTTTCATGGTTGATCAAGTTATATTTACTCTGCTCCATCGACCCGAACCGCGAAATCCTGCCCCACGCGAGCTGTTTTGTGAAGTGATATGAGAATAGTATTCCGCATTAAACCCAACTAACGAACCTAATCTGAGATAGAGAAAGGCTTGAAGAATAACATATTGCACATGGTGACAATAACACCTCCCATTCCTGCTGCTGAAACGCCAGAAATTTGTTCGCCAGACACCTTTCGCTATCCACCACCTTCATCGATCTGTTTCATGGTCATTGACACGTAAAAGGGGTACAAGGTTCGTGCGGATAATGGAGTTCACACTGGAGGTCCTTGCAAAAAGAAAACATGACGCAGGCGAGGGGAGAAACGTAATGCTGCTCCCCAGAACACCTTTCATGGCTCTCCCAGAAGACGAGCGGTTACATCTCCCATGTAAGCCTCCTCCAGTTCGTAATCTTCTCCGTCCATCCGGTCGATGCCAACATATTTGAAAGCTGCAACGACTCTTGGGACATCGAAGCCCATGCTGCAGAAACGGTCGATGAGATCCTTGTTATATCCCTCATACCTGTGGATCGATTGGTTAGCGAAGGGGAAAACGATGGTTTTCGACTCGGGAAGTGGATAAAACATACGCGGCAAGTTCTTCTTGCTCTTGCTCCTGCTTCGACTTGATCTCTTTCTCGCGGATGGACGCCGCTGTAGCCCCGCCGCTGCCTTCGCCAATCTGCTTTTTTGGCGCGCCGGCATGCATGACGGCCCATTCCCTTGCAACTCGTTCGAATTCCTTTGGATTCCGAAGTAGCATGTTGGCAACTTCGGCATCTTGGGGATCTTTTGGCTCAGGAGTGCTGAGCAGAGACTGCAGGGAGAGCAGCGCAGACTTGATGGTAAGGACGGGGGACCAGGCCGTGCCCAATGTGTCAAGGCAAATAGCTCCCTGTGGGTAGAGCTGCATTAGCGGTTCTGTTTCCAGATGGTGATGAATTGCGGCTCCCTACTCACAGTTTGACTGCTGACATTTGGATGCCACAATTTGGTATCAAACCTCATAACTGGAGGGCGGAAGGGGTACTCGTTGGGGATCCTGATGTCGACGCGATAGGTTCCACCTTCGTATGGGGTCCCCGGAGGACCCTGAAAAGTTCCCTTCAAATGTGTGAGGTCGTCCCCACCACCAATGGGCTCGACAGCAACCTGGGAGTGACTGTCATCATGAATGTCTGCGAGTTCTTTGGCGATGCGGCGAGCGCGATTTGAAGCCATGATGGACAATTGAAAGTTGGTCGAGTCGGCCGACGTAGGGAAATTATAAAGAATTCACCGAAGAATATGTGCAAGAAGTGAATCTAGAGGCAATCTATCTAAAGGTCCTTCCGGGTATTCTGAGTGCTAACGATGACTAGAACTCGAAGTTAGCTTCTTTTTCTGGCTAATTTCTCAGCCATGTTTGCCGGGCAAACCCAGAAAAAAAGTGTGTCATGCGACATGCCGGCGCAAGATATGGAAAGGCAAGATGCAAATACCTTTTCAGATGGATGCTGAAGAAATGCAACAAAAAGGAATAAAGGCAATGGAAATTAACGGAAAAAAAGATTAATAAATAAACAACAACACAGAATAAATCAGGCCTTCCTTGAAAAGTCTTAAGGCTGGGTCAGACAACCAGTGAATGAGTCAAGGATTGACCGGTCGGACGGTGAGGACACAGAAAGGTTACTGGAGGCTTAATGAGAGGCAGCTGGTTGCACAAGTGAAGTCCAGAAGAGTCAGAGTGGTGGTGGAAAAGCAGTAGACGGGGCCGTGAACAAGATTGAGAAGTCAAGCAGAGGAGCAAAAAGGGAAAAAAGGTTGAGTGCCAGGCTTAAAAGAGCATGCAGGTGGGTGAGAATGTGACGATGCTATCCGTCAGCGGCGTCTATGATTGCTAAGAGTCGGATTAGGCTGCGCAGGAAACGCCTAGGCAGATACAGCGGCTTGCAGGGTTTGGGGTGGAGAAGATGGGGGGGAATGGCGGATGTTACGAACCAACCAGAACCGCACAGGTGCAGGCGTCGAAGTGGCTATTTTGTGGTCCAGTCAGGGAATGGAGAGTGAGGTGGCAGCGGGTGGACGGGCTTCAGTGAGTGGAAGAACAGGAAGAGACAAGTAGCCGATGTCTTCTCTAGCCAATGCTGAACGCGATGCTTGAGCACTGACCGGGGAGTCTGAGGTCGGTATGGGCGGTTTTGTTCACCAACTGCACCGGCACCCGGGGCTGGATTGGGTTCCAGTTCTAAATTCAACAAAAGGATAACAAATTCAGTTGCTGTTGTGGGTGGTGAAAAGCTGTCTCCAGTGCAAGATGGGATCACCAACCAACTCTTCTTCTTCTTCTTCGTCTTCATCACTCTCTCTCCTTTTCGTGTCTGGCGTTCGCGTTTCGTCCGGTCTCGTCGCGGAAGGGCACTGCTGATATAAGCATCGACGAGTTTGACTGACTAAGCCACAGCTTGTTGTCGCCTCTTCCAGCCAGCCAGCTTGGGCGAAACGACGCTCGACTGCCAGAAGACAACAGCTTCATTGCACAGATCCTACAGCCTTCCCCTGTCTCTCCTGACCCTCGACTGTCTATAGCTGCAAGTCTCTGTTCGTAGCCATTTATCTATATCCAAAGCCACTCATACATTCAAAGCTTCGCGAAAGCCTAGTCCTTTAATACAATGGTCAGCTTCTCTCCCTTTCCTTCCTGGCTTGCTGTTTTCGAATATACTAAATTGGATTTACTGTAGGGAAATCAACCATCCCAGATGGGCGGTGGCCCCCCGGGGGGCGACGGGAAAGACGAGAAGGACAAGAAAGTATGGATCAGGGCTTAACCCCCCGTGACGGTCAACCACGTTATGAGCTTGGTTTTTCCGCTGCTAACCTGGCATTCTCGCAGAAGGAAAAGCCAAAGTACGAACCTCCTCCACAGCCCACGACTAGAGTCGGGCGTAAGAAACGTAAGGCTGCTGGCCCCAATGCCGCTGCCAAACTCCCTACGATATTCCCGACTTCACGGTGCAAACTGCGATACCTCCGAATGCAGCGGGTCCACGATCATTTGATATTGGAAGAGGAGTATGTCGAGAATCAGGAACGTCTCCGCAAGACGAAGGCTCAAGCGTCGGCGGCGCCCTCGGCCAGTGATGACTTTGATGCTTTGGATCGAAATGCGGATGAGAGGAGCCGCGTCGATGATATGAGAGGGAGCCCGATGAGCGTTGGCAATCTCGAGGAGATGATCGATGACGATCATGCAATCATCTCTAGCGCCACGGGTCCCGAGTACTACGTGTCTATCATGTCTTTCGTGGACAAGGACCTACTTGAGCCTGGCGCCAGCATCCTCCTGCATCACAAATCGGTATCGGTTGTTGGCGTGTTGACCGATGACGCGGACCCTCTGGTGTCTGTTATGAAATTGGACAAAGCACCCACAGAATCGTACGCAGATATTGGAGGGTTGGAGTCGCAGATTCAAGAGGTTCGAGAAGCCGTTGAGTTACCGTTACTACACCCAGAGCTATACGAGGAGATGGGTATCAAGCCCCCGAAAGGTGTCATTCTCTATGGAGGACCAGGCACAGGAAAGACCCTACTTGCCAAAGCTGTCGCCAACCAAACCAGTGCTACCTTCCTTCGTATTGTTGGTAGCGAGTTGATTCAGAAATACCTTGGTGATGGTCCACGGTTAGTCCGTCAAATTTTCCAGGTTGCTGCAGAGCACGCCCCGTCTATCGTGTTCATTGATGAAATCGATGCCATCGGAACAAAGCGTTATGAATCCACTTCCGGTGGCGAGCGGGAAGTTCAACGTACCATGTTAGAACTTCTTAATCAGCTTGATGGGTTCGATGACCGTGGCGATGTAAAGGTCATCATGGCCACCAATAAAATCGAGACTTTAGACCCGGCCTTGATTCGACCTGGCCGTATCGACCGCAAGATTCTTTTCGAAAACCCAGATCGTGAGTTTGCCTTTAGAAACCGAAGCTGCTGTATTTTCCTGCTGACAATGCTCCATAGAAAACACCAAAAAGAAGATTTTTGCTCTCCATACGTCCAAAATGTCTCTCAGCGACGACGTAGATCTGGATGAGTTCATTAGTCAAAAGGACGACCTTTCTGGCGCGGATATCAAAGCTATCTGCTCTGAGGCAGGGTTGATGGCTCTCCGAGAGCGGCGAATGCGAGTTCAAATGGCAGATTTTAGAGCTGCTAGGGAGCGCGTGATGAAGACGAAGAGTGAGAACGAGCCTGAGGGCCTCTACTTGTAGAATGGGCTTGCGACTTGTGCATATTCGCGGTGTACACTAGTGCATTTAGCTGCTTCTGATGCTTAGCGACATCTACATAGTTATTAAATCCAGAGTTCTGCTCAGTAAACCCCGTATAATACCGCCGTATTATGTTGACAATATATCAGCGTTCCCCCTTACCGGCAACCTGAGGTACGTACGTCGCCCGCGAAAATAAAGGTGCAAACACCGCAAACTTTGCCACACCTTGCCTCATCAACGGAGCTTGAAGAGCTGCCATACACTGACGTCCAGCACACGCGGAGTTCCAAAGGTCTAGTGAAATCATGGACGGATTCGATGAGGAAGCGTTCAAAAAGTTCTTCCCGAGTACCTTTGGGAAGCAGAGCAGAGAAGCCGACGTTGGGGGGCAAATCAACAGGACGAAGCGAACAGAAGCGGCAGCAAAACCACAGCAGCTCGCGGGAAAGCCCGACGTACAGACGCAACAGGAGGTTGATTCGAAGGCTCCGGCAGCTCAGCAGCCAGCCTCCGCCTCCGCGTCCGGCTCTGATTCCGATTCCGACGACTCAGAAGACGACGACGATGAGTTCCCGGTGTCGCATGATCTCGTGTTTAAGACGCACGAGCGGGCAATCACTACCGTTACCGTTGATCCCTCTGGCGCTCGAATGATAACTGGTTCGACAGACTGCACAATCAAATTCCACGATTTCGCATCCCTCACCCCGACCACTCTGCGCGCTTTCAAATCCGTCGAACCCTCTGCGAAGAAACATTCCGCTGCTTCGGAAACACACCCCGTTCACGTTGCGAAATTCAACCCTTTGTCTCCGGGCTATGTGCTGGCTATTGCTGCGACGCCGCAGCCGAAGATCTTGTCCCGAGATGGGGATACGTTGACAGAGTTTGTCAAGGGGGATATGTATCTGCGTGACATGCGCAATACGAAGGGTCATATTTCGGAGGTTACGAGTGGGACGTGGAGCCCGACGGACTCCAATCTATGTGCTACGGCGGCGACGGATAGTACAGTTCGAATATGGGATGCCAACATTGGGAGAAGTCAGAAAGAGGTTATTGTGCATAAGTCGAAGGCGGCGGGCTCGGCGGGGAGGACGAGAATAACTGCTGTCGCGTGGGGGTCCCCGGCGCAGGGAGGGAACAATGTGCTGGTGGCTGCTGCACTGGATGGGAGTCTTGTAATGTGGGGTGGAGATGGACCGTTCACAAGACCGAGTGGTGAGATTAGAGACGCGCATACTCGGGATACCTGGACGAGCGGTTTGGACATAAGCCCAGACGGGAGGTTGATTGTGACGAAGGGAGGAGATGACACCATCAAGCTGTGGGACACTAGGAAATTTAAACAACCTATCACGACCGTGTCGCATATCTCTAATTCCAATATCTACCCTACGTCGAATATACAGTTCTCTCCCACGGGTGCCAATATCATCACGGGCTCACAAACGGGAGATCTGTATATCCTGAATCCGGCAACTCTGAAACCCGAGCTTAAAACACCCATCACCCCCGATTCGCCGATAATCACCGTGCTCTGGCACGAGAAGTTGAACCAAATACTCGCCGGCTCTGCAAACGGAGGAACACATCTTCTATACAATCCGAATCTTTCTCGCAACGGCGCGCTTACTATTATGTCCAAGGCCCCGAAGCGTCGCCACATCGACGATGACCCCAATCTCACTACGGATCTGTCTCTCGGTTTCTCCGGTGAAGGTATTATCAGCGGCAGTGGCATCGCATCTGCCACTAGCTTCTCTAGTAGGCACCCTACAATTGGCCTGACCGCGTCTGGCCGCTCCCGCGATCCGCGTCGACCGCATCTCCCTGCACAGACGCCTTTTGCTAAAAGTCAACCCGACGAGAAGCATATCAAGGAGAACATCCCTCTTAGTTCCATGAGAGATGAAGATCCGAGAGAGGCATTGCTAAAGTATGCGGAAAAAGCGGAGAAGGACCCGATATTTACAAGTGCATGGAAACATACGCAGCCGAAGCCGATATTCGCTGAACTCAGTGACGACGAAGAGGAAGAGAAGAAGCAGGGGCATTTGGGTCCAGATAGAAAGAGGATCAAGAGATAGGGAGGCGCATCCGAAGGTGCACCTTTCTTTGCCTTATTTTTCGTGATACTCTGCCGTTGAGTCTTTTATGTATGGCTTCATTTTCAATGGGACCTCTGGCGTCGCTAGGGTGTTGGGGGATGGTGGCGGACCAGCCTGATGGAGGGAAATTGGTTATTTATACTACCCATTTGTACTCTCTAGACACGATTCTTCTCTATCGAGGGCTATCTCCAACAATGTTACGGCGTGTACTCCGTAGACAACACCAACCCAACGCAGGGAGTTAGAAGCCCTTGACGTCACGCGCTGCTTAGATAATCCGACCGAGCTTTCTCCAGCCACCTCAGCTGCGCCTCTGTCTCCGCTGACTAACTCGGCTTAGTTCGTGAGGGAAGAACCTTAATCCCGGGTGCTTCGAAACTCTCCGCGATGCACTTGGAGCTTTTGGCTTAGCTGAAATCCAGGAGAAGCGTCTGCAGGTCAATACATTATTGATGAAGGCAACGTAACGGTTGATTCGCGGAGGTAGTTATGTCCTCCCTGTCACCCTGGGCGAATCGCGGGATCGACAGCGACCCATCAAGCTTACCACTCTTTGTCGGCAGCGGGGGCCCTCGCGAACCCGGGACGAGAGGTTCGGCGGATGTCAAGCGTGTAACAACTGCTTCCGTATCGTTCCAGCAAGATTGGGAAGAGGCGGGCTTGCCGCCTGTCGCGTCTACTGTGGGCTACACTTTTTACGGTTCCTTGCGTATTTAACCTCTGATAGCCTCGACGACGGTCCGATCGTGACACCAGCAGGATGCTGCACACGTTCTTTCTATCCTTTTTTGTTGACAGCGTCGTATCGAATTCCCCCCTCTCTTCGTCCTTACACAATGATACTCCTGGCAATGGAGGGGATGATGGGGGAGGAAGGCCGATAAGCGAATGGTCGTCCACGATCGGAATCGTTACCGCGATTGTTGGAAACGTGCTCATATCGTTTGCGCTGAATATCCAGCGTTATGCTCATATTCGAATTGCACGTGAATTGGAGCGGAAACAGATTCAAGATGGCTGGAAACAGAGGAGCTCTGCGGTCGGGGGCCCATCGGGCGGCACCTACGGGACCGTTTCTGGAATCAATGAAGATACCAGGCAACAATTGGATATAGATACGCAGGCGGAAGGTCAGAACAATACATCTCGGGCGAGTTGTGGCCAGGAAGGAGTGCTTCAGACGCCTGGTGTTCGTACTGGCGCCGACGGGCCAGCACACAGGGACCACTCTATAGAGGTCGATGATGCTAGCGACGACGGAGCTGACCGCTTGAAACAGTCGTTTCTTTCGGAGCGGACAGTGACTTCATTGGAAAAGACGTCCTGCAGAGAGCGAAAGTCCTACCTCAGATCACCCTATTGGTGGACAGGTATCATACTCATGACAATAGGAGAGGCCGGAAACTTTCTGGCTTATGGTTTTGCACCTGCATCCATTGTCTCTCCTCTTGGTGTCGTCGCTCTTATATCGAACTGTGTTATTGCTCCAATTATGCTGAAGGAGAAGTTTCGTCAGCGAGACTTCTGGGGCGTGCTTGTTGCCGTGGGTGGAGCGGTAACCGTTGTATTGAGTGCCAATACTTCCGAAGGAAAGATAGGTCCTGGTGACATTATGGGGATGATCACACGATGGGAATTCGAACTCTATCTCGGCCTGACCGTTGGCATGATTCTTTTTCTGATGTGGGTGAGCAAAAAGCATGGACGGAAGACGATTTTAGTTGATGTAGGGTTGGTGGGGCTATTTGGTGAGTCTATTACCTTGAATTAACGCACTTCTGTCACTAATGGGTATAGGTGGTTATACGGCCCTGTCCACCAAAGGTGTCTCATCGTTGCTTTCCTATACGCTATGGCACGTTATTACCTTTCCCATCACTTATGCACTTGTTGCAATCCTCATATTTAGCGCGATGATGCAAATTCGTTACATCAATCGAGCACTACAGCGGTTTGATTCGACTCAGGTTATCCCTACTCAATTCGTTCTATTTACGATATCGGTGATCGTTGGTAGCGCCATCCTATATCGTGACTTTGAGAGTGCTACCTTAAAGCAGGGCCTGCAATTTATTGGAGGCTGTGCACTGACTTTCCTTGGTGTCTATCTGATCACGAGCGGCAGATCTCGAAGTGAGGAGGATCGAGAGTCAGATCAAGATGAGGAGGAAGCTATTGGTCTATTACATGGCACACGATATCGAGACTCGGTCGATTGGCAGCACCGAGGTGCTTCTGAAATCAGTGGGGAAACCGACCAAGCCGGACCTGTAGAACAGGACAGGCAGTCCCGCCGCGGGTCTCTTCTAAGTGAGCATGACGTCCGGGATGAAGATGAAGAAACACTTCGCACTCCACGTGCACCGCTATCTAGTTCTCCTGACTCTCTACGGCCTTCCATTTCTGATACGTCTATATTGGAACCATCAGAGGCTAGTCCCGAATTACACATTACAAACCCATGGATTCAACGTCGAGAAGATCCAAATCGACCTCCGGCATCAGAAGTGTATCCCGGTACACCGCCGCCGCGTTCTAGTGTCATTCTTCAATTTCCCACCGCCCCAGGGGTGATCGACTCCCCTCGACAGGCTCAATTAATGCAAACTCCGAAACCTCACACAAGCCGCGCCCATTCGCGTCGACATACAATCTCGAGACCTCCTACTCCTTCGTCACGATCTCGCCTTTCTTTACGATTCTCTCCAGGACCACTTCTCCCGCCGCTCTCAAGCGGATTGAGTGCTGTCGTGGCGGAATCTTTGCGGCGCGGCGAGGGTTCACCCGAAAAACGTCGCCGAAGAAAACCATTCAAAACAACTCTAGATGGAAGAAATCCCGGGTCGGGAGAACATGTAGAACAAAATGTGGACTATGAAACCGACACGAGCCTTTTTGGTGACATTGATCAACGCCCCCGAGGTGGTGCATCCAGCCGCGCGCGCAGTTTAGGACCACCCCTGTCTTTTAGACCATCACTCACACCGAACGATCAGGAGCATGCTGTGTCCCCAGCCAATGGGGGGACCCCATCCCACCGCAATCGTGAAAGGAAGGACTCTTGGACGGAAAACCTTGCACGCTTTGGCGCCAGTCTACGCCAAAGCGGTCGACGATGGGGACTTATATTTAAGGACTATGATGATGATGATGATGATGGTGGTCTCAATCCTCAATCCTCCCTCGAGTGAAGCAAATGCACAAGACCCAAGCCACGGGTCGGACCTACAAAGAGCCTCGCATTGATACTTGCCTGCATCGTGAGATTACTGGCTATTCTCCGTGCACATTATATCTATCTCCTTTTTTGGGTTGCTATTGTCGATTCTTGCTGATCGGTCGCGATTAAGCAACATTTACAATTTTCCTACTCCATTATATGGTCGCTCTTTTTGACATTAATTAATAATATGATACACAGACGCCCCTAAGGTGGTAGCCTCCGTCTATACCATATCAATTTGCTTTTGGCGTTATCGGGTGGACAGGTTGGCTTTTTCTTTCCTGGTTCGCGAAAGGATTTTCGGACTAGGGTTTCTAATACTTAACTTCTTGCAACACGTTCTCTCCTGGGTTTCAAAGTCTAGTACACATTTCTCTCCTATCTCATCCAATGATGCCATGTCTAGCATTTTAAGAGCGAGTGAATCAAGGCAGACTATCAGATGTACAGTACATTGGATAACTTCTTCAAGTGCTCCTTAGCTGACTACTATTCCTTGAGCGGATGCTAGCATATGTACAGATGATCAGGAAGGTAGGCTAACGTGGATCGCTAAGATTTGTATGGAATAGCGGGTAGAATACAAAGTATTGTATCCAGCTTTCTATTCCTCTAACAGTTGAATATCCTCGCCTTTTCCAGAGTTGACATCCGTGTCCGCTGAAGGAATCACTGGAGAACGCACTGCCTCAGGGTCGGCTCCACCAGTGGGTCTACTTCCAGCACCCGTTGTATTCGCACCGGAAGCAGCAGCAGGACTACTTCCATTGCCCTCTCGTCGGTTTCTCGCTCCTTCTTTCAACTTCTCCCACCGATCTCTATATCGACCCAACACAGTTTTCAGTTTCTCATTTTCTTTCCCAACCCTCTCGAGCTCCTTCTCATGATTCTTCACCAAGTTCTCCAGATCCTTGATTTTATCGATGTCCACCGCCTCCTGCCTTGCTGGCGGAGGTCTTGATGCAGAGGCAGACGGGGAAGCCTGCCTTGACGCCACAGCTTGATTTTGGATAGCTTTTAGTGATTGCTGCAAAGCGAATGAGGAAGACTGCGCGTTCACCTCCCACATATGCAGGCGTTTAGCTAGAGTATCCGACAGATGTCTCAAAGCCTGGTTCTCCATTTGAAGCTCTTCTAGAGTCTTGGTGTCTCTGGTAGCTGTGGTTCCAGACGATGATGCCTTTGGAGTGGAACGACCGTTTCGCCTGGTTCCCTTAGTCTTGTCTCGGTTCATGCTCCCTCGTGCTTCTGGGGACGGGGGATTCTCGCGGGCGTCAACAAAGGTGTCTTCGTCCTCTTCAACGCTATTTCTCCGCGCTTCTTTCTCTGCACGGGAAAGGATACCTGCGTATGATATCATCCCACCAGAAGTAGGAACAACGTAAAATGATTCTGAGGTATTACTACCGAAGTAACCATCTTTGTCTTTAATGGCTCGGAGAGCTGCGCTGGACACAAGGTTCTTGACATCGGGTTCCCTGTGGGAATACTGTGTAAGATCTGCTGCTGCAGAGAACTTGTCCACTTTTGTGTCCGCCGGGGATTTTGTAGCAGTAGGGGATCGTTGACCAGCTGCATCGGGTCCTAGAGGAAGACTAGCAAAAGCGAGAGGCGCTGAGAGTTTCGAAATAAGGCCACCGAATGTGGAGTAGAATCGTCGAAATGGTTCATCACCAGCAAGAGACCTAAATGGCGCGGAAATCTCGTCTCCACTATCCGGCAGTACGACCTGCTGCTGTGTGATTTCTGTCGGGCTGATAGCCGGAGACCAAGACGGTTTCCAACCTGATGCCCTAGTTGAGTGAGTGTCGGTATGATTGCTAGCAGTGCTCCTTATCTTATGGGGGAACTCTGCCATTTTCGCGCCTCCATTTTGGGTGGACAAGGTGGGAGGAACAGGGCTTCCGCGACGGGGATAGGCAGGTATACCACGTGCTGAAGCTAGATTGCTTGCAAGGGAAGTCGTTTCGCGATGACCGGGCCGATTTGTCGCTTGCAGACGCGGTGGCTGCTGCAAGGGCTGGGATGACGGGTGCGTTGTAAAGGGCGCAGGCTTGGAGGGGCTGTTTGGAGTGGCCGTCGGGGCTACGGTCGAGGGGGAAAGGCCAGATTCGGGTTCTGGTGACGAGACATTGGGTGGATTCTCATGTTGAAATCTGATAATTTTCGCGAGCCGTTTATGATGTTGTTCCAGTAGGAGAAGGGTTCGTAACGCCTGGTGTCCAAGATGCAGTGTCAGAATACAAGTAGTTCATCTTCTCCACAGACGGATCTCACATCTTTGTCAGCTGTGTTTTGCGCAGCTATGGCAAACTCCCCCGCTGCGAGATCATGTTCCTCGCTCGCTGCTACAGGGTTTGCTTTGCGTGTTTCAAGAAGGGCGTTGCGCGCATGGGTGTGCGCCTGCAGAGAGAGCAAGACGTCAGTTGCCGTTCACATGCGACGGCGCATCAGCGCGGTTGAGTGGGGCCTATCGTTACCAAAGTTAGGGGAGATGATTCCATGACTTGTGGTTCTTGTCCACCCTAGCTCTCCGAGAAGTTCATATCAAATCAAACTGCCAGAAACACCCCATAACTGTCTGATCCGCATCCACATCCGCAGAGCGATCCCAAGCAGACGCGCCAGCTCGGAGATCAGCCCGACACGCGATTAGTCATCATTGGGCACCGCTTTGTGATCATGTGACTATTCGCTTCGGGCTCGCCGGCGGCATGCAGAGAGCTATCTATCACCTAGCAGAAGGGTGTCTTTGCGGTGTCCTAAGTAGCTTTTTGGACTACATTTCCGCTGGAAACTTACGCATCCTGAGAGCGGGCATCTCCTTTAGGGAGCTTTGCATTTACATTTTTGATTATGTTGTGGTTGAGACAACGTGGCTCATCCGTGTGTGGGCTAGTTGCCCGTTGTCTACAAAGGTCAACACTTTGAGCGATGCCGTTTGCGTTACACAGGCCTGCACCGGTTTGTATTATCCGAAGAACCCAAGCTTTCACTCCATCCCTTGAGTAGCCGAACCGAATCCGATGGACGAATGCGTAGAAGTTGAGGGAATCACTTGTCCAAGTACTCCGTAGTCCGCTACCGTTCCATTTTTGTCCAGAGAATCGAATCATATAATCAATCATCTATCGCTCAGCTGGTATCACTCCTTCAGCGAGGTTTGAAAGAATGTATCGCTGGAAATATTTCCAAAGTGCTCCACGGAATAGAATTCAGGAGTTTCGGGGTAAGTCAGCGTTGTCAACTCAATCTTCCCTTCTATTTCCCCTCCAAGACAGTCCTTAGAAACAAATAGGAAGCCAGAGTGAATGAGAAGGGGTCAGTTTTATGTTTGAAGGGAAAAAAAAAAAAAAAAAAAAGAAGAGAGGAAAGGAGAGAAGAGAGAAGGGAAATAAGAATTGGAAGAAAATTGCGATGGAATGTTGGTGGCCGGCACTAGGCTATATTTGGGCTAGCGTGTTAATTATTCCGTCTGTGCTTATCGATAAGCCTCCTTGACATCATTGCGGCTCAGCCGGACGACATTCGCTGCTTCAAGACGGCCAGCGCTGGACGAGGAGACGACGCCGGGCCTGCTAGACATGGAGCGTGTGCCTTCAAGTAATATACCTCCTTCTGTAAGGGCTCCCAGACTGCTGGGATTGCATGGTGCGACCTGGCTATACCCTCTCAAGGTAAGGAGACAAGACTCCCCTGTGAATGAACTTGGTCGGGTGGTGTTGATGATATAGCTTCCAGGGCATCGTCTACTTTCTTCGTCATCGCTTTCTCTGGCCGCTATTCCATGCTCGCATGCTACCAATAGCTCTGCTCTCGGCCTTTATTTACGCCCTTCTCTTCTTCTTCATATACCTCCCGCAGGTTGCATTTCTGGCGATCTTTCATGGATGGGCTGGTGCCTGGATTAACGGGGCCTTCCTCGTCCTCGGTGAAGGTGCTGCCATTGTGGCCCTTTTATTCGAAGCATTCTTCGTCGACGAGACCCAGGTCGATATCTTCGATGCGGTCCTCATTAAAACGGGGAACAAGGACCTTGTGGGCACAGCAAGACTCTTGCACCGCGAAGCTCCCGATCCAGTGAACATGCTGGGTAAGCTTAGCGTGGGCGCAGTGTATGCACCGTTTTCGTTCCGGCAGATTGTGGAGTTCATCGTACTCTTGCCGTTAACCTTGGTCCCGGTGATTGGAGCGCCGCTGTTTCTCGTCCTCACGGGCTATAGGGGCGGGCCGTTTCATCATTGGAGATATTTCCAACTTAGAGATTTTACCAAGTCTGAGCGGAAGGAATTTATCGCGAGGAGGAAGATAAGGTATACAATGTAAGCCAAGATTCCTTAAGAGTTGCTTCGATGTGCTTGAGCTGGAAATTTTTGGCTAAATCCAGGGGGTCCAGGTTTGGCACTACTGCTCTTATACTGCAGTTGATTCCATTCTTCTCAATGTTCTTCCTTGTCACTACAGCGGCGGGCTCAGCGCTCTGGGCTGCCGACATGGAACGGCGGAGAAAGCTTTTGAGCGAGCGAGTGGTTCACGTTGAAGAGGAATATCACGACAACCCAGTTTAGGCCCGGTTCGCGTTTGGTTTGCAAAAGTCACTGCCCTTCAATCTCAGCGGCTATCTATTTATCCCCTTTCTGGGTGTTTTTGCGGGCATCGTGGGAGATCTTTCAGTGTTCGTCCGAAATTTTCGCAGCATTAATCTGTGCAATGTGTGCCGGATGCTTAGCTCTTCTGGGTTCGTCTGTGTTACTACTCCGTAGATCATCTCGGTATTTCTATCATGCGTCTGCTCTTCAAATGGTATTCAAGCCTATCACGGATCTTGTTGGATGCTTTACACTTGCGGGAAGACCAGATATCTGTATTTGTCACCTAGAAGGAAGCTTTCTTTTATTCTCCTAAGGTCGTCTATGGTCTCTGGCAACGAGATACCGGTTACCTCGTAGGCAGATAGGCGAGCGAAAAACGAGCCGAGGCCGCGGTCGCCGTCCCTCCGCAGAAGCTCTCCGCGAGTACCCCGTAGAGTCTGGCATAATTTATAAGCAGGATAGATGTAACAAAAGTTGTAAAAACGAAGATAAACCAATAATCCAGAAGCCATCGAACCATACACAATCGGTTGGCTTCCGAAAACGCATCAAGCCTTGTTCCCGCAACCGGCGACCGTTAGTTGGCTCCCAAAAATAGCTTATGCTTTCCCGGTCACACACTCCTCGGATCAGCTCCCAGTTCTCGCCATCTCAATCACCCTTAACGAGGCGACAGGAGGCAGAGAGGGAAACCGAGTTGTGGTTTTTTTTCGAATTCCTAGAAGGATATCCAATTGTCTGATCTGGACGATTCTTTCAAGTTGGACTGAACCTTGGAATCCGTCAGCCAGGCGTTTCGTCCGTAACTAACTGGGCGAGTTAAGGTTCACGGCTCCAGCGCGAGAGTGTCGACTAAATCCGGAGCTTCTCAGCCACGACCGTTTGCTCAGCCATGCTCATCTGAATACACCTTTCAGCGACGATGAAAACACTGCACGACGCTGGACTCGACTAAGATCCTCACTTTTATGAAATTCTACATAGAGACCAGTGGGGAGACACCGCTTGTCGGAGGCCTCCCATTTGTTCCGGTAACAGATGGAGAGCAATGCGAGTGAATCCCCTTCCGCATCCTCCCCAAATGGTCTCAAGATCTTCACCAGGCCCAAGCGAAGCCGGACCACCCTGAACGAAATAGACCACCCATACGCGTCCGATCAAAGCTCGAGGACCCCCTCTCTCGACATCCGCCCCTCGACGAGCCATGGCAGCAGCGTGGCACCAACTGGGCTCGCGAAGTTCATCCCTGGAGCGAAGAGGCGACAGCGGAGGAAGACAAAGGGGGCCAATAATGAAAGTTTGATTGACTTGAATAGCGAGATTTCGGGGGAATCTCGAGTCTCTCTGCCGGCTCTAGAGGTAAATGGGGAACGTCACAGGCCGATTACCGACCCCAGCCTTCTCATGGATGACCCGGAGTTTGGAGCGTACGTTACAAGCTCAGTCTTCTCCTTTGATGCACCTATAACAAACTAGATAGCATTTACCATGGACTACTTTGTACTTCGCTGTCGGACATGCTTATTGTGGTGGATAGGGACTGACATACTGGTACTGCTCTTAGAGGTCCTCCTACCGCTCCACATAAACTACATGCCGATGGGCCTCGAACATCGCCGCTTATTACAGTATCCGACCCATCAATTCGTGAAGGACACCACGATACGCAAGGCGGAAGTTCGGCTGCGAATTCTGAAACGGCCTCTGACAATTTGAACTTAGCCATACTGCGTTCGACCGCCGTTGGAGTCCCGGCGCATTCACCCACAAAAGAAAATGTGGGTTCGTCGACAGGGCGGAAGCTGAGAAGTGCCTTCAACCCTCGTTCTCCGAATAGAAGCTCGAATACCAGCCCGGACCGGGGGTCTTCAAAATCGTCGGGAAGCAAGGCCGGAAAGGGGTTTTTGGGCTCTGCGGTTAGGACGACAAGCTTTTCTTCAAAGAAAAACAAGAAGAGCCCAGAAGATATCCCGCCGCTGCCAGCTCCTCCTAAGCTTCCTGAGGATACTGTCTCTAAAAACAACCGACATTTACCTCCCCTCGACACGACGCCCAGCACGCCCCCCCTTGGCCATAAGCCTCTACCGGTCAAGACAACCGTCACTCCTCCAACTCCAACAAACCCCCGATTGCAGGAAAACAATGCCGAGCTTGTCCATTCTCCCGAGTCCATGACAAACCCTTCCTCACTCCCACCCAATGCTGTTCTCAGCCCCTCTGGTAATATGATATCTCACCGGCGTGTGCGATCAGCATCCGCGGCCCATCCTCCAAGTAAACTATCCAGCTCAATGACAATACCTTCAACACCTTCTATAGACGAAAAGAGTACAACCCCAGGCTCGCGGAATGGCCAGGGCAATTCTGCCGGGGGTGGTTTCTTTTCCTCGATGTTCTCCGCCGCGCAAAATGCAGCCTCAACTCTTTCCATTGGCTTGAATCAGGGACGAGCCCGTAACGCGTCGGATCCCGGGGAGGCTGAAAAGCAACCCACGCCAGACCAGCCCGAGAATAGGTCACGGTCGTCGTCAGTCCGTGATACCGAGGTTGAAGAGAAGAAAGAACAGGCGATAGATACCCTTGGCATGGGTAATTTGGATTTCAGCCACCTTGGGATAGACCCATCAGCGGGCAATCAGGTAACCACACCTGATGGTGTAGTTTTCACAAAGACCGATCAGGGTCACCGTTCACGGGGGAGTACAGTGTCGGAGCGGGATGAGCTAGCAGCGAGGATAGAGGATCTGAGGGCTGCTCGAGCCGTATCGATGGCGTATGAGAAAACTCCTCATAGCGCAAGCTTCCCGGCTTCCATCGCTGAAGATAACCAACTGGATAGTCGTGCGAGTGCGCCATTTTCTGGTCTCGGTAAAGGAGGAAGTGGTGGTGAGCGCACGCCACCCACGGCGAGTATCGTTGATGGCGACATTTCTGAACGCGTTATGCGGAGTGGGAGTTTGCGAAGCCGTCGTGGTATTCGTAGGAAACGTGGATCTTCAGCGGCTACCTCCACGACCATTGGGGCAATTGGGGCCGCGTTAGGTATGCCAGGAGCCCACTTAAGCACTCCTCGCTTAACAGGCTTTGCTGTGGCTAGCAAGAAGAGAAATCGAGACTTTCATCAACTGTTCAGGAGTGTCCCGGAAGATGACTATTTGATTGAAGACTACAGCTGCGCGCTTCAACGAGAAATCATCTTGGCTGGCCGGATCTACATATCAGAGGGTCATATTTGTTTCTCTAGCAATATTCTCGGCTGGGTTACTACATTGGTGATTGGATTCGACGAGATAGTGGCCATTGAAAAGGAGTCGACGGCTATGGTGTTTCCTAACGCTATTGCTATTCAAACCCTTCACGCGCGTCACATTTTTCGCAGCCTGCTCAGCAGGGACTCAACGTATGATCTCATGGTAAACATCTGGAGAATCAACCATCCCACGCTCAAAAGTTCTGTCAATGGAGCACAGATTGAACAAGGAACCGGTGATAAGACAGAAAAGGCTGAACTTAGTGACGATGATAACGCTTCTATCTCCGACGGCGAAGAGGTTTATGATGAAGATGAAGAGGGTGGAGTGGCTGGCATCATGGAAAATGTTGACAGCTTGGCTACTAGTGACATTTCGGAGCCGAGAAAACGCGTGGCTCGAAAACCGTCGACAATGCTGGTATCTACGGGTATTTCATCCCAGGCAGTCTCCGTAGCGGCTGGTGATGAATCCAAAACTGGAACTAAGTCTGGGACTTCGACGGATGTGTCCGCGCAATTTCCCGGTCCGAAGACTCATGCGCCCACTGAATTCACGGACCCTTCCGGACGTTACGATAAAGTCGTCAAAGACGAAACAATTCCAGCCCCCTTGGGTCAAGTTTATTCTCTAGTATTCGGAGCAGCTTCTACTTCATTCATTTCGAAGTTCCTCGTTGAATACGAGAAAGTGCTGGATCTGCAGTTCGAAGGCGACAAGAAAGGTCTGACAGAAGAGACCAAAACCAGATCGTACACCTACATCAAACCCCTGAATTCGTCCATAGGCCCAAAACAGACGAAATGTATCAGTGTCGAGCAGTTGGACTTCTTTGATTTGGAGAAAGCCGTGCTAGTAACCCTTACAACCCAAACTCCAGATGTCCCGAACGGTAACGTGTTTTCCGTTAAGACGAAGTACCTCTTTACCTGGGCGCCAGGAAATTCAACTCGTTTTCTCATGTCTTGTGTTGTGGAATGGACGGGGAGAAGTTGGATCAAAGGTATGTTTGGTAAACTATTGATATCAAGGTGGTACTAAATTCGTGATAGGTCCTATTGAAAAAGGCGCTAATGACGGTCAGCTCGGCTACGGGACTAATTTAATAAAAGCTCTCAAGGCCGGAATCGCTCCTAAGGCTCGCAAGTTAACTCCTAAAGGTACTACGAAGAGTAAAATCAAACGCACGAAAACAACTACTTCTGAATTGGATGCGAGCAATGGCGGAGCCTCCAAAGCCGATAGGGCCGGAGCTACCAGTTGGGGCCTGTTTGAACCATTCCGAGGTCCGCTTTCTCCAATCGTTGATATATTCAAACCGTTTTGGAGCTCCAATGTGGCTGCTGTACTCGTGTGCAGCCTTCTACTCATGATGTGGTTACGTACCCCACCGACTTCTTCCATAAGGTCACACGGCATTGCTCCCCACCATCTCTCCGTGCCTGAGAGACTACTTGCCTACGACGAATTGTGGGCTAAAGAAGAAAGCGATTTGTGGGATTGGTTAGAGGACCGTGTTGGGATGGACGGTTTGGCTATACCGGCAGCCGGTATAGAAAATGGCAATTCAAAACAGCGGCGCAAACGAGTTCACAAGGACGCAGAAGCTCGCCTACGAGACGAAAGAATGTCAGAACGTGAGATTGTAGATGCTATTCGTGTGACGCAGAAACGGCTAGAGACTCTTCAACAAGTCATTGACAGACGGAAGCTTGACCGACAGCGAGGCGAAAGTGAAGATCGTGCGGCTAAAAACTAAAGGCCTTTAAAAGTTTGTGACCACGGTCGTTTTTTCACCGGCCAGTGACTCTTGTTGACATGGGACAACCATGTCTGTGTTGATATATTTCCCTGGAAGCGAGCCCTTACTCTTCTACCAAGATTGGTAGGAGTTTCGTTTTCTTTTCCTCTTCAAAAACAAGCATTCTCTTGAATTTTGTTTCTTTTCCATTTGTCCTCTTTACTTACGAGGCGTCTCGGGTAACAGAAGGCGTTCCAAGTCTACGTGAGCGTTTCCTTTCTCTCTTCATCAGCTGTACGTATACGAAACGACATGCCAGCTGCATTTTCCACTTTCATATGTTTCTACACCACCACGAGCTGTTTCCTTCTGCTGCTCCTCTAAACAACCCTGGACTAAGTTGCTCCGTGTGACAGGTCCTTGATACTCTCGTTTGTGCGTCTTTCTATTTACCACATGCTGACGCCATCTCCTTTTTGTACTCTATCCTTTGCTTTTGCCTTCTAGCGTGTTTCTCGTATATAAACTTGGCGGTATATAGGCTCTGCGGAAATTAGATTCATCGTGTTTGTGACTTTTCCAGAGAACATCATCTCGGTGGCTCATCCGCTCTTCCTGGCCGCTCTGTGTTACGTCAGCGCCCACTAGCTGGTCCTAAACAATCCCCTCTCACATCTGACGTCGCATTATATATATCGAAACCTTGACAGTTCAGTCACACGAGGAATGAAAACCAAATAGGATCATCCACGATGGTTTCTTTATCCGAAGTGCGAGCTGCGAATGCCCAGCTCGTCAAATGCTCACCGGGAGGAGTTTATGTCTTCGTCGGAGCAACGAGCGGAATCGGGGAGAATGCTTTGCGCAAGTTTGCCCGCCTTGCTGCAAAGCCGCGGGTGTATATTGTAGGGCGAAATCTCGTCGTGGGAGAGTCTCTTTTGCGAGACCTGCGCGAGTCCAACCCAGATGGCGAGTTTATCTTCATTCACAAGGACATCTCTCTTGTGAAGGATGCGGAAGACGTTTGCGCAGAGATCGCTAGCAAAGAAACCAGATTGGACTTGCTATTTCTATCAGCGGGTTATTTCCCCTGGGATGGTCGACAAGGTTGTTTTTGAGAGTTTTCTTCACGTCGCTCTAAACATTCTCTAGGCTCATGCTCTGACATATACTCGACAGACACCGTTGAAGGGTTGGATGCCGCTATGGCTACCCGTTATTACACGCGGATCCTTCTGGCCAAACGTCTTGCCCGGCTTCTTGAAGCATCTCCAGCAGGAAGAGTTGTCAGCGTTCTTTACGCAACCGGTTCCACTCGTCTTGTGGAGACAGACTTGGGGCTTGAAAGCCCAGAAAATTACAGCATGATGAAGGCTGGAGTTGGAACGGCGACGATGAACTCTCTTGCACTGCACCATTTAGCTACATTACATCCTCGGGTTTCGTTCGTACATACCTACCCGGGCGTTGTTCGGACGAAAGGATGGGCGAACGGTGGTCGTAGTTTCGTTGGTCTGGTTGTGAAATATGTTCTAGCTCCGCTGACATGGCCTTTTGCGTTAAGCGTCGATGAAGCTGGAGACAGGGCTTTATATACCACTATCTCTGAGCAGAACAGAGTGGACGGGTCTGGTGCCAGTCAAGTAATTCTAGTCAACTGGAATAATGATACAGTCCAGCCTGATAGACTGACCAGGGAGTACATGACGAGCGAAATGCTTGGGAAGGTTTGGGACCACACAGAAGCAACTTTGAAGTCAATTTTAGAAAAATAATACCGTTTGATTGCCATTATGATCTGGTGCCAGAGCCCGGTTGAATATCGAGACAGTTTCAGTGTTATTTGTCGTTGTGAACGCCTGCACAGATTATATACTCGCACAAGTCAGTCATCATTGTATGATGAATGCTGCTAATTGGTTAATCATTTAGTTAACATAGAAAATGAATGGAATTTCTTTTTGATGTCGAGACCCATGCCCCTTTGTCGTGCTTGAGTCCTTGTTAGGAGAGGGCAACCATGTCCAATACTTAGTTGCATATCCCTTTTTTGCTTTAGAGGATGAAACTCGCAGCGACAATGCTTTCATACTGGATGCATTATCAATTCATTAACCAATGTGAATCTCATCCAACACACATATATACAGTCATAGATTAATCATTAGACATTTCAGCAAGCCAAAAAAGAGATTGAGGTCAATTTCCGTCGATTCAGCCTACACCGCCCGGCTCGACCCATCTCCACACTTTCCTCCGCACCCGTTAACCCCTTTGAGCACCTGGCTCGGAGTCCGGGCGTAGCTTGGTGGGACATCAAGCACCGGGTTCCTGTCAAAGAAGTTTCTGGGACGGAGCAATAAGGTCATAGGCTCAGCAGGCATGATTGGGAAGTCTTCGGGAGAGGGGAAGTGCGTGATGCCGAACGTATGCCAGAGAACGATATCAGTATTCTCAATGGATTCGTTTTCGGTTTCGGATATCCACATTGGAAGGCCGTGAGAAGGTTCGCCTGATGTTTGAGGAACATGTCGGCCTGCTGGATGGATTTGGTCGTCGCGGTCTAAGATCAAGGTTAGCCCTATATTAACAACAATCAAACAAAACTTGAGGGGTAGTCTGCTTACATTTGGTAACATGAACGGCATGTCTGGCAAACCCTGCACGTTTCCAAACCAGTCCTCCTTCCTTAGGAAGCAGAGGCGGGACTTCTCTGCTCACGAGCTTATAGCTGACAGGCTTCTTGCTGAAGGGGTTCAATTTATTCGTGTTAGCCATCTCCCACGTGCGGCTGGTAAAGCCATCATAGTCTGACATGGCTTCCTTGGGAGTCGTGAACTTCGTTTTCTTTGCGTAAAATGCGTTTCCATGCTTGTTGATTAGGCCACCGACTTCGCCCGGGCCTCGAACCGCATCAACCTGGAAGACGGTATTGTTCGATCCGTCAATATTAGGATCAACACGGAGACAGAAAAGGTGCTGGTGGTTATGAGCGTTGACGCCCGGGTACACCTCAGTTCCCCAACCGTGTGTATCTTCATTAGGGTTCATGGCATAGGTGTTGAGAATACCGGTCAGCTTGATATCAAGCTGGACAGTTCCGTCCTGGTGGAAGATCCAGTAGACGCAGTATTCGTAGTTGGCCGCGGTGAAAATATGAGAAATGATCAATTTACGGCCGCGAGTCACGATGACAGAATCATCACGGAAATCGGTATGCTTGAACAGGATTCCAGCGTCTTCCTCGTGGATACAGATCGCGTTCTTAATAATCGTGCTTGCACCGGCTGCGTTGACAAAAGCGGCATCCATATAATGGATGGCGCCCTTGCAGTCGCATCCGAGAGTCAAGCTATTGGTCATGTATCCGCCGCCGTATTCGCCTAAATCAAACGCGTGCTTGCGCTGATGTGGGTGTTCGGGATTTCCATATGGAACGACCATCTCGGCGAGTGAAAGTCGGTAAAAGACGGGGCGGACTGTACCTTTATCGTTATATGTGATGTTATTCAAGACAATACCTTCTCGATAGTTGAAACCAACGTGGATATTCCAATTTTGCCAATTGATGGTTCTGCCGTCAACTTTGAAAGAAACTCCTTCAGGCTGTGTAATGTTAATTGGCGTAACATCTTTGCGGTATCCGCCTTCCTTCTCAATAGCTTCAACATGGTAGTTGCTTGGAGGAGCTCTACTGATCGGTCTCCGAACGGGAGGAATGTCGATGTGAATAAACTCCTTGGTCTCTGCATTATAGATCGGGCAGAAGTCCAGTGGGAACGCATATTGGCAATCGTCGATGTTTGGGCGGTAGTACATTAGTGCTTGCTGTAAACGGACGTTGTTTCCAAAGCGTTCATCATATCCAATGGTCCAAGCTGCATAGATACGATCAGCTCCTCGCTTACGACGTTACAGATATGACGAGAGTGGCACTTACGATCACAATAGACTTTGTGCATATCCTCCCTTGGGATACCGAGGATCTCGCATTGTTCAATGATCTTGGGGTCTTTCCTCATCAAACCTTCGACAGCTTGCAGATCCTCCATCGTGATCAATGGCTGCACTCCGGGCGTGTGCTTCCACTGTACGACCTTCTTCTCTGTCAGGTCCACGACTCCATCGTAGATTTTGCCACCGGGAGCAATGACAACGGCATCAGCCATTCGATGCGGACGAGGGGCATTGTTTGGATCGGCCAGCCAGGCCATCATTTCCGCTTTCCGTGGCTCCCACAGCGTAATCGCATTGAACCTGACGGAGCCATGTTCAGCACGAATGATTGCCACAGCAGCATCAATTTCCACCGTAGTGAGAGGGTCTAAGGGATGTGGAATGGGAGATGTCCCGTCCACTTGGAGGGATAGCTGCTTCAAACGATCTAATACCATTGTTAAGGGATGTGATTTGGAAACCAAACAGCACGGATGAAGATGGTCAACGAGTGCGATGAAAAGAAAAGAAATAAAGGGAAATGAAGGCAGGGGGGGTTCAATCACAGCTATATGTAGCAGGACGGAATCCGTGAGGGGGTGTAGCTATACGCGCATAGTATAGGCAAAGCTTGAGCATGGACAGTGTCCCCGCAGAGCGGCAGCCGGCAACCCATTAGAGCCCAGGCACAAGAGTACAGCGAGGTACGAGTTCTAGGATAAGAGCGCAAAGCTCCTCATGCAGCTAAAGCACTTTCAGGCCGTGTCATTGAGAGCAGTCCTGATTATCCGTATCACCAGCTTCCATCTCCGTTGTCGGTGATAGCGAGATGAGAAATTTTCGGAGACCCTCAGAACGGGACCTCTTACAGTGATCCATCATTGACTGGCCTTGCAACCCGTCGCGACCAATTCGCCCCCGGGTCTCTCTCTGGCCATCTCCCTCGATCTCGAGGGTGTCACAGCAGACGCTGGACATTGCTGGCACACGCCACCGACAACTCCGCTTGCGATAGGGGATTGTTTTTCCTGATTCGGACTAGCGCCCCCTCCCTCGCAAAGAAGCTCTCTTATCGGTTCTGGAAACTTGATCCGACCAGGCCAGCTGTATCAGTGACACGACGCCACTCACGAAATTACGTTATGCCACATGTATCTGGTACTTTCCGGGTGTTTCTCTATCTTCCCCACTGGATGCCCTCGCGACGGGGGATCGGAGACACGGTGCAACGGATGAGCTGGCGGGGCGTGGACGTGAGCCAAACGCCCTCGTGTCAGGGTCTGCCGTCGGTCTGTGCATGCCAGCCTCCAACAACACCGGCTATAGTTGACTGTTCAGGTCATTAAAGCCAGCGAGGGAGCGCAGCTAAGTTATAATATACGGTGATTTATGCTGTCACGAGTAACCGCAGGGCGTACTCTGGACGAAGTACGGAGAATTGCACGGCAGTGACAAGCTCCAAATACCTTGAGGCTTGAAGCTCCCCCCACACTGCACCAACATCCCCTCACACCGTTGTAGCCAGAAGCCAGCATCTCGCATCTCTCCCCACACACCCCTTTCCCCGCATCGGGATGCAAGGGTGAGACCGAGATGGGGATCTCTGATTTCATGAAAGATGCCGATCCCTTGTACACACATCCCCGGGGAACAATGTACGGCGGAAAACTTATGTCAAATTTTTGACGAATATAGCTGAAGACTGGAAGAAATCGCAACCAAGAAAGAATATTTTAGCGCCGAGAAACACCACCGTGAATAGAGCACACCCGCGCCGAATGAATTGAGAACAACACTCGACTCAGCGCCAGGACGCACAGCACGCAAAAGTAAAAGAGAGGAACAACTCCAAAAGCAAACGTTCCACACGAATACATGAAAAGAGCGCAATAAGATAGAACAGAGACAGAAGCAGCACACCCCCCCGGCAACCGCAACCGCAACAACGTATACAAACCAGGGAAAGAAACCTGGTACCATGGACAGGAACAAAAAAAGAAGATCGAAGCGAATAAATAGCTACGGTTGCAATTGGCGCCTGCTCCAGCATGCTGGCATGAAAAATCAAGGAAGAAAGTATGAGACCCAATACCCGCTTCAAACGTTTCCTTCATTTAAATGCCATTCCCCAAAAATTGTTTATGTCCTTCCGAGCTGAAATGCCCCGAAAACGCCGCCGCCTCCACCAGGGGTCAAACTTGGATTCCCGCTGACGTGGGACTGTGGCGCTGGAGTCTGGTTGCTATTCAGCGCAGCATGACCGGTGTTTGGAGTACTCGGAGTTGCCGTGTTCGAATAAACCATCGCCCCGTTCAGATTCGGAGTCTGCTGGGGTTGATTGCCCGTATGATAAGGCATAGCGGGGATCTGTCCGTTCAGACCCCAAATTTGACCAGAGTATTTAGCTTGATCAATGGTCCCATTGAACACCAGTTGGCGCATCTTCCAGAATATTTCACCTGTTACAAGCGAGTCGGACCCTGCTTGATGTGCGATCCCTACCCGCTTAACGCCTAGTTCATCCGCGATATCCTGCAGCCCCGATTTCTGTCCAAGGTTGGCCAGTATTTGCACAGCGCCTTGAGTGAGGGGGGATCCATTCACCGATTGATTCCGGCTCGCATGCTTCATGAGAAATTTGATGTCATAAAGTGAAGGGAAGAATATAGAAAGGAGCTTGTGGAACTCCTCTTCGTCATCGGGAAGAGGCTTGCAGAGCATGATCTTCATTAGATAGCCAAAGTCATACCCAGAGTGGAACGAGATCCAGTGTACGTCATCCAGCAGAACCAGTCCGGAGGTCATCAGCAAAGCGCCAAATTCCAGCGGATCGATTCCATTCTTTTCGTGCATCGTGAAATCGATTCCGGCCTTTGCTAGCATGCTTGTAGACTCCTGTGCGTACATGTCATTCTCCAAAGAGAAATGGAAGTTGAACTGCCAGGTACATGGCGCCGGAACGAGATGATTGCCGTTCGCGTGTAGAGTGCCATTGGCAGGATACGCAGGCGGAACCTCGCCCTCTTCCGAAAATAGGGTAACCCCGAGCTGTATCATCTTCAATAGATCCACGTTACACCGTAGCGTCTGATAGTGGTAGTCTGCTTTTGTCGTAAAAGTGCCCATTGGCCGTGCAACGATTCCGGGAAATTCTGTGTCCTAGACAGTATAAAACATGGCTATAAGCACATTCACACCGGGAAACCCCTAGGCCTTCAGGTAAAAACTGTCCGCAATGCTTACCATGCTGATATATGGGTATTTCTCCACCAACGCACGAAGGGACTCCATTTCCTGCGCCAGGTTATGCTTCCATACATCCCTTATCCTCGATTTATCCGCCTTGCCATCCATAACCAACCGACCGTCATGCACCAGATGCGATTGCTGCTGCTGAGCTTGTTGTTGCTGCTGCTGCTGTTGTTGCATCTGAGCACCACGCAGAAAACCCATCTGAGCAGCATGGCTCGCGAGGCCTGTCCCGCCTCCATCTGGGATACCACTTCCAGCGGCTCCGGTTGCAGGGAATCCAGTTACGGTCATTCCATTGGCGCCGGGGAGCGTAAACGGGTTAATATTAGAGCCAGAGGTGCCGAGGCCGAATCCTGGGTGCCCACCAAGTGAAGAGGGGGGTATTCCGGTGCTGGCGGTCTGGGGGTGTGCGCTATGATGCTGTTGGGACTGCTGTTGTTGCTGGAGGTGTGCTTGTTGAAGATGGGGAAATGGGCCTGCAATGCCCGACGGCCCGTATCGACCGGCAGGCGGTGGCATCGTGGTTATATGCTTCGAAACCTCGTAGAGCGCGGTGGGAATGCCGAAGTGGGATGGGGCATGAAGAAGTTTTAGCCAGAGAGAGACGGCAACAAGTAGAAATGGCAGCCAGCCAATGCCAAGAGATAAGATATAACGCGTTTGATGTAAAGTTGTTAAGAGTTCATATACTCTGAACAGCGATGGCAGTGAGTGGGAATCAGCTTCATTGACAATTGAGAGTGATGTTACTGCTTGCTCGCTGGCAGCTTGCGCCGGCGCCTCTCCCTTCGCCCAAGCGCCCAATCGCGAGCTTAGCCAAATCGGGCCTAGCCTAGAAAGCGCCATCTCCAGAAACCTGCTTACCTCATCACCCGAAGCAACAACCTCGAGATCACGATTCACCTGGTGGATGCGCCAGCAGCCGTGCCAATTGTGGTGGAAGAGCCGCTACAAATTACTGCTTCGCTCTTCGAATATCATCAATTACATTCCATCTATTCCGACAATTTCCCTATCGTGTCCTCGTTGTCCCCACGCCAGCGACAATGGCTCCCCCAAACCCCACCGGGTTTGACATGAAGACTTTCAAAGCCGCAGCTAATCCGAAATCCATATGGGCCCAGAAGGATCCATGGAAGCGAAAGTAGGCACCATTCTCTTTATATTCCGTCTTTACCGCATCCATGCTCGTTTTCCATGTACCTCCTGTTGGAACTATGCATCTAACATCATCTGCAGCGAAGCATGGCGATACAGCGGCCCCTTCTCCCGGATGAACCGACTCAGAAACAGTTTCCCCGGTCTAGGAATAGCAACTGTTGCCTTTGCGATATATTGCGGGTACGAGTGGGCGTTCTTAAAGGATGACCACCACGGTGAAGGGCATCACTAGAGACTTCATTTGCTGTATGACCCGGGACTGTTGCGGATAGATTAGAAGTTGGCGCCGACGACGATCGGTTTTAAAAATGGGTGGGACATTTAAAATCCTATACGCATACGAGTTCGTTTGGATGGAATGATGGGGAAATCCTGGAAGTCCGATGCTAGGCATAAGCGTGGGGAAGGTCCCTATTTTCACATAGATTTTGAAGGCGCACTGACTATGTTTCCCATTCTCCCTCTGACATCTCTGTACATATTACGCCTTCCGTGCACACTACGATTGTTATAAAACAAGCTTATTTGTTTCCAGATTCAAAAGGTGACTTTTGTCTTTCCGAGATAGCGGGCATCAATGCCGTGCATGCATTCTATTTAGTCACCCAAATTTTATGCTTCCAATTTTTACTCCTCAAAAACCAACGCAACTCCATCATCGCCAGCTGTTACTATTCTTTTCCCTCCTTGGTCCCCATGCACGAATCCTAGAATGCCCCCGGATTGTTCGCCGTCCTCGTTCTCACTGATCCCCGCGTGACCTCTCCATTCTTTGAGAAGACCATATCCAGCAGCAGCAGTTCCACCACGCGTATCCCATCGTCGTACCACACCGTCCATGCCCACCGAAGTCAGTAACCACGGTCTACCCGACGTTGTGGATGCCGGGCCAGTAGGTCTCTGTGTTGAAGCTTCACCGTCGCGAACAAAGTCGACCTTAACTACCGCCGACTCTCCGTGAGCACCTCGAATATGACGTCTAATAGCGAATCGATGCGCCACATCAAACAGAACTATCGAGCCGTCCACGGAACCGGCAGCAAGTAAGTTAAGGGGAGGCGAGGAAAATGAGACGGTTTCGATACCATCCGATTGCGCTTGGAGAGACGCTAGAAGTGTCCCTGCGCCACCACCAGCCGAGGGAGCTGCTCCACCAGCTTTAGATTTCGATTTTTGTCTTGAAGTCTGATTGGAATCTGATGACACACGCGGAAGTCCGACAACTTTGATATGTCCTTCAGCTCCACCAACGACGGCAAATGTCCCAGAAGGAGCTATAGCAACAGAGTATAATCCACCGTCAACGGCAAATCTCTGGTCTTGCGCTGTCAAACCCACCACAGTCTGTGTACCTGCAGATGAAGCGGTGCCAGCAGCAGCGGCCGCACCAAAGACATCATACACATAGAAGCTTGCATCTTCCGAAACTGTAGCCAGTAGATTCCCGTCAGGCGACCACGCACCAGCAGTACAAGAAGCTGTATGCTGAAAAAACGACGCCAGCATATAAAGTGGCGCCTCTCGATCCTGCTTATCGACCCGATATACCCATACACTGCCGTCATTCGCGCCCAACGCTACCACATTCCGTTTCTCCTCATTCCCGCTTTGCGACACGGGGTAGACCGCCAGCCAATTGATCTCTTCCACCTCTTGGACCTCTGCCAGGAATTCCCACGACTTTCCTGTTAACGAAGCGCTCGTATCCCTCCACGCTCTCAGTTTCCCATCCAGCCCCGCCGTAAGCATGTACTCGCCTGCAGGTTCCGTAAAACAAACTGCATTTACAGAATCAGTATGCCCATCCAGCCGCAAAATTGGCTCAAGTGACTCTCTTTCCTTCCTAGGCTGCGGTGTCGTCTCATAGCTTGTGGGTAATAAAGGTCTATCATCCGTAGGCGTCGAATCGAACATGTATGCCGTATCATCACCAGAACCTGTAACCACGATGGACGTATGTATGGGGTGCTGCGCGATGCAGAAGATAGAGTCTGTGTGCTTGTCGAAGTGGGCAGTGGAATCGTTTTGGAGAGTTATTTCTAAATCCTCGTCTTCGTCGGAGGCGTCCTCCATGTGTTGATCTTCATCGGGGATGATTTCTTCGGCGGCGTCTGCGGCGTCAAGGAAGACGTCTTCGCCTTCCTCGTCATGGTGATGATCGCTTTCGCGCGGTTGCTCTGGCATTGTGAATCGCGATGTATAAGATAAGGTAGGCGGGAATCCGGGAGAGAAATTTTGGACGAACAGGGACAGTGCGGGGTGGGGAAGTTGAATAGATATCCCAAAAATTCGGTCTCAAAGCAGAGACTACTGCTCTGTAAAATGGAGCTGACTGTAATTGACAGTCATTAAACCTGCAGGTTATGCCACTATATAGTAAAATCTCTGGATGCTGATCGATGAATGTAGAAAGTTGGATTATAAATCCAAAATTTTGGCAGCGTCCGCCAGCAGGGCCGTCACTCCTATTCGAAAGGAAGCAAGCAAAACACGACCAACAAGATGACAGATAACTAACTTAGAGCTACTTTCAATCTTAACTTGGTAACCAATTCAGGATAAGTAAAAAGAATTAATTGTTCCAAAAATTCTCCTTTGGACCTTTACTAGGGCCTGTACTACAATGATTCCCGAATGTTCAACCGGGGAACGTGTAGAATGTGGAATCAAGCTCCTCTATCATATGTGGGACTGCTATCCTTAGACTTAGCGTGCATCACACAGTAGACCTCATTCCTCTTCAAGTTGCTCTCATCTACAAGCTGCCCGTTGCAAAGATGTCAATGATTAACCTTTTGGAAGATTTCAGCGGCCCGGCTCACCGGGATATGTTTCTTCCGGTCATCTCGGGTTTATCTAATTCTTATCTCCAGCTCAAATGGCGCCCTTTTACAACACCGCAGACCAGGATGCTCGAGACTCATCTTGCAAGCTGTTGGCGGACAAAACCCGCTGGTGACTGCAGGTAGCAGAGGTGTTAGTATCTGTTCACCCTTTCTGATCTCGTTAACTTCAGCTTCGACCTAGCCCGCTTCAGCTAAAACAATGGGTTCAGAATTGAATACTTCGACGCGCTTGCTCCCTCCGCCTGGACCCAAGATCCGACGGCCTGTGCCCTCAGACCCCTATCCGCCATGCAACCCCCCCTTATTCAACGACGCTATGAGCATTCGTACCACGGTCTTTATCGATGAACAAGGATGCTCGCCCGAAGGCGAACTTGATGAAGACGACCAGCGCAGTTACCACTGGGTCATGTACGACACCCAAGCGGACAAGCAAGAACCTATTGGGGTAATAAGATTAGTTCCACCACCACACCCACCGCATGAAGTCCACTTGAGTAATGGAGGGCGGAATCACAGCAAGTCAGGTTCGGAGGGCCATGCTCAACACGAGGAACCATGCGTGAAATTGACGAGAGTTGCCGTGTTGCCGGCCTATCGGGGATTGGGTTTGAGCCGCAAATTGGTCGATACGACCCTGAATTGGGCGGCGGGACACAAGGAGGACATCAGCTCTGCCCTCGGACCCAAGGAGTCCTGGAACGGACTTGTTCTGGTCCACGCTCAGGTGCAAGTGGAGGCACTGTACGCTCGAATGGGATTCGTGACGGATGAGAGTATGGGAAAGTGGGAGGAAGAGGGCATTTTGCACGTTGGAATGTGGAAAAGGATTGAATTAACTACCACAAGACACTAAAGTCCTTGGATTTGGGTGGTGCTGTATACGATACATCATGAACCGCCGTGATCGAAATTCGGCGGGTTAGACCTTGGCATTTGCACATAGCTTTTGGACGTTGAGTACGGAGTACGGAGTAATTGGAACAGAAATAAATATCGCTCCAGCGGGGTTGGCGGGTTTTCGATAAGGTGTATCAAATCTACCATGGTCGCAGTCTGGATTGATACCTTTGAGGTTGATGCTTCCAGATTGCCTGTGAAGAGCCATGGTACTCCAAGAACGTCAAACTCAGGACTGGTCTCGGAAGGTTGACCTCCTCCCAAGCGCTTTTTGGCTTTTGCGCGGCTGAACGAATCCATCAAATTGTTGGGTTGGATGAGGGGAGCGCCCAATCACCGTCTCCCGTTATCATTACCCAAACCTTCAGCCCCCGCAGAACGAAAACAGGGGCACCAATCACGCCTGCACATAGCGTGGTGGTCGCCCCGAATTAAGTGTGCAGCAAGGCCCCGGGGGATACTGAATGCCGAACCGATCATCCATGTTTGCTTGGACCTCGGGTGAGCTTGGAGCAATGGGGACAAGTTGTTTTCGCGATGGCAGATCTTCCGCGGTTTCAGTCGAGCTGCTGGCTCTGTCTCTCATTATTTTTCGCTTCCTTCCTCTGTACAGATTATCATCTTGGACTACTGCAACCCGCTGTAAATCGTTTGAACCAAGCCTCTTCACGAGATGGTTTTCCGTGCTCCTGCTTGGGTCGGCGAGCTGCCCCCAATTCCTGATGACGTTGCCATCTGCGACTTCATGCTGGATGACAAGTATGGCCGATATCCGCTGGCCTCGTCGAAGGACCCTTTTACATGTGGAATGACAGGCCGCACGTACTCGGCTGCAAAAGTAGCTGAACGCGTTGATGTTCTTGCCCGGGCTTTAGCGAAGGAGTTTGGTTGGCACCCGAACAAGGGAACAGAATGGGAGAAGGTCGTTGGTATTTACAGCTTCAACACGGTAAGGCAGTCGTCTACCGATCTCTTCATCAGGGGCTGGGTGGTTGATGTCATCTGTTTAGATCGACTTTTTGGTGCTTTGCTGGGCCATCCACCGGTGTGGAGGCATCGCTTCTCCCGCCAATGCCGTGTACTCTGGCCCTGAGCTCACTTACCAATTGAAAGACTCTGGAGCCCAAAGCCTCTTCACCTGTCTCCCCTCTCTGCCCATCGCTCTCGAGGCAGCGGCTCAAGCTGGCATTCCCCGAAACCGAATTTACATCCTCGATCTTCCTACCGAGTTTACGGGGTCTACCGAAGCTCCACAGGGCATGCGGACTTTGGAGCAGTTTATTACCGAAGGCTATTCACTACCAAAGCTGGAGAAATTGAACTTTGGGCCCGGACAGGGAGCTAGGCAGACTGCATTCTTGTGTTACTCGAGTGGAACATCAGGTCTACCGGTACGTTGAACTTGGATACTTAGTCCATCTAGTGCTGTATGGGGTACTAATTCCGCGCTAGAAAGGGGTCAAAATTGCCCATAGGAACGTTATCGCCAATACTCTTCAGATGATGGTGTATGAGGCGCCTCACAGGAACTCTCTGAAACCTGCCGGTCAGGGTGCCTTCAACGACGTCGCCCTCGGCCTACTCCCTCAAAGCCATATCTATTCTTTAGTAGTTATGTGCCATTGTGGACCGTATCGCGGTGATCAGGTTATTGTCCTACCCAAGTTCGAGCTTAACCACTACCTTCAAACGGTCGAGAAATACAAAATAGGCACGCTCTATCTGGTAGGTTCTGTTCCTACCCGGCTTAGCTCTCTTTGTGCCCTTGCCCTTTGCTGATCAAAACCATAGGTACCTCCGATTATTATTGCGATGTTAAGAAATAAAGAGCTATGCGATAAGCGAGATCTGAGCGCAGTCAGAGCCATTTTCACCGGAGCTGCTCCCTTAGGCAAGGAGACAGCTGATGAGTTACAACAATGGAAACCATCCTGGTTGATCAAACAAGGATACGGTATGATTCTCGCTGATGGGGTCCAAAATACTGAAGTGTCTAATGACCAACTTTAGGTATGACTGAAACCTGCACCGTCGTGTGTACTACAAGCTCCCATGATGTTTGGCTTGGTTCCTCGGGCTCCATCCTTCCTGGAATCGAGTGTAAGATAATATCTCCCGAAGGCGTTGAACTCACGGGCTACGATGAACCCGGGGAACTGGTCGTGAAATCTCCATCTGTTGTTCTAGGATACCTGAATAATGAGAAGGCGACGGAAGAGACGTTTATTGATGGCTGGATGCGCACCGGAGATGAGGCTGTTGTTCGCGTTGCACCCAGCGGCAATGAACATATCTTCATCGTTGACCGAATAAAAGAATTGATCAAGGTCAAAGTAAGTCTGTCTTTTCGCTTGTAGTAGACTCGATCCGATGCTCATAAAAGTTTAGGGTCTACAAGTCGCCCCAGCAGAACTCGAAGCCCACATTCTCTCCCACCCGAATGTTGCCGACTGCGCCGTTATTCCTGTCCCGGATGATTCCGCTGGCGAGTTACCGAAGGCCTTTGTTGTTAAGAGTTCCTCGGCAGGATCGGACGATACAGCAACCATCAGAGCAATTATGAAGCATGTGGAAGACCACAAAGCGCGGCACAAGTGGTTGAAAGGAGGTGTTGAGTTCCTTGATGTTATTCCGAAGAGTCCGAGCGGCAAGATCTTAAGGCGCTTGTTGCGGGATAAGGAGCGAGAAGCAAGACGCAAGGCCGGCGCAAAGATTTAATGCGGCGGCCAATGATTGGTACATGCATATATAGAGATGGGCTGGATTGGAAGGCATGGCGGTATGGAGTCGAGCGAAAGCCAAGCACATTAACATTGATATATATTGCTTTTTCCTGTGGACATGTATATATATAGAGACCTGAATACACAGTTAGCCATGAATTTGTCCAAAGGCAAGGGTAGTTTCTATGTAGCACACCAAATGGGCCATCCATATCCCAATTCTACTGTTTAGGTTCTTTCGTCACATCTCTCACACTTGATTGCTGGAATCTTTCACTTTTGCCTTTGATGCTTTGCAGTTTTTTATTCATTTATTTCGCTCTTAGTTTCGTCTCACTTGGAAATAAATGCTGGTTACTGTTTGTCGCATCTTTCACTTTCAAAGCTTCGGTCACCGATGAGTCACTGATTGCAGGAGATCTTTTCGACGAATCTTTCATTTGGTGTATTGGACTGCTCTTTGGATCATGCCCACTAGATTTTGAGTGACTAGACTGTCAAAATTCAAGCTTGCTGCCTCAAGTAAAAGTGTTAAGAGAGCTGGACATCACTGAACTGCTTTAACTCTTTGCTACCATTGGCTACCATTCTCACAGCATTCACCCAGTCTTGCAAACTTTCCGTCGCATCTTCACTTTTCGTCGTAATTTATTCAACATTCTGTCTTATCTTCACTTCACCACACAGCAACCGGCAATATTATTGGCCCTTCTTTATTCATCGCATGACACTGTGGTAAGTTAGTGATCAGACGGCAAGATATGATACTAGATTCTCAGTGCAGCAGATAGGGCCCCAGAGAGGGTATAAATATCCCCTCTTCCTCCAGCGCTTTTTCTCTTTCTTTTTCTTCAACCTCTATCAAGAGTCGAAGATATCAATACCCTTGAGATTCAACGGCTTTCTTCTACCGCATAGCATACAATGTTCCGCCTTTAATTATCATATCATTTCTAGCAGCTCGATATCCTTAAATCGTCATTGCAAAAAGGCCTTCAAATCTGCCCACATTCAAAACCATTTGTTCCATTATTTTATATTGTCAGAAGGACAGATTATATACTCACTAAAGCCCGACTCCATAACGGCCAGCCAAGGACGAAATGGTCAATCGCTGCTCAGGGCGGAAAAAAAATTCGCTTTTTAAGGCCATAATTTAGGCCATACTCAAGAACATAGAGACCCTTTGCCTTCCATGCTGCGAAGGCTGGGTGTTTAAGGGCCGCTACCAAAGCATAAACGGTCGCCGTTCCAAAGACGCCAGCTCCCCCCTGCCAAGACCTTTGGCGTCGGTTGAAGCAAACGTCAATCCAAACGGCTTGTCGGCCAATCTCTTAGGCTAAAAGCAACGCCGTCGCGAAGGAGCTTTATGGGCGTGTACGCAGTATTAACTGCCGGTTAAAAATCGACTAACAAGCCTTTTCAATTGCCCGGATTACGGGAAAATGTTCAGGTCCATATCATAAGGAAACCTACGAGACGTCTTTGCCATCCAGGCTGTGGAGAAGCCTCTAAGCATCAAGCATGCAATATTTTAACATATTGGGTTCATACTTGCCCTTTATATTTGCGATCTATTATTTTATATTTCAATCAGACATAGGCATGAGATCTATGTCTACGGATTCTAAAGTTTTAAGAATTATGCCGGTTGGAGTTTAACTGATCCAAACACACCCAATTCTTCGGTAGAAGAGACGTCACAATGATACCTACTCCCAACCTTCATCCCTGAGCCATGAATGTCTCGACAAGCAAATATCTCGTCATTCTGACGGCGTCCATCTGGCGGGACCTTAAAACGGTCTTGGTGATGTTTAATTTGATCCCCCTACAAACATAACAGCAGCTTATCGCATCATAATATCGGTTACTTCGATTATCCTGTTAAAAGATAGATCCTATAAACATCCGCGCCATACAATCTTGACTTTGGCTAGAAGCTATTGCTATAGGTGCCGAGGCTATACCAAGTCGCCAAAGAGGTCGGGGGGAGTCCCAGCATCGTGCGGCACAAGTCTATGAGCGCCGTTGCTGGTACTATATATAATATAGTGAGTGAAATGAGCTCTTTTTCGGGACTTTTCTACGTTGTCCTATCTTCAGTTTTACGGCAAGATATACGATACTTTGTATTTTCTGCAGATGTATTCTACGATGTTACGAGCTGTCGTAACACTGCGAGTCCTGCTTGAGTGACTGATGCCCCCTTCATTTCACGCCCCTTTGTTTGCTCTCGTGCCTTATGTTATTATGAAGATTTTCCCTGTATCTGTTACATTTTAATACATATTTCTCCTTGTGTTCTTCTCTTCTTGTCACTCAGCATCCTGCTTATCACTTCATATTCCAGTGAATCCTTTTGCCCCAGTTATGCTTAGCGCGTCCTGTCTTCTCTCACAATGTCTATAAAAGCCCTCTGGGCCCCTGGGGCCGTTCTTTTTCCCTCGCAGTCTACCGCACAGTCCTCAAATTCCTCGAGTCTTCGCCCTCATTTCGCTCTTGACTCTAACGCCGTTGATATCCAGATATCAAAGCCTATCAACTCGACGTGCCACGTCGCTAGACAACTGGAAGGGACGTTCCTGTTCTTTTCGATTATCAAAGCTGTCCGATATAACACTAGCTACAGCGCTTGCTAATAGGAGAAGACCATTGGCTTTATAGACCATGGCTAAGTCACGGAAGCCTGTCTCTCGCGGCAGTGACAAGAGGCTAGTTCAGAATGGCGCAATTAAAAAGACCCAGAAATCAAGGGGTGAGTTGGGCTTCATTTCGAGTTATGGCATATAAGACCACTAATGCTTTCTTAAGGTAATAAAATAAATAAGATCACTTCGTATCTGGGGAGATCCCAAGATTCCTCAGAAGAGGTTCCTAACGTCCCGCCGAACGAAGCGCGGCCAGAGCCAGTCGGTACTCCACCAGCGTGGGCAGTTGATCGCCCCGAGTTGTGCGATGCGCTACCCTGGTTTCGTTCAACTCAAGGAGGCTGCTATTTCAAAGACGGCATCGCATTTGGCGTGCTGATTGATGGAGACGCCGGTGACAGGGCACATCTAGACCACGAAGTGGTAATTACTCGGGTGTAGGTTTTCTATTGCTATTACGATATTAATTGATCTGACATATTCCTAGTGGCGGAGGCTGCATAAAAGTTGGGGGCAAACTTCAGCTTACTGAAGATATCGATATCAAGAATCCCGCATTTAGAGCCCTCATATTCAACCTGGAGCATGATATCCCCGTTGGTTTGGTTGTCGGTATGCTTTCTTCTCACTGGGATAACACATATGAAAGAAATACTAACTCTGTATAGGAGATAGAAATGTAATTTGCACAACCAGGGTCCCGCATCGGTACAACGTGATGAGCTTCTTCCGAGTCACGGATATCTGGTACGAAAAGTCCGGACCATTTACCGGAGCAAAAGTTCGTTTCGAAAAGCTAGATCTGGAGTCTCAGAGTTGGTGGGCCGCCAAAAACGTTGACGTGCCAATTCCTGTTAGTGAACGCACCGATGCTAAAGCACCAGTACTCCCAACTTGCCCAGAGTGCCTCCAGTTAAGTCATCAAGTATACGCCCAAGGCTGGATGTGTTTGAAACGCGAATGCAAGAAGTTCTGGACAATGAACAATCGAAGCCCGCCGACGGAACTAACATTCGCCCCGCACTTCTTGAAGATGAGACGTCAAGCTCCATGTCCGATGCGACCCCAGCATAGCTTGGTACCGGATCTTCTCGCCACGTTGCCTCAAGATAGCAGGATCTCTATTACTGCACGAGTGATGTGGAAAGGGATTGTTTGCCCAAGATGCAACAGATGCGTCGCAAGAACTCTCTGGAATGGCTGGAGCTGCGCTAAAGAAGATGGCGGGTGCGGATTCAAGCACATCAATCTCCCAGTCTCTATGGACCTACGATCAATTATTTCCGACTTCGAGATGGGCGCCGCAGGCCATCGATATCTGGTTGGAAACGAACTGGTGTGCAGGTCTCGTGTTCAGTACCTAAAAAACTACCGATTGGACATGTTCGACCTAGGAATGGGCAATATCATGACCCATTTCGCAGCAAATACCACGATTAACAAGCGTGAGGGTGGTCCAAACGATCTGTTCAGGAAATTATGCACGGAAGATATCGGGCTGAAACGACATAAGCTTCAAGCTAGCGTCGGTGAGTTGTATTGAATAGTGCATTTTTTTCGATAGCATATATCGACTAACAAGTCGAATCCTACAGTTCAAGGTACTCTAACGTCGCACTTCGCGGTCAACTTTGTAGGTGACACTATATTTCAGTCTTGCTTGTTTGATGGCTGATTACCGTTTCTAGGGGATGCCGTACAAGTATATAGTGGCTGTTGATTCAAGGCCGTTTAGCGAGACACCGTCATTCCTCCTTCGAGCCCTGGGCCGTCTTAGCTGGGCTGTCATGAAGACGGTGCCGCCGACAGAGTTCCAACAACCCAATGAACTCCTTACGCTGGGGTACTTTGAGAAAATGGCAATCAATGTAAGTCAATAATTAGCCTTTTTTTTTTTTTTTTTTTTTTTTTTTTTTTTTTGGCCCCTTTTCCCCAGGGTGTCTAACGGAAAATAGTACCATGACGACGGAGAAGATACGCTGGGGCCCACGGTTGCGACCTTATCTATCGGTGCTCCCGCTACGATGCTCATCCGCATGAAGGGCAAATACTTCAGAGTCCCAGAGCCCAAGAAGAAAAACATAGCACCTAACGACCTTGTTCTGCCGGGCTGCGCTATGGAAAAAGAGCGGCGCGAGTTAAAGATGCTTTACGAGAACGAGGAGATTACCTGCGCCGAATATTGGGATGCCCTAGCGCGACTGAAGAGCAGCAGAAAGGAGGCAAAACCTATGTGCTCGCTCGACCTCCATCACGGTGACATGGTTGTTATGCACGGCGCGAACCTACAGAAGTACTTTGAGGTAAGCGCCCAGTCCGGCATTTGCAAGTATTTTACTAATAGCCGACCGTTACTAGCACTCTGTAACACCGAACGGCGACCTTCGATTTGCATTGACGGCCAGATATGTCATGCCGGAATTGGTCGAACCAGAGCACCACTGGAAGGGCAATCTTGAGCCTGGCCTGGATTACAAGTACGACGGCGACGAGTAATAATGACCGATGTACTCCGTATACGGCGTGTTTTTTGAAATTGCCGCTAATATATCGCACAATTCGATCATCCCGAGGTTTATACACGCTTTGATTTTTCTGGGGTTTAAAATGGTTGGTTTCCTGGCATTTTGCTTGCATGGGGGCGTTGGCATCATTATGGGTGGCCTGTTCTTTGCACTTTGATACGGTGGGGCGCTGGAGTGTGGCGATTTTCTTCTTTACCACGACCAGGGTATCGTTATTAGAGGGAATCTCGAATGCTGTAGAAATACGGAGTACTTTCGCTGGGTTTCGAACGTGAGAAGGCTTCGTCATGTCCTAGACTTCCAGGATACTAATTATCTACTACCTAAGGACAACAAAGTTTCATGCGGTTCCCTAAACTAGACGGAGTGGAGCTGCTGCGTTTAAACCGTGCCGTGGACCCCTCCATAGAGACACATGCATACATGCGACCAATGCACGAGCTGCTGTTTCTCGCCGTCTCCCCTCGCTCTCGATCCCACCGGTGTCCTTTGTATTAAAATGCCCTGCTGGACTTGCTGCGTTGTCGCACAAGTGGGCGCGATTAAGTAAGCAAGAATGGGCGCGGGGACGCTGATGCTGACTAAGGCACACGTGCTAAGTTAACTAGTGAACTAAGCCCGCTTTGGATGAGGCTCTAAGACACCGCCCTGCGCTGCGATCGTAACAACCCGTCATCTCAGGCGTGCCTTTCGCCCCTTGTCGCTGGCTGCGAGCTTCTCCACGTCGTTCGTTTCTCTCTGTTCCCTCTCTCTAACTATTAATTTTAACAGTACATCGGTTTTAATCGCCTGCGACAGCTCTCCGTCTGACGGGACACCGAGCAGGTGCCCCCCTCGAACTCCTCTCCGTCGGCGTCTCCGTCCGTTTCCCGCTGGCTCGTTTGGTCGCTTGGCATGGTCCCATCGATGCCGAACCCTCGCACACCCTCCACGTTCCCCGGAAAATTCGACAGGGCTCGCTCATCTGTTGGATTTTCAGCTCGCTCTCAACACTCACATGCGTCTGTAAATTTGGCTTATCGCTAGATGCGCAATGGCGTACCAAGATAACGTCCCGCAGCGCTTCACCAGCTCTGCCTCTCAGACGCCGTCAGTGTCGCAGTCGCAGATGCAGTACTCATCCGGTTCCCAGTTGGGAACCCAGCAGAACCAGATCCCTTTGCGACGCAGTCCCAGTTATCAGTCTGGTGACGACGCGAGTTACTGCCAGCCGACATCCCTCGGAAACGGCGCATACCAAGACCAATCCGGCCGCGCCGGAGACTCTACAAACTACAACCGTGGTGGCTCGCAGAGCACTCACGGTTCTCGACACTCTCAGTTCTCCGTGGGCAGTTCTCAACACTCTGTGATGAGCCAGGCCTCGTCGCACGGCTCAGCCATGTCTGGATACCAGCACCAGTATCAACCTCCGTCTTCGACCTCCCCAAGTCAACCCGTCTACAACCCTCAGCAATTCGCGCAGCCGTCGTCCCCTGTGTCGTCGCAATCGAGATATAATCCTCAGGCCTTCTCTGCGACCACTGTTCCGCAATACGCAAATTACTCGTATCAGTATAACCCTGCAGCATACCAGTCTCCCACCGGTTCATACCACTCCTCCCAACCATCCCCTAACCTGCAATGGCAGAGCCCTCAGACCCCCCATCCGTATAGCCACCCTTCACCGTACCAATCTTCCCAGCCCCAACCCACCAGCCAACAACCTCTTCCTCCTCCTCCTTCCTTGGCCCCTAGGCCCCACGAGTCGTATGGTTCTTATTCTTCGCCTGAAACACCCAATCCTCCTCTGCATACCGCCCTAGGTTATTCTCCAAGTGTCTCCCACCATTTAGTATCGTCCCCCGTATCTACTATTCCGTCTGGATACTCTACATTGCCACCTCCTTCATCTACGGTTCCGCCTTCGTCTTATATACAGAATGATAATTTCCCTCTGCCGCAGCTACATACCTCTTACTCAGGCTCTACAACGTATCAGCATAATTTGCCCCATCCTCCTCCGCATGCCCCAAGCCCCCATGATTCTGCAGCCCAATCCCATTCTCATCAGACAAGCAATGAATCGGCATACTATGCCCGGCCGGCGTCGTTTTCAGTTTCCTCCCAAGTTCCCATAACAGATTTCGCGCCTACGCCCCCGCCGCATCAGGACCAGCCATCTTCTCCGCGTCGTGCGGACACCCTAAACCGCCATCCACAGTCGCGTCCATTACCCGGTCCGCCCATCGAGCCGGAAATGGACCATGGCAACGGACGTGTAGGCTACAATGGTCGGGTCGAAAATGATCTGAGCTATGACGATATCATGAAAGAGGTGGAAGCTGCCGTAATGGAAGGAAGACCGGCGAGTGCTCGGCGTCATAATTCACGTACCAATCACGCCATCCAACAGCAGCCTCCAATCCAGGAAGCAGATGAAGTTTCTGGTGCCTCGCAAGCCCAGTTGCGAGTGTCTCCTGATGTTACGCCCAGTCATATGAATGGCCACGAAAACATCAGTTCCACTGGTACCGGACAATATGTGAATTACACTGCCTATAGCGATGATAGCGAAGCCGAAGCGGCTGCTGGATTGGCCGCGTTACAGATGGCCGAAGAAGAAGAAGCCGCTATGCGCGCGAGACGGAGTACTCAGTCATCACTGCCTGCTGCATATTCATCGCACCAGGACCGTCCACCGAGTTCTGCGACCCCCGCTGAATCGAGCAGTGACAGTGATTACCGACGTCATGACATGGAGCTGTACGGTGGAGGTTATGATGCTCAGATGCACTACGGTTATGATTTCGGTGCAGTCTCTGGTAACGATCGCCTTGAGCCGACGTCCGGATCACATCGAAGTTCAACCAAATCAGCGGAAGGTAAATCCAATGTCTCTGACTACGAGTACCCAAATATTGATGATGAGTCAATTCATCCTTTTCCTTCTTTGGCTCCAATTGCTCGAGTGGATACCTTCGGAACTGGCGGTCTATCCGACCCGTCGTTTAACCCAAGGAGATTAAGTTTTGATGATGGCGACGAAACCCTTCATTCGGGTAGGGCTGCCCAACAAAATTCATTTACTGCTACGCCAGAGGAAGGGGAACCTCAAGAGCTCTTTTTCCATCCCGGAATGACCTCTCGCCCCTTACCACCACCGCCTGTAAGCACGAGTTTGGCGACACATCTCATGCCTGCTGGGACTTATCGAAGTCAAGACCAAATAAGCCAGGATGTGTATGAACAGTATTCCCGGCCTCAGTACCCAACTACCCCTGAAGGATTTACTCAGGCCCATGCTGCGTCTTCGGCTGTACCTCGGTCGACGTCTTTCACTGGCCACACCACCACACCCCGCACTGATCCAATTATTCGCTCTAAGACTGATGCAGATAAGGTTAAAGTTAAGCAGAGCTATGAATCATCATTATCAACCCCGTCAGTCCCAATAGATCTCCCGACCATTCCTGCCGGAAAAAGAAAGAAATTTAACCCGGCGAAACTGTCAACGGAGCAGTTCAGAAGATGCACTGAACCATGGGCCCTCAGTGCTATCGTGGCTTGGGTGAAAGACCTGAGCGAGGATGAGACGGACTTGAAGCAGCAAGCCATCGTGGACGCGATTGTGGCATTGTTTACGCACAAAGTGCCTACAATGAATATTGCTGATGCCGAAACTCTCGGTGCACGTGTCGTAAAGGACATGTTTGATGCCGGCGCTCTGCTCCATGATGAAGAATGGGTCAAATTTGGAACAGAATCACTATCGGGAATTCTATGGCAAATCACCGGTCAAGGTTGCTATTCGTCTCGTCTTCACGCCGTGGAAACCGAGTCATTTGGCCGATGTTATTCATACCATTGTATGAGGACGTTGAAGAAGATTAACTTGCAAGCACAAATGATGGAACCCGAGAAGAAAGCCGAGGACTGGGCTACTTTTTACAAAATTGGTAAAGAAGTTTTTGAGACCCATTCGAAGAAGGAAATTGAGCGTCAAAACAATTTGCATGAAATCGTCACCACGGAAGATGCATTCATCTCTCAGCTCGACGTTGTACGAACGCTCTACCGCGATCAGCTTGCTGCTTCTCAACCGTCTATCATCAGCCCTAAACGACGCGACAGGTTCTTAAACGATGTTTTCGGCAAAGTCGACGAGATTAAGAGAGTCAATGAGAATTACTTGCTTGCTCAGCTTAAGTATCGTCAAAAGGAACAAGGTCCATTTATCGCCGGTTTCAGCGATATTTTCCGAGAATGGATCAGAAAGGCCAAAACTGCATATATTGAATATGCAGCTACCTTTCCCAACGCGAATTATCTTGTTAGGCGTGAAGCAGAGACCAATTTACTTTTCAGGCAATTCTTAAACCAGGCGAGAGAAAATAAGATGTCGAATAGGTTGAATTGGGACACCTACTTAAAGGCTCCTATCACACGCATTCAACGATATACCCTCCTCTTGTCTACTGTTCAAAAGAATATGGTCAAAGACTGTGAAGAAAAGACGAACCTGGGGCAAGCGATTGAAGAGATAAGATTGGTGGCAATGGAATGCGATAATAAAGTAGGTGAGATGACCAAGAAGGTAAATCTCAGAGAACTCGGTGCAAAGCTGCAATTACGACCAGAAATGAAACGACTCGTGGAGCTCAATCTGGAGCACCTCGGGCGCGAAATTATCTATCAAGGTGACTTGCAACGGCCAAGAACGAAGAGATTCAATTGGGTCGATACCCGCGCCATTCTGTTCGACCACTATCTAGTATTAGCGAAAATTGTGACCAACAGGGACGTTAGCAAGTCTGTGAAATATGAGACATATGATGTCTCTAAACTACCGATTCCCATGGATCTGCTCATCCTTGAAAGCTCGAATGATGATCCTGTGATGAAATCATCTGTCAAGGGAATAACCGCGATTACCCCACCTGTCAAGCCAGGTACAGCACCTGGACAGTTGAGCCATACCGGCACGAGCAGCTCTACAAGCTCCGGGGTCTCCGTTGCGTCCAATAAGACGGTGGTTCCGAACACCGTTCTTGACGGTTCAAAGGATGATAAGATTTTGTATCCTTTCAAGATTAGACACCTTGGCAAATCGGAAGTCTACATCTTGTACGCAAACACGGCTAAAAGCCGACGTGAATGGTGCGAAAAAATCATTGAAGCGAAGACAAAGCACGCTGCATCTCTATATGCGCAGAATGCAGAACCGTTTAGGCTACGGGTTTTGTCAGACTCCGCTTTTGCCTACTCGGACTTTGCTATTGGGTCAAAGAGTGTTGTGATCAAGGGCACTCCGCTGGATCGGGCAATCGAAGAGGTAGAGAAGAGATACGTCAATAACTTGTCACGTCCTTTACCCATTTGTCGGGCGTCAGTGAATTGTGCTACAGTGTTCCAACAGCAGAACGGGCATAAGATGTGTGCTGTTGGAACAGATTATGGTGTCTATATCTCGCATTACGACGATCCTCGAGGATGGACCAGGGTAAATTTTTCTTGTTCTTTTCTACAGTCGATGGTTCTGACATTGTGCTATTAGGTAATTGGCATGTTACGGGTGACTCAAATTGCCGTGTTTGAAGAGTTCAACCTGTTCCTGTTGATCGCTGATAAATCTTTGATCGCGTGCCATCTCGACACTGTCTGTCCAGAGAAAGGCGCAGCAGCGGCCCAGAATGACTCGCAACGGCGTGCCCCCCAGAAGTTATCTGGTAATAGGGAAGTTGGTTTCTTCGCCGCAGGGCGGATGAAGGACCGTGCTCTTGTGTTTTACAAGAAGCGCGACGGAATCTCTTCGACATTCAAGGTGCGTGGGTCTTCGGCTTTCTTCTGTTATATTTACGCTTACTAACTGGATTATCAGGTGCTAGAACCAGTCCTCCAAAAGACATCTTCGTCGAAGACTCGCTTTCTGCGTAGAGGTCACACGGATTTTTTCCGTGAATACGATGAGTTCTATATCCCTGCAGATAGCTATAGCATCAATCTATTCCATACTTCTCTCGCTATCTCAACGTCTCGTGGAGTTGAGGTTTTAACTCTGGACAAGAAGCAGCCGTGGTCGGTGCCAATCCTGCGTTCGGAGCAAGCAGATGCTCAGGCACATCTTACACGTATCGCCAACAGAATAAAAGACCTTCGCCCACTAGGGATGTTTCGTCTAAGCGACAGTGAATTCTTAGTTGCCTTTGAAGAATGCGCGGTTTATGTTAACAAGCACGGCGACGTGAGCCGCAGCGTGGTTATGGAATTCGTCGGAAAAGCTCATTCAGCGTGTCTCTATGGGAAATTCCTCATCCTGTTCCATGAGGATTTTGTTGAAATCCGCAACGCTATGAACGGCCGTTTGAGACAGGTCGTTGCGGGAAAGAACGTGACGCTCCTCGATGATGGTGGCAATTGTAGCAATGGAGTCGGGAACTTAGGCAGCGCGCCGATATCGTCGATAATTGGGAACTTTAACGATGCTGCATCTGGTACTCTTGGCGGAGGTACGAACGGCCTTGGCTTGTCGAGTGGCTTCAGTACCGTCCCGCGCACGGTGAAGATCTGCATGACACACCCTGAATATGAGAGAAGTCAGATTGTGATCGAGTTAGTGGAGAATGAGGGACAGGAAGATTAAATCAAATTCTGAAGGTTTATATTATAATTACTTTTGAGGGCCTTCAGAAAGCCCCTGCAGGCCATGGGAATTGGGGATGGATGGATAAAACTTTTTCGGCTATCAGGCTTTTTGGCCTCCTTTCGTGGAATTCTGGATTGTGGGACCATTCAGAAGATCTTTAATGACTTGGATTTTTCATTGTCCTCTTCATGACGATGGGTCTATTTTATTTGATTCTTGTTATGTGATCTGGATGCCATGTATAGAAACCGACAAGAAGGGGATATGCTATGGCTTTTATATTTTTCTTCCCCATTTCTTGTGCGGATTTGGATTTCTTCTTTTATATGGATTCTTTTACGACGCTTTTGATGGCTGACTGGAACTTGATTAGCACTATTTTTGTTTCTTTGCGGGCCTTTTTTTTTTATTTTTTTTTTTATTTTTTATTTTTTTTTTTTTTTTCAGTCTGTTGGTTTCGTCACGAAATACATTTGCTTTTATTGATACCTTCATCTTCCTTTTAATTCTTCTTCCTTAATACCGCCATTTGTTATATTCTGGTCACTAGCTTTGCCTTCCTATTTGTTTTCATGATGCGTTTCATGTTTGAGCTCAGGAACTGGTATTGGATTTTCATTGCGTGCCCAGTGAGGTCATCTTAGAGTTCATATTGATAGTGCCTGGACAAGCTGCTTTTCATAGATATGAATGGAATTGTCATTTCAAATATGATGTTCAAAATTCTAGTCCTATCCTATATGGTTTTAAGACCTACATCTTTGTAGATACCTGTTCATAAATGTCATCACCGATTATCGGTACTTGATACGTACACTGGGGGTTCCAAATGTACAGCTCCCCAAGATCAACCGGCACCCCGAAGCAGTGAAACGCCCTGCAAAGGCAACCAAAACCCCAACATACAATACAGCCAATCACGCGATAGGTATCTCTCTAGGATTCAAACTCAACCTTGCCCACGGTTCCGGTTGTCCCTATTTTCCCAGTATCCCCGGCGGCTGGCGATAAGGAGGACGACAGCAGCCTTTCCTTCTCATATTTGCTCCCTTCGTCTCTCTCCCTCACGCTCATAACCTCCGCACCTTCGAGAAGATCTCTATCTCTCTCCCTCGCCACCTGCGCAGATCTATTATCCCTTCTTCGCTCGTCATACCCCACACCATCCTCATCCTCCTCGTCCTCGTCATCTTCCGTGCTTCGATTGAGCGCATTTCGCTCCATTTCACGCTGCGCTTCGTCCATCCGCTTCTTCACCTCAGCAGCCACGCGCATTCCGTCTGAGACAATATTATCTAGAACACCACGCAGTCCTTTGTGGCCTGGTGGTACAATGCCACCGGAGGCGCCTGCGACAGTGGCGGCACTGGCAGGCTGAGAGGCTGCAGCGCGTGGCGAGCCTAGATTGGCGAAGGTGGTGAGGTTCGAAGAGAGGGATGCTGAGCGGGGTGCTGTGGCTGGGCGGTCGGAGAGGTGGAATGAACGAGGGAAGAAGTTTTCGAAGAATTGTTCCAGGAGTTCATCTGCAAGAATTACCATGCGGAACGTCGGGAGGGTGATGTGGAGTGGATGGGCTGGGTCAAGGGCGATGTTCGCTGCCTCTGAGGCGCGTTTTGAGGGAGAAGTTGGGGTGTTCTGAGAAGCAACGGCAGGCTTTGGCGGAGGAGATGTATCGCCTGAGGTGGCCGGAGCGGGAGATTCGTCTTTATTGTCGTCATTAAGATCTAGTAAATCATCGTCGTCATCATCACCGATGGCAAAAGAATCAAGTTGGTTTGCCGTTTCCGCGACGCTGTCGGTGATGAGGTTATCTTTGTTGTGAGGATGACTTGGGTCGGCGTATTCAAAGCACCTCTGGATAAAATCACTGACGCTTCCCAAAAACCTTTCTTCAGGGGTCAAGTTTGTTTTCATTCGAATCAACAATTGATCTGAGTCCTCAGCCTGGGTAGGGTTCACGGTGCCTTCAAAACCCCGCCGAGAGAGGAACAAAAGTGCCTCTGACATCCGTAGAATGCCCTCTCTATCTACCTGTCCAGTGCCATCGTCATCATAAAGATCGAAGAAGTAATTGATCGTGCTCAAAATATCCCGAGTTCCCTTTATGCGAGCCAAGCCATTGACAACATTTTGTAGGCTTAGCCCTTCGTTTTTATCCACTTGCCACTTACGATAAAGACGTTGAATAAAGTCGTGATCGATAGGTTCAGGATAGTTTCCGTCAAGGGACTTGCTGCCTCGTATGCTAGAACTGCGATATGAATCCGAGGTCGACTCCCTCATTGATGACCGCGGCGAGTCCGCAACCGCCCATCTCGCCGTAGTAGCCAAAAATTCACGGAAACCATCATAATCCATGTGAGTAGGGCTTGGTCCAAGCCCAACGCGGCCGACCTGAGCTTCCACAGTCGTTGCTAAGACTGAATAACGAGCAGCGCTTTTCCTGTGTTCTCGGTCTTTACGTTTTTTCTCCTCTTCTATAAGCCTCATTCGCTGCTGTCTATCGTATAAAACTTCGTAAAAGCGATCGTAGATGGCGCCAAGGTCGTCAACGCTCAGCTTCTTGCTTTCTGGACCAAGATTTCGAATTGAAGTTCTCTTCGCAAAACCTTCGATGCTGTCGAGAACTGCATTTTTGTGTCTCGCTCGTTCTTCGACGATGGTCGAGTGGGTAATTGCAGAGAACTCCTTAAAAGCCACTACCATAAGCTCTTGGAAGCGAGTGATGGCGCGCAGCTTTGGATTTTCGGATCGTGGGTGAGCAGATTCGTCTAAACGAGAAAAGTAGGATTTAAGGATAGAGATAAATGTCCCATCGTCGGTGACATCCAGCAGCTCCTCTCCGTTGATGCGTAGGATGGCAAGGCCAACCTGGAACAAAACCTTTGGGCCTTCGAGGAAAAAGACATCCAATACACGAAATGCAAATACAAGGGGCATCGAATTGATATACAAGGATAGAAACCATGGAAGAGACACGACAGAGAGCTGAACATCTGACCGCACCAAATGCTCCCAAAGAATCGGCATTGTCTTTTCAACAAGAGACTCGAACACTTTCTGGTCCAATAATGTTCCGTACATAGTCGTAGAATAATAACCTGGTAGTAGGCGATCACATAACACCGACAAAAGGAAAAACGCCTGTGCCTCGGACATATAGCTATGGAAGGTTAATACAAGAAACCAACTACAAAAAGGAACCGTTACTCACATTAACAGGGCTGCAACGACGATATTCATGGCCTGACAATATCCGACTTCTTCATTTATCCAACTGTATGCGGTCAAAACCCGTCGTAACCTCCCGATGCCTTCTTCGCTCTGGAACCCAGGATATTCAGGCAAACTTCGGTTTAGATCTTTCTCGATCTCATCAATTGCGAGAGATTCGCGCCCAGAAAACTTGGAAAGGGTCTCTTCGTATAGATTTGGTGACCTGAGTCGCATATAGAACGAACCGGAAGTAATTTCCCAGATCTCGCCGCGAAGTCGATTCGGGAGGCCCACGCGAATAAGCTTGTGGAAGGTAGGTTGTCGTATTATTGTCGCATTGCGACCGTTTTCTTAACGATTCAAATCTCAGCAAGGAAGCGGATCTAGCGCTAGGCATTCCGACATACCTCTAAAGTACTCTCCCCATAACCTCATCTTACTTCTATCTCTTAATTTTCGAGCATCACCGGGGTATCTAAACACCAACCCCAGCCCCGTATCAGGAGGCTCTCTCGGTGGAACGTCGGGATCGGCCTCGTCCCTGTGCTTTCCTGTTCTTCCAGCCAAAAAAATATATTCAGAATGACATTCTGAAACGACATTTCGGAGACTATCGACTTCCTTCATACTCTCTCTCAATCCCTTTTTCAGCCCGTTGCAAAACCGTTCGCAGGCCTGCCGACTACCAACAAGGTGGAGCGTGAACCTCTGTGGTGTCGTCTGCGCGTCTTTACCACTCCCTTTGACCAACGCACCATTCCACGTCGTCAACGCCAGGGAAAACACATGGCTAAGGCTATTCAGCCGCTCTACTCTCCGGATCGAACAGAGCGGCAGAGTAAACCCATTCCCCGACGGACCAGTCCCGTGTGTTTGTCCTGTAAACGCCGACGACGCGCCAAAACTTGCAGATGGCAAGAAACTCGTAGGCTGCGTAGAGAAGCACAAGAATCGTTCGCTCAGGTGTAGGTTACCCGGGTACGTATTTCCCACTCGCCCCGCGTCTCGGGACCGTTCGCCCTGCGTAGCGCTAGAAATGGACGAGGCGGAGGAGGAGGAGTAGGGCACGGGTAGGACGAGTTCGGCCGTGATCTCCTGCAGCGGGTTCTGGGAGTCTGGAAGACGGAACTGTTGGCGGAACAGGGATCCCTTTGAGGGATTGCGGTCAGAACTGCCAGTCGAGGCAAAGCCGAAGTTTGCAGCGTCTACGAGCGACTGGGCCTTCTGAACGAGGGAGGAGAGCTGGAACATTGTGGCTAAGGATCATTTACGGCGCATATGAAACGGGGAGGAACGTGTTGTTTGCCGGCTCAGAGAGGATTCGCGGATCGTGGAGGCAAGGCGGTCGCCGCGATGCGAACTAGAGGGAGGCTCCGTCACAGGCAGAGAAGGTCCAACAGCATCGTAAGAAGTGCTGTTGGGCGAAGGACCAGCGAGCCAAAGAAAACCAAAAAAGACAGCAGCTCAAGACCTGCAGCTCATGCTCTGCAGATGCGGACAGAGTATTGGGGGGGAGTATTGTCTGCGTCGACGCGCTGCTCCTGATATGCAACTTCAGCCAGCTGCTGCAGCTAGCCTCGGCGCTACGATGTTCCTCCCCGGGGCTGCTCAACGGCGCATGGATCGTATTCAGGCGGAGATCATCATCAAACGGTTCAGCTGCCATTTGGCTACGGGCTTCATTCATTTCCAGGATAAAATTCACAAATTTACCTAAAGGCAGAAAGATACATAATAGACAAGCAGACAAACTGTAGTAGGAAAGCCAAGTCCGAAATTCATATCTACCAAGGCGGACAAAACAAAACGGTTCAAAATCAAAAGTAGAGATTCAAGAGTTAGCCTCAAAAAGAAAAAAAAGGAAAGGAAAAAAAAAAGGTCGATGCAGTCTCCGTCGAACCCCCCGTTGTCTGGTAAATAGTAAGCACTCCGTACGTGTGGCCTTTTCATGTATTTCCCCAAAAAAAGAGCATGATGGCACGTAGGTTCAGTTTTTCAAAATCGGAAATCAAGTTTACTCCTTTTCAGCAGGAATGACAATTTTGCCGTAATCACTTTCGTCATAGTGAGGTGGCAGATCGTATTGCTCTTCCGTCATAAGGGCTTCTTTCTCAGGAGCAACTCCTTGCTCCTGATCGACAACGCGCTTGTTACTGTGTCGGCGGAAGAAAGCTCGGGCTGCAACAAGACCACAGGTAAGTTGAATTGCAATGATAGCAATGCTGGTAACGGCGACAACGCCGATGAGACCAGGAAGGAAAACGGTTTTCAAGATGTGGCAGAATCGGTGAGCGAAAGTCTTAGATTTGTGTTGCTGATGAGTATGATGATGGCCGCCATGTTGCATCATATCGTGGCCTGGGCGCTGGTGCTGCGAGCTACCAACTTTGTGTGGTCTGCGATGGCATCCTTTGACCTTGGCCGAGACCTTTTTAGCAATGGCGAGAGCACGGAGTTTCGCCGAAATAACAAAGGCACGAATGCGAGCAAGGATAAGGTGCTTCAGGCATCTACGATCCCTTCGGCACTGTCGCCACGATTTCTTTGGCATCGGAAGGACACCGGCCTTGGATGTGACGATCGTAAGATCTCCATTTGGAGATTTAATGGTGGGTAAGTAGACAGTAGAAACTGGGACCGGGAAGCCGCCAATGTCAAGAACGGTGAAGTGGAATAAAGTCAGCTTCGAGTCTGAGTCAGGGACGTCAACAACCTGGAATTCTAGGCCATATCCAACGGGAACAGGAGTGGATGCTTTCATGTCCGACTGGCGGTGGAGGACTGTTTCAAGGGAAACCGGTCGGTTCTCCAGCGGGAAGACTTGACGGCCGTTCACGGAGAGGGCGTTACCCTCGGTGGTGAAGTTAAGAGGCTGCCAACAACATCAGGGTCAGTAAAAGTTCGCCTGAAAATGGTATTGCCAACCATCGGATTACTTACCAGCCAGCTATCCCATGCATCGTTCAAAACAAGCTTGGAATCCTCGGAAAGAGAGGGAAAGGGACATTCAGGGCACTGGAGCCGTAAACCCAACTCATGGGAGCCGCCATGGTGAGCGTTGAGATTTGTCTCTGGGACAACCAGGAAGGCAGCGGACTGGAGCGCCAGCAGACTTGCGGTAAGGAACTTGGACAGCATCTTTGCTGGCTGTGGATTTAGAGGGATTCGATCATCAAAGGGAGGAGCTGCGGGAAACGGATGTTGTCGGGATTATATGACAGGGGGCGTGCTAAAGAAGAGGTTGATCGACTCCTCGTGGGCTGGTTTCGCAGGTGAGGCTGAGGCGGCGATGATGAAACTTCGTCGGAGCAGACTCGGAGGGGGGCGGCCAGGTCTGGGGATTGCTCCGTCCCACCGCCGACAGGGTTGTCGAGCTAGCCGGCACCTCGCGCTTGGTTGGTTCTATTTTCAGAACTCGCATGATCCGCCTCTGGGATCGTCAAACAAAACACAACAGGGAGTCGACGGAGACTACAGTCGTGAAGTGACTCGAGGTCACTGAACATCTTTCAAAAAACGTCCCTCTCGGGACACCAACAACCGACGCAATAACCAGGTCAATCGTGTGCCCAGCCAACCTCCTCCCAAAAAAGAAAAAAAAAAGGAAAAGAAAAAGAGGTAGGTTAGTTACATGAACAGTATCGGGCCTCAGCACCAATCCCAAAGGAGGGCCAACAGCCACGAATACATGCAAGGAAAGATACATGACTTCCGGTTGACCATCATCCCAGCCCTGAAGGCAGGACGACTGGTCGTACATGAATAACCATATTAAACCAGAATCAGACCCCCTCCACCCTATTTACACACCGGAATGGAAGAGGCCGGCTGAGCACACGATGTCAAGTTAGTATATAATCCGGAACCCACCCAGGATCATCGGGCACAGCATGCTGCACCCTACCCAAGCATAACCCGGTCAATCTGCAGCCAGTCGCTGAGATCGAATCTCAACTCCTGGAGCCAGAACGGCCAAGCAGACATGCCTCCCACTTCGGAAACGACGGTGTTGGCTTCGAGCCATATCTGCTGGTCACCGCTGCCGCCCCAGAGCGTGATGAATGCCCAGAGCAGCATCAGGAAGACGAGGAGCAAGCCTCTCCCCCATCTGCCCTCCGAGATTATCACCGGCTCTGTCTGCACCAGGCTGTCACTCGTTTCCGGAGGCACATCGGCTTCAGTCTGAGTCAAAGCCTCCAAGACGGCGACTTCAACCTTGACCGTCTGCATCGAAGTGTCTACAACCTCCACACTCGCGGCCGGAGCCGTTTGTGTAGAAGCCTCGACGAACTCCGACACAGGAGCCTCTGTGATAGTGGACGCGTCGACCACGCCCTCACTCTCCAGCGAAACGAGGAGATTCCGTTCCACGGCTTGGTCAGCTTCCAGATCTCCAAGGTTCTTGTCATCCTCGCTGGGAAGCTGGACAGCAGCGTCTCGTAGACACTCGACGTGCTTTCCGGCGGTGGTGATTTCCTTGGCCGCCTCAATCGCCTGAGTCAACGCCTCGTCACCGATTTCCAGCTCGGACTTGGTTGGGACCTGTTGCTCCAAGCCGTTTTCACCGACCTCGGTGTTGTCCTCCGCGACCTCTCCTCCCGCGATCGCCGCCCAATCAGCAGCCTTGACAGCGTTAGACTCGGCGGACTGCTCCTCCTTGGACTCAAGTTGAGCCTTGAGCTCGAGGTTTTCCTCAAGCAGGAATCGGCAACGCGTCTCCGCCTTGTCTAGTTGCTGAAGGATTTCATTCTCACGCTGATTTGCCAAAGACAGCATTATCTCTTTTTCCTCCTCCCACAGTTCTCTGCGTGGAAAGAGGCGGGCATAGTCCTCCTTCAGAGCGCGGATTGTTTGGTTCCGACCCTCACAAATCCGGCCCAAAGCCAGGACCACTTCCTTGAGTTTCTGGAGCTTCTCTTCTCCGCTGCGAGAGCTGTCAGCCAGCATCTTTTCGAGTGCAGCGGAGTCGAGGCCCTTGCCACCCTGCACGTAGAGATCGGACATCTCATCGTGTGCAGAGATCTGCCCCATATACGTCGCCCACGCGCCCGGCGCTGGGCACACAGGTGTGCGCACAGCAGGGCGTTCTGGACGACGCGCTGTCTTCTGCCGGTGGACGACGGCTGCGTTCGTCGGATTGGCCACATTGGTTCCACTCTGAACTCCAGCTTTTCCTAGGCCGCTCTCCCGAGCTGGAGTTCCTTTCGCAACCGATCCCTCTCTCATCGCCGCCAATCGGGAATCAAATTGTCGGCTTGACGGGTCCACCGCGCCCGAAGGAAGCTTTGAGGCCGGTGGACCCGCCAAAGGGGTTGTCGGACCCGATGGCTGTTGTTGCTGTCGTCCCTTTCCGGTGTTGCTTGGCTTGGGGGACTGTGATGACGAAGGCCCGCTGGAGGATTGGGTTGGCTGCCCAGCGGGGTTGTGAGGAGATTGGCTGGGCTTGGTCACTCTCAGGTGAAGAGGAACTTGGTTACCAGCCGGGGCTGGTTTTTTCTTGCCGTTCCTTCTTCTGGCGCCCTGAGAGCTTTGCGGCGTGGCAGGCTGCTTGCCCTTGCTGTTGCCTCCCGAGCCTTGGGGTTGGTTGGGAGTGGTCGAGGTCGGATTCTGTCCTTGGTTTCCGGCCGGCCGCTTTCCCTTGCCTTTTGACGCGTTAGATTGGCTTTTTGGCGCCATTTCGTCGAAAAGAGCCAACTGCTGCTTGTTCGACGAAGTGAAGTTGCCAAATCGCGATGGGACCCGAAGTCCTCTCGAGCGACTTTAGGCGAAACGCTTGAGCTGAGAAAGCTAAGGGAAAACTAGGCATAATATGTTAGCTGAGGCTCCATGTGCATGTTTATATGTGAAAGATATGGGAACCTACCGTGGGTACTACCAGGGACAGGCGGTAATCCGCGAGTCCACGCGTTCGAGAGTCGATATGGACACGAGGTCGCGAGAGATATCACCTAGCCCGGTGCTAGGTAATGACGAACCACGTGTGGTTAAGCTCAAACTTGATGGTCGAAACTCGAGCGAGGGTAACAACGTGAACTCGAGAGAAAAAGGAGGCAGTTCGCTGTAAAGCGAGAGTGAAGAGCGAAGCTTTAAAAATGGTTAAAGAAAAAAAGGGGTGAAGCGGAGAGAGCTTGCTCTTGGTGAAGTGGTCAAGTGAAGTCAACAGGAACCGCGAGGAAGAGAAGAAAGAAAGGGAGAGGGAGAGGAAAAGAGAGAGAGAATCTTATATAGTGGCGTCAGATCACGCCCTCGCTTAGCTCAACCCGTGATCTTGTTTACCTAGAGATGTGTTCCTATAGGTTGCTAGGCGGCGCGTTACGGGAGTTCCCGTGCATCGAAATTGATAGACTCGAGGGTCTGCATAGCAACAGCTCGTCTGTTGTTCTGCTTGTGGGCTACCAGGTTCTCCTGATGTGTTCCTCGGGGGGGTGGGGGGGGGTCTTCACTGCTCATGCGTTGTAACCCACAGAAGCCCCTTATACCTAGGGGATTGCAGCATCTCTAATAAGTGATCGCAAACAAGGGCTTCAGAAGCCCATCAATCCGTCGACTGGAAGGCTGTAGAAGCCGCTATCTGCTCCCTTCTACAGGCGAGTTCAATGGTCTTTTAGAGCGGACTCGCTTAGGCCTGACAGCTTGTTTTATGCCCCTGGTACTCTTAGGGGTAGTACTACTTTGTTGCCGCCCTCAGCCATTGTTTTTGCATGTTTTAATGGTTAAAAAAGAGAGCTCTTTTTGACCACCTTTCCATTGTGCTGCTCGCCTTGTTGCGCTCGACGAAGTCAGAATTTCCGCATCGGGAAACTCATATCACGTGATTATCATCTTCTCAGGGGCAGCGGGCGGCTGGAGGAAGTTCTGAGCGTCTGTTCGATGCGAGTAGCCCATTGAGAGATTCGAGTGCAGCTGATCGAAGTGGTAAGAGCAAATGGAATTGTCCCAAATAGTAGCTTTCGAGGGTATTTCGAAGCTCTGTATGCGTTCCAATACACACGTGTGTCAAAGCCGTGCCAGGCGCAGCAATTTCTAGCCCATAAAAAACGGATAGCAGTCAAATAAACATTCTTAAAACCTCTTTATAAATCACACCCTGTCTCAAAGCCTCCTCGAGAACATATTCAGTAAAGATTCGCTCATCAAAGCTTTGACTTCTTCATCCCCGAAACGCCAGTTATTCCCTCCCCAGAAAGAAGGAAGTCAGGGTATTTGAATCCGAGGCCTGATCGGCCAGACTGTGTTCTCCAGGCACCTCCATCAACTGTTCATTGCGTTGTCAGAATAGCTTTAAACGTGAAGCAAGGAAGGAAATTCAGGACACGTACCGACTATAGTAGAACCAGTCACGTAGTTTCCAGAATCAGAGAAGAGATACACCGTGGCGTCTGCAATCTCTTTGACGGTGCCGTACCGTCCCAGTGGGATGGCAGATTGGTCGGCTCCCTTCTTGGCGAGACGTCGCATGCCCTGGATTTGCCATGTTAGCCCAAAGTAAAGTTGGCATTTGGTTGGTTCCGCCATACCTCAGTGTCTCCGATGGGTCCTGGAGCAATGATATTGGAAGTCACACCAAATGGACCATACTCGATGGCAACACTGTTTGAAAGGCCATCCACGCCGGCCTTGGCCACTGTAACGTGTGCCTGTAGGGGTAAACCGGTGTAGTGGATGGTTGCACTGACGAAGATGATCCTTCCTCCGGTCCCAGTAGGAGATGCTGGATGGAAACACATAATTGCTCAGTGGTGAACAGCAATAAGCAGACGGTCGGTGGAACCGAGAATACTTACGAGTCGCTCCATCGGATTTGTGTTTTGCGGCGGATTTCAAGAGATAAGGAACGGTGGCTTTCAGCGTGTTGTACGAACCAAGAACGTCGATATCTATGACTGACTTGAAAGCATTGACTGACAACTGTTCGATCGAGGCCAGAAAGTTCCCCGCAGCGCCGGCACTGTTCGTTTTGAAATGTTAGTTGAAATTAAGTCTGATAGCAAAAATTCGCAGCATCGTCGTACATGACAAAGTCAATTCCGCCCAGCTCCTTCACACATCGGTCAACGGCATTCTTCAGGCTGTCGATGCTTCTGACATCAACAGCCCCGATGCCGATTACTTTGGCGCCTGGACGGGCAGTAGCAATGTCTCTTGCCATTTGCTCTGTCTTCTCAACATTGCGTCCCACGATGCAGGCATTTGCGCCTAGATGGACCATGGCCCGAACTTGAGCGCTGCATATTGTGCCAGAGCCACCGGTGCAGAAGAGGACTTTGTTGTCTGCAGGGAAGAAAGTAAGAAACCAGAATCATCAGTGTTCTCAGGGATGGGCGATGAGATGTACCAAAAATGCCATCCCTCCACACATCACTCAGGTATGCAGATTTGGGCAACGACATTTTGGGGACAAGGTAGAATGTAAAATCTTTTAAAATATAGTCTATTGGTTCAAGTGGTGCAGCAAACTACATAAGACTTGGGTGGAGGATGACAGACGATCACTTTTATAAACTTTCAAAGCATAGCTTAATGCTGGAGTTCCCTGTCAAACTGCGAAAGTAACGAACCTCGGCAGGGCAGAAGCCAGCCAGATGGTCAAAGAATTAATTACGAAGTGGCTAAGCTTCAAGCTCCCCCCCCACAGGGTCTTTCAACGTATACCGTGTACACAGTACGGGATACCGGGGTTTGTATGTTCCTCGCCGTTTTGTCTCCGTAGTTGACCTAACTACGCCTCTAGCGATGACTTCTCATGATGTAGCTGCTGTGGCACGTTCGAACGGTGAAGCTCAAGCCCGACTGGACCTCGGTGCGGTCCAAGAAGCTGGGTGGAAACTATCCCTCAAGGAATGCAGGGCGGTTTCAGCGCTTATTCCGGCGATGCGATGGATAGCGTTCCTCGAGTAGCATTCCCATTCGCATACTCTCAGCTTTTCAAAGATAGAAACCTTCAATCCCGCCTCATAATCGCTTTTCTCCCTTCGTTCCGCCCTGCGCTGCCAACCCGGGGATCCGATTACATAAGCCAAGACCGCTGGCTGGCGCCGGCCGTTCCATGACGACGATGATATTAAAAAAAAAAGGCCACGAACAGACAGCAGAGACGGCAGCTTGGGGCTGGTCCTGTGTCGTGGGCATCAGTGAGCAGCTATTATCCACAGCATTGCTTATGCATTGTATGATTAGACGACTTCACTGTTGAGAATTGTAATTCCCCCAGTGGTTTTGTACCAGCGAAAATTTCTTGTTCGACATATCGATCTGCTATCTGTGGCGAATGGGAATAGGATTGGCTACGCTACGAAAGAAAATAATATTCACTTAGGCTGCGTGCAATAGCTCGTCTCGCCATGGCTTGTCCCATCACAGTCGCGAAGTTCGTCGGAACGATTTCCCTCGGCCTGTTGACCGTACGTTATTCATATTCCGCCTGTTACTCCACGAAGGCTTCCACCACTATGACCAGACGAACCGCTTTGCTAACCAGCTCTCTTCTTGTAGGGTCTATCATACTCCGTTTCAACCGTTACAATCCCCGCTCTCCAGCTTCTCCCTAGCGCGAACACCGCCGCCGAGACACTCAATGACATCCAACTCCGTACCCGCAGACGGGTGCTCACTCTTTCGAACCTTGCCGCTATCTCTCTCATTTCAGCCTTCACACTCTCATCTCCCCGCAGAAAACATCCGTATCTCATCTGGACCAGCCTTTTCGCTCTGATCGGAGGCACGGGTCTCGAATTCTGGTACAATCGCAAGGCCATGTCCTGGGGCTGTCCCCTCCCAAGGTCGTTGTGCCGTAGCCCGTCCTCCGCCTCCGCATCCGGACCGTGTCCCCTTAGCTTCTGCTCCTGGATCACAACCCATCTCGGCTGTCGCAGGACCCAGGTGCGGAATGATCGAAGACGCGAAGAGGAAGAGTCGAACGGCAACGTAAGTGAGATCGAGATCGTGGAGGAATCTGACGCCCTGCCCACGCCTGCCACAACCACCAGGGAGCAGTCCACAACTCCGGTCGAGCAGGCAGAGATGAATGGCGAGAGTGTGAAAGAAAGTATGGAGCGGGAGCGAAATATCCAAAGGATCAGATCTTGGATCGTCGGAGTGGCTTTCTCTATGGGCGTTGTGGGTATCTGGGGAGACAGCGCTTAAGGATGTCGATATCGCGTTTCATCCACTGACGCCGGGCTACCACCAACCCACTGTATCTCTCACCTGGATCCGAGTGAATCAGCTGATCACTCGATTTCTCGAGGCCTTTTCTTCTTTTTTATGAGAAAAACTCTTACCATTGATTTGCATATATATTTCGAGAGGCGAAGGCTAGGTGGTTGGATGATAGGCGTATTTTGCTTGTTCCCGAATCGTCTACACTTCATCTCCTTCTCTACTCTTTTCTTTTCCATTTATGGGATCATCCATCTTTCGCTTGATATGCAACAGGAGGAACCAGATGGTCGCAGATAGTTAGAAAGATCGAATGTAACTTTAGGAGCTAACCGGATAAAAGGCGACGGGCCGGTATTCTACGAATCTTTTGTGCAAATATGTATTTTATTTATGGTATATTATCAATTTGCACTGCTTTCCAAAGCACTACTATCAGCCAGGATGAGTGATTTGGGACATGAAGAAATATCCTTTCATGTTGTTAATGCTCCAGAAAAATGAAATATCACTCTCTGATTTTCTTATTGCTGTTCTGATAACTCTACTATTACAGGATAATGATGGAAAATCATCAAAGAAGTTGACCTCGTTGCAGCAACAGGCCAGGCAGTTGTCTCACATCTCTGCAAATGCAGGAATCAATGCAGAAAATCAATAACCTATCTTCACCTTTTTCCTCCCGCAAATTTTCATTGTCTCAATAACCCTACGCTTCTTCGTCGGGCTTTGCATTTCCACATGCACATCACTTCCACGCATCTTTCTTTTCAAGGGAGACTCCAGATGCCTGTCAAGCAGCTCATCTTCAAGGAATGCATGGCGCACATATACATCAATGGGCGGCCGCAAAGGGTGTGTATCCATGATCCAGTGCTCATCAGAAAACAGTCGACGGATCCAGCTCTCATTCACCTTCATCATTTCAAAGTTCCAAGCGCTGCTGTTAATGCAGATGCCACGAATTTGAAGTAAAGAATTTTCTGCTTTGCAGACCGGATAGATTCGACCTCCGAATGCACGCGTTTCCCAACCAGTACCAGCTTCGCGACATGTGATTCCAGGAGGAGTTTCGAACGGCTTGCCGTCAGGGCGTAGTCTGCCTTCGTGAATACATTGGAATTCCAGTACATGGGCTAATTCATGGCATAGCAATACTGCTAGGAAGAAGAGAGCGGCGAGTTTTTGACTGTCTCTCGGCCCACAATCCTTGAGAAGACGAATGAGATTGTAGTCTAAGACAATCAAATCTGATGCAACATTGGGGCGGAGAGTTGTTTGCGCGAAAGAGCAGGAATTTGGTTCCATGTCAGGATCAAAGTCAATGTCAGGCATCACATTTTTGACCTGACTGATAACTTCATCCTTTGATAGTTCAAGCTCTCCACCTGAATCAAGCCACCCTTCTATAGGGCTATGGTGCTGACGCCGGACAAATATTCGGAGTGACTCCCAACGTTGGATTATAATTCGCGAGGCGAGGAGGAGGGCTGGTTCAATTAGTGTGTATGCGTTATCAGTGACAGGAGTTTCTTTGCGGAGCATTGGGAATCTAGCTCGTGGGAATAGATTTTCAATTTGAAGGCTGCAGAAGCCATGAGGGTAATCACTGTAGTCTTCAAGGATAAAGTCTTCATCGCGGAAAGCAAATGCCGTGTCCTCAGTATGTGTGTTTGCCATATTTGCCATATAGACCTATTCTTGAGACTTCAAGTGCACTTCAGGTTAACTGTCAAAGGTTGACTTAGGTCAGGTGTGATTCGGCACTTTCTTGACTCACATTTCAGTCGTGATGTGGCGATGAACAAATAATGATTCTCGGATTCGTCGGCTTTGGGGTGACTCACGTTGAATCACGTGAGTTGAATTTCCTGTTATGGCTGGAAAGTGAGAGGGGTAAGAGCAAATCAAAATTAAAAAAAAAAAAAGCTTCTTGGGTCGTAATATGCTTCTAGACGTATTATACTCCTACGGAGAGGAATGCTTCTATACATTCAGGAGCTGGCTCACCGCGTATACTTACCAGCTGCTTGACTTGGTCTATGTAGCGATATTCTAACATCGATCCGTAGAGGTAAACAGGCACCTCCCAAAACAATAAAATAAAGTTGAAGGAAAAGAGAAGGGGGGACTGAAAAAAAAAAATGAGAGAACAGGCAAGATAGAAATTATAGTTTCGGAACCACCAGTCCCTGCTTAATCTCCTCCTTCGCCTGCTCCCTCAGCAATCTCTTCAAAATCTTCCCACTCGCATTCTTCGGGATCGAATCCACAAATTTCACTCCACCCGTTAAGCTCTTATACTTGGCTAACCTGGCGGCCGCAAATCTCTTCACCTCCTCTTCACTCAAGCTCTGCGCCTCTGGCACCGGCTGCCTGACCACAATGGCCCGCGGGTGCTCGACCTTCTCTTCCCCTGGCAAAGTCACCCCAATGACGGCAGCATCCATGATCAAAGGATGAGAAAGCAGCACGGCTTCGATCTCCGGCGGTGCTACCTGGAATCCACGCACCTTGATAAGTTCCTTCTTACGATCGACGATATACCACTTCTTGGTCTTGCTGTCGCAGTAGCCGATGTCTCCCGTCTTAAAGAAGCCGTCAGAGTCAAACGATTCAGCGTTCGCGTGCGGATTCTCAAAGTAGCCCGAGATGATAGTTGGACCACGAACGCAAATCTCGCCGCGGGTGTCATAGGCAGAAATGTTGTTGCCGGAATCGTCTATGAGCCTGGTGAAGTTATTTAGTTTGTGTGGACATAGGGATATAGCCAGTTCATTGGGAAATGGACAGTTTTGAGAAGGTAATAAAGGTTAAAGCTCAAATACTCACTTCATCTCAAGGCAAGGGATAGGCCGCCCAACAGAGCCTGTAGTGTCATCTTCCGGCCAAGGGAACCTTGTCGCAACGCAGGAAGTTTCAGTCATGCCCCATACCTGGGTGTATCTCCCTCGTTCGCTCAACAAAGCACGAAACTGCGCTTGAACGCCTTTATCGAGAGGAGCAGCGCCCACTGCTCCGCTCCGTACACTTTTCAAAAAAGGTTGTTTGGACAATGGCGATTTAACGATAGCAACGGCCATTGGTGGAACGGTAGAGGCCTCAGTGACTTTGTATTTCTGAGAGACCTTTAGAAACGCTTCAAGATCGAAACGGCGCATGACGTAGACGACATGTCCGGCTTTGAGTGCACTGGTATGTGTCGACGGCACAGCGGATGCATGAAACATTGGAACTGCCACGATGCGCGAAATCTGCACAAAGATAGGATCAGGACCCAGGCCCTAGTTGTTTGACTAGACCTATCGAAGCACAAACCTCATACGGTAAGGAAATCACCCCAAAAACCAGCTCATGCTGGGCGATAAGATTATAATGACTGATCACAGCCGCTTTGGGGAGCCCAGTGGTTCCACTGCTGAATAGCCTCGCTGCTGTGGTATTCTTACATGTGTCTAGGTCATTGAACCGTACCCAATCCTCTTCGCCGTAGTTCATGAGGTCGGTCCATGAACTGCAACCAGGTGGCAGAGGTCGTCCATTAGTGTTAAAAACCCAAACTCTCGAAGAGGGGATATTATTATCCTTGGCCGCTAAGAGGACATTTTCCAAAATTTCGGGCTCCGAAATCAGGAAATTGACCCGAGCGGTTTTGATATGGTGTGACAGCTCAAATTGGGTGTAACTTGGATTCGTCCCCGCGAAGACACCGCCAGCACCAATCACTGCAAGGAAGAGTATGGGGTAGTAGATCTAGTTCACATTCAATTAGCATTGTGCGTGAGTTTTCAGTATGGCATTTAACCCGTACGTCATTGAACGAGTGGACATTTAGGCAATCGCCGTTTTTGAAGCCGTTTGCCCTCAGGCCGGCAATAAGTTTCCGAACCAACACTCGAGCCTGATTACACGAAATTGATTCCGAGGCATTGTGCGGATTAATATAGATCTGGATATAATTAAGCAACGTTGAAATCACCCAGCAGGTCGATGGAAAGGGGGGGGAGAGAGTTTCATTTACTGGCTTGTCTTGATCATACTGGGGATCGTCAAAGATCCAAGAGAGGATATCCTTGGTCGGCAAAGGCAGATATTCATCTGGCCTAAAGAAATCCATAGTTGCAGAAGACATCCTCATAGATACCTCCTTAGGATCGATGGGTACTTCAGGCTCTTCGTGATCAGTTTTGAATTAGTATAGAATGAGAATGAGAGGAGTGTCGACAAAAACGCTAATATGGAAAACACATCTTTCGGGAATAGAATGCATATTCCGACGACTTCGGCCATTTTCTGACAGCAAGTTATATGGCACATAGCTACCTACTAGTTACGTTGGAGAAAGAGCTGGATCGATGCCGTGCTGTCGCCGACCCCGCAGACACTACCGGTATCAACGAGGTACGAGGCCCAGCAATCTGCCGGGCCTGAAGAGCACCTGAGGGATTTCCACCCCCTCAAAAAAAAAAAAAAAAAAAAAAAAAAAAAGGGGGAAAGTCAAGGGGATTTTTCTTTGTCTTTTTTCATCTCTTTGACTTCTGGCTCCATGGCGCTTGGCCACGATAAATGCCGGCCCTTTCACGATAATTCCCTACATGCGGGAAGTCAGATAGTTAAGCAGCAAAGGAGCATTGTGTGCCTCCCCCATGGCATTCAGGCGTGTTTCTCGACAGAGCTGGCCGGACCGCCGTCGCCTTGGGCTGTGAAAGCTCCAAAGATAGCGCAGCCGCTGGGCGGGGAAAGCAGCCGGCAAATTTTGGCAGAAGGCGGCCAAGACAAGATACTGTACGGAGGTGCGTCTCAAAAGTCTTTGCCGCGCTAGTAATTAGGCTAGTACCAGAAATACATTGAACCCCACCAAATTAGTATGGATCAACCTGTACCTTTGATCATGGATTCATTCCTCCTCTTGTACATCCTCCCAAGTATTCATATCTCCAAGATGTAAAGCTGCTAGAGTCTCTGCAGCTTCTAATCTATTAGCTAAGCACTCCCTTCCTAGATCCTGCCGTTTTGAGATCTTTCCCTTTAAACGCTGCCCTTTATACTCTCGAGGACCCTTATAACCACCCTCTCTATACTCATTCCCTCCCTCAAGCCGTATAATCTCTTAAATATGATGTGGAATTCGCTCAATCCACTGTTGAATCTTCTCTTGCGAAAGCTCATTCCAGGCTTGCAGCGAAACTTCCTTTGCAGTCTTGGTTTCGCGTGGAGCTCCACAAGAAGTTGTATGCCTTTTCATCCACATCCAAGCAGACTCCAGATAACATTCTTCCAGTTATCTAGAGTCCAATCCTTATGAGCAATAGCAAATTTCAGCCTTTTCTCTCTTATAGACTCAGTTAGACCAGGTTTCCAAGTAGGTTTGACATTAATAAAGCCATAATGCTGCAGAATTTGCCAAACACTTGAGTGGGATATACCAGATTCAAAGGCAAGAATCTCAGTGGATTTCTCTCGGCCAGCTCTATCCTTGCGAATCAAATCCAATATCTCAGATTCTTTACTGGAATCTATCTCTTTAGGATGTCCTGACTCACTTTGCATCTTCAACAAATGAAATATCAATTTGCTGGTTCTTGTGAGGCTTATAGCCGCGGTCTTTGGCTCATTTTTCAATTGCACAGAGGGTTCTAGCAGGAATTCCTAGAGCAGTAGAGACTTTGTTAACTGGTATTCCCCAAGAGACTAAAGCTAGAGCTTGGATGCGAATAGCAATTGGATGAAACTGATTATTTTCAGGCATTGGAAATTATAATTGAGATGAGATTCAAGCTGGCGATTGTTTTGAAATTAGAAGGTACATGTAGGTCCGTAGTTATTTGGTTGGGGGGTATTGTACTTTTGATACAGCTATAATTACTAGCGTGAGTAAAGACTTCTGAGACACACCTCCGTACGGAGTAGAGAGATAGCGAGAGACAAAAGACGCCCAGAGACTCTCATGACAAGACAGCGCGAAGAGCGAGGTAAAAAGGAGGGGTCTTCGAGACTAGAATTTGACCAATAACAGGGCAAGGAAATACTTAGTTGGTGATATTTCATTGGCTAGAGTTGTTAAAAATGACTCCTTAAATCGGCCAATGAGATCGGACGGCTGGGCAACCTTAAATCAACCACTTCAACGACTCGACTTGGCAGGACGACAAAACCATCGAAGCGAGGCGGCCGCCAGCATAAAAGAAGCAAAGTGGTGGCATCGCTCGCCCTGTTTTGGACTATTTTCCCATCCATTATGATAACTCCAGTTGACAGGTCGTGAAGTCAGGATCTTAAGCTAGTTCTTGTGACGCCACTGGGCGGATATCACAGGAGGACGGTTGTGCACCACGCGGCCAAGTGGGGAGATCGGACAGGCTGCCCAGCATGTCTTGCAGACGCAGGGGACAAAAGCAAAAAGAGGGCCCAAAAAAAGGAAAAAAAGAAAATAAAAGCAAGGAGAAAAATGTGAAATATCCATTTGTTTCATTCTCCGAGTGGACTTCGGCGTCAATGAAAGACCAAGCCGTGGCATGCCTGATTTGGCGCTTCATTGTCTTTCAAATGTGAATCACTCTACTCCGTACTCTGTACTAACACGCAATTCCCTGCAGCAATCTAACATGTCCACTGCACACTGCGTCTCTTCCCGCCGGATATCCACCTTTTGGGGGGGCCTTGACTTAGCGGACCAGACCTGTCACCTTCCCCCCGGGACCTACATTCCGCTGGCTGGCGCGCGTGTGGGCTCGGAAGGACGCACCAGCTTATATGCTTTTTGTCTGCCGTTGACCGAGACGCCAGCAGCCAATTCAACATGCACACCGCTTAGTGTCCCAACGTGACGGCGTAAGACCAAGGACCCATTGGCTAATGACTTGTGTCGCCGCGCTTCTACGGCTGCCAAGCTGTCGTTTGCGACATCCCACGCTCAAGCTGCCCATCATGCAGGAACTAGACCAAGTTTATAAAGGGTTCACGGCTACCTGCATGCATCCGTCGCGCCTCCTTTCCCTCGGTTTTAACGTCCGATCCGCAGCGTTGGGAGGATCCGCTGCCCTCACTCAGCATTAGTCTCGAGAGCAGAGTGATGTGAAGTTTCTCACACATAAGCCTACCTGACTAGCTGCATCCTCACCGCTTCCAACAGGTACCCTTTTCTCGATTTTGGACCAGTATCAAGATTAGCAATCCGGACCGCTACACCCATGCAGCCGGGGCTTCAACCAACAATGAGCCCCAGTGTAAGCATATCCTACTCCCTTCCCCCAACGGTGAGTCTGCGCCTTATGCTGCGTTTGTGCTTTGGACTGGGGTTTTAGAATGGTGCGATTGGCCTTCTGGAAGCTCTCATTTTCTCTCTCCATTCGAAAGACTAGCCTCTCATGGGTAGCCACAGCCCAACTGCCAATGGTTCCAGGTCTGGCCGCATGGAACACTGTTACATCACACTCAAAAGCAATTTCGGCACCAAAAAAAGCAAACTATCCTTCCATATCGAGTGTTGCAAGATTCGGAAAGTGGTTACGGTCGTGGAGGAGCATCCCGACCTTGCCGTCTCTGCCTCCCTCCAGTAATATCCCCGGATCAGCCGTTTTCTGCCAGATCTACTATTCCAGGCGCTATGCAGGATGGATCCTCGAAGTCTATCTTTATCCTTTTCAACAAACTGAAAAAATGTGGAGTTAAAAATTTCGCCTGGCAAGCGTTATCCACTTTAGTGCAGCTGCAGCGCCAGCTTTCTTTCTTTTGCATTTTATACCATACATTAGTATGTGCAGTTTTGGTCAATATATATACATTGCTCCTGCTTCGTCTATTGGTTGGCCTATGCTTTTCAAATATGTCATCATATGAAAAGCTAATCTCAGTTCAAAGTCATGGCAACACAGACAATGCTGTCCTTTCCATGATCCTTGAAACCGTTAAAATTGATCTGTGGCCTGCGCTGCAGCAAAGCGTCTGTAAGACAAGCGAGCCAAAGTTGGCCCCTCTTTCCGTTGAGATTTGACATTGGTTTACACAATTTTGTGAGAAGCCACTCTGTACTTGTCAAAAGCCGGCTTCCTCCCGGTCATGTCCTAACAACCCTCGCGCGCTCATATTTAACGAGCTTCCTTCTTCCAAGAGTCCACTTCAAACAATATTAATCAATTGAAGGCTGCCCAATTCTCTGCTTTCTCTTCCTATCTCCTTGCCTCTACAACGTGACTTTTACATCCTCACTATCGTGATACAGTGTATTCCATTTTATTAGACTGTTTTGAAATTCAGCAGTATCACAAATACACTCATCGACTCACATATCTTTCCTTTTCTCTCTCCTTTCTTTACTTTCCTCGTTCAAGATGGCCCCAGAACTTCTACTAGAAACAAACCTGGTCCCCACTGGCCACCAGCTGGAGAAGGTGTCAGACAATATTGATACTGTGAACGAGCTCAAAGCCTCACTCAAGCAAACCGATGGTCCATCACAGCAATTCGGCGACAACAAAGACAAATCCAAATTCCGTCAATATGAAGAGGCCTGCGATCGGGTGAAGTCCTTTTACGAAGAGCAACATACCAAGCAGACTGTCGCCTATAACATCCAAGCACGACACGATTTTCATTCCAAAATAAGGGCCGAGATGAGTGTATGGGACGCGATTGTCAAATTGGACACATTGGTCGATGAGTCCGACCCGGATACGTCACTGTCCCAGATACATCACCTTTTCCAATCTGCAGAGGCCATCCGCCGAGATGGAAAGCCAAGATGGATGCAGCTTGTCGGTTTGATACACGATCTCGGCAAGCTCCTCCACTTCTTCGGCGCTAAAGGCCAGTGGGATATCGTTGGCGACACATTCCCAGTCGGCTGTGCATTCGACGAAACAATCATCTATCCGGATACCTTCGTCAACAACCCGGACTACAAGCATGATGTGTACAGCACCAAATACGGTATATACAAGCCAAATTGTGGACTCGATAAAGTTATGTTATCCTGGGGTCATGACGAATACCTCTACAGGGTGGTCAAGTCCCAGTCCACGCTACCGGAGGAGGGACTTGCCATGATTCGGTACCATTCATTTTACCCGTGGCATACGGCTGGTGCCTATCGACACCTGATGAACGGCCGAGATTATGAGATGTTAGAGGCTGTAAAGGCCTTTAACCCTTATGATCTTTACAGCAAATCAGATGAAGTGCCTGACGTCGAAAAGCTAAAGGTAAGCCTCCGCCTTACGTCCCTGTTTACTTTGGGTTTTGTTTTCTAATCCAGCCGTTTTGAGTAAGCCTTACTACCTCGGACTTATCGATGAATTTTTCCCTCAGAAAATTATTAGGTGGTGATCTGACAACTTTTTATCCCTTGATTGGTGCTGTTAGCTTTCTCAATTGCTTCCCGCATTCTGTTTCTCCCGCTCACTTCTTAAAGATTTGGGCTCCCATATCTGTTGTTAATAGTCGCCTAGCCTGCTTTTCCTGAGCTATTTTGCCCCTAGCGCCCATGGTTATCGCCTGTACTCTCTAGATCAGTGACGCAGTTTATTTATGCCTCATTACATCTCTGGGCTGTCATTTCTTGCGACTTTTATTTGGATTTCTTTTCATTATAGACATTTCTTCTAACACCCACTGTCCTCTGGGTTTGCGATTTTGCTCTTTCATCCCAATCCAATTATTCTATCAGCCTGTTCCGCTTTATCGAGTATCCTATATCACATGCGGGACAGTTCAGTCCCCAAACCTCAATTTGCCTATAAAACATCATGAAGAAAGTAAATTTGGGAATCTGCTTCCTTTTACAAGTTCATAGATTTGTCGGGTCCGTTACTGCCCCTTTGTTGGCCAAAAAAAAAAAAAAAAAAAAAAAAATTCATCTCACATAGACCTTTATTCTCCTTGGGTGAATGGAGCTTGATTTCTCTATTTGATCCACTCCGTCAGATAATTTTTACCACCTGTCCCCGCTATAAAACAAAGATCTTGCTTGTTAGATATGCAAGAATGAAGCATATGGTTTGTTGAGTGGATATACGTGTCTCGAAGCTCCTGTATTCCTTTGAATAAGAGTAGTCAGCGGGATACCTAAAACGCTAGAACAAAGAAATAAAAAAAATCCGATCTATGTTCGTTAAGGTGTCTATTTACTTCACCAATTTCTAAAAGTTGCTGTGCAATTGCGCCCTATAGTCTTTTTTTTTTGACGCCTAAGCACCCTGTCCTGTAAACCCAGGGCCCAAACCAAGAGCAAACGCCAACAAGAAAAGGTCATCGGAGAGCATATCATCATTTCTTCCCAAATGCCTCCTCTCCTTTCAAACTCGATCCAGTCTCACATCGTCCATATAGCGAGTCTCAAAATCCTCACTCCGCTCCACTGGATTCAAGCTGTCCGTCTCCGTCTCCGTCTCATTCTCCATCTCCGCCTCCAACTTCCCACTCTTCATCCCCTGACTAACATCCTTATCATACCCGTCCTTAAAGCAGATCGCCGGATTAAACGCATTCAGCACCACAACAGCGATAACAATCATCACGCCCTCCAGCACAATAAACAACGGCTCATCTCTCATCAGCGGACCATCCCAACCCTCTGATAGCTCCGCAACGCGATACACGCACCGCGTGAAGATGGTCAGTGTCGACACCGCCAGCGCCACGAGGAATGCGCGGAACCCAAAGGACGCGCGCAGACGAGCGTGGCGCGGGTCCAGCGCCGCATCGCCGCCCATGCTGCGCATGCGTCGGTAGGCGCGAATTGAGAAGTCCACGGCGAGCAGGATGAAGGCGCTCAGCGTGACGACTTGCGCCACGAGCCCGGCGATCATGATGTTCTTGCCTAGGTCGGCGCCGTCGGGGTCCTCGCTGGAGCTGGCGATGCCGCCGCCCGCGCCCTGCAGGGAGAGAGCGATGATATCGCAGGGGATGAAGATGCGTGGGTACCACAGGGGCCGGATGCGGGAGTTGTCGGCGCCGAAAGTGGTGACGATGCGCGAGAGGGTGAAGTAGATGCCTGCGGCGAGGAAGGCAGGGGCGATGGTGAGACAGCAGATTTGGATCATGAATGGGACCTAAGGGGTGGGATTGTGAGTTGGCTATGGGTTTTCTTTCTTCTTTTTTTTTTTTTTTTTTTTTTTTTTTTTTTTTGGGGGGGGAGGAGGGAAAAACTGTAATGGTATGATATCGACTTACCTGCTTCCATGGATTATCCCACATAAGGATGCGACCGACATAGCCTACAGCTTCTGCGACCGTGCCCAGGACCATTGCTATGGTGAAGCCGACAAATCTCCTCGTCACTATTCCCTGGATCAAGAAGATGATCGCGGAGAGACCAAAAATAGCCGTCAGGGTAGCATTGGCTTCGAGTGATGGGCGATATTTGTACCACGAGAGTTCAATATCGCAGGTTTCGAAAGTGCAGCTTTCAGTGTCGAGTTCACGCCGAAAAAGCGTTGTGAGTAAGGCTGTCGTAGCAGACATAATTTGAAGTCAATTTGAATTGCCTCAAATATTAAAGGATATGTTTGAAAGTAGGGAAAAAAAAGAAATATCAAAACAGTACGAAAGTAAGGAATATCAAAATATTCTATACAACTTTGCAAAAAGCAAAAAGGCTAATGATATTGCTCTGCTGCTTTGGACAATACCTCAGGATTTCCTGAAATGTATCAATTACTTTTATATCCTTTTCTTCCCTCAAGGACTCCGTACTCCTCACATCAAGAATAGATCTCAATCTCGACTGGATCTCCAAGCCGAGCTGAAATTGTAACCAATGCCACAGGTCTCGACCAGAACGAAAACGACAGTTAACCCCAGCTGAATTGCGTAGATAGGGCTACATACGTAACCCCGTTTTCCCGAAGGAACCATCAACACCAACTAGAAAAGCAGACCTCGTCCCGTGTTGATGCTCAGCATAGGGCAGGGGGCCCAAGATGCTCAAGCCACAGCAAGACGATAGTTTACAGGGCGAACGACTGCGCGTGGCATTGTCAAGGAATGGAATAATGTTAACATGCTATTTCGCAAGGCTGAAGCATTTGGCTCTCCGCGCAAACCTTCAAGTCTACCGTTAAGGGAGGGGGAAAAGAAATGGGCATCCATAGAGATTTGGGAAACTCAATCGGGGAAATTGAGCATTAGCGGAAAGTAAGGGAGCAACATTTTTCTCCGAGCAGACAAGCTGCGAGACGTGGCTCGACAGCAGTGCATTCTTCATCCACTCAGAGATGAACTAAGGGAAGCTTCGAGTGTTAGCGATCAATCCCCGATCGCTAGATCATCGACCCGAAACGAGAGAAAGAGAGGGAGGGAAAAAAAAGAAAAAAAAAAAAAAAAAAAAAAAAAAGGCGTTGCCTGCTCAAGCAGCCAAACGGCCGTAAGAGAAAGTGTATAAGCACGATTGACAGCAAAAAATAGAAGCATCGAACAGTCAAGCCAGTTTCTCATTGGGCTTTGATTTCAGAGACCCTTGCGCGTCCTCCGTATCGAAGCGTGCTCCGCCCTTCGCCAGCTGGAACCAAAGCCCCCTTGGTTGCTCGCACGAGACGGGGGGCCAGCCAGTGAACGGGCTCTGGCTGCGACGACCAACGTGTTGGGGCGGTACAGTATTGTACTCTGCTTCGTCGACTCCGTCCCGACGCTGCCGGAGCTCGTCGCGAAAGGCCAAAGAAAAAGAGGCTTGCGGGCGGGCCGGTGGAGCCTCACCGCAACACGTGAAGCTGGGCTGTGCTGTGGCTGGAATGATAGTTATGTAAGTAAGCGCCCAAGCCCCATCGACAAGCAAACACCGCAAACAACGCAAACCGGACAAACAAGCCCCGGAATCCATCAAGTCATTATTGTTAGTTATTAAAGAATGCTCGCTTGCTGAGATAGTTGGATCTCACCGCGGTGATCGATTCCGTCCACCCATCCACCGTGCCCACCGCTCTGGCGTGAGCTCCACGTGGAGAACCGCCTCGCGCTTCTGACGTCCCGAGCCTGCCCACTGCCGTTTTGCCACCCAGCCCTTCTCTATTATGTCCGAATACCTTCAACCCCCCCTCGCGCTGGCGCTGTCGCTGTCTTGTTCCAGCGACTTCACCTCTTGGCATCCCAACCCCCCCGCGGGCCCGGATCAACCCTTGGGGCCCTTGAACAGAGGAGCCAGTCACACGACGGCTCATGTCCTTGCGATCGTGACAAGTTACTTGTTGTTCGGCGGGTAAAAATTGCCCGGCCAATGACTATCGTGAAGATGTCTGCTGGGGAGGCCACTTTCTGTAGATCCTTTTTTTTTTCACGACCAACTCCCTTCCCCTCGACGGAGACAGCTGCTCAGTCAACATCACAGGGCAGTATTTACCCGTGCATACACTGCAAGAGCCGGGGACGAACGGGGACGGACGGCACTTGCAGTCCTAGACACTGTCTCTCCCGAGCCCCAGCCGAATCCACTTCGTAAGATGTCAAAAAAAAAAAAAAAAAAAAGGAAAAACAGTTGTCCGACGATACCCTTTCTCATCGAGCGCAAACGCCCACTTTACATTCCGTCATCATGGCTGGATCTGGTTTTCTGTAGACACGTATTAAAAGAATGAAAAAGAAGAACCCCAGTTCTTTTCCTGTGGTTTCTTTTCTTTTCTTTTCTTTTCTTTTCTCCTTTTTTTCCTGCATTTTAAAACGACCTGGGGATAAAATATCATATCATTCCTCATCGGCTCACTTCCACAACCTCGGGATAAGGCAGGCCTCCCCCAACTGTCGAGGTCGCACAGCCCCCCGCGTGTCTGAAACCTGCCTCAGCTTTTTTCTGTGGGGCCAGATACATAACATACGTCGGCCACTGTGACCGGACCACCAAGGAGGTCCTGGTCGGCGAGCCCTTGTATTCACCGAGCGATACGGAGCACCACCAAAGAAAATCATTGTTCATAGAGCGGCTGTTCGTAAAAACAAAAAAGCATATTGTGACTGTGCTAGCCCACGTGGCGGTGGAAAAGAAAAGAAAAAAGGAAGAAGAAAAAGAAGAATAGTAATATAAGAAAGGGCAAGGGAGAAAGCGACAGTGGTGTGTGGGAGGGATCGAGCACGACACGACCTCGATGGTAGGAATGGATGTAACCGCAGTGGCGGACTCCATCGCTGCCTGAAGCTCAATCGATGACCGCGGGTTAGTTCATCCGACGAAAAGGAGCAACGGCGGTGTACATAGTCGTCTCTACAACTACGCCACAGACGGGCACATGGTCATCAGATACGATGATCCAGTAGCAAAGCCGGAGAGAGGGAGCGATATTCCCTCCCCGTTTTCTCCCCCCAAAAAAACAACACTCCATGGCAAGTATCCGCGCATGCATATGCCTTCTCCGTATCCCGATATTGTTTATCCGAGATCATGCTATCCCTACCCACAAAGGGCGGGGGGGCAAAAAATAAATAAGGGTTAAAAAAAATGAGAGAAGCGAGAGAGATGCCCATTGCTTTTCTGCGGGGGGAAACCTTGTTTCATCAGTGATCAGCCAAGGACCTTCGAAGATTACGTTGGACCGTAAAATAGGGGGTTTGGGTTGGGTTGGGTTGGAGGGAAATTTTTACCTCGTGAAGAAGAGCCGGAGGGCTCCTCAGCAAGCTCTTCCGCCAGTGACTGGTCGTGTTCAAGCCGGGATTCGACTTAATCCCACACGAAAGAGACAAAATAAAATCAAGTAAAACACCAAAACACAGAGGAGAGTTGAAGATTGCTCTCTTCCACGGAGGGCGGAGGAGGTTCCTCACACGCCCGAGTAGGCTGCATATTCTCGCAGCAGCCCAACGGCGCCTTCGACGTAATCGTACATATCGTATCCTTGCCGGCACGCTTTCTTTTTCGCCGTTGTTTCTTCGCCCGCCTCCACCCAGGTCCAGCGAACCAGCTCGTAGCCAGCTCGTCGGAGTTTCGAAGAAAGAGTACATACAGGATGTTCCATAGCAAACTCGCTCCACCCCCCTTTCATTTTGGTTTGTTGATGGAATTTTTTTTTTTTTTTTTCCCTTTTTCACCTACTTTCTTTGCTTGCGCTCTGCTCCCTGAGCGGAATGCATCGGTTGTTTGGCCAAGCCTGGGAGGGGATTGTCTGGCGGATGTGATTGGTGGAATTGGGGTAATTTTTATCCTTTTTTTATTTATTTATTTACTTTTCCTTCTTTGGTCCTTTTTATGCTTTTTTGGAGAAATCACGATGGTGGGGGTGGAAAAGGGAGATTGGCAGGGCGTCGGCTGTTTCATCAGGTCTGAGATTTTTTTTTTTCTTTTTTTTTTTTTTTTTTTTAGCAGGCACGCACACGCATGAAGTCACAGGTGCACACCACAGAGGGGTAAAGTGCACACTCCCAAAATGTTGTGTTGACGTTGGCTGGCTGGCTGGGTGGGCAGGAAAAGTGGAAGGAGCGGACCTGCCCGACTAACAAACCCAGCAAGCACACAACCTTCCTGTTCCTTCAGTATCTTTCTCTATCTGGGCTTTTGCTCCTTCTCTCTGTCAGACAAGTTTACTGTAATCTCCTTCCTCGGCCGTGGCTGCCCAACGGAGCACCAAAAGTACTCTGTACCTACCAAAACCCTTACCACTCACCCACACTAACCTAACTCAAAAAAACTCGCAGCTTCCCTTTTGCTTCTACTGCAAGGCAAAAAAAAAAAAGAAAAAGAAAGGCAAGTGGGGCGCAATCTGAAACCAAAGAGCCGGCTGCATGGTGGGGCGGTGGAGGGGGGGGGGGGGGGAAAGGGAGAAAAAAGGGAAGGGGGCAACGAGAGAGAGAGGGGGGAAAAACAAACCAGATGATGTCATCGCCAACCTTCCACGCGACCGCCAGAACAACAAACCACCGCTGTTTTTCCACACACACTCCTTCTCTCTCTCTCTCTCTCTCTCTATAATCGCTTCACTACCTTCTGCTACTTTGGACCTTTGTTTCCCGGGAAGTCCATGCACGTGCCTATGCAATGCAGAGGGTCATATGACTTCTTCAAGGTTTCCCCTTCTTCACACCCTTGCGGCGGAAACTTGCCCGGGATCATCGCTCTCTCTTCCTCGTCACTGTCACTATCACTGTCACCGTGATACTCAGTGGGGGGGGAAAAAAAAGAAAAAAAAAAGAGAGAGAGGGAGAGAGGGAGAGGGAGAGAGAGGGGGGAGACATGGGCATCCGCCGCGGGGCCCCAGCGGGGCAACCAGATAAAAATAAGACAGTAGCAAAAGTAAGATATGGGATGGGATAGGATGTAGTGCGATGGGGGAACGTGTTGGTCAGGCATCGCTGCTGTTCTCTGTGTGTGGGATTTATGTACGAGGATGTAATATGTGCTCTGCCCCTTATCGCGGTATATGTATGTATGTATGTATGCATATCTACTGTGAGAAAGTAGCAAATGGGTGGAATAACGAGAATGATGAGGTGAGGGGGGAGGAGAGTGTGTGAAAGGATGATGAGAAAAATGTCATTATGATGAACAG